TCCTGCGAAAGCATGTTCTCTACGGCCGTGGAGAAGTGGGGGAAGACACGCATAAATGAAATCACTCCTTTGCGCTTATTTACCTTGACCTTGGTCTCCTCGATTCCGCGAATCTGGTCATCGACAAATCGATTGAAGAGGCCAAGCAACCGGGAATGGAGTTTCTGAAGGGAGTGGATAATAAAGTCCTGATTGGTGTCGTCATACTCCGAAATGGCCTTCTCAATGGCCAGCAATATTCCAATTCCTTGTCTACATGATAAGAGTCAGTCTGTAGTCTCGTTAGAAAGCACATGGGAGTTTCAGCTTACAGCGGATCAGCTCTGATGGCCCAGTCCACAAGGTTTTGCATATCAGTCGGCCAAAATGCGAAAAGTTCGTCCATGATCTGCTCAACTTTCTTGGCCATCGCTCGGTCAGGATCATGCAGCTGTTTGGAGCCGAAATTGGGTATCCTGCGCTCATCGGGAGCACCTGACATAACTAGGTCGGGGAAGTCGACGGTAGAAAGCGAGTTGAGATGGAAGAAGTAGACGATGAAATTCTGCTCTTCCGAGATCATATGCAGGGTCTCTTGAAGCGTCCCCCCAAATGCTTCGCACGGTTCCAGCTTGCCATGCTGCTTGTCCCCTGAGGGAAGCCTGAGACCTGCTGCAGCTCTAATGGTCTTGCCTCGTCGCACTGTGAGTTTGCGCGCCGCCATGGTAATACCTTCTGATTCCTTCTCCTTCTCTTGGTGAGTAAAGAGGAGTTCCTGCTCCTCTCCACTAGGCTTCCTCGCCGCCTTCTTCCACGCCAGGTTGTTGTCTCGGAAATCATTTTGGTAAGGATGTTTGGCCTGTTGCTCATACAGGTTGATGAGCGCGTGCCACTCCCCGGAACTAACTTCCCGAGCGAAGAGGATCACAGCATTATACTGCCACAATTCGCGACGGCAGTAGCCACGGGCTTCGCTGTCGAGCTTCAGGGGATCCTTCTGACCATTGGCAGCCGCGTCAATTCTCTTCTGTTCCGCCACCTTGTACGCAATAGCCATGAATTGCTTAAGTCTTTGTAAGAACACGCGAGCATGTGTGCGATATTCTTCCTTCTTTTCTTTTATCGCACGCATTTGGCCGATCTCTGTGTCAGCATACACGCCCAGGCTGCCATGGTCTCCGGCCGCATCGGCAAGCCGCCTCTTGTTGTGCCAGATGTCAGAATCAATCATCAACATCGCTTTGTACAATGTAGATAGGGCGAGTTCGGTATCTCGGAGGCCATCGGGATTGCTCAATGACGACTCCTTCAAAGCACGAACGTCGTCTGAAGAAATGGAAAGAGTCCGGAGCAAATTTTGTAGCTCGTTCTGAAGCAACTTTTGGTTGGCCGTTTGCACCTGTAGACCCTGGGATTGCGTTTCGATATAAGCCACGTCATCGTGCAGAGTCTGTTACCTTTGTTAGCATATCACTGAAATGGTGGACGATGAAACCAGCGCTCAGGGATGCACGAGCAACTTACGTTGAGCTCATGGGAATACAAAGTAAGAAGATTGTCCAGCTCTTCACACTCCACGACTGTCTTGTCGATGAGTTTCGCAAGTTGATCAATCTTGCCCTCCTGCTGTTCAAGGTTACCAAGCCAGCTGGTAGCCTCCACGCGACCAATCTCTCGACGGATATCTGCCTCCAAATCTTCGATCTTCTTTTCGTCTCCTAGTCGTCCGTTCCAGCCGAGGTCAGTCAAAATATCGTCAAAGTCAATGCCACGCCCTTCAAGAACGGTAGGGTTGAGTCCGAGTGCTTGACAATACTTGATTGTGTTGTCCTCATGCCGCCTGCGGCGACGATCATGCGGCGAAGGAGATACGGATCTCGACCTTTCTGTATCAACTTTGACAGAAGCCCTTGACGTGTCTCTCGGCTCTGTGAGTACCTCAGTCGAACCAATCGTAGGCTCAACAGGAGCAGCTTGTGTCACTTCAACTGCGGGCGGCTCGATTCTCGGGGGCTCGGGAGGAGGCTGCACTGCTGGCGGCGCTGGCGGCTGCACCTCCTTCTCAGGGGATGACGATACTACTGGAGGAGTCTCTGCTTCCGGAGTCTCCGGCGAGGTCACCGTATTTTCACTGTTCGTCCGAAGCAGGAATGGAGCAGGCACCACGCTGGTAATTCCATCCGGTTCATCAGCGGCAGCCTTCTGCTTTTTCGCAGCTGCTAGAAGCCTCTCACCAGCACCACCAGGCCTCGGCTTGAAGGCCCCGTGAGCAGTGGCAGCTTTGCGAAATGCGCCTGCAACATCCTTGACTTGCTTCTTCTTGATCATCGGGCCAAGCCCAGGACGGTGTGCATCGGGATCGTTTTCTTCCACAGGCTCAGTGGCCTCCAAATCGCTAGGAGGCGGTGGTACTGCAGCAGCAGCAGTTTCTGCTATCGGCTCAATCGGTTCCGGATCCTTCGTCAAAATTGGCAGTGTCGGAGCTGTGGGCACCGGCGCCTCAGCAGACTCGACGGCTGGTGGGGCTTTGCTAAATGCTGAAGAGCCTGGCGTGAGTGCTGCTGGAACCTCGACAGCGGGAGTATTGATGGGGTTGCTCGGGGGCTCAGGCTCCTGTCGCGCTGCTCGTGCGGGCGAACCAATGGGCTTTTCGGCTGCTTCCCTCAAGGGTGATCTGGGACCCACGCTGCTTCCCGGACTATGCATAAAGGTATGGTTTTCCCCAGAAACCGACCCAGGAGTAGTAGGACGAAGACCGTCTGTACTGCGGCTGGGATGAAGATCATGGGTACGAAGTGTAGGCCTGGACTCAGGACCTTTCCGCCCATCGCGTGAGGATGGTGGACGGGAGTCAGGGAGGGGACTCCCCGACCTGGCTTCTTCAAAGCTGCCATTTGGCCATTCCCGCTGACCAGCAACAGGAGCGGCCTGCAAACTAGAGGGATAGTCCCTATTTCTCGGTTCCGGTGGAGAGATTATGGGCACCTTGGGCACCCTGGGTTCCGTGGCAAGACGTTCGGCTGCGCGTGGAGGTGGTTGTTCGCGCTGGTCGGGAGGCAATGGCGGGGGGTGTTGAGGGGGGCTAAACGGAGGAGTACCGCTTTTACCAGACTGGCCAGTAGACGGTCTCCCCATCTGGTCACGACTTCTTTGCGCTCGTAGGGCATGTTCCTCAGATGGTGCTGGTGGTGGTCGTCTTGGTCCATCGCGACTGGGCGCACGGCTAGAATACGGTGACTGAGGCCGGCTGCCCTGTGACGAGGGAGGCCGCGGGGGAGGCAGGGCCACTTCGGGACGCGGAGGACCTGAAGGAGGAGGACCTTTGGGGGCTGGAGGACCTGCAGCTGATCCACCAGCAAGCAGCTGTCGTTCACGGTCATCGAAGCCGATCAGAGTCGGCACCTTGCCGCCAGTGTACTTTCTGTAGATCTTGACGAGGCTGCCTATGAAAAAATCCTTCTCTTTGGAGGTCCGTGCATGCCAGTAGTAGGGCTTTCCAACGGTAACGATAAATCCAACATTGGCAGCCCACTGCTTGTGTTGTTGTTCTAACGGCGTGCTCGGGACCAAGGCGTTGTAAGACTGGATGCAGGAGAGATCATCCAACATCCACGTCTTGCCAATAGAAAATGAGCCATCATTGTTCTCGCGCGCCTTGTGCATGCGCACTCTGCCTGACCGTCTGACGGCGACAATAATCACTCGAGGTTTCTTGTTCTCGGGCGGCGAATTGGGTGGAGCGGGGGTGGACGGATATGCCGCATCTTCCAAAATGCGGACATGTGTTATGTAGGATTCGACCACTAGAAGGAAGAGGGGAACAAGTCAGCCTGACACCCTTTTAGGGGAGGAGCGTGGGAGACATGTACATACACGAGCCATCGCTGTCTTTCTTGCCAAAACAGCTATGAATGATCCGCCGCTTCTCATCCTCGAATTTCTCGGCCCTCGACATCGAGGCATCCCCGGGGCCGGCGTTACCGCCATTGCGACTATCACCAGCTCGACGAGGGTCTCTCTGGGGCGGCATCTCGCCAGGCGGGGGACCTCGCATGCGATCACGACTACTCATGGTTGCTAATCGATCTCCGAAAGCCTGGATCACTCAGGAGGTGTTCGGGGATCAAGTGGACATGGTCGGGAAGACGGGGGCAGGGATCACACGGAGCGCGCGCCGTGGGCGAGGACTGGGATGGTCAGTCAATCGGTAAGCTCCAACAAGCAAGACCGTAATTCATTCAAAGAGCAGGGAGATTGGTGAAAGGCGACGCCATACACGAGTTGGCGCAGAACCGAGTCCCAAAATCGACGGAAGGTGGAGGAGGAGAAGGGAGCCAGAGAGGTGGGATTAGGTCATTCCTTAGCCACTAAGCTACCGTTAACTTGGGAGGGTGTGAGAGCATGGGCTGGCGGCTGCGGATACGGCACCGAACTTAGTCTCGGCGGAGGTGGCAGCTGTTACTATGCAGTTATAAACACACTCCTCGCCAGAATTGATGAAGCGGCAGGTATCTATGCTAGATCTATGCCAGAATATATATATATCTTCACTGCAGTTTTCGCATTTAGGAGAGTCACAGTACCTGCTCCTGAGTAGGCCCCTATAAACCACCCGACACATTCGAGCTCGTACAGCATAATTATGTAATCCGATAGAGGCGTATGCATAAAGCGGGCACGGCCCACTTTGGTTGCCTGTGCATAAGCAACTAACTGTCATGCAGGATGGCCCGATTCCAATTTTGGATTCAGTGTAACCTCACTTCTCGTCTCAAGGAATCAACTACAAGACTTGCCCAGCCGCAGTACTGACTCTGGAATGCTTCATATATCGGTATCTAACATACTCATGCCTAAACTCCTGTTACGGTAGGCTGATCCAGCTTATTGGTACCACTGAGCTTACTATATACTACGTTGTGCAATTGGAGGTGAGGGCCAAACTGAGAGCTAGTACTACTGAGAGCAGCAAGTAAAATAGATCCACCACCACTGAGGTTCTGCCATATCGATTGGGTTCCCAAGAACAGCCTGCTAGTATGCAGCCTCCCTTGTATAACCTATTTCAGACAATCTCACTTACCAGGCACTCGTGCCGTCCCGGTCTGTCCGCTGTGAGGGGATTCAATGTCCTGTAGCTGAGCAACAACGAGTATTGTCAGCGGACCTTAATCCACTACTGGTATAGGGGAGGGATAATGGCGCACCTACCGGGCCGGTGAACGTCTTCCTCTTCCCTCCCCACCACCCAAAACCAATCAGAGCAACAAACCCTGCGAGTACTACACTCGCATAATTCATCTCGTGTACCGTGGTCGGTATCTTTAGAGGCAAACAAAAGAATACCAATATGACTGCCACCCAGAGAACAGCAACTGTATTACAGAAGAGTCCAAAATACTTTCCCAATGCGAAGGCTCTTCTCCCAAGGACGGCGTCACGTCCACGAAGCAGCACGATTGCTTGCGGGACTACATAGCAGATGTTGAGGGCAATTATGACTATCGATATGAAACTGTCAAAGGCTGTTGCTGAGCCAATGTATATCAGCCCGTACAGACAGATGAACACACAACAACCCAATGTGGCGTTCAGCGGCATCTCGTTTGTGATCTTACCGAAGAATGACGAATAAGGAAGACCACCAGCTCGAGCGAACGTGTATGCAAGTCGTCCCGCAGTGAGTAGACAGGACAACTCGGCTGCGCAATAGAAGAATATAACCCATGCAGTGAAAAGCGTGGCCACGACTGGGCTGGATGTTGCTTGTAAGTATGCCGTATAAATGGGGATTGGGGAAGATGCAACAGCCTTAAGATCGGTTGTATCGCGTATGGAATACAGGTTACCATGCCAGTCAGCACGGTAGCCATCATCGCGCGGGGGATATTGCGACCAGGGTTTGGGACTTCCTTTTCGAAGATAAACCGTTAATAGCGAGCTGAAGAACGAAGCCATATGGCAGCAGAGGAACTTACATCTGCTATATGGGTAACACTATCGACTGTTATGTATGCGTACATACATGTCCCAGCGCCTATTATGAAGGCTGTCCCGTCACTCCAGCCTGTATGGTTTTCATAGGCCAAGAACACAGTGTGCGCAGACTGTTTTTGATCTTGCATTGCTAACACCGTTATCAAACTGGTGCCGAAGGTGAGCAAGCTGAAGGTCATGATACAATCCTCTATAAGTGGGATAACACGAGGCAGGTAGCACACGACCACAGTCGAGAGGAGAACGATCGGAAGATAGATAAGATAGATTCGCCAGGCAGTTTCCGTGACGCTCGGACGGTGGACAGTCACCAGACCATTAATCATTTGCGCTTCTCAACAGATTATTCCCAGATCATACCTAGAAGAAATCATGTGATAGAATGAGGAAAGACTTACCACAGACTATTCCGTTGGATGTAGACACCGTGCACCAGGAGATCATAGTCAACCAGCCAACAACGAAAGAAACTGCGGCACGGTGCTTGGGCGCTGAAACGATGAAAGCAAAATGATATGGCCCTCCGCTAGTGGGAAATGCAGATGCCAACTCTGCAAGACCCGCAGCTATAGGCAATTAGATAGTTAACGTCATCTGCTAGAATGATGTAGGACATGCTTACTGATAAAACAACACGCTATCGAGGCAACACAAAGGCCAGAGAAAGCCGTCGGGCCCCCTCCCATCACCAAAGGTATCGATAGGATACCAGCGTAACCAGCCCATGAATTGGTGATGCTGTATCCCAAGGCCAATGTCGACAGAAATGAGAATTGACGAGGGAGTTCAGCACGGGCAGTGCCAGGGCTTTCGATATCAGACATCTCGGCAGCTGCCTTCTGGACCCGAGGGAGAAGACTCAGCAAAGACATCTTTAGTCCCATCATATAGAAAGCACCTTGAAAATGCCACATGGTTAAACAGATCGTAAGTACAGGTATAATGTTCAGGTTGAGTTCTACTAACAACAAATTACAGGTAATAAATTGACATGTGGTACGCAACGCGAACTGCATTGGGTGTTGACCATCCGCGAACGAATAAGATGATGTTTATGATGTTCAGGCCTTTAGACCTGCCCGCAAAGCACGCTAGAGATCTATCAACTAAAGTGGGGATGATTGACTTGTTTAAAAGGTAGTTGCATTACGTTCAGGTTTGTTCCACGGATAGTCATGCAGGTTACTTTGCCTGCGCATTACCCTACTGGGAACTGTAGACGGCACAATGATTAGTCTATCCTCGTTACTGATAACGCAGACTTTCCAAAGATCTTGGGTTATGTCTTCACGCAGGAATTGAAAATCTCCGAAGTCGCACCACGGAGCTTACCGTCTAGGGCACGTGTACTTTGTGGCGAGATTAACTTCGCAATGTCGTACAATACCTAGGGATATCTCATAATTGATCAACTGGAGTCCAGCTATACAATGTTCACGATAAGGGCAAGATAAGGGGAAAGATCAATTGGGTGGATACTAATAGTAAACGCAAAAACATTGAGATCAGAGGAGAGAGTATCAAGTTACAAACACCACATCGATAGTGAAAGTGGAAGACATATCAACCCCAACACTCATATAGACTAACCAATCAACGAAAACCGCGCGGCTTCATCTGCCGTAGAGGCGACATTCCGCACAGTCCAATCCCACAAGTCGTCCTGCTTGTTCACATCATAACTCTCCTCGCTGGAGCGGATCTGCTTCCTTCCCTCATAATAAACTCCACTACTCGACGAAGCCTCCTTGCCACTCGCCAGCCAAGCCAGATTAGCCCCAGACGCCTGCGGCAGCCTGATATTCGGTGTTCCCAGCATCACACGCAAAAGCGGAATAACACGAGGGAAAATCACATGCCAGAGAAAGCGCAAGACGGGGTTCGCTTCACGGACGAGCCCAGTCCCAGGCATGAGACCAGGATCAAACGCAACAACAGTCCACGACTTAAGCCTCGCATCTTTCGACTCACTGAGACGCCGATGTAGCGCGTACACCCAAAGAACGTTTGCAAGCTTGCTGGTTGAGTAACGCTGGCGACCGGGATTCTGGGCTGAGCTCTTTGTCGGGTGAGCGAGATCCTCCGCACTGGTGTACTTTGCGTCGGGGAGGCCGGTCTCTTGTGCCGGATCATGTGTGCCGCTGGAGGTTACCACTATCCTTGCTGTGTTGGCGAGGTGAGGAACCAGGAGTGAAAATAGAAGGGCGTGGCCGATGTGATTGATGGCGAAGGTTTTTTCGTATCCGTCTACTGTGTACTCAACTGGACCGGGAAACTGTAGGCCTGCATTGAGGAGTAGGTATTGGATGGGAGGGTATTTGTTGGTTTCCCATTGCTGGACGAAGGATCGGACCTTGGATAAGTCGGAAAGGTCGAGTCGGAGGTAGCTGACGTTGCTTTGGCCCAGGAGTTTGTTTATAGATCCGGCAGCATCTTGAGAGTCAGATCGAGATGCAATTATAACTTGATAATCGGGGAACTGGCGGGCAAGTTCTATGGTGCAGTAATAGCCCAGACCGGCGGTACCTCCGGTGATGAGGATGCTTCGCGAATAGGACATGGTTGTCAAAAGGAAGAATGAGTTTGCTATCTTTCTCTGAGGCGAGCTGATGCCATATTTATGTTTCAATATCTCGGCGTTAGGAACGGAGATATACAATCCATGCCATCAAAACTATGACCCTATCTAGGGTTGGATGAGGCAGCACTGTTCCGCTTCGGGAATAGCGGGAACGGCACCGTCGATATCTCGAGGCGCCCATCTGGACCGGCCAGTCATCTATAAGACCGGCCTTGACTTGAAGGATCAGAAGATAATCGACGCTGCCGTTCCATGCTAGTTGCTCATATCAGCTGTGGCCGAGATGGGCTGGACTGCAAATATCGCATCTCCGTCTCAGCCGGATGACCCGGCCCCATCCCAGTTGCTGCACTATCTTCCGGATTACCAGGTTGTCATCTGCAGTGCCTGCCGATATGCTGTCCAGCCTCATGGGATTTTGCGTCATCTGAAAGAGATTCATCGCATACTTCGTGGCGGCCGGCGGAAGTACTCTCATTACGTTGCCAGCCTTTCCCTTAGAGAGCCAAACGATGTCGTACCCCCCAGTCGCGCTGATCAGTTCCCGGTCCCATACTTACCGGTCGAGCCCGGTCTTCAATGCCAGTCAGCTGGTTGCAAGTACCTATGTGCTTCTAACAAGCGCATGCAGTCCCACTGGAGGACTATGCATGGGCGAAAGGCCGATTGCACCACAGACTGGCGTACAGTTCCCCTGCAGACTTTCTTCCGCGGCAATCACCTGCGGTACTTCACTTCTGAGGGTGCAAAGACCAATCATGCTTTATCAGACTCTGTGGTTTGGGGCCACACACTAGAGTTATCAGAGAACCAGCTCCACGCAGGCCTGGACTCCATGGACTCTGCTCTTCTGGACCACTACCTCCGACACACATACCAAAGTTTCACTACCAACCAAGAGACAGACAAAATATGGCGCCTGGTTGTTCCGGAACTAGCATATAAGAATGTGTTCCTTTTGCATGGCCTACTGGCCTGCACAAGCTTGCACAGAGCGCACATGAGCTCTGGGCACACGAACCAGGAAAAGGTATTCCTCCTAAGAGCCTACCACCACCAGGAGATTGCTCTCCCGCAGTTTCGGTACGCTATTGAGCATCCTACGGAGGATAATTGCCATGCCATTCTGGCATTTGCACATCTGTTAGTGGTATTCTCTTTTGCCGCCGATCAGCCTAGGTGCTCAAATTCAAATATGGGCACGGACTCATTGTTCCTAGTGGATCGGAACAGTGGCGAAGGCAGTCAACCGGATAGTATTCTCTGCAAATGGCTATACTTTCTCCGCGCCGGCTGCTCTATGCTGTGTGAAGTATGGGAGCAGTTGAAAGAGGGGCCCGTCAAAGCACTTTCGGAGGCCTGGGACATTGACCTAGGTGACGACCCGGATCTCTCATATCTGGAGCTTTTTATGTCAATGATTCCAAACGAATCAGCTGCCATACATGAAACCGGCGATGTCAGTGAGACCAGTCTCGTTTGGCCCGAAGATGTGACGGCCATTTACCGACAGGCTGCCATTGAACTGAGCCGATCATTTTCGTACGTGCATGCCCACCGCGGATTACTTACTACTTGGGATGTTCTCCGCATATGGCCCATGGAAGTGTCGCTAGAATACATGGCTCTTCTCCACCAACGGCACCCGGGAGCACTTATATTGCTAGCGTACTATTGTATCCTGTTGAAGCAAATGGAGAGACACTGGTACTTCGAAGGGCGCGCGGCAATGCTAATCTGCGCCATTCAGAGACATTTGAAGCCCGAGTGGCATGTTTTCATCCGAGAGCCATTGCATACGGTTCTAGGAGTACCTGATGGTGGCCATTTCCTTGGGGAGCTTTAGCCGCCCCTACAAGCAGTTGGGGGAGCATTCCGTGTCAGACGGCGTAGATTTGATATTGCTTCCATCAGCAGATTATACCATTCACGGGATTCGCCGCTAAATAGCCGTATGAAAAAGAAAATATTAATACGTCAGGGATTAACCTTCCGGATGTGTCAATTACAAATTTGACTTGGTTTTGACTTCACCCTTAATGGGAGAAACAATCCACCAGCCTTCGGTCGAGTATCTCCAGTGCCTGGCACGTGACCGTATCGTTTCACGGAACCAGAGTCACGTGGATTCCATGTAAAAAGTCAGCTGAGCAATCACGGATCGCGCCTGACTGACCGCCTTTGATGTCTTCTGCTGTTTTTTCTTTCTTTTTTTTCTGCCTCGCCGATAAAGGGAAACTTGAAAACATCCCAATCAACTTCGTCAATTTCACAATTTGCAGCGTTTTTGTCAGACAGTCATCATGGCCGGTCAGAAGTCTAAGCAGGCGAAGCCCGCCAAGGCGTCCAAGAGCAAGGAGACTGTAAGGCAATCCGACCGACCTGTTTGTTGTATAGATAGGCAATACTGATCAAGTTCATGGATTAACCAGCCTGCTCCTCCCGCTCAACTTGTCGCCGCTCTCAGTGCTTTCTTGAGCGAATCTGGTTTCTCCAAGACCAAGGAGGCTTTCACCAAAGAACTTGCCAGCAAGTCGATCGACTCTGATGCGAAGAATGTGCCGTCCCTGCTTGAACTGTACCAATCCTGGGAAAAGTCCTCCGAGAAGTCCTCCGGTTCTAGCTCTTCGGACAGCGAGAGCGAGAGCGACAGTGGAAGTGAGAGTGGAAGTGAGAGTGGAAGCGAGAGCGACAGCGAAAGCAGTGACAGCAGCTCCGACGAATCCAGCGATTCTGATGTCGAGATGAACGACAAGTCCGAGTCCGACAGCGATAGCGACTCCGATGACGAGGAGGAGAAGAAGAAGCCTGCTGCTCCTGCTGCCAAGTCCCAGGGCACCAAGCGCAAGGCCGAGTCCAGCTCCTCCGAGTCTGATTCCGAATCTGAGGCCGATGAGGCTCCCAAGTCGAAGAAGACCAAGGTGACTTCCGCCAAGGAAGAGTCTTCTGACTCGGACTCCTCCGACTCTGAGTCCGATTCTTCCTCTTCCTCTTCCGAGTCTGAAGAGTCCTCCGACTCGGACTCCTCCAGCGACGACTCCTCCAGCTCCTCTTCTGAGTCCGATTCCGACTCCGATTCTGATTCGGACTCTGACTCTTCCTCTGACGACGAGGACGACAAGAAGGCCGATAAGAAGGCCCTGAAGGCTGCTACCAAGACCCCTCTGCCTCCGTCCGAATCTAGCTCCAGCGGCTCTTCCCCGTCTTCTTCGTCCGACTCTGACACCACCGGAACCGTCAGCAACTCCGACTCTGCCCCCAAAGAGCAGTCCAAGTCTGCCCAGACATCCTACTCCAGCAGCGCCAGCCCTGCTCCCGGCAATGGCCCCCAGAAGAAGAAGCACACCGGTGCTCGCCCCACTCCTCTGGCTCAGCTGAGTGAGCTCCCCACCGACCACCTCCTCTCGAACGACTACGTTCCCTACGCCTACGCCGAGAAGGCCTGGCAGGATCTGTCGGTCACCCGCGGCAAGGGCTTCACCAAGGAGAAGAACAAGAAGAAGCGCGGTTCTTACCGCGGTGGTCCCATCGACATCTCGGGTGGCAAGTCCTTCAAGTTCGATGACTAGGTCCGCGATACTATTTTAGAGATGGAGACCAGTTTCGCTTCCTGATATAGGGGGACAACTCAGACATACCTACAGCTTTTACATGCTCGAAAATATGGGTATACAAAAAGTCTTATTCGCTTATGATTCCATCCATATAGATCTATATGCAGCCTAGATGGGTCACTGAATCATTTTCTACAGCAAGGCGCTACTGGAGCCCGGTCGGATTGCTTTCTTTCAGCTTTTCTTTTTGCTTGTTGCTTCACGCTTCTTCACCTGTATGTACTATCTACTTACATCATCTAGATCTTTAGAGGTGTTAAACATGTATTCAGATATGCTTGCATTTTCATGTTAACCCTAGACTTTGAAGTATTCGTACAAGTCATACTCGTGGTGGTAGATCGTAAGCATGAGCCTCTTCCTAAGATCGATTCAGATTCATCCATGCATCCTGCCATGAACTACAGTCCCCAAGTCCAGCTAAAGGACTATACCCAGTCAAAAATGCAGGGCTCATGCGTTTCCAATGGAACATGTCTCCTTTAAAACCTCTCTGCGCAACATAGCACGGAAGGGAGCACCCAGTACACACACCATATACAAGCCCCATGCCCCCTTCCTTCAGTCTAAACCAACATCCTCCCCCTATCAACAACTACTCTCCTATCAATCAGCCCGTCTCCACGCCCCCGGTTTCTCCAACCTCTCCCACCTCCGATCCCACCCCGTGATCTCCTCCGCAAGACCATCCTCCACCCCGACAAACACAAACGGCTGCTGCGTGCGCAAAGTAATAGAAGCAGTGGTATCCTCAGGGCGCTCGTAGCCCGATAAATCCAGGACTCTGTCGGCAGAGCGGGTGTGTGCAACAGTGTTGTCGAGACGCACACCGTTAGAGAGCAGAAGTGGCTCCCGGTACCAATCCTGACAAGGGCCGAGGAGGTCATCCGTAGAGGCGAAGTCAAGGCGAACGACGCCATCCGCGACGCCAGTGTAGATAGTTGGTGAGGAGGAAGAGGGCGATGTCATGCTGTAGATTGCACCGCGGTAGGAGCGGGTGTTGTGGCGGCGACGGCCTTGGGGTCGGCTAGAGGGCGGGTGGGCGGAGAGGAAGATGGAGATGTCTTTGCGGGGGAAGGCGATGCTATTGTTGGTTGGGGTGAGTGAGAGGCTTGAGAGGCTGTCTACGATTGGTTCGCTGTTTTTGAGAAGGGTTCGGGAAGGGCGTGCATCACGATAGCTGTACGTGTCATGTTTGGGCATGCGTAAATCGAAGATCTTGACTAGGGCGTCACCGCCGGCGCCGACGACGAAGCGGTCGTGGCCGAAGGGGTGGATGCAGTAGATGGGGTTCTGGTCCGTGGTATCACGGTAGGTCTTTTCGTATTCTTCGTTTGAGCGGAGGTCGTGCAGTCTGAGGGTGTTAGCATAGAGCGTGGAATAATGGGGATGGGGTGGTTGTACCTAACAGCTCGATCACCCCAGGCTGCGAGGAAGACTTGTCCGGTGGGATCGAGTGGAGCAATGGCGTTGACGTTGGATCTGATGGTCGTATCGAGATTAAGTCTTTCGAAATCTACCAGCTCCACATTGAGCTCACGACTTGGTGATAGACCTTGTGGCGTGATGGCGGAGATAGTAATTGCATCGTGGATGCGTCCTGTGCCGACTGCGAATAGAGAGGGCGAAAGGAACTTGGAATACTTGTGGCGAGAACTGATGGTTGCATTGTTGCTAGAATCGGCATTGAGACGAGCAAATGGGTAGACTTCCGCCTCTCCAGAAGTGGTTTTGAAGAAAGATATCGATCCGTCGCTTAAGTGGGCAGATAAGATCGGGTCCTTTCCGTCACTCATATCTGTTCTCTCTATGCCTCCTCCGGAGGTCATGAACCGCTGCTTGTAAATATGGCAGGCGCTGTTAGGGTCGATAGAGAGATGGAAAAGCTCTCCGCGCGCTCTTGCAACGACTATATGTTCAGTCTGGGGCTCCTTGGAAGGGTGTCCAGGACGTAGAATATGGACACCACAGATGTCATCATGGCTGCTGATGTGATCGAGATCATTGAAGACCACCCACTTCCCCTTTGAATTGGGGCCAGGTTCAGTGATGCGCAGGACTAGTTCATCTGCCGCGCCCCAGGCGAGCACCTCCTTCCGGTCGTTCCACGAAGAACTATTCCAGACTTCATACGAGTCCAAAGCAGGGCGATATCCGTGAGTAGGATTGTCACGTCGTGTTGAACTATGGGATCCGACCTTGACTGCTTCTGAGGCAGGTACGACAAATCTTCCGACGACTGCGTGTTTGTCTAACGCTCGAGAGCGAGATGTGAGTGCCTGAGCGGCCTCTCTCCAGATTTCGGGCGTTTCCACACCAGGAAACTTGGTCTCGACGAAGGACCTGAAGATTCGCCAATCTTGAGCAGCGACAACGTGGTGTAGGCGCCAACAGGTCCTTGACAGATTCACAAGCGCGCTGGCAGATGGCAAATAGCTTGTAATAAGCTGTATAATCTCTGGGGGAAGCTCTGCAAGCATATTGCGGGCCAGGTTAAGACTGTCTTCTGTGCTAAAGTAGATAAATCACAAGAATGACGTAAAAATCTCTGCCGTCACGTGTGTCAGTCAAAGTGAGTTGTCAAGATTCACGAAGGTATAGAGGAAGATTCACACATTTACTGATCTAAACAACAACAAGGGAATGCTCTAGGAAGGCCAGGTGGTGGTGGTGGTTGCATGAAGGAATCGCCATGGCGATTCTAGACATTGTGCGCCCCGTCCCATCTATCGCCGCGGTAATCTGCAGAAGTGCGTGAGGCCATCAACGTGATCCGTGTATCAACATTCTTTGCTGTAGATATGTTTGCTAAGTGTTACAATAGGCTAGTGACTAGTAGGCACCCTCAAAATGAATTCTGAATGCTATGCTGTGAGAGATGGCACAGCATGTAGATGTGGATGGTGGAGGAAAGTGGCTGGAGAGGCCTTATGTCATCCGGTATCTTATCGCTCCTCGGCTCTTCTTGGTTCTTATCGGCAATCCAAACTTTCTGAGTGGTGGAGGCCATTCATGAGGAGTTGGAGAAGCTGGAGATAGACGATGTTACCCCATCAATGCTGTGACTCACGCTCTTCGGCTATATATCTGGGCCTATCCCGGGCTTTGATATGTCTCCTCACATCTAGCCCGATGTTTATTTCCCCCCTGCGTGGAGTACGCCTCTGCCCTAGTTCCCCGGCTCATTCGTAGCACTCTTCTTTATTCATCAACCAATTGGGCTTGCGGAGTCAAGCGAAACTTACTCACTGCTCATATGACACCTCGAGAGTCCCAGGTTCTTTGAGCTGAGTGACGATAATACAACTATACTCCACTCGCGCATTGACTTCAAAATTTACATCTCCAAGCACCGGACAACATGGCAATCTCAGCCGTTACTCTTGCGGCCACCAGCTTCTGTATCCTGCTGCTGGCCTACAAACTGATCATATACCCCGTCTTCCTGTCCCCGTTGTCCAAGATACCCAATGCACATTGGTCAGCCCCAATCTCGCCAGCATGGATTATCTGGAAACGGTATAAAGCACAGAACAATAGGACCATACAATCCGCACATGAAAGGCTAGGGCCTATTGTCCGGCTTGCACCATCCGAAGTCTCCGTCAACTGCGTAGATGGGGGCATCAAGTCTATCTATACGGGTGGATATGAGAAGCACGAGTGGTACCCCCGTGTATTCGGCTCTTTCGGGTAAGCATGACCCCCACAGTGAGTGCATGCGAGGACTATACTGACAGCTCTACTCTGCACCATGGTAGAACCGTTAGCATGTTCACCATGACAAACAACAAAGCCCACTCTACCCGCAAAAGAATGCTGTCCAACATATACAGCAAGTCATTCTTGCAATCATCACCCCATATCCACCTCATCTCCGAGACAATCCTGCTCGACCGTCTCCTCCCCATCGTCCAAGATGCCGCCTCATCAGGCTCACCCATTGAAATGCATGACCTCGATCAGGGCATCACAATGGACTTTGTGTCTGCCTACCTCTACGGCCTAGCCAACGGGACCAACTTCCTCCAGGACGAAGCCTTCCGCCGCAAGATCCTCCGCCTCTACCAAAGCAGAAAGCCATTCGAATTCTACCACCAAGAAGTTCCCAACCTTGTGTCATGGACAAAACGGCTCGGTCTCCGCCTAATTCCCAAATGGTGCGACGAGGCCAACGAAGTTCTCGACGCCTGGGGCCTATCCTTCTGCGACAAAGCAGACGAATGTCTCAGCTCGACCCAGCTCAACACAGAACCAATGGTCTACAAGCAACTGAAGCAAAGCATATCGAAGCAGCTCCCGCCCAAAGAAGCAGCATCCTACAACAAACTCATCGAGCAACAACGCCTCGACATTGCCTGCGAACTATACGACCACCTCACAGCCGGCCACGAAACCAGTGCCGTAGCCCTGACCTACCTCTTTTGGGAACTCTCCAAGCACCCGGACCTCCAGTCCGCCCTCCGCGAAGAACTCCATACCCTAGAACCTAAGATCCTGTACCCCCGTCCATCATCCTCCCGAGACCTCCCCACCCCCAAGTCCATCGACTCCTTGCCCCTCCTCGACGCTATCGTAACAGAAACCTTACGCCTGCATGCCCCGATCCCCGGGATCCAGCCCCGAGTCACCCCGTCCCCTGGATGCACGCTAGTCGGGTATAGTGATATCCCCGGGAACACGCGGGTCAGTGCGCAGGCGTACTCGCTTCATCGCAATCCAGAGGTCTTTCCTGAGCCTGAGACGTGGCAGCCGAAGCGGTGGCTGAAGGATTGTAATCCGTCGGAAGTGCTGGAGGAAAGAAGACGCTGGTTTTGGGCGTTTGGAAGTGGGGGGAGGATGTGTGTGGGGAGTAATTTGGCTTTGCAGGGTATGTATAACTCTCATGGAGTGGTTGTTGTTATGGTGAGATGAAGCTGACCAGTGATTTTAGAGATGAAATTGGTAGTCGCGGCCATTTACACCAATTATTCGACGGCTATTATTGATGATGAGGATATTGAGGCCATTGATGCATATACCGTCAAGCCGAGGGGGGAGAAGCTGGTCTTGAAGTTTGAGTCTGTCGCGTAGTTCTACTATGTGTTCTTTCTGGTAGCTATTCTGGTATATAATGTATGACCTTCCTGTGCTTCTTTACTATTCTACTGCAAATCCAGCAGTACTCAACTCTACAGAGCAATACAAGACCAGATACTTCGGAAATAATTGATAGCATACAACATCCACATAATAATATACAAAAAGAACCCGCCCACCTACCCTCAACACAGAATCAAAACTGATGCGGTAGGTAGTAGCTATTACAAACCCAAAACTCCATATAAAAAAATATTTTCTCTCTCCCCTTTCCCCCACGGGGAAGCCCTCACTTCCTCCATACCACCACACCACCCAATCATCACATCCGGCAGTGTGTAAGTAGGTAGATCATATGCCCGTATGCAACCGCTCGAAAAGGTATTGAATCACACGCAAACAATGTAGTGTATATTGGCCTGGTACTTAACCCAACACACCATCCTTCTTCTTGGGACCGACGACCTTGGGGAACATTCTCATGAGGTGGTAGTTGATGGGGTTGCGTCTCTGGGTCTTGGGTTTCTATATGGTGGAGGAGATATGATTAGCACGGACCCAAGACAAGCGCAATCCAGAATTGAGAGATATCTCCTTCTCCTGAAAGTTTCGAAAACAAGGGAATGGAAACGTACAGGAGCATCCATGCAAGATCTCAATTGTTGTTCGAGAATCGCGCATCCCTCGTGGGTGTAGCCCTGGGAAGCCCAGCAGCCTGATCAATTCCTTCATGTTAGCCATATTCTCCGAACCACACCGAAACTCCTTGGAGTAGTTGTAGTACTCACTCAGCATAGACGACATCACCGCAACGCAGGTATTCGGCTCATTGGTGTTCGGACGCCGGACGCGCAGGTGAGGGATGGACTGCAGACGGACCGGGTTGAGACGGGTAGAGACTCCTTTCGGGGGCATGATTGCGATTGGTGACTTTGTAGTTTCTCGAAAACAATGGTACAGGGAGGGGGAGAGATAGCGACAACGCAGCCGGTGACGATGCGGACAACCAAAAGTTGACTGAAGGCTTGGGAGGTGCCAAGACTTTTTCGGCGATTTGCCCGCCGCGGAAGTGTCTGGCTGATGTAATCACCGCGGCGAGTTCAGGCTGGTAACTAAGCTGGTTTGCTCCTACTTCTTCAGTTTCTACTATATTTGAAAATTGGTTTGCACTTTGATCGGAGACAGAGATGAGCAGAAGGCATGTGAGCGCTTTTTACACTAATACGGTCGCGCCGGTATGTGCGCCGAGACGTCAGGTTATTATACCCTTATCGAGATGCTTCTCCGTTGGGAGCGTGCGGCGAACTGCGGCGAGTTCGAAGCCGGGCGAGCAGCATGAGAATACCAAGACACAAGATGAGACGAAGGAGGAGGAACAGGGGGCTATGGCGCGGCGACTGTCGGATATGACAGAGCAAGCCATGCTGGAAGGAGGCCGGTCCGCGCAGAGAAACATGCAACAGGCGGGGTTCTCGGACGAGTTGAAGCAGCGGCTAGAGGAGAGGGTGGCGGCGGCGGCTTTTAAGAACGAGTATGCGACCGCGCACTCAATTGTTGATATGCCGGTATGCTCACTAAATGGACATCACATATTCGATAACGACCAGGTACTAACAAGTCCCAGTCAAGCGCGGGTCAAGGAACGCGAGACATCGCAGGCGCTCCGGCATGGACCGGAACAGAAAACTCCCACGACATTACGCTACGCATGTTAGACGACTCCAAGAAGCGCATACGCACACCATACAAGATCCCCCAACCAAATCCGGTCGACATGCGAATAAGCCCGAAGCCCAAAGAGTCCGCCGGATTGCGTCTAGCGAAAGCCCGAGAGCGCACGGCAACATACTCCCTGAGCCAGAGCGAGGGTATATCAGAGGACGAGCGTGAAGCTATGCGTCGAGAGATGCGGGAACGGTTCTCCTCCGGGGCACGACCGATGCCGGCCACGCTGCAGGGGTTGTCAGCGCTTGCGAACGAGCGGATCGAGGATGCGATGGCGCGCGGTCAGTTTAACAGGATAAAGAGGGGTAAGGGTGTGAATACAGAGACGGATCACCGAGCCAATAGTCCATTTATCGATACCACCGAGTACTTCATGAACAAGATGATCCAGAAGCAGGAGATTGTGCCGCCATGGATCGAGAAACAACAGGACCTAGCTAGGGAGGTTGATCGGTTCCGATCACGTCTGAGGGCAGAGTGGCGGCGACATGCGGCCCGGCTGATTGCCAGCGAGGGAGGGTCTCTGGATATACAGATGAGACGGGCTGATGCGTATGCCGCGGCGGAGGCTCGACTGGCTGAAAGGGCCAAGATAGAGCAAGCGTTCCGCGAGAGCGATAGTGCGAGTAGTTCCGGAGGGCTGGACTCTTCAGACGGAGCTACGCAGAGCTCGGATAGTACAGTTTCAGGGCCGCAAGAGGATAAAGATCCTTTACCCTATGTTACGCCCCTGCGTGATCCGCAATATATGAACACAGAGCGCTCGTTTCTTGAACTGACGATCAAGAACCTCAATGCTCTTACTCGGACTTACAATCTTCAGGCTCCTCCGGTGGCACAGAAGCCTTACCTCAATCTTGAGCGTGAGCTGGCTGCATGTTATGCGGAAGTGGCTCCAAGCTTGGCGGAGGAAATCAAGCGGCGTGCAACTGAACGAGCTCGTCCAAAGAATTCGGGGCCTCAAGCTGCGAACATCCTGGAGTCTCTGAGCACATCGAGTAAGGTGCGTGTATATGAGGAGGATCAGGCCAAGGGCTATGGGTTCAAAGAATTCTGGCGTGACCTTTTCTCGAAGAAGGAATAAACGTTCAGAGAACTTGTATATAATGAAGACGATGTGCTGTGTATGATACTCTACCTGAATAATAGATATGAGTGATACCGTTGAGCAAAAGACAAAGACGACTATCCATCTTACACGGCAATCCGCGACGTTCTCCATTTCATCTAACAATATCCCGCTATCTAAACCCAACTACCTCAACCAATACCTAGCATCGAAGTCGTCGTCTCGACACATACTGCCAAACTATTACTTATTTGTTTGATCACGGCATCAGCGTCAACAACCCTATCTATCTCACGTCTTCAACGGCGGCGCCTAACCATCCTATACCTGTACCCCAAGCGCCACACCGCGTACAACCCGCGAATCCAGACGACCGCCAACAGCACATTACTCGCTGTCCCCAGTATTCTCAGGAAAAATGCGATTCGAGCATTCGACCAGAAATCCATCAAGTGATGTCTAAGATAGAGTCCCAGTACCCAGGAAGCAAAGCCGTATATGAGCGCAACTGATGAGATCAGGAGAGCATCTCTATACCGATCCTCCCTCGTCGAGTGTGATATCTCTCCTGGTGTGCGAAGTGCCCGATGCAAAGGTACCTTCATCCCATGCCAAGCGCTAGCGTAGCAGAACATGATGAATATCATTATCACTACGGCGCCCAGCTCATCGTATATTTCTCTCCGCTCCGAATTAACCAGTGCTCGTTTTGTGACAGTGATGTTGGTCTCGAACGCTCGCTTGAGTATTGATGTACATCGCTTCAGCGGTGTCATAAAGTCGGTCCAGGCGGTCTTGGAATGGCCTTGGGGCCATGCTGCTTGTGCCATGTCTGGATTGGTGATTGAGGAGGAAAATTGAGGTTTTTGCTGTGCGGTTAGGTCTCGGTAGTTGCGTTGCTGGGTGAATGGTAAGGAACTCTCTGATCAGTGTGCTAGGACAGTATGTCCGTGAATATTATGAATACTGGAATTCAAAGGATTGTGTAACTATGTCTTAATGGATGCACGTCAAATGATGACATGATGAAGAGGATGTTGTCGCTATCGCAGACGTATAAGCACCGGGTGTACATTACTGGCCATCATGGGAGGTACTAGTCAGTGATTTGCGCCTTCCTTATACGAGCTGAGCATGACAATTGGGTAAAGTAGGGGAAAGCTTCTGAAACTAACCTGCTCATAGCTGTGCAATTCCTCGCTGCATTATTTCCAATATTTTCCACATAGCAAAGCATTATATAGGCTATATGAATGTCTATTGCCACTATAGCTCCAGTAAATGATCTCTCCTGGTCCTGATGGATATAATCAGCTAAAGCCAGAGTGTGGTGAGTGCTTTCATCTTGTGCTCAACGGTTGAAACTCAGGGCTTTAGATAGCTACCGTGTATATTTCGCACTATTATCCGAGCCGATTTTCAAGAACAGATAGTGTCCGCGGGCCTTGAGGGGGGTGGGTGAGAGAGGAGAGGGGGAGAACGAGATGTGAGAGACAGGAGGTGAGCCAGTCAGCCTCCCCATCTTCATCCTTCAGAATGAGCTCATAGTCCACGGCTGCTCAATCACTCTGCTGCTTCTTAGGCTCGACACATGATGATGCTCATTCCGATTTGATATTCCCTTTTGTTGGGTCTAATTTTGAACATCGAATGGCAATTGTATACCACCCAAACAGCTGGTCGTATTCAACAGGCAAGTTCCACCTCATCCAGCAAGACGGCCCTGTCATTGCCGGAATGAATAGCCAAAGACAGATTGTGCATTGCAGTCAGCGACTACAAAGTTCATACTTAAGCAGATGGCTCTTGTGCTAAACAAGAGCTCGTGGATCTTCGTCTTCGGAGCCCCGTTTCTAGGTCTCTCGGTAGAGTGATTCCCTCGCTTTCATTTCTGGTCTATGAGTCCTCGTGAGTGTCTCTGTTAACTTCTGATTAGATACATACTTAAAATGCACCCCTTAAAGGTCATCTACACGCTCTTGACCCCATACTATATACATCTGGTTCTGCCTGTCTGAAACATGCCATCAAAATGTCGCACCACGAGTAGCCCACTCAGCTTCAATACAAGCACACAAAAGTACCAATCTATTACCAATCACGACGATCTTAAGATAAGTTTTAGAAAGCGAAACAACTTCGGAAATGACCTCAGTGGAGAACATCTCGTCAGCAATATGAAGCTGCCGTTGCAATTCGCACGTCCACGGCTGATCAGATCGACAACCAACCATCGAGTGGTTATTGTTCGCATTTGACAGGGAGTTTAGGTTTTCTAGGGCCTACTGTTACTGCAGCATGTCTGACGAGGTAGTCAGCGGAAATTGACTCGGACGTGATCGTGCTGTGACTCGACAACAGTGATACCTGCATACAGCGGGATGTGCTTGGAACAGACCCTGTAGTTTGCCTCGGGCACAGACAAACCCTATCCATGCCGCTACAGTCTGTCACAAAGCGCTAAATTAGCGGGAATTGATTCGAGCATAACTGCCAGTAGTCAACCGCCCGATGTGACGGGGTGTGCCGTGCATGCAGGCCCGGCGCGTAAATTGACCAACGGCCGTTGCGGGACGGCCGTCGCAGCAGATCACCTCTTCACACCATCACATCGACTTCCCCCAGGCCTCTCAATATACCGCTTCTCCCCTCTTTTCTTCCATCATGTTTCTCTCATTGCGCAAGGATTTACAGCCTTCAGACCAGATTCGATATGTCTGCATGTGCTACTTAATCGTCACCTTGTCTGCAATCACAAAGCTTCATCCCGACCCCATATAATGCCCTATCTGCTATTCTTTGCGCTCCTTCCCCGCCTCATTACTGCTGGCTCAGTATCCAAGGAGCAGTTAGACCCCGTTCGTCGGAACAGTTATCCCATCACTCCAGCCGTGGACGAGTCGCTCCTGGCCATCCAGATCGGAGGAATTGTCGGTGCATACGTGATCTTCGTTGCCCTACTTCTTTCGCTGCTTCTCTTCGTGGGCCGCCGTCTGCGACGAGCTGTCCTCTCCTCCAACTACTCCCTCCACGTCGAGATGATGAAGCCCATGAAGCCACCTCCCAGCATGGACCCCAGTCCCGTCACCCCGATCTCCGTCAACCTGCCCAGCCCGGGCCCTCGAAGCTTCAGCCGGTCCTGGAGCAGCCTCGGCAAGGGCCCTCGCTCCCACGCCTCAGAGACCACCACCAGCGTCGCCACGATCGACGAATCTGTCGTAGCAACTGACCGCCAGCGAGCCCAAGAGGATCTGGAAATGCTTTACGCCGCCGTGATGGAGCACGACGCCCAGAAGGAAGCTGCCGCCGCAGCCCGGGGTGCCAACAAGGACTCCTCCGATGGAGACGAAGCAGCAGAGAAAGAGATTCCCTCTCCAGACAGCATCCCCACAAATCCATTCGCAGATCGCTCTTCACACGCCTCCTCCAACAACTCCCCACTGAGCCCTCGATCCAGTGGCCGACTATCCCGCATCTCCTCCCTGTCGCTCTTCAACCTCAAGTCGCAGAACCAGCAGCAATCATCAAGCAGCAACAATAGCAGCAAACTGCGCTCTCCACGACCATTCCCTCTCCGCAAACTGTCCATCTCCTCCCCTGTCGCCTCCCCATCCTACCATGCCGACCAACCCCCCTTAACCCCAAGACACTACAACCCCCCACCCCGACCCCCAGCACCTCCTCTCCCAGTAGCAACAACACCAAGACAAAACCAACAACCATCTCTTCCTCAAATCAACACCCAACCTCCTCCTCCCCTTCCAACCCCGCGTCTTGAACCACCGCGCGCCAAAGAAAGATCTCCCCGCGGACCCGTTCCCCCACCCCTAACCCTAACCACTCCTACGGGCAGCAACACAGCCCACCAGCACGGACGCAGTCCATCATCATCACTGCCCTTCCGGGACGCTTACCCGCTACAGAGCGCGCCGGCCACGAAGCTCACGGTTCTGGAGAGGCCTTTGAAGCATATGAATGGGCCAAGGACGGGCGTGCCCACGCCATATAGTCCTTACATGCCGTTCACGCCCGTGACGCCATTGACGCCGAGCTCGATGATTACGAAGAGGCAGAGACGGCGCGCGGAGAAGGAGAGTGGGTTGAAGGTGTTGAATGAGGATGATATGGTTAGGGATGATGGGGATATGTGGGGGTATTAAAGTTTTTCTAACTCTTCGAATTTCAAATTCCTATCTGACACTCTGCTTTATTTCACTAGGTAGTGGGTTAGATCGGGTTGGGTTGATGTGAGGCGAGAGTGAATGGTGATGATATTTCCGGGGATTATACTGCTTCCGTGGTTATGTGATATGTGGTTATGCTTGGTTTTATGAATATACGAGTATTTATTCGAATTATGTTGAATGGTCATGTCTTTAATGTCAATTCAATTCTAGATTGGAGTAGAGTAGGGTAATTTGATTCATTTCAATTATGTAACTACTTGATCAAAGTTTATAAGTTTCTCCCGTGACATAAGCCATTGGATAGAATAGGTTTCCTTCTATTCGAATAAGGTCATGTTCGCGATCCCACATTCCCTATAGAACTTTTTGTAGGAGAAGTGCATGTTGTTTCCGTTGTTGTTGGAAGATACTTTTGAAATTTCTGATATTGTTTAGAACCCCAGACACTCCCTGAGGCTATATAGAGGCAAAAAAGAGATGTCGAGAGTTCGGAGAAAAGTAGCAGAAGTCATGGGGACCATCTGATGACTCTGGATAGAATCCTACCTAACGCAGTCGATCTATGCCCTCAAAGTGTCGCTGCCAATTACGGACACATCACATTCCTGTTGACGAAACAGTATGAACAAACTGACTGACTTTTCATCCGCCTTTCAGGCAACTTAACTTGACTAACTGACCGTAATCTAGCAAGTGTCTCGATTTACTTAGGCTCAAGTTTTTCGATACCTGCGACAGCATATTGATTACGCTGCGGAGGTTGCGGGTCATAGATCGAAATGAACTTTTTTCAGGACAGTATTATAAGTTACTTGGTAGGTTCAGTAAGTGAGTAATTGGATTTGTTCTGGTTTATTTATTATGATTTACTACTCTAGAAAAAAAGTCTTCCAATTTTTTTTAGGCTTCTACAGTACAGAAAGACAAGGTCATTTGACTTCTGGAGTCCACCACAGTAGTAGTTAGGTAAGTAGAGGTTGACGATCCGCACCGCAACCACAACCATAACCCTAATTAAATGCAGATACCAAACACCATTGAAAAGATAAGAAGAGATTCTAAAAAAAAGGTAGTGAAATAGTCGTATATACAATTCCCTGCGCCGCACCCCACCTCGTTTTCTTCGCTATAGTAATCTCACTCTTTAATGCTTTTCCTCTCTCTCTCTCTTCGTATGCAACACAATTCCTGCCATCTGCTTTAGTCCGCCAGTGCAATTAATTCTTACTGCTTCTGAGATATCTTACCTCTATCGGCATCACCACCATCAACCAGCACGCCTTCTAGAGAACAGGAAAGCTAAATAGCAGGACACTCCCACGTATCCCGCTTAATCTTCATCAAAGCCGATTGCTTATGCGGGAAAGTAACCTCGCCTTCTTTATAGAAGCCTGCTTCTTGAAGGTACGTAATCAACCTATTCATCTATCATTAGTATCTGTACCTGTATGCTTTATTGATTGAGAGATGGTATTGATAGTGGGGGCATACTTAAAATTATCCACCCTCGGCTCCAACATGACCGTCTGAGTTCTCGAATCCGCCAAGAAGCAATAATGCACCAGTGCACTCAACCAGATCTGCACGCGATGTGGGCCACGGTACTCCTGCTCGCCGATTAACAGGTGAATGCCGCGATCATAGTTGTCGGCTCCGCCGATTAACGGTCCCAGTCGGTCTTCCTTCACCCAGTACAGCTCGAAGTAGCCGAATGGCTTGCCATCCCAGCAGCCGATGACGGGGAAACTGTGTCTGCTGTTAAGGTTCGTGCGCAGAAATTTCTCCTGGTGCTCGATGGGCCCGGCTTCACCCCAGGAGGCATTGACGCGGGGGTCGTTCATCCATTTGTGCAGTAGGTCGAGGTCTGACGGCCCTGCGGTTAGGGGCTGGTCGAGACTGCTGGTGGAGTGGCTAGCGGAGTGGCTGGGGGTGGGGTTGTTGGATCCTGGGGCGCGTTTTTCGTGAGATGGGGGGATATAGGGGATGCGGAAGGAGAGGTATTGTTGCACGCTGGGGATGTAACGGACGTAGAAGACGTCGCCTTGGTGCGGCGGTTTGGGGCGGATGGGGTGTCGGATGCCGTTGGTGAAGGTGTATTGCGTGGGGGGTGGGGGGAAGTATGTGGGCAGATGGCTGGTGGAGGCAAAGGGGCCCTCGTTGGGGACATAGTGTGCGACCTCTTGGCCGGCTGCGTGAGCGAGATTGAAGCTCTCGCGCGAGGGCGAGGCCACGCGCTGGACAAAGGGAGAGCCGGACACTGATGGGGGGATGGTCTGCGGGCTCATGGTGAAGACGAACAGCCGGGGGTCGATCTGCCAGAAGCTGCGACGGCTGATGAACATGTTGGCCCAGCATTGCGGGTCATAGGGCTCTGCGCCGACGGACGAGTCCTCGGAGGCGATGAGGCCCATGCGCTCGAGCTTCTGGAGCAGCGTGCGACCCTTGAAGAAGCCTTCGCGCTTGATGTTTATGCGCCAGTCACCTTTGGGCTGGCCAGAAGGCGGGGTATTGGCGGAGGCGTCCGTCTGCAGACGACGGTCGGGTTGGGGTTCGTGGAAGTACCACCACAGCGTGACCCAGAGCATCATGGCGATCTGGCGAGTGGGGGAGCTGACCGGCTTGTAGTCACTGCTGGGTGGGTCGACAATGTAGGAGATGTAGAGGGAGTCATCGCGCAAGGTGGGGGTAGTGAAGCGCGTAAGGCGGGCACGCTGCTCATCATCGCCAGTCCCGCGAGTTCGACCACGCTCTTCATCGTTGGTGTCCGTGGTGTCGGGGTCTGGACGGTTTGTGGCGAGCACGATGCTCCAACCAGGAGGCACGATGGACTGGCTGGAGTTGACATCGTTGGATTTGAAGGTGAAGCCACCGAAGACGGGGGAGACACTGAAGCTCAGCCCGTTGGGCAGATGGCACACGTGATGGCGCATAGTTGCTGATTTGACTTGACTTTAAGCAGGGGAAGGGGGAAAAGAAGAAGAAGAAGAAGGAAGGGAAAGCAAGAGGAGGGAGGGAAGTAAGAGTAAATAGTCAATAGTAAATCGTAGTATCTAGACAGAGTGGGGGGGGGAGCAAAGAATGAGCTTGTGTGGGATGATGCGCAGTTGCCCCTCACTGGGTTTTTGACGATCGCGCGGCGCCTGCAGGAAACTCGCTTTTGGCTTTCACCGGCGCTGCAGAAAGAGATCAGCCCAGTTCGGGTGCTGTCCGACTGGGTAGCCACATGTTCCTGGGGTGCCGATGGATCCCCGCGGCAGCACGAGAGATGCAGAAGTTGCAGTGAGCTGAGGCAGCAGAAGCAGAAGCCGAACAAGAAATGAAGTCTAAAGAAAAGAAAAGAGAGACGATGGTTGATGTCATGTTCCGGGCGGTCAGCAAAAAGATTGTAATTGGGGCAGTTGATTGGCTGGGAGTGCATGCCTTACCCTATTTACTTTGATTTACTTTCGAATTTACTTGATAGTCTCACATTCGTTCAAGAAAAGGGAGACAGATAGAAAGATAAAAGTAGCATGAATTGAATATGGATATCATAGTCCAGCAATTACCTCCTTCCCGGTGCCCGCATCGTGATAGTTCTCCAGTAATTACTACATGAAAAGAAAGAAAGAAAAGAAAGAAAGCATTCAGAATTCCTCCAGCGTCGTGCCCACTCCCTTCTCCCGCGCCAACCGCACCAGATCGCCGCCCGTCACCAGATCCATCAAGCCCATCCCCACGCTCTTGAAGATCACATTCCCGCGCTCCACCCAATCCCGAAGACTCTTGCCATCTTCGCTGTTGTCGCCCTCCCCGCGCGACGCATCCCGCACAATCAGCAGCTCGCCCAGTTCCACCACCTGATGCGGCCGGATGCCCGCCTGCACAATCTCGCCGGCTTCCTTCAGCGCCGCATCCAGACTGTCCACCACCACCACGCCACTCCGTCGCACATGCTTGTGGAAATGCCGATGCGAGCTGTGCACCGTCACCTCGTCGCGCAGCAACTCAGGTGGCAGCTCCGTCATGTGTGGCCGATATGATCCAATCGCGCTGATCAGACGGCCCTTTCGGCGTCCGTCGCGCGATGTGAGGATTTGTGCAGGGAAGAGCGGTTCCGTCGAGGGCGTGCAGCAGAAGATCGCATCTGCCTTGAGCAGCGCATCGTGCAGGATGCGGTCGTACTCGACAAAGTCCGTGCTGACGGCGGAGAATTTCACATCGCCGCGCCAGCTGGCGTTCTCGGGGCTGTAGATATCCCGCAGCAGCTGGGCCGCGCGGTCAAAGGATCGGTTGATGATATACACTCGTTTGATGCCCTCTCCGCGCAGGATCAGCGCCAGCCGAATGTGCCAGTATGCCTGCTTGCCCGCCCCGAACACCACCACGGTTCGCACGCGCTTGCGTTTGTTGAGGGTCATGGTGGCGGTCAAGGCGGTGCGAAAGGGGGTGAGTTCATGAGCGTTGATCAATCCAAAGGGTAAACTCGTCTCGTCGATCAATGTCACTGATCCTTGTGGGGAGGTATCACGGGAGCCGGCGGCGGGCCAGGCACCCATGGTGTTGGACATTCCGGTGTCGATGGGTTGCTGGTTCACGCAGCCGGGGGTGAGCGATTTGCTGCTGGAGGAGGGAGAGGAGGAGGTATGGTCGTCGTCTTCTTGGGAGGACATGGACTGCTCGCTGCCTTCGGAGGAGATGGAGGACATGGACTTGCGCTGGTTGACTCGGCTGGAGGAGGAGGAGGTGGTGGTGGTGGTCCGGGAGGCTGCGGAGGACAAGTCTAAGGCTGGGTCGACGGAGCAGCCGGCCTGACTGTTATCTTGTAAGGAGATCATCTTCATGCCCAGGGTGTTGCCCGTGCTAGCGGGCATGAACAAGGTGGTGCAGCCATTCTGACGGGTGATGGCCGTGCGCGTGGGTTGGTAGGCAGCCGCACAGCCCTTTTCTTGGCTACCAGTGGAGTAGTCCCGCAGAGCATTGGAGAGGTTCTGCTGGAGCTCAATGATCTGGTCGCGAGAGAGCGACAGGAGGAGGGAGCGGAGTTGTGTTTGAGAGAGGATGGTGAGTGGCATGATAAGCAGTGTGATAAGAGATATGAGAGAGAAAGAGAGAGGGGAGGAGAGGAGAGTAATAGGAGAGAGGATGGAGGAGAGGGAGGTGGAGAAGAACTGGCAGGGCAGAGCAGGGGACAGTCCGGGAACAGCGGAGACGATGGGGGGGGAGTTAATATACTTATTTATTAGTATCTGGAGTACCTGCGATAAAGACACGGACAGAGAGAGAAAGAAAGTCGCGAAGACGCAAGCGGGCGGGTTCACTTCTCTGGGCGGGCGGACCGGATGACGACAATTCTCTCAGCCTCGGCGGGGCGTTGGATTAATACCACTGTTTATCTCCATAACAAGAGATAATAATCATATTATAATAATAATGAGAATTCTACTGAGAGTATAGCAAGTAATTGATAGTCCGGTCCATCAATTCCTAACCCTGATAGAAGGAAAGAGGGATCATCGGAACAAGCCAGTCGGGGAATTTGCTCGTGCGTCTATACCTGTAGTACTTTTAGTAGTAAGTAGTGATACACCATTACTATCATCCCAAAATCAACTCTCCTTTGTTGAATGATTTAATTGCCCAGACATTGGCATCTCCAACTACGTATCTGATACATACATAACTCCCCAATTACACACTTCGAGGCAATTCTGGCGAATTCGATACTATAAATACCATACAGGCTGGTAATCCCCTCTTCCCTCCTCCCCTTGGCATCCATCCACCACCGCTAGGAACTAGTCCCAAGTAAGTAATAATCTGGTGGGGGGAGGGATGGGTGGGGTGGGGGGCCCAGACACTAAACTAGGAAATCCTCCCCACCACCATCCATCCGCAACGGGAAGGGGAAATAATCAGCTCACCCGAAAAAAAAAGCAATTGTCACTTTCATGAATTTCAAGACAAGATTCGATAGTTTCTGCCGTTGTGTTGCTTGTCTGGCAATAATTCATCTACTAGTCCGGTGGGCTCATTTGTCATTCTGGGTAATGAGGATCCTGTCATATCATTCTCAACTATCTACTAATTGCTAATCGCTAATTGCTAACTACATACTGTAATGCGACGATATTGGTTGGTTTGGTGTCTGACGTATACCAGCATGGAGGACTATGATCTCCGTGGCATGGGAGTACGTACTTGCATACTTACTATTACTCCTACGGACTACTAGTTACCAGGTACCCGTGCTGGATGGGTGAAACATCTCCCAACAGGCAGATACATACACAGAGGTAGTAGGACTGCAGTGTCTGCCTATCTAATACTATCCGATTACGCATCATTCATTCCAATTCCACGTAAGTCCCATCCCCCTCTCCCCCTCTACCCCAGATAAGCATTGTTGAAAGTATTCCCACATTCCTATCTTCTCCGCGCGTACATGCAGAAAGTACATTCCTCGCTGTCAATCATCCATCCCCTCTCGCCACCCTTACTCCCTCCTCCTCCGCCACGGCTACTATCGGCCCTTTACTCTGCCATCTCATTGCTCGCACGGATACATGTTCCTCTGTCCAGATGATCAAGCGCAATACCTTGGTCAATACTCATAAAATAAAATGGAAAATAAAAATAACAATCATAATCATAATCATAGTAATAATAATACTTTGCTATTATACCATAAGTAGGGCGCTAATCTACCGTGCTTGTACATACAGATGCAGGATAATATAAAGTCACTGATCAATGTCATCATCAAAAGGGTTGGGCAGTCTGGGATGCGTAGAAAAAAAGATTCACCGACGCGGAAATCCAGAAATAAATCGAGATGAACAAAAGCAAAATACACATGGAAGGGAATATCAAATCAATCCAATATCAACGCCGCTGTGCAATGCATATTCAATCACCGTCACGGGATTCGAGTGTAAGTACTATCCTCTTGTAGATCACTGGAAAGGGAGAGGGGTAGAGGGTATTGGGTCAACTGCTTTTATCATCACACGGTAAGACAGAGAGACAAAGAAATTCATCAACTATCCCAAAATTTGGGATGAAAAGGACGGAGGGTGAAATAGGAATGCAGGTATTAGAAGACAAATGTCCGAAACTCATCGAGACCAGCTCGATGAACCCACCCTAATGCCGGCGGCCTCCCATGTACGACCCTGCCGCGGATGCCAGGAAACGCGCCACAAAACCCGGGTGAGTTTGTCCGGGTCCATGTGCGTGACTCAGGGAGTGTCGGGCTTTCTTATTCGGCTGCGACAGCTCCTCCACTTTCGTGCCGGCCAGCGAGACATAGCCGTTGCTCACCGACGGGCTGCGGGTGCCATCCACAACATGCACCTCGTTCATACTAGTGATCGAACTGGACGTGCGTAGACTGGCGGGCGTGTCGCTCCGCGAGCTGGGTGCGATGCTGGAAGCGCGCGAGCTCAGCGAGGGAAGCGTTTCAGCACGTGATAGGCCCGGGACCTCCTGCACAGCTGGCGGAGAAGAGATGGACGCATGGCTGCGGGTCGAAGGTCGTCGACGGGGTGGGTACGGACGGTACCGCTCCGATTCGGCCACGGAGGCTGGTGAGGCGCAGTAGGAGCTGCCTGAGGAGACAGAAGAAAGGGAAGCCGACGATGCTGGGCTGGGGGGCAGGCGTCTCCGCGTGGGAGACTCGCCGGGCATGCGGCGACCCTCGGCCTTCTGACGGTGAAGGCGAGCAGCGAAAAGGTCGGCAGAGGCGTGAAAGCGACGCCATTCACGGGGCTGACGCAGCTGGGCCTCACGCTGTCGCTGCTCCTGGATCTGGAGACGCCGACGGATGGGCATGAGGAAGGGCTCCAGGTGATGCAGGAGGTCTGCCTCGTCGACACGGATGTCCCAGTCTAGCAGGAAGAGCAGCTGACGCTCCATCAGGTTGACTTCGGGCAGCGAGAATCCAAAGCCCTCGTAGCCGCGGACGGAGGTGTACCGGGCCCAATGCTTGTTCTTTGGACTGGAGTCATTGAGGTTCTTGGCTGCCAGAATCAGGGAAGCCAGGAAGATGCGATGCACTGTGCAGCGCATGCCCTTGGCGACGGGGGGCAGGCGAGCCCGCAGCCGGGCCAGATAGACCAGCGAGGTCATCAACGTCGGCACCTGCACCTGCGAGCGGAGAACTAGCGAGGTAATAAAGGTGGTGACGGATGGTAAGGGAGGCAGGTCTGCATCCAAGGGCGGCGTGCTGGGGGGCGTGGGCTGGCCATGCGCGTGATGCGCTGTCACATGCGGTTCGCAGCGGATGACCTGCATCGCTTGTTGAGCCAGATGAGAGATCATGTCTCGCGAGACGGGCTGCATGATGAACTCATGCAGCGCCGCCCGATCGAAATCCATGATGCTGGTGGTGTTGGTGGTGGGAGATGCAAAGTTGGTGCAAGGAGAGTAGGGATGGACGGCCATGGTACTTTGCAGGATGCAGGGGAAGAGGGATCAGGAAGACGAGAGAGCGAGAGCCAGCAGACAAAAAAGAAAGCGAGCAAGACGCAGGATATAGAGAGGCGTGGGATAGTCTAGTGAAGAATGTGAATCCCGCCAGCAGGAAAGGGTAAGGAATGTGTTGTCGTGTCAACCTCCGTGATGAATGGGCTTGAAAATAGCAGTGAGACAGTCACTTGAGACAAGTGATAAGATAGATTGGTTGCCACTTGGGGAGGGAAGATCGTTTCAATATTAAATAGATAGAGCCGACAAGTCTTGCCAACGAGATAATAATGATAATAAAAATAGTATATGATATAATAATCAGTAGTAGTAGTGGTGGTGGTGGGAATAAAAATAACCACACGTTGCTATGATGGCGGGAGTTGTTGATTATGGTGTTTGTTGGTATAGTTAAATAACTTCCCTCGTGAAGAATGAATGACCAACAAGAAAATAAAAAAAACAGCGAGGGAAAAGACGGATCATCCAAGCCTGATATAACACCAACAGCGAAGGCTGGACAGGAGCTGCAAGGACAGGAGGGCACCCGACGCGCATTGCATTACATGCATTCAAATCCATCCATCCATCCATCCATTCAACCCATCCAGGTTGGACCTGACAAGCACCCTAGACAAGAACGAACTAACCACCAGTCCTGCAGGGGCCGATCGATGGATGATCGCTGGGTGTGGGTGTGGGTTTGGCGCGCGCGAGAGCCCGAGACCAGTGGCAGTGGGGCCAAGCATAACGGGATGGGATGATTGGACTGGATTGGATTGGATTGGAAGAAGGGCACCAAAATGGAACTGGAATTATGTGTGAGTGCCTGCCTGTGTGGGTTTGTAAGTTTGTGGGCGCGCGCCAAAAGAATGCCCGAGACACGAGATGCAGGAATGAATCAAGGAGCGTGGCGGGAAATGGAGGAGAAAAAAAAGGCAAAAGGAAAAAAAAGAGAGGAGGCCCAGCTGAGCGCGTCGGCGGCACGAATCTCCATCACGATCCTAGAACGCGTGAGAGATACTTGGCTAGCCTGATGTTATTTCTAATTATACTCAAGGAGGATTTTTGAAGCATGTGTTGTTTCTCCATGCCAATCTGATTGACTGATTGATTGATTGAACTGGGGATGTTACCCCTCTCTTTCTTGCTCTTCTCCCCTGTCAGCACTTTAGGGCTGCTGCACTTAAGCGCCCGGATGCAAGCGCCGCGATTGATGATCGTGCATAAGTTGGCAAGCTAGCTAAAATAGCTGGATGTGATTGTGCTTGCCGCTCATGCTGATGCTTCTATTCTTGTTACTTCACACAGCTGCTTAGCTGCTAGCTGCTATACTTGCTACGGCTGCCTGTCATGCATTGGCTCTGCTTGACAGCCTTTTCTTCTCCACCTCCGCGGTTAGGTCTCAACGTGGGTGACGATGGTTATATTTAGCAACTTATGGAATTCCTCCATGATTATCAACCCAACGGAGTTCCAGGCCTATGTACATATGATGATTCGACCGTCGCCTCGTCGCCCCGGCGCGTCATCAAACCATCGACGCCTGCTTGCCACCCCGAGCAACCCCCTCCCCCTCCCTTCTTCAAAAACAAACCCCCTCGTCCTATAACTATGTCCCTCCGGTATCCTGCCCAGGGAGCTGAAACACGGCGCCTACATTCTCATCCTCCGCTCCTAACAATCCCTTTTTGAAATCATTAGTATGTATCCTGCCACACTCGGTGTTTGTGATTTCATTTACTCGATGGAAACGGAGTACTCGGACACCTTCAGCTCAGCGTCGCTACCGGTGAAGGGCTCGGTACCCGCCTCAAGGGTGGTCAGGTACAGGCTGTCAGAGACACCCTCGTTGTCCACCAGGTAGGTGAAGAAGTCGTTCAGGTCGCCGGAGAAGTCCTCGGTGGTCGACTGGGCGACGAAGCTGTAGACGGTGGTGTCGCCGTTGGGGCCGGTGTACAGGTCCCAGGTCACGCCGTTGATCGTCGGGGTGGCAATGGTGGAGCCAGTCGACGAGATGGGGCCAGCACCGCCCAGGGCAGCAAGCCAGACCATGATCTCGTACTCATCGGAGGAGGCGTCGGCGGTCGAGCCCAGGAACATGTCATAGGCCACGTCGGCCACGATGTCGGAGCCAGAGTATCTATTCCCAAAGAGTCAGCATGCGTCCTGACGGTCGGTCGGTCGGAAGGTCTAGGCTGCAACATACGTCCACTTCCAGGTGGAGGGGATGCTGGAGATGGAGCTCAGCTGAGTACCAGTGAACTGCAGAGCAGCGTTGGCGTAGCTCTTGACGTCACTGCTGCCACCCTCCCAGGACCAGCTGGTGTGCCAGGCGATCTCGCTGCCGCTGGCCGAGTCGACGCCGGTGCACTGGGAGCCGCTGGAGGCGTTGTCTTCACCCCAGAGGTCGTTGTACAGGATGAAGTCACCGGCGGTGGCGGTATCCCATTGGCCGCAGAAGTCGCTACGGCGGCTGATAGAGGCGGCCGAAGCCAAGGAAAGAAGAGCGGAAAGAGCGAGAACCTTCATGGTGATAGTGATTATTGGTCAAAGGAAAGACGATTGGTCGGGTAAAAGTATTGATATTGGTGCAATGTGCGATCAACGTCCACTGACCCAGAGAATTATAGTGAATGAGCTGCTGAAATGGAACTCCATCTTGCTCCGGCCGGGCTGCCTTCTTATAGCCATGAGTGTGCCGTCGAGGTCTGCTGGAACAGGATAAAATTAGGCATAGCCCTCATCAAGCAGAAACAGCCGGGGCAATTTAGCCTATGGACCTTCCGAGCTTAGTCCTCATGGCCGTTGAGACATGAGCACTCAGAATCAACGAAGCTTCTTGGAAAGTCCGTCGCCGAATGGATCCTGACCCCGAGTGGACCAGGAGGGAGAAGGCCGATAGGGTGCTGGTGGTTCTGGTGGTGCTTGTTCCTGGTTTTCGAAACGGTCCCACGGAATGCCCCGTGCAGAAATGGAGGTCAACCGGACTCACGGACACGGCGATAATATCCAGAGGAGTTTAGATCAGGGGAAAATCAGTGGATTCGTCATCTCGAGACGGTATAATGTCCCGAATGAGAGGGGGGCAGCCACGGAGATGGTCCGTTTCGGATTAGATAACAGGATGCCGTTTAAATGAATGTTCAGGGCGCCCGAGAGGGGCGTGGCTCGTCCGCAGGGTTCCAAGAGGTGGACAGCTTTATTAATCGATCGGATTAATCCCACAACGGGCTCCGTCGAGGTACATGGTGCTGCTCGAAGAAACTATTTTTGTGGACGGATTAATTTGATGTTGGAGAGGAGTACTCTGTAGAGTAAAGTTAGTAACTACGGAGTAACTTAGTGAGTTTATTCGGAGGAATGATAATTGGCATGTTTGACAGCCAGACAAACTCGGCCAAATGCTGCTGGCTGTTGCTGACTCAGCCGGGCCATCCTGAAGGCCTTCCCGGATCAGGCAACTCGAATATCCTCAATCCATCAATCAGAACCATAAAGAATAATCACCCTATCATCCTTCCTCAATCCCCTCTTCTCTCCTTCTCCTTCCCACGCCCTTCCCCCCTTCTCCACCCTCCATTAGCTTCTCTGCAGCTCCTGTTTTTCCGGTCAATTGCTTTCCCCCCGGAACAGTTCGTCATCATGCGCTGCGCTAGCTTCGCCGTGGCCCTCCTGGCCCTTTTCAGTGGTCTCTACAGCTACCTGAACGCGCGCCTGGAGCAGTTCTACATCTTCGATCCCTCCCACCTGCACGACCTGTCGCAGCGCGCCATTGCCGCTCATGGCAATGACACCCGCTCGGTGGTGAACTTCATCGTCTCCGAGCTGGGCGAGAAGGTCACCGACACGCACCTGAACCTGGACGAGGAATGGGTCTTCAACAACGCCGGTGGTGCGATGGGGGCAATGTATATTATCCATGCTAGTGCGTCCCCTCTTTTGCTCCATACCACCTCTATAATTATCCATAGTGCCTGAACTAAGCTTTGATTCTCCTATAGGTATCACGGAGTACTTGATCATTTTCGGTATGGCTTCTTCCCCTGTCTCCCGGATATTTTTATGCCCTCGATTGCACGAGCTAACTCCTCTCTTCCTGTCCATTAGGCACCGCTATTGGTACTGAGGGCCACACTGGCCGTCACACGGCCGACGACTACTTCAACATCCTTCAGGGCACCCAGCTCGCCTACGTCCCTGGATCCTACGAGCCCGAGGTATACCCCCAGGGTAGCGTGCACCACCTCCGCCGCGGTGAGGTCAAGCAGTACAAGATGGATGAGTCGTGCTTTGCTCTGGAGTACGCCCGTGGCTGGATTCCCCCGATGCTCTTCTTCGGATACGCCGATACCTTCTCCAGCACTCTCGACTTCCCGACTCTGTGGGCGACGTCCAGAATCACTGGTCGCGAGATGATCTCCAACCTGCTCAAGGGCAAGATGTGAATGATAGACGGCGAGATGATGGGTATATGTATAATACTATTACTATTCTCACTATTTTAGATAGACGACAACGTTGTTCTATAGAATACACTACATTTAATAACCCTACCACATTTCGTCCTGTCATCCCCTTTGCGCTTTTTTTTTCCGTTGTGCCTGTTTATTTTTCCCCCTTCCCGGGGAACCACCCAAACAGTGCAAACACACCCACACCCTGACTCATCCAAGTCCTTATCGATAAGCCAACATTCCAGGCCCGCGAAATCAGTTTATCAAAAATTGCTCCCCTCATTGCCTCCACCACCACCCACTATACGAACCCCCTCAACCCAGAACCACACCCACAAGCCACCACCATGCCCCCCTCCCCCTGCGCCCGCTGCCACGACCAACGGGCAGTAATTATACGGCCCAAGAACCGGCAAAAGCTCTGCCGCACCTGCTTCCTGCACGTCTTCGAAACCGAAGTCCACGAAACCATCACCTCGACCTCTCTCTTCCACCCCGGCGAACGAGTTGCCATCGGCGCCAGCGGCGGCAAAGACAGCACCGTCCTGGCCGCCGTCCTCAAGACCCTCAACGAACGCTACAACTATGGACTCGACCTATGCCTCCTCTCCATCGACGAGGGCATCAAGGGTTACCGCGACGACAGTCTCGAGACCGTGAAACGCAACGCCCAACAATACAACATGCCGCTCGTGATCGTCAGCTACGGCGATCTGTACGGCTGGACAATGGATCAGGTGGTGGCGCAGGTCGGCAAAAAGGGCAACTGCACATACTGCGGGGTGTTTCGGCGGCAGGCGCTGGATCGCGGGGCCGCGAAACTGGGCATCAAGCATGTGGTGACGGGTCATAATGCGGACGATGTGGCAGAGACGGTGATGATGAACTTGCTGAGAGGGGATTTGCCGCGCTTGTCACGGGGCACGAGTATTGTGACGGGGTCCGCCGCCAGTGATATTAAGAGGAGTAAGCCGTTGAAGTATGCTTATGAGAAGGAGATCGTGCTGTATGCGCATCATCGCCAGTTGGATTATTTCTCTACGGAGTGTATCTACTCGCCTGAGGCGTTTCGGGGTAGTGCGAGGACGTTGATCAAGGATTTGGAGAAGATTAGGCCGTCGTCGATCTTGGATATTGTTAAGTCTGGGGAGGATATGGCGCTTCTGGTGCCCGCTGAGGTTAGGGGGAAGGGGGCTGAGGATGAGGAGGGCGGTGGTGGTGGTGGGTGTGGGAGTCAGAATGGGCGGACGAGGGGTGGTGAGATGGCGGAGATGGAGAGGAAGTTGAAGGAGGATGAGGCTGCCAAAGATAGGGAGATGGAGATTACTTCTGACAGCTTGTCTAGGAGGCAGCAGCAGCAGCAGCAGCAGCAGCAGTCGGAGCAGATGCAGACGCCGGCTCAGAAGAAGGTCAAGTCGCAGGTACTGGGGACGTGTGAGCGCTGCGGTTATATTTCCAGTCAGCGCGTGTGCAAGGCATGTACGCTTCTGGAGGGATTGAATAAGAATCGGCCCAAGACGGCGATTGAGATGGAGATTGGTTTGGAAGATGAGGAGAGCAGCTCGACGTTGCGCAGGCAGATGGAGAAGGTTGAGCTGGGGGGTGTTTGAAGATATACAGTTATACCCGTTATACATATACCCATCATGATCACATATTCATACCAGTTAGAAGAAGTTCAACACTCAATTATCAGACAGTCACTACGCTATATAGTAAGATCTTTCCTGTTACTGAAAATACACTTTGAAAGGGCATCAAAATAAAGTACTTACCTCTTATACTACACATCACCCATGTCACTTCTATGTATCGGCTCCACAGGACTACTACTGATCATGCCAGCCACAATGTCGAGTAGTAGTATGATAAACTCACCAGCTCATCCAGATAGAGACGACAATTTTCCTTCATGCAGTGGTCTAACAATCCTCAACTCCCTCCTAAATGAACAAACTCCAACGAAACCTCTAATAAATCATCATTGATCTATAATACAACCCTCCCCCATCAAAATAATCTTACATACAAATATCGTACACAAACCCCCAAATCCATACAATTCCAAAGCATACAAAACAAATCATCACAAATCAAAAAAGGTACACCCAAAAACTCCACCCATGGTTTATTTTATCCCTCCACACCCCATGCATCCATGCATCCATCGATCCACCCATCATCCATCCTTCCCAACATCTCCATCTCCGAACACCCATTTTGTTCATAACTTATTCATCCTTCTTCCCCGCCTCAACAGGCAGATCCCAACCCACCCGTCTAGCCGTCAACCGAATCCTCTCCTCCTCATCGAGCGTAGTACCGGGGTTATATCTCTCGACGAGCTCCGCATACACGCGCTGCGCCTTAGCGTAAATAGCGAACTGGTTTGCCTGATCGATTCGATGTTGGCGGAGAGCTTCTTGCGCGTCTGCGTCCGCGACACTTGATTGTTGCTGGTTGGTGGTGTACATGTCGCGGAGGCGGTGTTGGAGGGGAGTGGGTGTGGAGAGCGTGCGGCGGGGGAGTTCGCGGAGGAGGGCGCGGTAGCTTGTTTTGATTGCGGTGGACATTTTGATGTTTTTTTCTTTGGGGTTTTGTTTTAGGAGTTTGTGGGGGTTGTAGGTATGTGATTTATGTAGGTGGTAGGTTTGGCTTGATGGTGGATGGATGGGCTACGGATAGGTTTGGTTTACGATGGTTGTATATCACGTGATTTTTTACATTTCTCTCTAAGGTTTGTAACAAGATATGGACGGGTTGTAGTAGAAACTACATTATGTACATCATCATCAATCAAATGACGATCATCATTCATTGTACTCGTCAGCTTGGTGCTGGTGCTGTTGCTGTTGCAGACTCTGCTGCAACTAGTCATAACTCTCTCTCTCTCCTCTTCGTCTCTCACGACCGTAACCAGCCGAACTTCTTGCGTCCGGTGTCGCCGCCTGCCGAGGGTTCGACTTGCATACTGCGCGAATACAAGTCCTGTTGGTTGTTAGCATCGATTAAATGAAGTAATTGATCGTGGGAAGAACTGGGCGTACCTCGTCATCCCCTGACAGCTTAATCTCTAATATCAACCGCTCTACCTCCTCGTACTTGGGCATATGCGGATACGGTGTCTTCTGGCTGCGCTGGATCCCCAGAACCACCTCTCCCATCACCTCGAACTTGCGCCAGTTGATGCGGTTCTTGTTGTCGCCCACAAACGTCTTGTTGCCCTCCTCCGCTGACACCAGATCGCGTCGGTGCAGCGGCAGGAACGGGATACGCTCCGCAAAGGAATTGTCCCATGCGAGACGATATGCAAAATGACTCTTCTGCGTCCCCATGAGGATGACCAGCCTCATAAAGTCCTTTTGCGTTTGCACCGGGACCAGCTCCCGCGTCTGGGACAGTCGGTGCACCGGGGTTCCGTTGATGCCAGCGATCACGGCCCCAAGAGAATTGTAGTTGTTTAGTCGGCGGAGTTTCTGTGGCTGTCAGATAAATGTTTCCGCTTTGTTCTTCTGAGTCCGACTTACCAATGCTATGTTCATGAACTTCTCCAGCGCCTTGGCTCGATGCTTGGGCTTGTCCCGGAGTAGGATCACGCTGGCTACAAAGAATGCGACATGGTTGAACTGCTTGATCATCCGGTTGACGTGCTTCAGGCTCAAAATCTTATCCTTCTCCACGCCGGAAATGCTGACATGCCGCACGAGATCTCGCGGTCGGAAAGAATTGAACATGATCCAGTCGATGCGCGTCAATTCTCGTGCAAAATCCTCATCCGGAATCTCCATCAGCTGGCGCCATTGCACTTTCGTTAGCGGGATGCGTGGTGTGAGATCCAAATTATGCGCCTCCCGTTGCGCAGCTTCGGTACTCAAAAACGTGAACGACTGGCTGGCGATGGTCCCGGGCTTCTCGGAGGTAAAGGAATTCGACATCGACCCCGACAGTCTCGACGCAGGCTCGGCTGCACCCTCGCTAAGGTCCAGAGCGCTCATATTGTAGATAGGGTCCTCTTCTTCTTCCTCGCCTTCATCGCCAAGCGGCGGTGCCCCAAGGAAGATTGACGGTGAGCTGCGCCCGGAAAACTGGAACGGGGGGTCGGCCGTGTCGGGTTCTTCCATGTCGCCATCCCTATACGGCCATCCAATATTATCGTCCTCCGCATTCCCCTCCAGATACGACCCAATCTCCTTGGCGGCAAACATGTAAAAATGACTCTTCTCCAGCGTCGTGACGAAATCGGTGATTCGCTTGCGAGTCTTCGGATATGCCAAGTCGCCCGGATATTCAGAAACCCACTGTGCCATGACTCCTAACAGCCTCAGCTGAACTGCGATGCGGTCGAGTTGGTCCGTCATGTCATTTTCGTTGCGTTCGAATCGGTTAATCAGGGCATTCAGTAGGGTGCACGGCGCGGCAAACTTGCGATATAGACACAAAAAGATTGAGGCAAACTTGGAATCTTGCTTCGACATCGGTTGTGCAACCAGACGATCTACTAGCTCGTCAAAGGTGAGACCTGCATCATTAGATGAGCTCTCACTAGGCGTCTGGTCCTTGCTTCCCGGGCTCGACGGAGCACTCCGGGGCCCATCGAAGTCCTCCCCCATCTCTAAAAAGTTGCTGAACGCATCTGACCCGCCGCTGTTGCGCCAGGCCGTGTGAAGACGATGTTGTCGGTTGAGATCTTTACTTGGTGACGACTCCCCAGACACAGACTGTTTGCGCGAGGCCAGCCGGGACCCTGAAGGAGGCGTATGCGGTCGCACCGGATGCGAGTTGCTCCGGGCGTAACGGAAGGCCTGGCCATTGGAAGCCAGGTTGGCAGAGGTGGCCGGTTCGGTGGGTTGCCGGTCTACACCGTACCCATCGACAGCTGGATCAAGAGGTCCTGTGATTGGGCCGCCTGCGGCTCCGGATAATACAGCGGTGGGGGTCTCTGAGTTGGTGCGGCTGTGATGCCAGTCTGGGGTGGCGGATGAGTTGGGGGGAAAATCGATGAAGTCTAAAAGAGGAGCCGTTAGCATCCACGTGTGATCCAGTCTTGCGGGAAAATAACGGCCACAGAAATTGGGTAGTCCAGCTGTGCTCCAGCTGCTCTTGCGCTGGGCCCCTTCGCCCCGAGGGATCGGCGGGTCCTGAAAACCACTGCACCACGAGATACGCGAACGCTAAACGCAGGCCGCGCCGCGAACTAGCGCGAAACCCAGTGGGCCATCGCTCTAAGGGATGGGCTATAGCCGGGGCCGACGCAATGCGTTGGGTGATGCGAGCAAACAGATAGCCACCGAGGCAGTGGATCGTTCCGCCCTGTTCTTTGACTTTCCTCGCCTCTCGCGTATCCACATGGCAATCGCATAGGTCAGCTTGTCCACTTACCATATTTACGTTTGATCACAGAGCGCAGAACTAAGGCAATGCACATCTTCTGCGACCGTGGTGAGTCAGGTGAGGTCCGGTGGATTTCATAGCCTCCCAATATTGGCTCCACAGGACTGTCAGGGGGTTGTATGTCGCATTTACTGGCCACCAGCGTAAAGGGTATGTCAGAAGCGGTTAAGGAGTCTGCAGACCATCAGCCCACATCCTAGGGAGAAATTGCGCAGCGACCGCGGCGCTGCAGCACCGGCAATGCGACCAACCTAGTAGTTCGGTAAATTCAGGGAAACTGGCCGGTTGAGTCATATCGAGTAGAACCAGCACCCCATCCACTGCAGGAGGCGAGTCGTTACCCAGTAAGGGCCAGTTGACCTCGCCATTGCTCCCAATCGAGATCTCCAATGTATCTATCTCCATCAGACGAACCAAGTACACCGTCCCGTCCAGGGACATCTTCTTCGTAGTCGATCGGGAAGTGAGCGGATGCTTCATGTCCAGGGCGGTTTCAATGAATGTCGATTTTCCGACATGGTCAGGACCGACCACAGCGATGCTCACATGGGGAAAACTCGGCTTCGGCGTTGTCTGCGATACACGCACGGGGGTCAGAAAAACATTGCGCTCGCCAAGGGTCCAATGACATAAATTTGGATTAACCATACCTCCTCGCGGGATAACGATGGCACCCTATCCCCTCCGGCCGAAGGCGGGTTCTCATCTTCCTCCAGAAGTGTCCGATCCACCTTATTCCCCGATTCCATTGCCGTTCTAGCCGAATCAAGCCGGTACAAACCTCCGACTGGAGCAGAAATTGTTCGGCTGGGAAGGCCCGGTCGTTGTGGAAATGGCGCGACATCAGCTTTGTCGCTAGATGCTCGCTCTCTTCGCAATGGTTGGGAGGCCATAGTGACGAGGTGACTTTACTTTTTTTCTGCGCGAACGAATAGGCGGTGCTGTGGCGCGAGTAAGGTCCGGTCGAACAAACAAGGTGCGACAGCGCAGGGTCCAACAGCTACGTAAGTGAGTGAGGCGGACACGACAGCTCATCCATTGTCGCTTGGGGGGGAAACGTAAAAAAGGTCCAGGCTTCGTCGGGTTCGCCGCAATCGAAAGATTTCAGAGAGGCTGCTCGAATCAGCTCGGGGGGATGACCTTCCCCTTTTAAATTCGGTTGTTTGTGGTCTTCGAATTTCGATGATGATTAGCTGAGTGATTTTTTTGGTCGTCTGCCTCTCTTTTCTTTTTCGGTTTCCTTTTTCTTTTCCTCGTTCCTCGTTCCTTTTCCTGCTTTTCTTGACTTTTGGGGGGGGGGGATCTCGTCGGCTGAGGCAGGTTACCGGAGCTGGACACAGGTAGAACCCAAGTTAGCAACAGAATCAATAATGGTACCGGCAAGAGGGTAGCACAAGTCTTACGAGAAAGCGTCCGGGTTGGCAAATCGACCAGGGGGAAGTAAGAGCAATGAGTGGAAACGAAGAGGCAGAGAGTGTCAGGGAGAGCAGCTTGAGGAAGGCCGCCAGTTGCAGGCGGGAAGATGTCACTCGACCGAAAAATTGAGCCCCCAAGAGTCAGTCAGAAGTTGGGGCAGTTTTGGGGGGGGGCGGCGGGCGGGGAGATTTGGAAAGCAAGTCTGGTTTGGCCTCTCCAACGGCAAGGATGATAACTATGATTATGATTTTATTTTGGTTTTTAGTTCTTATTATTATTAGAAACGCCGGGGCACTACTCTATGGGTCAATCTAGCAGAATCCCTAGCGGAGCACAATGGCAGGACATCCCAGCCAACTGGGAGGATTGTGATCTTACTAAAATCGGTCGTGGAACTGGTGTGCCCGCCGCCTCCTCTCCTCACTCCCTCCTCACCAAACTCTCCGGCCAACGATCCAGAACCCCAATGGCTCATGCTGGTCAGCAAGGGAGTCTGCCGTCCAAGTTAACTCAACTCGACAGCGCAAGTTACTTTACATGCAACAATAACAGTACACATTACATTCAATGCACCCGGATGGTTGTTCCCCAGAGTTTCTCCAAGCATAAGAACGTCCACCGGCAAACGGTATCTCCTCCCCGGAACTTCCCATTGACATGAGCGGGCGGAGATGCTCGGAACGAATAACATCGCAGTTCATCATGATTTGGCCAGTGTACCCAAGACGGGGAGATCGGTGACTAGCTCTAGTAGTCTGGAAGCCTTTGCGAATCACAACAAGGCAAATCTTAAGGTTGAGACCAGTTGCTCAAATTCCCGTTGTCCGGACGTCTCGTTGGTAGACATTGAATGTGATGAGGCACAGTGATGAACGATTGGCGGCATTTGGAGGAATCCTTCCAGACGGGTCACATTTCCCCGCCATTTTCCCCTCATGGGGGGTGAGAGATAGTACGGAGTAGACAGATAAAATGCATTTGCCTAGGTTGAAGGGCTCTCATGAAGATCTGCGACGTTGAGATCACTTCAATTCGGCTGGGGATGCAGTGCGTGGAACTGGATGAATCAACCTAGGCCGTTCTCATGCTCCGCCATGGACGACAATCTCCAATCTTACCATGCTGAAAGTCAAAGTCTGAAACATGGCTTGTCCAGGTTCTCTATGCACATGGCGACTATCTACTACTTGTTTCAAGGTTTGGTCGAGGATGGCTGTGTTCTCTCGCCCCTGGGTTTGTTTAAACTTTAGTCACATGTGGGCAGAGTTACTTCAGACGGTTGCTTGCCAGGCTTCATTACCAGTAGTAGGTCTGCCTGGATGGAGTTTTTGATGGAGTATACTCTAGGGTCTTATGCTACATGCTGCACGATGACATCCCTGTCTCTCCTTGAAGACTTTGACCAGTCGTTTGAATTAGATATTTCGGTGCCTCAGGCCATAACGTGACCGGCTCCGTCAAATTCAACATCGCACAATCTTATAAAATGTCCCTGTCAGCATCGACTTGGATAGTTTAGTCTCCCATGTCTGCACCCGTACATTGTATCCCGTCAGAGGTACACAGCCCAGATGCCATGACACGGACTGTTCTAAGTATACGTTAGAATCGTTGGCTTATCACAGGAGGGAAATCCGGTTCATGCACCTCATGCTTACATGGCGTTGTGCAGATGGATGGCATGCACACTTTCGGGAACCTGGAGACACGTCGGAGTCTCAGTGAGACAGTTGAAGCATTGATGGCGGTGTATGTTGTGATAGCTAGTCGCTGTGAAGCCATGCCAAAGTACCGAGCTTTCAGCTAGACCGCATTCTGGTAAGGTGAACGCTATTTTGGCCTGCCGCACCTCTGTCCAGGCTCGAAAAGTGCGGGCAGCGGATACTTGGTATTCGAGAGATTTCAAATATTCTTTATTAGTCGCTTCCGAATGGTGGAAGATCAACCACGGTCGGTGATAGTCGTGGTTGCGCAAGTTGACGGACTACTATATATTTTCATATGCATCCGAGGAATGTAACTGAGCATCGGTCTTTACCAGGCCTTAACAACCTTCCACATCCTCATGAAGGCTTGATTGCACTACCATGCAAATACACCCAACCTCGGCAGATCTCACCGAGGAGTGCACAGCTGGGAAGTACCCAGACATAAAATCAGGAAGCGTAGGGTCCTACTCCAATGAACTCGCAACTACTTTGAAGTCCATCACATGGTCTCGCGTGGAAGCTCATTACCAGTGACCAGGGACATGAAGCGCACGTATCCCTCCGCTTTTTCTCCAGTCTCCAGGCCCTCCTCGCATCTTTCCCGTAGCCTCCTCACCCTTCCCACTCCCCGGTTGAAGCCCTTCTCACGGGTCCACGGTCCATTATGACGGTGCGGCCCTTTGCCTCTCCCGTGATATCGACCCCGACCTCCAAAGCGTTGTGTCTCCACCCATGCATCTTCCAAAGTAGTCTTGTAGATATCGTACAGCTCCTCACGAAGCGAAGGGAACCGATCGAGTAGATCTTTGAGTTCGGTTGAGCTTCCTAAGGCTTTAATATCGAGGCCATTCTGAGCTTTAGGTGTTATCTCGCTGGCCGCATGCTCATTCGATTCGCCGGGAGGCTGTTGGATGTCGACCGTTGGACCGGTCGGTTTTGGCGATGGTGCTTTAGGTGCGCAGTAGATTTTATGGGACTGGGTGCAAGCCAGAGAGCAACTAGGAGGGTGACAATTAGCACGGGTATGTTCCTCCCTTCTCAAAAGAAAAGGCTTAGAGCACAATCATACCTCATAAGCCCACATGTTGGGCATCGGTACTTCGAAGGCTCCGAGACGCAAACCTCGCAAGTGCCGGGCATTTTATCGCCAGCGTCCCATCCAAACCTTGTGCCAACTGCGCGACGATCAAGCTCTGTAGAACATTGTCTTGCTTCGGCCGGTCGCAAGGGTCGTATGAAGCGAGCGCGTTGGCGTGTGGACTAAGGATAGTTACCTTGTGTTCTGCAAAATTCAAGGCTTCTGCGAAAGAAAAGTGACGATAAAAGAATGACTGCCGATAAGGAACTGTCAGGGACGATCGTCTAGCGGACCGAAAAGAAACAAACTCAGCCCAATGGGGGCTCACGTGAAGTGGCGCGGTCCATGACGACAATCGATCTCCATCCTCTCAAGATATCTACTACGTATTAGTGCCTGGAATATCTACAAGTGCCTCGCTATTTCCCCTCCCGTCAATAAATTGTCATACGATTTACTGATGCGGGCTTGACAATGCCACGAATGTCCGAATGATAGTCATCTCTCTACAGCGGTCCTTCTAGTGCAGTGTGCCGGCCCCAAATCTTATCAGCTGTGGCAGACGGCTTGTGGGACAACTTGATCGGCTATGGGAGGTATTCCCTTCCGATCAACCGGATGCAATACGTGCCGGCGACGAAAAGTCAAGGTAAGGCCTATCTTACAAGGCCTGAACAGCCTTGGTTGCCCTCGGATACGGAGCATGAATAGTCATCTAAAATGTGCCCCTTGTGTAGTGCGATGAGGCAAAGCCGGAATGCAATCGATGCATCAAGAACGGCCATGTCTGCACCGGCTATGAACGAAAAAGGGTCTTCATCCACAAATCGTCCGAGGCCATAGAGGAGGGAGAACTGAAGCTCGTCCGTCGCCCGCAGTCGACTTCCGGGAAGATTCCCGACCGTCAATTAACGCGAGTGGAGCCAGGCTTTCCCCGATTAAATAACAATGCGGAGGTCCGATCACAGCTGCTCGCCTCCTTTGTGGGGGGCTTTCTCCCTTCGTCACGGCATTTGCAAGATGGAAAAGATACAAATATTCTTAAAACGCTCCCCGAACTTTGTGGGAATAGTCCTTTGCTGGACAGAGCGCTTCTGTCGCTCTCTTCCGCTTTTCTTGCGAAACAGCACAAGGACGATCGGTTACTTGGGTATAGTACGAAGCTCTATAACAATTCGATGGAGATCATGCATGGCAAGATCAAATCTGGCAAAGGCCTAGGCCAAGATGTGCTATACACAACAGTTGTTTTTCAATTATATGAAGTCAGTGTCACCATTCTCATCACCTCACGCTTTTTCTTCGCGGCTGGCCTAACATTCCACAAAGTTGATCCACTCTTCCCCCCCCGGGATTTATGGCTTGGATAGCACATGTGCAAGGCAGTAACGCAATCATTAAGCAGTGCAGTGTTAATAAAAAAGGAACTATTGCCGAGAAGTTGTTTCACCGTCAACTTAAATTTGTCACTGTCAGTCTCCTTGGCTTCGGATTGATCAACCAGCTGATCCTCGTAACGACTGAGTCTTGCTGACTTTGAACCGCCCAGTTATGTGATGCCGTGGGGAGACGCAAGGCCGCCACCCTCTATGAAGTTCTGACTACACAAGAACGCTTATCGCAGGGCTCAACGGATCTTGAGCCAATTGATGAACTGATGGACCTCTTGGCCGAGTGCTCCGCTCTCATAGAACAAGTAGACACTTTCATCGAGCAACTGCCTGCCAGCCCTGATGGTGATAAGAATCACGGCGAGAAGTTACTGGGTTCTTGCTTATCGCTAGAAGAAAGACTACACCAGGCATGCCTCAAGATGCAGGAGAAACTGGGGGCGCCGTCGACTCTCACCCATGACGTGCCCTTGCGAGAAGACTTGAGAGCACACCTTGCCACCTCTTTATTCCCCGATCCCTTCCAATTCGTCTCCCTGGCCTGCGCCGAATCGCACCTCATTTATTGGGCCACCTTGATAATACTGTACCCGCTAGTTGATGAGCTTCTCGACGTCCTTGGCTATCGCAGAAATGACGTTACACCCTCGCAGTCCTGTGCCATTCATCCTCAGGCGATTGAACAAAGACCCTTGGGCGTGGATGTGGCAACAGATTTCACAGCGCTGGCGGAGCATTATGCAGACGAGGTCTGCCGATCCGTTATGTACTGTACACAGTCTGACATGAATACCCTGGGCGCGCAACACCTGCTTGCTCCTTTCAGCCAATGCGCGCAGTTCTTTCAGGTCCATGAACTGGCGCAAAAATACAGGTGGTGTCAGGGGGTGTTTGTGCTTCTTGACTCGCTAGGTCTGGGAATAGCTCCGTTGCTGAAGGACATGGTTTGGCCACAATACCGTTCCGCTCGACTACGTAGGTCTTTGTCATCCGTGGGAAAAGTCCCATGATGAGATTTGGCCTGTTCAACGTGCTTCCCGTGCCAAGGTGGCAGGTCGCAGTTGGACGTGTCGGACGCACGCTTGGAAGCACGGGATTAAATTACCAAGATATCATAGACGGCTATCAGCCATCTAGCAACATGGTCTTAACCTAGGATCACCAACCGACTTGTTGGGCTGGATTATAACTAGGAACAGAGCAAGTCAGTCGATGTGAGTAGCAGCAGTTTATTGTTTGCGGGACGAGACACCGAGCCGCTAGCGACACATCACCACTTGTCCTGCTCTGCGCCTTGTACTAGATGCATTGAAGCATGTCCAAGGCCTTAATGCTCCCGAGCCAGGAAATTTCAGGAAAGGCCGGGCTAACCGCGATACTGGGTTCACCAGGTAGCAGGCCCAAGCTGTGGCCTGTTGCACAACACTGGTATAACCGAAGCGGAACTCGGCTGAGAGGCAATTATGTTACACCCATAAAATATAGTGCTTAGTACCACGGGCATGTATGCCTACCAGTCAGATAGTCCACATTTCACTGTACGAGTAACAAGTAGACCAATTGAGAAGAATTGAATGCCGAACAATTTCTGGGGCAGCGATGTCAAACTGCCGGCAGTTGATTGGTGGAGCCTGCCCTTCATTTGTCAGCACTCACTTTTGGGGGCATCACGTGCTTTCTCATTGCGTCAGAGGGAATCGAGTTTCCCATCGGCATTTCTGGTCGCTTTTCTTCTGACCAGGAACGAGTCTGATATCTGCCACTCCCCTCTCTTATCATCACAGCGCCGATATGTCTGTCAGCTCAGCGTCTGGAAACATGCTTAGGCGCACTCTCTTCAGCGTCAGATTGACAACGCAGCAACTGAATGCTGCGGAGTGCTCCTCCCGGATCGCCAAACCCGCGGTGTTCGGATCATACAGGAATGTCCACCGTTCGGCACGTTTGCCTGCTATCACCGCCTCAGAGGCTCGTCGCCGGCCGACCTTGAAGCCTCACCAGCACTCGCTTGTGCAGGCTCGCGTGAATGGACCATCGCCGTCCAGCAAGCGCACGATATTCATTCAGACGGAAAACACCCCGAACCCTGATGTAAGACTCCCCGTGGCACACCAGCACGAAGATCCCAACGAAAGAACAAGCATCTGACCCTTGTATGCGGAACTCAACAGGCATTGAAGTTCATCCCTAACCACCGTGTCCTCCCCGAAAATTTCCCGACCACCTTCCTCGAATACCTGTCTCCCCGCTCTACCCTCGCTCCTCCGCACCCCTCTCCCTTGGCAGCAAGCCTGCTCAACGTTGACGGTGTTACCTCTGTATTTTACGGGCCTGACTTCATCACCGTAACTAAGGCGACCGACTCCAACTGGGCGCACATCAAGCCCGAAATCTTCAGTCTCATCACTCAAGCCGTGACATCGGGCGAGGCGATCGTGAACACCGTTGCCAAGACTGGTGAGAGTGGCCAGGAAGGTGGCGAGTCGGAGTCCCTGGCCTACGAGGAAGAAGAAGATGAGGTGATCGGCATGATCAAGGAGCTTTTGGACACAAGGATTCGGCCCGCCATCCAGGAAGACGGTGGCGACATTGAGTTCCGCGGCTTTGAGAACGGCATTGTCTTGTTGAAGCTGCGCGGTGCTTGCCGGACCTGCGATTCGAGCACCGTGACGCTGCGTAACGGTATTGAGTCTATGCTTATGCATTATGTGAGTATCACACTACCTGCATGCATCTTGACAATAAAGTTTGACTAATTGTGTGTTTTTAACCTACAGATCGAAGAAGTCCAAGGAGTCGAGCAAGTGCTAGACCAAGAAGAGGAGATTTCGATGCACGAGTTCGCCAAGTTCGAGGAAAAGCTGCGCCAGCAAAAGGGCGCTGCCGCTACTGCCTCGACGGGCGGCAAGGGAACATTGGATTCGGCACCTTGAACACCCTCCTACTTCGCCTCTTATACATAATTACTTATATTTCACGTGTATTGTACTTTGGACGTCAGATATACTACCATCTGGATTACGGTCTATAGAAAGCTTTGCCAGACAATGCTCAATCTCCTCTCTATCAGTATAACCACTTAATAATGCGCATCCGTAGTGCTCCCACATCAGACACAATATGGACCTTAGCATGCCCAGAATCGAGGTATTCCAGTATTGCATACAATCCACTGAATAAACCCACCAACTCGGATACCTTCCTCCTACCCTAAAACCTCCGAGAAAGCAGGGAAATGTCTCAACCGAGCCGAGGATGTCACATTCACACACACACAAACAACACTACCAACTACCGAAATCCATTCTGTATCTGTGCGTAGCATAACCCACAGTACTAATTCGTGTGTGCGTGCGCGCGAGCGAGCGACAAACCTAACCAACCAACCAACCAGACTACTGCTAAGCTAAGTACATAAGTGCAACACTAACAGTGGACTGGACTGGCTCTTAGCAGCGGCAGCGATCATCGGGTCGGGGAGATCGGGAAATGGAGAACAGAACATTAGCTTCAACTTGAATGGTTCGGGCCTGTTTAGTCTATTCAGACTAATTGGTGCTTCGGTTCAATGGTAGACTGCATTGATGTTGGAGTAGATCAAGCTAGTACCTATCTTCGAATAATATTATTGACATGGAGTAGATACTAGGAATGAGGTGTCGGGCTGCTATGTAGCATCTCTACTTAGAAGATTTATGAGAGGTTGAGAAGGTTGGCTAGTAAGTACTACAGCTTCTGTGCTGTGTATCTGGTTTGGTTGGTAAGGGTAAGGGGGTACTAGTTTAGTATGAATGAGACGGTATAATGTACTTTAGAAGGTGGGAATGTCTAAGTGATACAATACAATCCAGTAGAAGGAAAGCTTGACACTTGATAAAGACTCAGCAAGCTTTCATATCAAGGTACGTTTGGCAAATTGTATACAATATACCCTTGATATACTGTCACCAACGGTGGCTAATTTCATTCTTCGGTCGAGTACAGTCGGCTATAACCTGCTCACAACTCTTCTTGTTATGCTAGAGCAGATTGTCTAAGCTTGATTAATGCGTATATTTCCTCCGAGAATATTGAAGTTGTGCTATATCCCGAAATCATCGACTTCGGTCCGAACTGCGTCATAGATGTATAACATGTTTGAAAGCACGCTTTGACATCTAGGTATAATGCTGGCTAAGCATACTAGGCTCCAATGATCTCGGGACGGCTTGGTGGAGAGGATTGATGGAGAGGATTGATGGTCTGACAGGTCTTGTGGTACCGACAAACTTTCTGAAACGGATGAATGTATTGCATATAGGGATCAGTCAAGTCTCAATGTATGATATTAAGTGAGAAAACATCTGCAAGAAAGGGCGGGAATCGCAGGATAACACTACTAGTAACTACCATTGTGCTCAACTAGAAAAAGAGCAGGAAGAAACAGACAATTAGATGAGGCTATATGGAGTAGTATGAGGTGCGGAATGTATGCCATGGTGAGTGGGATTAGAGCGTCGGCAAGAAAATGAAACCAGGAGATAACAAACTCGGACAAAAAAGAGCAGATCAACGCTCCCCAGAACGAGATGAAGTACAGGGAAGATGTTGTGCTGAAAGGCGATCCCTCAGCGGCAGGGGAGCAACCGAACGAGGGGATACGAATCGATACAAATCACCTGATACTATGAACATGAATAAGCCATGATGCTTACTGTCTGTACCCCAGCTATCTTCCCTCCCCCCTACTAATCAGCACAAGATGTGTATGCAAGGTGGTTCATCTGCTTCGGATCCTATAGATGATGCCACGCAGTCAACCAGACATCTCATGACGGCTGCATCCACAGCCCACGCAAACATAGCACTGCAGGACGTACAAACATGGAAGAAGATTAGATCGGCACTCATCGGCGAAAGACTTCGGACAATATGTCCACCGGGTCAGCAAACCGAACTGGAATGGGCTGGACTTGCTCTAGGCTCTTCGATAACCCTGGATAAGAAGAGCTGTCAGGGTCAGACTCTCGACACGATGCAACCTTAATCAAGACATCTTCCTAGTACGTTAAGAATAATATGACATTCATGACAAGTCCGGGGTCAGCCAGAGGATCCATCCCTCCGGGGTAATAAACCATAGTAGGAAACATGTCCAGCTTGCACACAAGAAAGGCGAATATATTATTGTGTTCTGCTCTTCGGAACCGAGATACGAAGAGCCACGCATCGGTGCCACACCTAGTGGTGGGGTAATGGGGGGTTGTTAGTGAACTCCGCTGTGGCTGTAGCCCAATCGGACATGCAGACAAGTCAGATGAGGATATCCCCGAGTCCCGCTAATCATGTTGGTCCCTGTAGCGCAAGTCTAGAGTGATCCGTGGGCCCGGGGTTCAAGCCTCATCGCTTACGAGAAGGGCCGAGGGAAGGGGGCCTATGATTAATGGAGACCGGACCCGGATCTCGTTCCTTGGGAGTGTCGTATCTTGCGAGGTCCAAGAGTAATTTACGATTAGACATTCCATGAGCGGAATCGCGCAGATTCCGAGTAGTCTTCTGCATATCGGTGTGTATGTGTGTGTGTATGTGTGTGTGTATGTGTGTGTGTGGGAAGAAAGTTCAGCAGGCAGGGAGGGGGGGAGAGAATTGACAATAACAACAATAGCAGAAAATGGCAGGGCAGCAGAAGAGACAGACGGGGTTGGCTGGCAACCGAACGCGGGAAAGCTCTCTCCGCAATTTCCAACGGAGACGATCCTGCAAAAGGAATGGACTCCATGCGAGGATGAGGCATTGATTGGATCGCCATCCCTTGCCTCCCAGTTAGTTCAGTTCTTCCCCCGCAGTCAGGTGCATGGCCTCTTATTCCCTTATATTGTAATGGAGGGGGAGGAAGAAGAGGAAGAGGAAGAGGAGGGGAGAAGACAAGGGAACTGTTCCCATTCGAGTATCTAGGGGAGGAGAAAAACGAAGAAGGGAGAGGATAATCAGACTAGGCTACTACTAGTCAGGGAAAAGTAAGACGAGATGAAGGTGCATTTGCTGCAAGACCAATGTATAGAGGGTCATCATTACCCTTTTGCCCATCGATCAGGTTCAAGGTACATGCAGCATCCGGGAGGGGAAGAGAGAAGGAGCAGCGAACTAAGGTTGAGGGTGAACGCGTTGATTCGCGTTGGTTTGGACCCGCGGCCAGGATTGCCGTGTAACCTAACGCCAGTATGACGTTGACGAATTCCCAGTGCGGAATGACACAAAGAAAGTAACTGAAAAATCCATCCATGCATGAAAGAAAAGAAAAAGATACTTTGGCGTGAGAAACTGTGCCAAGGGGGAAGAGAGAATTATTATTATGGAATGGAAATTAGGTGTATGTGGTATATTCTGTGTAGTCAGTGTCTCTTGAATACTTTTCGGACAATATTTTTTTTTATCAATTTTGCTTTTCATTAGATTTATTATTTTTCTTTCTTTCTTTCTTTTTTTTTTTTTTTCCCTTTTCTCTTCTCAGCCTTTTCAATGCCCTCCCCCGCATGGATATACACACAGCAGTTAAGAAGTACAACCCGTCTGCTCTTCCCTGCCATTCGTGGCGGTTCGGCTGTTACTTTCGACCCTGAATAACCGTGTATTGTCGACTAAACATACTATCAGCATATAAACCCTGCCAATAATTTCCTCGTTGGCGGTCGCATGATGACCACCTAACCCTTGGAAAATGAGGGTTGGATTTCGGGGGTTTCATGGTGCACCGTTGTTTGGAACCGCTGCGGCCGTGAAATCCCTCCAATTCCCCTTCGGGATTCAACAGGGCTCAGGATAGCCCAACAGCCTGATCCTCCCCGTTCATCTTTCTGGGTTGCGCCCAAGCTCCTTCAGTGTTCCAGTCTTTTTCTCCTCCTCTCCCCAGCCTCCACAGCCCCATCGCGGGTTGGATCGGGCGATTCCTCAACAAGATTCTCCTCCCCCCAGGTCTTGAACCCGATAGGGTTTCAACGGCATTATAGCTATCTCGAGTAGTTGATCTGATTGAAGGAGAGCAGAAGTTTAGTCATCTTTGTACCTGCTCTGTAATTTAATTAATTCATAAGCTCTTATAGGCTAACAATCATCAGGGTAGTATCTAGTATTTAGTAGCTTCGTGGGAGAAGAAAATAGAAAGCCCCGCTTCAGGGTCAACGGGGAAAGAGGAGAAAAAAAAAGAGAAAAAGAAAAAGAAATGGACCAGGCCGCCAGTCGCAAATCCGGCGATGCTCAGAGGGCGACCGGGGCATTCTGTCTAGGCCAGTCAGAAAGCGCGGAGGATCTTCGACTTGACCTCCCAGAGGCCCGCCCGGCCCACTCACGGGCGTTCCATCAATAGCCGATGGGGTTCTTACTCTCCTCTTTTGCTGCTGGTCGCCTGCTGCCTGTCATACTCCTCCTGCTGCTGCTGCTGCTGTTGCTGCTGCTGCTACGGACGTTCATTCACTACAGTAAGAACCCCCCTTCCTCTTCTTTTCCCCCTCCGTCCCCATCTTTTTCTTTACTGGATTTATGATGTATTTATGATTTTTCTTTTCTTTTTCTCCTTTCTAAACTCTTCGGGTATAGTAGTCAGATTGTAAGTTGTGCAGAAGTGAGCCTGTTTAACCCGTCAATTCTCCCCGGATCTCTCTCTCTCTCTCGTCTTTTTTGTCCTGAAGCACTGGAGGATCCTTTCCCCATCTTGCGGCCTATGGTTCCGTACCGTATCTAGACTCACGTCGATTTTCTTACCCCGCCTTGGAGCGATACATTGATCGTATGCTCCAGGTACGTAGTCGCCCCCTTAGCCGTGGTTAGTGTGGATGGAGGTAAAAGGTACCGGGCCACAATCGTTCACTTGTACTTTACTCTTCACCACGGGCTCGAAGGTTGGCACTGCTGGTAAGGACCAGGATAAAAAGAACCACAACCACGACCACTTGCTCCTCTTTCCCTCCAGTCCCCCCCAAACTAAAACTAGCTCGGTCATAGCTCACCTTTCACAAACCCTCCAACCTTCAACTCGCGCCACTGCTGCTCGGTGCTCCGACCCGTGGCTCGCTGTTTTCTCCTCCTGGCTCGTCTGGTCCAGTGGCCTGAGGTCGACTTTGAACTAGTCCAGAGCTACCTCCCTTAGCTTGCATTAATATTATCCTCCTACGCAACTTACGACTGTACAACCTTGCCTTCTCCTCTTCTTCCCTTCTCCTACTACCACCGTGCTAATACTCGGTCCTGATCATCTCTTCTTCTCTCTTTCCCCTTCTCCTCTTCCCTTTCCCAGTCCACAAACTACTTCTACTTCTTCCCACTACTCTCTTCCCTGTTACTCGTTTGCCGCCTTTCTGTCTCTCTCCCTTGGCCCACTCTCGATAAGGCTTGCGATCACACCACACCCCATCCCCGGCTGAAGATCGTCATCGGTCAAGCAACGTTGCAGAAGCCACACTGCCACTCCTGTCTGTCTCTGCGACCTGCGCCGCTCTGCGATCCGCACACACACACGCACACACACATACTCTCTCACTCTTTCTTCGCACGCCCGCGTCCCCCCCAAATCCCCCTTCTTGCGCCGTGACAAGCTCCGCATTTAAAGGGGCCTAACTGTCAACCTAATTCGCTTTGGTCGGGTCGCAGAATAATTTCTGGCCTTCGACGGGCTCTCTCGCTCCCCTTGCTGCTGTGATCGTCGCTCGTCAGTCTCAAGATGCGCTGCTCTTGAGGAGATCTGCCCATAATTACTGGTGCCATCTTGTCTGCCAACGTTATCCGTCTATGGTCACGCTACCGTCTCCCCATCCCGCGCACCCATTGATCCCTTTCATCGCGACTCGACATACAGTGAGGTCATAGGTCTTTTCGAGCGACATACCGCAGATAACCCCTCCGAATCACCACCACCACCACCATCACCGAAAAACAAATAAAAAAAAGTTATAACAGCAAACGGAAAGAACAAACATATTTTTTCTGTTGGTCTGGTGGAATTGCCCTCTAGGCCCGCCTTGATTCCTTCGCCTTTCGACTGGTCGCAAAGCGCCACTTTACACAATACCTTCTTTGATTAGACAGAAGCCTGGTCGCTTCGCCTGGAGAACAATCTCCAGCTACAACTGGGACGGATTTTACGATCGGGTCGATTGCTTGTGTTTTATGTTGGATAGATGGTACAAAAAGTTGCGTTTTATTCTCTGTTAGATTGGTAAGTCAATCGTCATGCTACGTACCTAATATCGCTCGTCCGGGGATATTTTGCTGACCACATGGGGAGGCGCAAACAGACGCGAACACGATTTTCTGCGAATTCTACTTGTCTGGGACGATCGGCGATACCCAAATTTCTATACTAGTTCCGGGTTTGACCTGAATTTGTACTTCTTCACAAGGTACGTATATTTCTCAAGTGTCTATTGTGTGGTTTGCGTTGTGGTCGTGGTCCGTGGCCTAGCCTTCCCCGCAATTTCCCCGGAGAGCTATGCTGTGTGGTCCCTCGAACGTTTTATTCGTCGCCGCTGCCTTTCAGCAGCAAGCAGACGACACGCAGCTCTTGGTTCATCCGAAAGGAGTACGGACGAGCGGGCAGTTGTGTGCTTTTTCCAGCCTCAGGTACAGTGGCTCCTCTATGAGATTTGCCCCCGGAAAGTTTCTGAACCAGGGCAGCCCCTGGAATCTGGGCATGAAAATAGTAAGATCTCGTTGAGCGCATGTGAAACGGGATTCTACTGGGCTTTTCTGGGCTTTGATCATATGATCCGCAGGATGCTCAAGAGGCTGGCGTTTTCCAGGCCCATGGGTGGTTGCCCGTCTCGCCACCCACAGCTGCTCCCCCCTCCCCCCAAAATTACTCAGCATACACGAGCTACAGCTGGGCCTGTTAGGCTTCTTTAATAACTCTTATTTCCTTTTGCTCGGCGAATCCCGTTCTCCGGTTGAAATTTCCTCGTCCCTCTTGCACTTTGACTTTCATCTTTCTCCCTCCAGCGTTGGAGTGTCCCAGCTCTTGTGTATCTGCCTCATCGAGCATCAGCCTGGGCTAACTTATCATGCCGCAAGCAATAGCTTATATCTCCAGGAGCTCTTATTTCAAACGAAATAAATTCCTCCAGACACGGTGGTTTCTGAATTACTTTTAGAGTGTTTTTACCTCGTTGCTTTTTCGCCCACTCGATTCGAATCGAAGGTAACCACTCCTCTTGGCTTTGTTAATTTGCCATGCGGTACTTACCGGCTTCTAGTGAATACCCCGGACTCTTCATTGTATCTGAAGAGGCCAAGCGTTCGTTACACGGATCGAGTCATTCACGATCCGGTATCTGACGTCAGTCGTATCTGTAAGTGAGCCCCAACAAATGACTATATCTTCATCTTATCTCTTTCATTCCGCTCTTCTCTCCGTCTTGCGACGTCCACTTCCCCGCTTTCAAGCACTTCATCAACACATTCATCTCAGCTCAGCTCCTGTTAAGTCTTTCTCACTCGAGAATTACTGACACTTTCATGGCCAGTCTACTTCGCGCCTTGCTATACGCCGTCTTCCAATTCGTATTACAGACATCATGGCTGCGCCAGCCGGCAAATCTACTGCGCAGGCGACCAAGCCTGTGACTTCGTCGACTCCGACCAGTAACGTGTCCGCCAGGCTTGAGAAAACTCACCCTGGCGTTCGCCGGTCCACCCCTGACTCTGAGGCTTTGGCTTCCTCTGATGACGATGGAGACCATTCACAGCAGGTGGCAACCTCTACGACCATGCCAGCACCCAAGCCTGCTCGCCGCACGTCATGGCTAAATGAAGTGCCAGCTACCGCGACCAGAAAGGCATCATTGACCACTAGTGGTCCCTTGTCCGCAGGCGCCTCTAACCCAAGCAGTCCTGCTACCGACCAATCTGGATGGCCGAACACGAGCCCCGGTATTGGTAACTCTATTCCCTGGAATCACGTAGGGAACAGTTCCTTTCCCTGGGCTGCTGGTATCTGGAATACCGAGTCTCGGAAGGAGCCTCCGCCACGGCTTGCGGAGATCGTCCCATCCCCGACCATGTCCAATCCTTCTACTGCGAGCAATTACTTTACGGAAGAAATACTGAGCCCTACGACTCGTACGACCGCTGGCGACTCGGCCATCCCGTTCTCAATTCCTCTGCATCCGACTCCAAAAACCTATCGGTCGCAGTCATACTCGGTAGGTCAGTTGGATCCTGAGTTCCTGAGCTTCATGGCGAACAAGTCCTCAAAGCCATACTCTGGCGGCCGTCCTCGTAACGGCAACCAATTCTCCGCCTTACAGCATCGGTCGTCGCGGCCTAGCCTTCTCGGTGAGCTGGGTCATGACCCCGCTACTCTTGGACGTGTGCGCGAGGACGATGACGATGACGCTGGCAGCCCGGATGGTTCGGACGGTAGCTTTAGCAACTATGCAGCCAACCAAGCCCGAACCATCGAACAACTTTCGAGGGAAAATGCTCTCCTACGCCAAGCAGCAGGGCAGATGGACAACTCAATGAGAGATCGTACCATGTCGTCTGCGTCCGCAGCTAGCGGATATGCCATCGGAAGTGGCATCCATAATTTGCACCGTATTCGCGGCAGTGTCCCCGAGGAGACCGACCTGGCGGTAGAAGATCTTGACGAGGTTGGCGATATCCCTGGTTACAATAACATTCATAGTAGCGGTCGGAGAAGACTCTCTGAGCATTCAGCGAACCTCGAGAAGCAGCTCCCTCCTTACACGTCGTACCAGAATCGTACCCTGGAAAACGTCCGCAAGGCTCATTGGCAAACCTCTCTTGACTTTGGTAGCATTGCGGATATCCCTCAGAGTCGGCGCCACTCCTTTGCGGACATTCCTATGCGACACGCTTCTGTCTCAGGGGAATCCCAGGCAGCCGCCAGTACTAGAGCTGGAATGGGTGATAGAGAAGAGGATTATACGAACATTGTTGACGGCCCTCTTTCAAATGTTCAAGGCCAGAATCGTGAGTATCCTCGTTTTCATGTGGCCCCTCGTCCCGAGGAACATGAAATGGAGACGGAGTATTTACGAGCTCGTCGATTTGCAGAAGCCTATTTTGCTCGCGACCCAGTTCTCCGCGCCGCCGACGGCCCCGCTTCCATGGCCACGTCCCTCCACCAAGCATACACGATGCCGAACGCCTACGGCCGCCACCAGCCTGGCCTCGCGCATTCGCACCAGAACCAGCTCCTGTATATCGTCACGTTCAAATGCCATCGGGCGGATGTCTTCTATATCCAGGAAGATACCGGTCTTCAGGTGAAACCCGGTGATCTCGTCATCGTCGAAGCGGACCGCGGTACGGATCTTGGCACTATACAGCACGCTAACGTATCTATGCAAAGAGCCCGGGAGCTGAAACAGCAGTATGCCGAGGAACATTACAAGTGCTTGATGATGTTCTCTAGACAGGGCCAGAATGGGGCCGCGAACGTGGTCAATGCTCCTAGTGGTGTACCCGGCTTGAATAACAGAAGCGCCATTGGTGGCATGGGTCCACATGGTCCGCATGGGATGCAGGACTCTGCTGCCGACATCAAGCCTAAATTGATCAAGAGGCTTGCCCAAAATCATGAAATCTTAACTCTACGTGAAAAGGAAGGAAATGAAGCGAAGGCGAAGCGAGTTTGCCAGCAGAAGGTTACCGAGCATCGACTGAATATGGAAATTCTCGATGCCGAATTCCAAATGTGAGTTCAAATGTAACGTTCGGCGCACTCATTCACCTGCTAACAAGACCTTTTCAACTAGGGACTGGAAGAAGCTCACCTTCTACTACTTTGCGGATTCCTACATCAATTTCAATTCGCTTGTTACTGATCTTTTCAAGATCTATAAGACCCGGATTTGGATGTCTGCTATCAATCCAGCTTCGTTTGTCACGCCTCCCAGCGCTGGCTTGTCGGCCCCAAACCCTCTAGCTTATAATCACGACGCACAAGCGGATCGCCCACTTGACGGCAGAATCTACGGTCATCCTCGTGACGCCATGGGCACGGGACGAGACATCGGCGCCAACCAGATGGGAATGTTGCGCAATGCCTATGTCGACTCGTATCAGCCGTTCAGCCAAGCCTCTCGCCAACCAGAGCTAGGTGGACTCGCTTCTGTGGATCCCTTTACTCCCTATTCGGCGAACAATTATGGCTCTCTGGATTCGGGATACGTTGATTACGGCGCAGGGACGGGCGCAAGCTCCGGACCATCCCGTCTACATGCTGCCCCGAGCGAATGGATAAACAACCGTTTCCAGGGGTTGTCCCTGAATTCCTGAGGAATACCATGCGGTTTCTCTGTACAAATTGATGCAATACCGCTGTACATCGAAAGCAGCTTTTATTTCTTTTTATCCCCTATCATCTTCTTCCGCCGCCTATGCAAAACCCATTCTCCTGTCTTCCCAACCCCAAGAAGGGACCATCCGCTCCGCTTTCATGTATTCAGATTTCACATTTCCTACTGTTCTTCTCGTTGACTTCGCTCTTTTACACTATCACTACATCTCTCTTTTCTAATGTGTTTCTTACAAGAGATTAGAAATCATGTGCAACGGATCAAAAGGAAAGACTCATGACCTGTCGTTAGTGCTGATAATTAATCATAGACTTCAGCTTTGATGGTATGAAGGCTTAGGCATGTTCGTCTCGGGCTATGCTGCAAGCAATCAGATCATTACCAATTCAATGGATCGGTTTTTTTTTTAAATTGTCTCCTAATTGCTAAATGTATATTATGTTATTGCCGAATCGGCCCATATGTTCCATCTGCGTGATTTTGAAGTCTCCGTATATAGGCTTGTCGACATAGGATCAAGGCACCTTGCACTTTCACGTGGAGCATGTCTGTCAAACTCTCGTTGATCGATACCTGACGACAGTATCACTTCCGTCCGGTTTTGGACGGCGCAAGAGCCATATCTTCATAGCCTACAATGATTAGAAAAGATACATTTTTTTTTTCTTTTGCTCTTTTCAATCATTCTCTCCTCTACTTCTATGGACGATTAGATAAGTTGAATACATGGCCCTTGGTCTGATTACGTTGCTTGGGTTTAGCAAGGATGAGTTTTATTAGTTGTCGCCTTGTAGCCTTACGGTCGCAAAAAGCGTAGAAGGTAATTGCTAGTGCTGAAGAAGAAGGCGGTGTATATTAACACCTCAGGCATTCATGAGAGACACAGCGGAGGATTTCACTGGTTGGGGTGGGGGCTCGCCTAATTCTCTAGCGTCCCACACACAAGGTCGTTGAAGAGACTACTATCTTTGCTCCTCCAACTTTTCAGCTGTGACAACCGACGACAATCGACGACCTGCCACGCCGACAAGGTACGTTTTTTCGCGCCCCTTTCGTCGTGATTCCTGCTGCGATACAACGAATCGCTCTGCAGCCATCGAGAAACAAGAAAATTGAGCACCAGAGACTGATATTCCGATTTCCGTCCAGATGGGTGCCCTCAAGTACGTGGAAGAGATCCAGAAGAAGAAGCAGTCCGACGTGATTCGCTTCCTGCTGCGTGTCCGTTGCTGGGAGGTGAGAATTCCCCCCTATATTGCGATCACTTAACATCCCGCCGGGTGCTCGTGTAGTTTGCCATAGGATGCCCTTCTTGAAATGAGAAATGGTGTTACTGGGCGGCTCGAAACGAACTTTTTCTTTCGCCGGCGGATGGATGTGGCACAAACAGAGAGACTTGAGAGAAGCCTCATGTGTCTTGCTATACACTCGTTGAACTTTGCTGAGAGTGCATCAATATAGCTCCGTCAACTGAACGCTATCCACCGTGCTTCCCGCCCCTCTCGCCCCGACAAGGCTCGTCGTCTCGGCTACAAGGCCAAGCAGGGCTATGTTGTCTACCGTATCCGTGTGAGACGCGGTGGTCGTAAGAGACCCGCTCCTAAGGGTGCCACCTACGGTATGTACAATCTTCGTCTTTGAGGGATTGGAACCCAATCTAATTTGTTTGCGACTACAGGCAAGCCCACCAACATGGGTATCAACCAGCTCAAGTACCAGCGCGCTCTCCGTGCTACCGCTGAGGAGCGTGTTGGCCGTCGCTGCGCCAACCTGCGTGTCCTGAACTCCTACTGGATCAACCAGGACTCCACCTACAAGTACTTCGAGGTCATCCTCGTCGACCCCCAGCACAAGGCCATCCGCCGCGATGCTCGCATCAACTGGATCTGCAACGCTGTCCACAAGGTTCGTTATGAATGCCATTGGGGATTATATGTTCTCATTGATTACACGTTACTGACCGGGAATGTGTTTCATAGCACCGCGAGGCCCGTGGTCTTACCGCCACCGGCAAGAAGTCCCGTGGTATCAACAAGGGCCACCGCTACAACAACACCCGCTCTGGCCGCCGCCACACCTGGAAGCGCCAGAACACCCAGAGCTACTGGCGTTACCGTTAAATGTAGATGGGGTGTTTATGGGGGTTGTTGGTTATGGGAAAAAATTGATCCTGTGGATGTCACTATTTCGATCAAAACTCGCATCTACGGTGCCGTTCTGGAACTGCTGGGGTGCGAGCATAATGCAACAGATCTTCTGGATCGGATGTTAGCCAAAATACCTTTTTTTCACTTTTCTCGGTTCACCTGTATTGTTCACCTAACGAAGTATGACGACCTCTTTTACCTTGTTTCAGCAATCTGCAGGCACGTAGGGCGTAGCTAAGGGTATGAGGTGGATTGATGTAGACCGGTTTTTGCTTCTGCCGATCAGTGCCTGGTGCCTTGGCATGCGATTGAGTTGGAAGGGGACGGCGCTACGCTGTGACTGCACTATAGCCCTGTCTGGGAACCTGCCGGGGAGGGTTCACTGTGAGTGGTGATGTGATGATGTCTGTATTGCAGGACCTCCAAACCCACCTGGCAGGAAGAGTCTAAGACCCAAGTCGACCAGTGTCGCTGGTTGCAAGCCAGTAGGATGGAGCCCTGGGGAATAAAAATAGCAGCGTTGGCGTTTATTCCAAAGGCCAGTGAAACCCCGTTCGGCGCCCGACGTTGCCTTCGAAGCCCACACAATCTAAGGCCCGTGGTTCGTCCAGTCAGTCCGCGCCGGTTCTTGCTGGCCTCAGGCATCCAAGTCTCGTGCGCCCATCGCAGCTTGCGCATCCGCTGAGCTAAACTGGGTAACTTCCCCCCCCCCCTCAAAGGTGGGAGCCAAACCCACTTGCTTGCCAGGACTCATTTCTTGCTCCATCCCTCGTTTTCTGGCCTCCCTTGCCCTGACGTCTTTCCTTCTGATTCATCCCCTGTTCTACTTCTTTCCGCTTTTGTTCCAGGGGCGCTCTCCATTTCCTCATCCTCGACCAGCTCCACGTTACATCCCCCTCTCTCCTCACGTTACATACTACTACCACCGAAACTCCCCTCGATACCTTACTCATCAGTTGTTTCTACAATTAGCTACACGCTCTTTATTTCTTGTTTTCTGTTAAAACGAACTCGACTTAAGTAAACTTCCTTGCCACAATTTCTTTAGCTTTGCAACTTGCCTCGTGCCACTGACCGGGATTTACTTATCGTCCACGACCACGAAGCCCTATCTACTACCCCTGCTTATCGCAGACCGTACCCTGAGATCTATACAATTTCTTCGCCTTCTACCACAACCCCTAATTCGCGTCTCATAATCGTACGCCACTCCAGGAAAAGCAATCCACTCAATCTACCGAAAGCTGGGGACAGCAAATGTGCCCATATGCCGTCGCGGACCCCATATAACCCATCCTATCCCCCGACCTCCGGCTCCCCGTCTAGTCATATCCGTTCGGCTGCAATTCCTTTCCCGGCAGAAGGGAATTCGCCTCATCGGATACCGCAAGATGGTTCAGGTCTATCGTCCATGACTGGAAATCCAGCGACTTCACCCCCTCATCGTAGGGGCCATTCTCGTTCCGTCAGCCATCCGTTCCCCTCACCCTTCGGCGGCATTACGAAGCGGCGCAATCGGTCGATTTCGAAAAAAGATAACTTGATGTTTGATTCCGATGATGAAGATGACGATGAGGTTACGTATTTGCCGGACCCGAACTCGTCTAGCCCTCGTAAAGGGGCCGCGCGTCCGACTCCGGCTGAAGAGATGACCTCGGGAAAGTGCATGGTTTGTAACAGCACAGTGCGTTGGCCGCGGAACCTCAAGGTTTTTCGGTGCACGGAATGTTTGACTGTAAATGACTTGGAGCCATTTGTGGACTCTGGCAAGGCTGGCGGTAATGGCCTTTCGGGTAGTGATGGAAAGGCACCCACCCCCGCGGTGCCCCGAAAGGGTATGGATTATACCCGCTGGTTCTGCTTACGGGACAAGTAGTGAACTGACTGTGTTTAGCTATGCCGCTTTCCATCGAGCGAACGAAAACGATTTTAGATGATTGCCTCTCCAGGTATCTCCAACAGCTCCTGGAACCACAGCAGCAAAATTCGACCCCAGAGAATTATAGCGGAAAATACTTGGATGTCGCGCAGGACGAAAATCTATCACAGTCTCCAACTCAGTCTTCCGGGTACTTATCTGAACCGCGGCCTTTGGTGGATCCCCGGGGCCGCAGTTCCTCTACATCTAGTAAGCCTATGAAAACGGAGGGAGTAAGCGGCGTCCCGAATTACTCGAAACCTAACTTGACTCCTTTCTATGCGCATGGAGAGAGAAAGGGCTCCGAGATGAGGAGCCGAGATGCTCAAAATGCCCCGAGACGTGATCGCTCACCTCGGAATGCTGCCCGATCAAACGGTCCAGAGGCTAAAGGTCCTACCAGTCGTCCGTACATCTTCAGGTCGCTCGAGGAATATATCATCACGTCGTTCAAGGGCTGTGACTGTCTGAACAGCTCCTTCACCACAGCACAGCCAGCCCCGCGAATTGCTGATAACAGCAGCCCACCGAAGCAGAAAGCGGAACCAAGCTCTGCTCAGGCCCCCAGTCAGGTAACATTTGAGCCGGATCCGAAGCTGCTACTTCTTGGAGACATTGCAGAGAATTCCTCTTGGTGGATGAACGAAGTAGAACAGATTAGTAGCTCTCATCGGTCCCGCTCGAGAGAGCGCCGGGAGAAGACCTCTAGCTCATCTAGGCCTGTTTCTTCTAGGAGCCCTCGGATCAATTGGGCAGAACTTGCACAGTGGCACCACATGATCATGACGGCGGGGACGTCATGGGTAGAGCTGTGGTCAACAATGAAGCCTACCGAGATGAAAAAGGAAGAAGACGCCGTTATAGCCCAGAAGTGGAATGCCACCGACTTAGCTATGGTTGACAGAGAGATTACAGAGTCGCGCTTACATTTGCACCGAACGCTCTTGAAGGCGACCGAAAATCTGCTAAAACGGCCCAGACGGCCATTGAAGAGGCCCGAGGATACCAGGTTTCTACTGATGCTACTGACGAACCCCTTGATTTATTCGTCCAGTTCATCGTTTGCATCTTACAGTCTGGCGCCTTCGGCGGCCCGCGGTGACCGGAGGCCTTCTCACCCCAAAGATGGCACTCCAAGACCGGCTCCTCGGAATCCGAAGCCTCCTCCAAAACCCCGAAGCAATGGTCCAGGGCATCATTATGGCATTGTCAAGCGGATATTGGGGCTCTTGGCTAATTTACCGAACGACTGCCATCACTACTTGGTGTCCTGGTTCTCGCGTTTCTCGGCCGGGCAATTCGAGAAGATCGTGGACCTTGTCGGGGGATTTGTTACTCATCGACTAATGCGCCAACATGGGAGGAAGCGCAGCGAGTCGGCTCAACACGACGACGATTTGGTGCCCAGCTTCTCTAGTGCCGCAGGCCACACTCCGGCCGAGCTGCATGCGGCGATCAATGGCAGGAGCCCCAACAAAGCAAACGAGCAGCGCGACCAGCCCGTAGTGTACACGGATGACTGGCAGGTGCGGGCTGCGGCGCGAGTGATGTCCTTGCTCTTTACGGCGAACAATGCGAACGTTTCCCGGAAACCAGACGGCGTCCTTGGTCAAGATGCAGGATCTGTGGCTAGAAGTCAGGCCAGTCGGCGGGGGCATATGATCCCGATCAGTTCCTTTTACAATACACTACTGGATTATTCCGACCTTGTCGCCGACTTTGAGGCCTGGGAGTCAAAGACCACCAAGTTCTCCTTCTGCCAGTACCCTTTCTTCCTAAGCATCTGGGCCAAGATCCACATCCTAGAACATGATGCACGCCGGCAGATGGAGGTCAAGGCTCGCGAAGCGTTCTTCAACAGCATCATGAGCCGGACGGCAATCAGCCAGTATCTCGTGCTGAAGGTGCGCCGCGACTGCTTGGTGGAAGACAGTCTGCGGGGGGTCAGTGAAGTCGTCGGCTCAAGCCAGGAGGAGATCAAGAAGGGACTACGCATCGAATTCCTCGGTGAAGAGGGCGTGGATGCGGGAGGTCTCCGCAAGGAATGGTTCCTGCTGCTTGTCCGGGAAGTCTTTGATCCTCATCACGGTAAGTAAATGTTCATTGTCAGCCAAAACATGCAATGGGCCAGTTGACTGATTTTCCTATAGGGCTATTCATCTATGATGACGACTCGCGATACTGTTATTTCAATCCATATTGCTTCGAGTCCTCGGAGCAATTCTTCCTGGTCGGCGTTCTCCTGGGACTGGCCATCTACAATTCGACCATCCTCGACATTGCGCTGCCACCCTTTGCCTTCAAGAAGCTCCTGGCTGCCGCGCCGCTGTCGTCAATTACGCGGCCTATGTACAAGTGCAGCCTGGATGATCTGGCGGAGCTCCGACCGGCATTGGCCAAGGGTCTACGGGCGCTGCTTGACTACGAAGGAGACGTTGCGGAGACGTTCTGCTACGACTTTGTGGCGCAAGTAGATCGCTACGGCGAAACAGTGTCGGTACCCCTCTGCGCTGGAGGGGAGAATCGGCCGGTGACAAACGCGAACCGCCGGGAGTTCGTGGACCTATATGTGCACTTTCTCCTAGACACGGCGGTCACGCGGCAGTTCGAGCCCTTCAAACGGGGGTTCTTCACGGTATGCGGCGGCAATGCGCTCTCTTTGTTCCGTCCGGAGGAGATCGAGCTACTGGTGCGCGGCTCGGACGAACCGCTCGACGTGGCGTCCCTGCGGGCGGTTGCCACGTATGACAACTGGTCCAATGCACGGCCAGAGACGGAGCCAGTAGTCCGGTGGTTCTGGGATTTCTTCGAACAAACGCAGCCGCAGGCGCAACGGAAGATCCTATCGTTTGTAACGGGAAGCGACCGAATCCCAGCCATGGGGGCGACGAGCCTGTCGATCCGGCTGGTGTGTCTGGGTGATGAGACGAGCCGATTCCCGACGGCGCGGACGTGTTTCAACCAGCTGGGACTGTATCGATATGAGACGCGGGAGAAGTTGGAGCGCATGCTTTGGGATGCGGTGTTGAATAGCGAGGGGTTCGGGCTGAAGTAGACACGGGGAGCAGGACTCCCTCCAATGCGAGCCTTGGCACTGGCGTCTGGGGCATCTTCGAAGCATCGGGCATTAACAGCATTAGCACTAGTTCCATTTTTGAGTGTTGGGGGCGTTTTCTTATTTTCATTTCTCGTACGAGGTTTGGGGGTGGTGAGATTCGTCCGGGGGTGCATCTTGTAGACGGGGCTGGACCGAGTTGATAGCCTGCGGGGGATGACGAGATGCATCCGCGGTGTACGGTTGACAAGGGTACTGATACGAGCTGTCGGCGGCAGTCATGAGACGGCAGCCACGTAAGTAGCAAGCCAGTCGGACCGGGACAGACACGGCGGTGGCTGCCGTGGGAGGGGGAACGGTACGGTGTCGGGCTATGGCCTGGGGATCGGACCGAGAGGAGAGTGATGTACATAGCAGTTGCCCGAAGATTAGAGATGGGTCCCGATGTGAATGGGTCGTTGGGCGACCAAATGAAAGCGGTAATTACTCGAGTGATGCAGTAGGAGGCAGTAACGTAGGTAATAGACAGTAGACAGTCTAGTGCTAGTGTCTCCTCTCGAACTTGGTAGAGACAGAGAGAGGAGGTGCATGCATGAGAAACAGCGCTAGTCGTGCCGTAGCGAGTGGGGCAGCGGTGAGTTTGTTTGTTTCGCGTTCGCTGGAAGGGAAGCACTCGAGTAGCGATCGTCGGTGTCAAAGTAGATTCAATTTCCCTCAATGAAGTCATTCCTTCATCCATACCCTTTCTGAATACTGAACCAGGAACAGCATCAGGAGCCACCATCTATCTCTGTATGATGGGATACAGATCCGTCCCTGGTTCCTGGCCAGATCTTCATCCAGTCGAGAGTCGGAAATCAAGGCCACTCGGGAAGACCACGTTCAAGTGGGGCGGAATGAAGTCATGCGGGTCGCAAGCTGTGGGGGTTAGACTAGACGCCTTTCTTTTTTCTTTTTGTTTCCTTTTCGCCCTTAACTCGTTGTAGAATAGAGAGATTCTGGCGGGTTCTGTGATGAAGTCATAGGCTTGGGGAGTTGCTGTTTTGGTTTCTGTTTCTCCTGGGTTCGATTCTATGTGGGATAGTCTGGACCCACTTGTACCTAGCTATACAGGGTAGGCTAGTAGTAGCTGCTGTTGTTGTCTAGGTCCTGTAAGTCCGTCGTTGGTGGTATTGGTGGTGGTGGTGGTGGTAGTGTAGATGGTGATTGCGGGGGATCATGGCTTGTGTCACTCTGTGTTCTCTCCAGGGTACTTACCTGCTAGTAGTAAGAGTGGTCAGTTATAACTGGATAGAAAGTAAGTTTGTTGGGTTTGGGGGGTCCCGTACATGGATAGTGGGTGCTATACCCTATGACTTGAGTGAGTGTGCATGAGTGGTGTTTCAAGGACGGGATGGAAAGGAATCGAATTGGCCCATGTACTGAAGCCTTAGGAGGACAGATCCCCGGGCACACAACAACAACAACATCAGGCCATCCCCACTGGGGATTAGTCCGATTTCCCTTACGTATGGTAAGGAGGTTATTCCTGATCGGATCCTGGTATAGAATAATAGTTAGTCACTTAGTATTTACCCCTCGAATGGTCACCATTCAAATAGCCTCGTCTTTCCCTCGTTTTCTTTGTCTTCATCTTCTATCTTTTTTCTCTCACAACTCACTCTCTCATCCTTAATCTCTCTCACTTCGCTATTATCTTTAACCTTCTTTGATAACTTGTATGTTTCTTGTCTTTCTGAGGGTTTTTTCTTGGGTCTGTTGGGTCTTTGCTGACGGTGTCGATTCCTGTAGTAAAGTATCCATATCATCACTATCATCATGGGTTCCACTCTTCCTCAGACTATGAAGGCTCTTCGGTATGTTCCTTTTCCCTAATCATAGTCATTAGTTAGGATGTAGTTAACCATCGGTACCAGCTATGAGAAGCCAGAGTCGCACGGCATTGTCGACGTCCCGCTGCCTGAGCTCCGTGACAACGATGTCTTGGTATGCTCTTACCTCCTCTCCTATACATATACATACCATGCATTATGCACCTCTAACAACGCCCCCCTTCACAGATCAAAGTTAAAGCCTGCGGTGTCTGCGGAACCGACCTGCACATCCACGAGGGTGAATTCATTGCCAAGGTACCGTAGCCCCCTCTATCCTCCCACGTCCCTCTCGCGATCCACTAACGGTATGGAATTAACAGTTTCCTCTCGTCCCCGGTCACGAAACTGTCGGTGTCGTCGCCGCCGTCGGCCCCAAGGTCAAGGGCTTCAACATCGGTGACCGCGTCGTCGCCGACAACTCCGAGCTCTGCGGCGAGTGCTTCTACTGCCGTCGCGGCGATGAGCTGTTCTGCGAACACTTCGAAGCCCACGGTGTTACCATGAACGGTGGCTTTGCTGAATACTGCGCGTACCCTGCTGGCAGGGTATTCAAGATCAAGAACCTTTCTGATGTGGATGCCACGTTGTTGGAGCCGGCGAGCTGTGCGGCGCATGGTCTGGATAAGATTGCGCCGAAGATGGGGTCGTCGGTGTTGTTGTTTGGGGCCGGGCCGACTGGTTTGGTATGTCCCCTTAGGTATGCAGTGGTGGGTTTGTGCTAACGGGTTAAATGTGTAGATCCTGGCTCAATTGCTCCGCCAATGCGGTGGCTGCCGCGTGGTGGTCGTCGCGCCCGAGGGATTGAAGATGGATCTGGCCAAGTCGCTGGATGCAGGTGACGAGTATGTTGCGCTGTCGCGACAGGATCCTAGCGCGCAGTTCCAGAAGCTGAAGGACGAGAACCCCTACGGGTTTGACATTGTGGTTGAGGCCACGGGTAGTGTCAAGATCCTAGAAGACTCGATCAACTATGTCCGCAGAGGTGGTAAGCTGGTCGTGTATGGAGTTTATTCCAACAAGGACCGTGTGTCTTGGCCTCCTAGCAAGATCTGTAAGTTCATTCCTATCTTCCTTTGGTGGTGCGGATGTATACTGATGGTATGATAGTCGGTGACGAGATTACTATCCTTGGCAGCTTCTCTGAGGTGTACAAGTTCCCTGCGGCGATTGACTACCTCGACTCGGGCAAGGTCAAGGTCAAGGGCATTGTCAACAAGACGTTCAAGATTGATCAGTGGGAGGAGTGTCTGGCGGCGATGAAGAACAAGACGGCCATTAAGGCGGCGATTACTTTTGATTAGTGCTGGTCACTAGATGATGTATATATTAATGAGTTATGTTTGGTATGAAGCTTTGCTTCTTGACTGAGTCCAATATCATGATGACATTCAGTTGATTTGAAGTGTATTGACGAAATGTTACTGGTATATATATGGGGTGAGGACCCGGGGAGTCACACTGACGTAGATCTCCACCAGGGCTTGATTTTAAATCAAATCAAGATCACGAGGACCTTGAGGCCACATAGCATAGATGCACGATCCCATAAACGAAATACCATAGCTAGTTAGTAGCTATAGCTATAGCTACAGCTAGGTTCAACCGGAGTTGAACCAGCCGCAGCGATTAAACCCGAAGCAACACCAAACTTATCGATAAGAAAGATTCTCCACACCCAGCTCTCCTCACCTCTCTCATCCATCACCTCACAACCCATCTTCATTCTCTACACCTACCCAACCCATTCCCAAAACCAATTCCAGACCCCAAAGAATAACCATGGTAAAACCCCTAACCTTCAAAGGCGACAAGCCCAAAAAACGCAAACACACCTCCACATCCACCTCCACCGATCCCTCCCATCCAGCCAAAAAACAATCCACATCAACCAGCACCCCAACCGCCAATGAAGCCGAAGACCCCTCAACCCACGACGAACACACCCTCTCCGACCAATCCTGGGTCTCCGCCGACACAAGCAGCGACATCTCCGGCCCGATCCTGCTCATCCTCCGCACCACACCACCCACCTGCCTCGCGACCGACGCGCACGGCACCGTCTTCGCCTCTGCGCTCGAGAACATGATCGAGGGGGATCCCCGGACCGCGGAACCCCATGATGTGCGACAGGTTTGGATTGCGAGTAAGATTGCTGGCATTGAGGGGTGGAGTTTGAAGGGATCAAACGGGCGGTATGCATACACTCATTTCTGAATTTTGTTGTGGATGATAAAAGGGCTAATGGGGCTATTGTGCGACGGTTAGATACTTGACTAGCGACAAGCACGGCATCTTGTCCGCCAATGCATCGGCTATTTCGCAGCACGAGATATATACGATTAGTGAGAGTGGGGCGGGGGGAGGAGGGTTCTTTGTCTTTGGGACCGGGACGGGAGCGTCTTCTGCTTCGCAGGGGGGTGATGGCGTGGATGATAAGGAGAAGAAGGAAAAGAAGCAGACATATCTTGTTGCGCGGACTGTTGCGTCGAAGACGACTGCTTCGGGGACGAAGGTTGAAATTCGTGGGGATGAGACTACTCTTGATGATGGGGAGGAGGATGGGGGAGGGACGAATATTCGTGTGCGCATGCAGGCGCGCTTCAAACCGCGCATCCAAGCGAGTAAGGAGATCAAGGCGCGGGAGAAGATCGGAAGAAAAGAGTTGGAGGGTATTGTGGGGAGACGGTTGGATGATGATGAAGTCAAGAGGTTGAGGAAGGCGAGAAAGGAGGGCGATTTTCATGAGGTCGTGTTGGATGTTAGAGTGAGAGGGAAACATGATAAGTTTGCTTGATTAGGATTACTTTTTCTATAGATGTTTTGTTATGCCATGTACAGTCTATTCTATCATGTGTGTTATGTAAGTCTTGGGTCGTGGAACGTCTATCTAGTGAGATTGCAGCCATGAGTCTTCTGGTGGGAATCTGAACCAGCTGCTTGGGAGCACGCTCTTCTTGCATAGCGGGCAGAGACTGCTGCTCTGCGTTAGGGATGTATCGATGCATGGTGGGTGGTAAATGTGTCCGCACGGCAGCTCGCGCACTGCTGATAAATCCGGCTCAAAATCATCCAGGCAAATCGCGCACGTCGTTTGCTGTCGGCTGAGTCGGTTTTTGTGCTGTGCATAGGCGTCTGGGTGGCCTGCTATTGTCGCCTGCGAGGGTCGTCTGATGGACTCGCCGTCTATTGCTTTTTCCGCCTCATTGTCCGCCTCACGAATTGCGATGGTGGGTGTTTTGGGGTCTATGTCTTCAGCAGAGTGTTCGGTGATCCGTGGTAGATTCCCAGGTGTTGAATTCTCATGGGTCGATTCGTTGTCGTCACCATCGCCCATGTAGATGTAGATTGGCATCGTCTCCAAGAATTCTGGCGGAACTTTGATATGAAGCTGGGCTAGCTGCTCCAAGTCTGCTTCTCCGGCTTCCAGGCGGCGCTGGAGCTCCCGCTGATGCCGCCTGTGCACCAGTTGGTAGAATAAAAGTAGGATAATAGTAAGTACGAGGACCGTCCCGAGAATGGCGAGAATGAACCCCCATATACTGGGCATCTTCTTTGCGCCACTATCTGAGGCATATGTCAGCTTCTTACTGGCAATGTCACGACAACACAAGCCTACCTATATCTATGACCGCTATCAATCTGGTAGCCCCTGACGACGACAATGCAGTTAGGTTCTCTTGGTCATCGGGATCGGGCACACTCCCGTCGCGTGACAGTTGTTCCATCAAGGTAGCACCCGCCGCGCCGGGGATTCCGTACACCGGAAAGTTGCTCTGCGATTGCCAGCTAGCGCTTCCTCCCAGCTGCCAGGCCGGGTCATTTGCCGCTGGCGGCTTTTTGTCATCGTTGGACGGCAGAAAAAAGAGCAGCGCGGCCGGCACGGTGCCCTGCGAGACATTGAGAAACGCCTGCGAACATTCGTCGCTTATCCAAGGTGCCAGCCCGATCACACGGCCGTCGAACGGCGTGACGCCTTGGAGGCGGGTGACGTTGTCCGGGATATACGGTTCAGTGGCATTGTTGCATGGATTTTGGGTTCCGAGGCTGGGAACAAAGAGAAGTCCCTGAATTGAGCCTTGGTCCGGGGCTTTTTGTTTCGACAGCGTTTGAACGGTATCGTCAAGCTTGAGAGAAAAGATCGAACTCTCCTAGGGGCACAGTCAGCTTCTCGGACACGGAATTTCACGGGCGTCTGACGCACGTTCAGAGCGATGGTGGTGTTTGTCGGATCAGCAAAGAGCGTCGCAACCGTGGTGAGCGATTTGGCAGCTAGATAAGAGGCATATCAGCGATCGCTCAGGTATGGACAGGGAGACAGCCACGGAAGGATGAACAGGCAGTCACGATCGAAGGAATGTGCAGCATTCTCTGAAGCAAGGGGAGCATACTCATGGTGTGACACGGTCGTGCGACCAGCACGAGACCCGTGGACAAGAGGAATCCAGCAGCTTAAAATCCAAGTCCAGGGAGCATCGTCATCCGCATTCCGATCCGATTGAAATGAGAGTCGACGTCAGACGCACGATGCCTACTGCAATGGGAGAGTGCGCGAGCAGAGTCAATCTATTATCTTGTCTATGGGACTTGTGGGAAGAATGCTGACAGGTCAGGTTGATTCGACTGTCCGTTGCGGATAATTGCGGCGGCCAGCTGTACCAGGCCAAGACCAAGCAGAGAAATCTGCAGTTTGCTGGGGTACTGCTTCTGCGCTGGCTCTTCCCGGGTCAAATTTGCTTGTCCCAACCATCCTGGATAGCCTGTATGCTGTTTGCAGTGAATGCGACGTTTGCGGCATGAACCAAGCAGGGTTACTCTTGAGGGTCTAAAAATAGCCAAGATGAGGATGGATGGTGATGCTTAGATGCAAGCATCCTACCCTAACAGCCATGGTATTACTATTGGTTCTGCCAATGGAAAAATGTCAAGGAAGGGTCCAGCTGTAGCCTGTACTACCTTGTTGTGTCAAGAGTAGAGGCGATCACTGCACTGCGATGGAGTAAACTACGGTTAGCATGTATGCCTTGTAGATCCTCCACTTCTCCATGTCGATGGAGCCGAGTTGGGTTTAGCGTCTCAACTGGTAAGCCTACTACTAGTTTGCCTACGGCGCTCTTCCCCTGAGCTAACATGCTTGGGTTGTTATTATGCCCAGCCATTTTACATATTATATACCTTGCTTAACCTTGGCTACTGTCCCACTTACCAGCATATGAGGCACTCGAGGAAAATGTCAATCATACGGTAGGATATGTATATGATGCAATACAGGATGAGCACGCTAAAGTCTGATCAGATCACTTCCCACTAGTAGGCTGATCATACTTATGCGGACATAGAAGGTATATAATAAGGCTACTACGTTAGAGAACAGTAGCTAAATTTCATCTCATGCGCCCGACACTTTTACCACCAGCAACACAAAGGGTGCTCTCAGAGCACCAGATATCTTATTGAGCAGAGACATCAGACAATACATCGGTAGAGGATCGGCCGAGTCGTCTACTCCCCATCCACTTGGCGGTGTGAATCAAATAATGAACATCGATATGTTTATCCGCTTATAGAGTACTAAACCTGGCGGTGAGGTGCAACCCGATAGTATATCTGTGTCATGGCCTACAGAACCGAAAGTCCAACAGATCGACACGAGCACCTGGCATCCAGCTTTCGTTACCAACGCAAATGATATTACGGAACATAGCATGTCAACTATTTTTGTGTCTTCGCTGAACCGTGGATCTCAGCTGCTCCAGTATGAGCGTATAACTCAAGACAGTGAACAGTAGCAACTAACGGACAAACATTCACCCAAGCCGTCCTCACTGGAGCTCTTCCACGTCAGCCGACGGATCCTTGTAAGCTTATCAATTAACGATACCATCGGATACGAAGGAAGTCCGAAGAGACGAATCAGCCTGCTGTAAGACATGCAATCAATCAGTCAATCGTTACAATCTTTCAGGCTTCCCCCATGCTCATAGCATGCTTGGGGGTCATACCATCACAAACTTCCCCAGAAAACAAACGAGAGCATCTGCTAATGATCGAACTCTTCTGGAAGAAACACAATCGATCGCAAACCACCACCACCTGTCATCTATAGTGGGGTAGATAGTAATAAAACAAACACGTGCTTTTTTCTCACGGAACACCGGTCCCAACACTGGATCTTCCGCCATGCTGCTTCACTACTGGCTCTCAGTCCGGGTCGGCAAACCATGGATCGAGTCCCTCTTTCAGTCTTCACTATTTGTCCCGCAGCCCCTCCGAGGGGACCCGGAATGATCACAATGAGTATGGTGTGCCTGTGCCCGCGGAGTGAAAGCTTCCCAGTTCCCAGCATAACTCCTCAGTAGTTAGCATAGTCTCTCTCTTAGACAGCTTGACCAACTAACTAATTGTCTCTCCTTGCCCGTATTACTGATGATCGTAAATTGACATATGTCCTCTTTGCTGCCGCTTTGCATCCTCGTACATGATACGTATCTAGTTACCTGCCTATTAGGAACTTAACCCTTCCAAAACATATAATCCTTGGATTCGCCAAACTGTTCTTTACAACCCTTGTCTGAATTAGCAATATACAAGAGACACAAGATCCATACCTGCATGACCCCAACAAACAAACCTTGCAAATAATCGATCGATCACCCACCACTCATTCATTCATTCATCCAACGAACCAAACCAAACCAACCAACCCCGCCTTCAGAATCTTCGTTGCCTGTCTACCTGCCTGCTCTCTCGGTCTAAATCCGCAAAAGACCCCGAAAACACCATAACACGCAGCCAGCCCCAGCGGACCACCACCCAGCCAGGTTGTTATTGCCTAAACCAAAAACCAGGCAGAAAAGAGAAAAAAAAGAGGAAATTTGATTCTTCCCATTTGATCTATCTATCCATCTATCTATTTATCTAGTGGCGTACAGAGGGGGTGTGTGTATGTCAGTGGCTGTCCGTCAATTAAAAAAAAAAAACACGGGCCATTTCCATTTCATTAGTCTCCGTGTGCAAGCACGCTTTCCCTGCGTGACAGTGAGGGAAAAGAGGGAAATGAGCACAGAGTCAATGAAAACCTCGCTCCGACGCCACGCAGACCAGGAGGATTTGGATTTCTGTAATCCTGAACCTTACAAACGACGAGGGTCTTTCTTCGGCCATGTAACTGGCTACTACAATAGTAGTAATGATAAACAGACTACTACTACGGAGAAAAGCCACGATGAGTCCTGGTCCATAAAGAAGTTTCTCAGTCGGCATGTTAGTCGTCGATATCGTGTTCTGGAACGCGAGCCGAACCGGCTGAGAAAGAGGTTTACTCAGTAATGAGATAAGATGAAATGAAATGAAGATATGGGAATGGGGTGAATGTATCTATTTATTTATCACTTTGCACATGATTTGGTTCTGGTTATCATTATCCTTGTCGTTATAACCATTGTTATTGTTCTTGTTCGGGGTGTTCATAGTATATTAATTATATTGCTATGCTGCAATAGTTCACTTCGATGGCTAGAACAAATCGTATTCCCTCCTATGCTTATTGGCGTTGATGTTGAAATGGGGCATGCCACTAGATACGACACAGTACCATTATTCCCACGGATTCCGCTCGAAGACCAACCACGGAATGGTTGGTGGGTATTAAGTAGTTATCTATCGGCACCCGCAGGAAAATTTCCTCCCACGTTATTTTGTTTCTTTTATTGGATTATCATATGTACGCTTATCAGTGGGTGGTGTCCTTCCACCTAATGTCACGATCATCATGTCTGTCCCAAGGATCAATTGAATGAACGAATGGGTCAGGACACTCGGAGCTAGTTATTATTATTTTTTTTATTGCATGGCTTTTTTCTCCCATCATTACAAATCTTCTATTTTGCTTAGCTCATCTTCATCCATGGCTCCTCTTCTTTTATTTTTATCTGTTTCCACGTCGGATCTTGGCGTTGGTACTATCCCCATCGCAACCGTATCTCTCTAATGAACTGAACTCCGGTGTTATCCCGACAGATATTGACTGAATAATATTGGACACAGGAAAGCCGCCGGACATGGGGCACACGCCATATGGGACCAGATTATGGAGTCAGTCCCTCCCAACAACAACGTGGCGCGCACGTCCGTTAGAGACTAATGGGTCTGGTTGAATCTAGACTTCTTTTCATGTCTCACTTTGTCCGTAGTTCGGATGGTGGACTTGACTTTAGTGTGGAACGACGTCGACCGAGCTCAAGTGCATTCAGTTAATCGTCCATCTGGATGCCTTTCATTGATGCCACATGTAATGCGAGTAGTTGCCTGTGTAGGTAGTTAGTAGTAAATGAGTATAATGAATATGCGAACAACAAAGTGAAGCATCAGAAGATGATAACGATAACAGTAACTTCGTGGTCAGTTTTCGTAGAAAGCACTTATGCATGCATACGCGCACACAGAGAATGTAAGTATTCGGTGCTCTGCCTGCCTGCCTGCCTGCCAGCTCAATCCGACGTGGTGCCTTACAACAGCTCCCGGGCTTCACGTTAGCTCCATGCCAAGGGTACCAAAACAAGATTTTTTCCGTCTTTCTTTCAACGTCTGTTGGTGATGGACTGGACTGGCTGGATTGCTGGCAGTTGACTTTGGATTTGATGCTTGGACGTTATAGCATGTATGTGTGTGTATGTATGTAGATGCAAATGTCTGGTTGCCTTGACAGGTGGATATGTCATATCGGGTCTGTGATTTGGTCGACATTGGCGATGCGCGTCTTAAATTGTAGCTGCGTCTGGTTGTTGGATTTATGGTGTGGGCGCCTCGTGCTGGTGGTCTAGGTAATGAAATGGCTGGATTTGTAATGGGGGTGTGGTGCGGTCTTCCATGGTTTTGGTCATGGCTCTGTTGTTAAATTGGTATCTTTCCGTGGTCTTCCGATGATGCATATGTCGGGATGAGTGGTTGTATAGTTTTTCATATGATGGATAAAGGGTTGGTTGATGCTGCAAAGCTGTGTTATATGATTTCGGTACCATATATAGGCACTGATTCGACGGCATGATGCAGTTGACAAAGGTCTGTTCGCGGTCATCACGAGCCCAGATGTTGGGTATTATAGTAAGGAACTAGGACATGCACTATTATGGGATGTGTAGACTAGTTAGACATCATATAGTGTGAACTAACATGATGCGATATTGGGCAGAAGTCTCCCGGCAGTAAAAGGCTACTACACCGTCGTGTTGAGTTGTATATTGGCTGTCGCCAGGGCAATCGAATTAGAAGCCCATGCAGGATGTATATAGTACTTGAGAAAAGAGGGTGAAAGAATTTTGCGACGCAAGGTTGAAGTACTAGTACTACTCTTCTGTATGGAGTGCAGAGTGCATGGACGTATTGAATGCAGTGCTGAATCTAGTACACTGCATGTACTTGCGGATTGGAATGGACATTTATATTGCAGTGCATTAGTTGCTGCACGGTATCTTCTCACCCATACACAATCATGATATATACTCCGTTGCCTATGACACTTCGGCGACACTGCAAAATATTTATTCGGTAGTCCAGCATGTAACACGAAATGGGCAGGGTAACGCACCCGGCTATCCTAATAAGTTGGGGAGTCAGGTACCAAAATTGGTTGGATACACAACGGCTTCTTAATGTTAGGGAGACCCACACCCCCTCATAGAAGGGAAATTAATCCGCCTATCAATAAGGGCGTTTATACCGAGACTGTTCGGTGATAATTTACTAGTGACTGAATGATAATTACGACAACCCACATCTGGATGCTCCATATGGCCGATGGAGCATGACATGCATAGGCAGCGGAGCGCATGACTAGTTATCTATCTAGAACGAGGGGGACGCCGGACTAGACAAAACAGACTACTAGTACCAAGAAAACTCTGGGCGTCCTGTGCGTTTGATTAGAGCTGCTCTAAAACCATGGTACCGGGAGTGTTGGCTACCTTTCCCTGCCTACCCGAATGCTGTCCAGAGTTAAGCCACGCTGAAGTCTCCGAGTAAAACCCCATTAACAAGGGCCGACGGCCACCTGCTCTCGCCTCCGTACATGCAAGGTAGGAAAAGCTAGCCGCCACTTGTGCACACCCAATCTCTTTCCAGCGGATGTTAGTCAGACGGAATGTCTCACTCCTTCCATCTCGTGCCTCTCGTGAGACAGAGATCTAGCCGGGTCTCTAAGTAATCAGGAACACTGGTCCACTGATTTGCGCTGGATGACCCTTAAAACCAATGTGTATCATCGCGAGGGGCTGATGGGCCGAACTCAACGGACGAAGATACGAGTGAACGAAATGACAACCTTGAGACTAGTATGAGCGCATCGGTGACTACTTTGTAGTACTCTGATGATGCACCGGGCTAGCAGATGTCATGACAATCGCAGGTCTAACCAGCACGAGATAGGTAACGATGAGAGAGATCGTTAATGTTTACCCGAATAGGGTAACTTGATAGGATGTCAGCAATATTGTGTAGTAATTAAATAGTATCTAGGTCAATAGTAGAATTGCGCGACTGTTCTGCGCTCTTCCTATTCCAATGCAGCACGCGCGTAAGTGGGCTCGCATGGGCCTGACTTCGGCATTTCCGGTCGAGTATGAACTGATGATTGAAGACTCGAGTGGGCTAGACACTAACTCGCTTGTTCCTAGTTGGTTTGTAGGGAGAGTCGGGGCCGAGTAAGTAATCTGCAAGGACCAAAGTAAACAAGAGGAGATTATTTCCGTTGCCGGGGTTTGGCGTGGTGGATGACTCAGGTCACTCAAACCCAGGACAGTCGAGCCGCTCATCGCAGCTGACTAGAGTGAGCCACTGACGCAGTTCGATTCTGTCCAGGCCTGCGGACTTGCTCATTTCGAATATATGAAGGGATCAAAACCACAGTGATCGACGGACATCGCACTGACTGAAGTTTTGTGGTGTTCAACCTTTGGACCCTAAGGTTCTTTAGTCGGAAAAAAAAGGCCCCACTGAAATTGCGAGCAGCAGCTCCCTAACTGACAATGGGTATTCGACCGTTACGGTTTACGTTATTGTGATGGGTGCTGCACGCTTTGGCCAATGCATACTCGACCTGTCAATGGCTGTCAAAATTGTCAATTTATTAGCTTGTGGCCAGCGGAAATTGGATGGGCTGGGAGCGGGAAGTTAAACATGAACTCCCATCGTGGTGCTCCATACACCCCTGTAAGATGTGGGCGGTACCTGACTAAGTAAATTGTGTCAGAGTGGTTTTCAGGTGATGGAGGAGCGCAAAATGGTGAAAAGTCAGCCAATTCCAGACCGATGGAGGTAGTTTAGTACTTTGTAGCAGGTGAGTAAGACATTGCTGAGTACTAGGCTTACTCCATACGATCAACCAGCAGTGATACCTATTGGATACCGATGGTCATGTACCGATCCCTAGCTGCCAGAGTAGCAACGAACACAACCCACTCACCTAACTAAGTACACTGTATCTCTCTCTGCTGGTCTGGATCTCTGATCGTATCGGCTGGTAAAATTATCATCGGCTCTAACACACTCGGCTGAAGCTAAGCTAAGATTTTCGTATCGCGGTTATGGCTCCTGGAAACGGTGACTCCCCACCCCAAGAAGCCCGTTGGACCGTCATTTCGCCCCTCTAAGCATTCCTCATGTCGCGAGGATGGGGCCCAACTGCTTAGCTAAGGCCCGGGCGCGGGACTTGAAAATCTTTCATCGTGCTTACTGTAATCTGGAAGTGCGATCGCTTAGATACTGCGAAGCCACCATGTAGGCATGAGGAGTAATCATGCATGCTCTCAGTAGTATTCCAGGGTACTTTGTGAGTGAGGAGCGGTTATTGCCGTCCGTAAGATGAGCGGGGGTATTGAGCGTGCATCCGGCTCATGTAGGTAGGTTTGGAAAGGTCTTGCACGGTACTTTCCGCGGTTGTGATTACTTCTAGATACAGGTCATGTCGAGCTCACTGAATATATGTCATAGGCGCGCGCCCTCGATAGTAACCAGAGGAGCCTTCCTTGGCATCGGCCGAAAAGGCTAAGGAGCAGCTGCCTAACACATTCTCAAAAGCTTCCTCTCTCTTATCACGATAAACTCAATTCCGATCAGGCTGCATGGATCTCGTATGTGAGAGTCGTCGGAAGAGTAAGCTTTAGCATGACATCATGGGCGATAAAATTTGTCCTAATTAGTAGATCTCGTGAAGTTAAGTAAGAATGATCTCGAAAGAATAACAGTATCTGCCTAAGTATGTTCTAGGAGATAATATGATCTTCAAGGGAGAAAACGCCTTGCCTCCTGCCCCGAAGGCGCCCCCCCTCCCCGAGAGGAGCTGAGGCTGTATTGATTGGCGCCTTGTTTTGAGGTGGTACTGACCGAGCTCGCACATACCGAGTGTGCTGTAAAGTGGGCTGCGTCGTGCAGTAACAATATCCGGATAAATTACTAGCTGCTGTGGTTTAGTTCGGTTTCTAAGTATGGAGTGTGGAGTACGGCAGATACCATGGGTCATTCACTGGCTAGGCACTCCCTAAGGCAGGTACCAATGAAGTTGCCCCTAGTTTCTGGTAACAATAATCGGATTGGGCTGCAATCTGGCAGTTTAGGTGCCACTAGTGGTCTTTTCTCCACATTTGGAAGAAATTTTTTTCGACAATCGATTTTTGTGTCTTTCAGGTTTCCCGCATGATCTCTCTCTCCTGAATAGGAACCAACTAGACTAGATGTGTATTAAATGATAACCACACAGAAGGGGAAAAAAGAAAGAAAACATAAAACGGGTTTCTGTTGGAGAGTTGGGAGGCGGCATCTGCAGGTATGTGCTGGACATTTCTCCTTCTAGAGACCCTAAAATGGGACGGACCTCTATCCAGTAGAGAGACGAAGGAACATCTTGGTGGATAAGGGAAAAGAAAGGGGAGGGAGGGGGTGTCAATTAGAAGAACGGGTTGATGCATATAATCCATCACCTGAACAGCAGCGCAAAAAGACAGAGAGAGAAGAGAGAGAGAGAGAGAGAGAGAGCTGTATGTATGGAGTAAGTATGTAAGTAGTAGGTAAGTTCGTAACGAACTAATCTCCTTCTGTTAATAATAAAATAACAATAATAATAAAATAATCAGAAAATATAACCGAAAAAATCAAGCGTCCCGGTGGTGGATTTGGACTGGTTCCAAGTGGTTCTGCTGTGACGGCCGGCCCCGGGGAGGGTCGACGGTGTGTAACCACTAACCAACCGACGAGATCCCCTGGTTCAGAAACGGGCGGGTTTGTTTGTGTCTCGGCCCTCTCAGTCCCTCGCTCTCAACTTTTGACCGTTTTGTCTACTAGTGAGTAAGTAAGTAAGTAAGTGAGTAAGTAAAGTAATAGTAAGTTGGTACTAGTCGGTAAACTAGGAGGTAGGCAGAATAGCTTTGCTTTGCTTTGCTTCTCTTCTGGCTGTCAAGTAGGAAAAACCGCTGCCAGATAGGCAGGTTGTCGGTCCTCGTTGGGCTCATCACCTGGTACTTGCTTGCTTACCTTTCTGCTCGTCTCGTCTCGCTCGTTACTTACCATCCATCTCTCGCTTTCTACATCTTCGTCGTCTTGTCTCCCTTTCTCCTCTCCTCCCTCTCTTCCTCCTTTCTTCATCTTCCTCGCTTTCTCATCTCATCGGGGTTCCCCTCTCTCGCTTTTCTTCTTTCCCCTCCCTCCCCCTGTCCCCTCTTTTCCACTCCTTTCTGTTTCTCTTCTCCTTTCTACTCCTTGTTTTGTTTGTGACCCGAAAAAACGAGATTGCCCCCCTCTGTATCTCTGTTTTTCCGCCACCCCATGTGGCGTGGCTCCCGGTCTCACTATTGCTACTAAACCGATTCCCACTACTACCTTTCCTGCTACGATTACCCGTTCGTTCTAAACCAATAGTCACCTGCTACGACCCCTTCTGATCTTCCCCCCGGTCCCATACCTACACTACTCAGGTAGCCAATTACCAGCGCCTGGATCATCCTTGAACTTACTACTTCCACTGCCTACACACACACACACACACACACTACTACTTACAACAACCCACACGCTCCGCTGCACCCTAGTCCTTCCCACCGCTTTGCATGTCTCGGTTCGCCTCCGTCTCTAGACAGACCACCTTGGATTGTTCCTCCTTCTCTTCCTTTCTTCTGTCACCCTGTTTGTCTGGTGCTTTGTTTATTTCAGGCTATTACCCGTGCCTTGTTATTTACTCTAGATTCGCCTGCTGGTCGCGTGTCTAATCCTTCCCCGGTCCTTCCTGATGAGTCCAGTCACCCGGTTCAACGTCATCTCCGATAGTTTCAGTGTCCACGTTTGACTGGTCAGGCGGGACGAGGTATCATCAACCAGGCGCCATGGCGATATGGCCGTTTGGTCGTAAGAACAAGCGGCATACGATCCAACTGGATGCACCTGCCGTGGCGGATGTCCAGTCGTCACAAGAGCCTCGCCACAGCTTCGATGACGGCAAGCTCGGCAGACTGTCCCGCAAGCACTCCAAACGTCAGAAGAACAGACACGCCCAGCCCGTCGAAGTCGTCCCGAGCTTTTTGCACGATGCCTCTCATCCGACGTCTTCTCCTGTCGTCCAGTACCCTCCACCTACGTCACACAGTGAGCAACCGACCCCGATGAAAGAAAACCGGGCCCCGGCCTCCCGAGCAGGCCAGCATTCCGATGCCTACACCACTTACTCCACCATGAGCCACGAACAACCTTCTTTGTCTCGCTCTGCATCGTTGCTGAAATCCAAGCGTAACGAGAATGGCCCGGCAGTGTTAAAGAAGAAGCTGAGTAAGCGCAAGGCGTACGAGATTGCCAGAGAACGGGAAATACGGATGTTGGCTTCTGCTCCGATCGATATTCCTCGCCGTCCCTCTCCGCTACCCGGGGAGCAGTTTTCCATTGAGACACGCAGGGCTAATGGTGCCCAGAGTCGACGCTCCGATCGGCACTGTTCTGACACCAGTCTTTCGATGCGTGACTCTGCTGCATCCTCACTCTCGGATATTTTCGAATCCTATACGTTCAAGGTCAACACTTTTGCTGCATGGACGCCTCGTCCGGTCATACGCTATGTGGAAGCTCCTCGGGTGTCGACAGCTAAGAGTCAAAGGCCGTCTGAGCCTTCAATTCGGAAGGATAAGACACCGGCTTATGCCACGCACAACGAGCACTCGCGTTCCAAGAAGAGAGTAGACAAGCTAGCCGACGACTTAGATGCCGGTGCCCTCAGGGAATTGCTTGAAAGGGACCGCCGGCGTAGGGAGCGCAAGCAACTTGAAGATCAAGCAAGACTTCACCGGAAGTTACAACGCGCTGCGGAACAACAGCGGCAAGCAGAAGCAGAAGCCGAAGCCGATGCTGTTCCCCAAGAACCATCCAGCGAGGCTGAAGACACATCTTTAGCTCCACGTGGTCGGCCTGGCGCGGAGAGCCGGGCTGTATCTGATGGGTCAAAAGAATATGCTCCTCGGACAAACGAAACCAATGCCTTCCTGGGCGGTAATTCTTCTGGATCTTGGCTGAGAGGTGCTTCCAAAGACACAGATCGACGTGGCCGCGAGTCCGTTGATAGTGTGCATGTCATTGGTAACATCGACGATAGCTCCATTCGGGAACCGAAGCTTGTGATGCGTCGTAGCTTCGCTCCGTCGCAAGACATGGGAATGTCTGGCAGCAGTTTGTCTCATTCGCCGTCGAGGCGTGAGCTGTATAGCCCAACTTCTTCGCAACTCTATGGCATAGGCCGAGAATCCACATCCGATATTTCGCGAACCATAGACTCAGACCGGCGCTTGTCTGACCATGGCAGCGGACGTGTTAATACGCTTACTTCTATTTTCCGACGTGGTAGCTCGCGCCTCAAACGCAGCTATCGTGAACGTTTCCATGAACGCAGTCCTGAGCACTCGAACCCATCTCATGAATCTTTCTTCAAGGTCCAGACGCAGTCGTCTGGCCCACCTCCCTCATTCGTCACTGCTCCTCGGACATTCCTAGGGTCAGGTACCATCAAGCGGTCGCAGTCCAAGTTTACCGAACACTTCGGTGACGAGCCCCTTTCTCCACCGGACTCTAGGCTTCAATCACCTGATATCCCAGAGGTGTTGGATGAGTTCGAGAGAGAAGATGAGATGTCAGATATCAACATGGGGACCCAGTATCCCATCCCCAGTTCTGGGTCAGAACCCCAGGACATCCCGAGAAATCCTCACCATTCTTGGACAGGCGACAGCTGGGAAGGTGACCCGGACAATCTTCCTTTGTCCCAATCTCTAGCATCGATTGACTCCGAAGGATCATGGATGTCGGGACAATTCCTACGTCGCATATCCCAGAAGAAGGCAAGCAATCCACTGCGCACCAGCCTTAGCTCATCGCGAAACATCATGGAAGAGGGCCATGAGGGGTCCTCCAATGGAGATGACGTTCCGGTTAGCGAACCTCTTGTCAGATTTGGGACCAATCAGGATGAGGGTCTCAAATCCGGCCCTGATGTAGCTGGTGCGTCGCCTGACAAGGACTCGCCTATGGATAGCGTACCAGAGCAAGCAGAGGAGACCTGGCATGATCAAATTGCCCGGCGACCTGTACTTGTGACTCCAGCAATCCGTCCGAAGTCCAACGAAGGACTCCTGAAGAATGTCCAGTCCTTCTGTGCCGAAGAAGAATTCAGTCCCATTGAAGAGCACTCTGCTGAGTTTGAGCTCGAAACGTCTGATAACCACGGGAATGGGCGCTCGAATTGAGCCAGGTCGCCAACAGACATTCCTGTGCGCAACGTTGCTTCGATCACCAGAGGTAGATCCTAGTGACGCCCTTGCTACTACGAGGAATAATTGCCCGTGTCGAGATTCTTCTGATGTCAGCACGATGCATTTTATTTGATATTTCCCGTATATACCCCAGTCGCTCGTTTAAACCTTTCCTATGTCGCTCCTTTTCCTTCCAGAAACCCCCCTCCCCTTCCCCTCATACTTCCCCGGCGGATTTCCTCAGGGTTCATGGCGCTGGATGTAGCCATGCTTATATTCCTTCAACGCTCTCATCTGGTCAAGCACTGGTCGTGTCCGTGCTCTGGTCTTGTTGGTGGGCATTGTTACTTTTCGAATTTGTTGATACCCCCACATCAGCGGAAGTTTGAATGAGTTTGGCCCCGATCACTGCCTTGTAGTGATCGCAGGCACTTACGCGTTTTTGATAGACTCGAAGCATTCTCGTTCTTCAGTTCAATGCACATATTGTGACACAATCTACCTGTTCACGTTTCCTTATTACGATTACTACCCGTGTTATTGTTTAATGTCTTGACTGTACTATATGCTCGAGTATTGCGGCCTGTTATCTTTCGAGAGATGGATGACATCCTGGACCGCTTACCTACTGCCTGTAAATATCACTAGATGGATCTTTCCATACCCCCCAGACAATAAACCAGCCAACTTGATACGAATGACTCCCTGAACCCTCTCCCCAAATTCACCCGTGAATGATACTGCCATCTTCTTCCGCTCTCAAATCAGGTGATCGGAGAGACTCGCCGAGGGCGGCGGCTGCTGCTGCTGCCTCAGGCCGAGCGCGCCTGTCCAGACCGGTCGCGATTCATAAGCGACGGGAGCACGTCATTTTGCCTTGGGGGTTTCTTCCTTCACCGTTTCGTGCATCTCCTTCCCCTTTCCCTTCCACCAACCAAGTTGCCCAAACGGCCCGTAATATACCTTACTGTTGATTATACTATTCAATTGCAGCCAGAATGTCTGCTGTTAGCCTGACAAATCAAACTCGTCTTCGTCTCTCACGAGGCGCCACTTGGTAAGCCCATACTGCCCAGAAGCGACCCTTGCCTTCGACTGTGACCGAGAGGCTTCGACGCCCCGGGGTGATTAGTCAGAGGGCGGTGCAACGTCACTCAAACTACAAATTCGATTTGTGCCCCTCCGTTGCTGGGCTGCCCCTCATTCGGAGCTAATCGTCGTCTCAACCTTCCCATAGTTTTAAACCATCCACTCTGGCCTCCCGACGCCTCTTCTCTTCCTCCTCCTCCGCTAGATTCTCTCTCCAGTCTTCCACTAGAACCGCAGTAGCGCCCTCTTTCCTCCGTCCAACTCCGTTCATCCACAGCCGTCGCGCTTTCTCTCACACATCCTCCACCATGTCTCACAAGGTTCACGACATCACCTCGTATGTGCAATTCCTTCCCTTTCTCCCCCGAAGCTCATCATCTTACCAGCAGACATCCCCGCCCCTCTCTCTCCCCGCACTCTACCCCTCTATCCTTTCTGAGACCACTACTAATTTTACTGTCTTTGCAGTAAGGCCGAGTTCGCCGAGAAGGTCACCAACTCCACCGACGCCATCGTCCTTGACTGCTTCGCTACCTGGTGCGGTCCTTGCAAGGCCATCTCCCCCAAGGTCGAGGAGTTCAGCAACACCTACCCCAACGCCAAGTTCTACAAGATCGACGTCGACGAACTGTCCGAGGTTGCTGCCGAGCTCGGTATCCGTGCCATGCCCACTTTCCTGCTCTTCAAGGACGGCAAGAAGTTCGACGACCTCACCGGTGCCAACCCCAAGGGTCTGGAGCAGAAGATCCAGGCTCTGCTTGCATAAATTCCCCGTTGATAGATGATAATAAGGGGATACCTTGATGGTTATGCTAGTTACAAATGAAATCTAATTGATGGGCTTCTTACCCCGCACACCTTGTCTAGACTATCTATATGGAGTTGATGGTGGTATCTGTCAATTTTAGATGTAGTTATGGTCGTATTCCTGGGCTATAGTAGCAATTCAATCAAAACCTCAACTAGTATGCAGGTAACCTGCATATCTATTTCTATCGAACCATATCATACGCTAATGTAAGATGACATCAGGCTTGCTTGTCACTTTACACTCTGATCAGACATCGCAGCAAACAAGAGCAAATCGACGACTTAATCCCTGTATCTTGCTACTTATACTATGTATTGTTGAAGCAGGCATAAATGACACAATCTTAGCCGGATTCAGACATATCCAGTCTGTCGTACATCTCCCAATGAATATATGGTAAATCACTACCACCAGCGTCATGCAGCAAGTACTAACAACGCGCTTAAAGGGTGCCCATCTCCAAGGCAGACAAATGCTACTGCATTGCTCTGGTCGAGAAAAGTCATCAATCATCCTTAACAGTATTCCCCATATGCTGGTTTTCCCTAGGTTTGACCTATAGTATAATACCATCTTGATGCCGATAGACTAAAAAATGCAAGACAGCAAACTACCGTCTTCAAGTGTAGTAGTAGTACAACGTGACCGCACTTAATTTGATCCTTCAAATCGATGCAAACAAGTTGGTATACTAACCACAACGTAACCAAATATCCTGATACGTTCGGTGTAAACAAACAACAACATAACTACGAATCTCAATTCAATAGAGGAGCAATGCTGCATGTAATTTGATTAGATATCATTTCCCCTGCATATACACCATCCCATATTTCAGCTTAGCAGTTTCCGGTATAATTCCAAAGTAAGCCGGATTCTCATCCTGAGCAACCCCGGCTTCTTCCCCCCAATAATCTTGGAATCATAAACTAATATTCAAGTTCGCGGACACCATTGTATCTAGTACGGGGAGACACGACAGAAATATTACCCAGACAGATCAGAACTGGAGACAGCTTCACAATGTACCTGGTTGAGGTTAGGCTTCGCTTTCTCCAGATAGATAGCACTAGAAATGCAACATGAAATGAATATAGCAGGACATTCTAGCTAATCCTGCTTATATACTGCTCCAATAACTAGATAATAGTCAGTTGGATTTGAATAGGTACCTAGTCGGACTTATATACAGAGAATACCCACTTGTCCAAATGGTGAGTTTGGTCCAGTTGACAAGCTGCTACTTGATTAGAACGTTTAGATTCTGTGTCAATAATCTGAATTTCCATACTCTAACTTTTCGGGGAGGGGGGATTACAGACTAATCATATAACATCTTACGTCTTCTTGACCTCTGTCTGTTATGCAGCTGCTATTCCTTTGCCTGGCCAACTTCTCACGAATCTTCGGGGCCCCCTGGGTGGAGAAGGCAGTCGTTAAGGTCTTTCATGTTGCTGTTCCTGGCTCCTCATACAGTAAGTAGCAGTTTGACTATCATGTTAAAAGCATGTAACGAAAATGGTCGAACTTAGTAATGAATGTGTGAATGCAATAGAATAGGGCTATTTAGGAAGATGGCTGCAAATAGATCCTGATGATTGTACGAATACTGGTCAAGTAGAGTATGGATGGTAAAGCTTTTATGTACCCTCTTACGATAAGTAATTAACACGCATTGTCTAATAGTTATGGCCCCAAATATGAGCAATATATCAATCGTCCGGATATAGTGACTAGGTTGCCATTATCGTATACCTCACATGCCCTTTCTAAGGCATTCATCTCTCAATTGATCGCAAGAAGGGGAATTATATCGAAGGGAGAGGAGAGTAGCATAGTGTTCGACAGGTATGCCTTTAAGTGCTTCTACGCACATTACCTTATAGAGCATGAGCTTATGGGTTAGGAATTCATAACATTCTGTAGGTAAGGTGATACATTGTCCTTGGTCCAAAAGATTGAAACTCAGTTCTTTAACACTAGTATTTTATTGTTGCCTAAAAAGAGCAATCAATTGGATTATTGGCTCCCGGTTCTATAATTCCGCCATTATTTCTGGCTAATGAGTGGCCCCCATGATGACTATATATAGATGGAGATAGAAATTGAGTAGCTGATGATTTGGCAGTTGACCAACAAGCATAGTGTAGGAGCTTACCCCCCAATAGGTACTGTGCACTGGATAAACAATCAGGATGAATAGATAAGATAACTAACTACTGTGTACCTCGAAATTGGCCTCGCCGATTAATCATAGCCAAATAAGCGGTCTGAACAAAACTGGGTCGTCGAGTCAGTCGCAGGTCTCTCAGCCACTTGGTCAAGTCTTGATCCGAGAACAATATTATTATCGACTGGGGTTACCACATATCACAGAATACTATATTATAGGGATGGTTTGAGATACATCAGAAGCTTATCCAGGACTGTAAATTGTCAAAGCGGAGTTTCCATGCAAGGTACCGGCTAGACGCATCACAACACGTGCAGATGCCACAAGTGGGCGTAGTCTACGGAGTGTACTCAGATTCTCGCATCTACGCAGAAAATATTATCATCCAAACTCCTCCCCTATCAAAACCACCCCCAATCAAAAAATATCAGAGATTGCTACTTCATCTACCTTATCAAGATTTACTGCCGCATTAGCCCCGTCCGAGTACGGACATCTTTCGGCACACCAAAGGATTCCCAGAGGAGTGGGCCAGAGTACCACCACAACACGGCTCATGGCCCCATCATTCAGCTACACATGCACTGTGCGCACAGCCACTTTTTGATGAATACACCTTCACTGCTCCGTCCTATGTTATGCAGTGCTGTACTGTTGTGCTACTGTGCCTTCTTGTTTCACTTCTCCTATTGCTTATCCCCTGAGGTTGCGGAATGCGTGCCGAGGCTATACCCTATTATGCAATAGAAAAAATCCTTCAGTGAGGCACGTGCACACTAAATTAATTGGGTGATATTGGCTGTCATATGAATTAATCTAGTCATGGACCTGCCTAGCCCAGTTGCTGCTCGGCTGGATCGTATAGGAGTGAGGCCGAGGTATCCCGGAATACGCTGGATTGTATGATCGGAGCGTGTTGATCGGGGAGGAATCAGGATGTATGTGGTCTGCTAGGTTAGGCCAGGTCTGGGGCTGTCTCTGCATACCAATTACTATTATTCTTGGGGGCTGTAGAAGGATGGAGGATCTTCCTAGATACTTCAATAGTAATCTACATACGCGATGGAGGAGTGAAGGATCCGATCAGTTGGGCGGCAGCGCCAGTGCTGTCAGCAAAACTCGGAAAGGGTGACAAATTCATTAATCTGGCTGCTGCAGCCTGCAGGCTCATGCTTGTGCTACTATGTGTTGATGTGCTTACAGTGGGTCAGCGCTGTTTCTATGGAATGGTTATGGAATTGGAAACATTCCCCTTCCATGGTTATCAATCACTTGGTTGTTTGGTTCTCTTTTTTATTTTTTCACGGAGTGCTCGGGAGGATATTCTACTTCCGTGAAAATCAGACTGAAGTGGGCCTTTGGTTTCTGGCTCAGTTATAACAAGAATTTGCAGTGGAATTCTTCCAAAGGACAGAAACTCATCATCTTTGATATAGAGATAGTCAACACAAGGAGCGAATTGGTCATTGAGTTCTGACTTACGCAGTAAGGTTAGTAGGAGGCATATCCGGCAGGGGTTAACCGGAAGGATTTGGCGAATAATCAATTGGTTGTCGCGTTCTCGTGCTACTGTTACTGCTGCTGCTGCTGCTGCTGCTGCTGACGGGACACGACGCTCATAGTTCGGATCCCATCTTATTTTCTTGTATTTCCACGAGGGCAAAAGTACCTGGTGCTACCTGACTACTTCTACTGACTCTATTAGAGTTCAGCCTGGACTGAAACTACTAGGTAGTAGCATTGCTGTTGACTTGAAATGGTTGGGTACTCCGTCCGTTTAACTTTATAATATCCTACCAAGGTTTCTGACTAGCAAAGGAGGAAGTACATCCTTGTCTAAGACCTTACTCTTTCCAATTTCCTGGCCAGCCCGGCTAGCACATATTGACTGACTGCCAGAGAAGATGCCATCGCTTACAGATTTCACTGGAAGAGGATCTCAGTGTTGTGTGGGTGGCGACCACAAAGGGACTAGCGGAGTTCATGCTCGGCCAGCTAGCCAGATCAGGACTAGCCAATCGAGAGAAGGAACCCACGATCTGAGTCACGGGGCTGCTGCCTAACCCTGAAGTGGCCTAGTGCACGCGTGATGGTCCAACGGGAGTGCATCTCCGAGCTCCGCCTGGATCTTTCCCCCTCTCTTACTTCCCACTCGGCCACGTTCAGCTCATCCAACGGTGCAAGACTCTGGTTTCAAACGTGCTACCGGTGGTCTCCATCTGGTCCCATCCGTCGGGTTCCAGCTCGCCTTCTCAGTTCCACTGCTAGAGATTGATTGTGTCTTACCCGTGCCTGTGAATCGCATGATTCCCAATGGACGTGCCCCGAGCTAAGCCCGCCACTGCGTCCACTGACCACTCAGGGTCCTTGTCAACCGCGTGGGTGCTGGCAATTGGCGAATCTGCCCTTTTTCATCCCGTCGAAAATCTCAATTCAGAGTGTACCATCAGTCATGGTGCTCGGTTCTGATTGTCTGGTTCCGCCTTGAGTTTCATCTGCTGACGCTACAACACGGCCCCTCTGGATAGTTGCTACCTAAGTTGAGGACTCGTGACGTATTAGTGGCTAGAGGATGATTTAACCGATGGAGTTGCAAACGATGTGTGACGGGCTTCTCGCCATTAGGGGAAGTCTACACGCTCGACATTAAGATACGTAATCATCTTTCAGTTTCCCTGATAGGCCTTTCCCAGCTATGAAATTGTCCTGCATGGCTCACCCTATAGTGCAAAACTGATTTATCTTCGGAGAAGAGCGAAGGTTCAGCCAGACGGCGCAGCTGAACCTTCTTGGCCCTCGTCCGACAGGGTTGGCTTTAGCGGTCCTTATCCGCCGAGAGCCATAAACGTAGACCCATCTGGTCGACAAGTAATAACCGACTTTGGCAGAGGGGAAGAATTTTAGTTTCCTGGACTAATCTGATCATAGCCTTCGGCCCTTCAATCATGTTTCTGACTCGCCGAGCATGGCTACAAGTCTGGAACCGACCCGGTAAACTCAATGCCCCATGGTTCCTGATTGCAACCTCGATCGATGGTTCTGATCCAATCAGGCACAGATCACACTTTGATTCGCCTTGGAAGGAGACTGACGTTTTAGTTTTCATTGCCCAATGTGAACGCTGAGAGAGCGCCAGACCCTCATTCTGGGGCCCTCGCATATTAATTGGACGCGTACAGCCAACGTAAAAAATTGAAGGGTCTCTGTGGCCACCGAAAGCAATAAGTGGTTCCCACTCGGACATAACACAGTTTAGTCTGCTCGATAAATTAATGTCCTTGATTGCATTACGGTCCGTCAATCTGGTACCTGGAGAACCATGGCTAATACGTAGTACGGCCCAGCCGCGTGGAGCTCCTGGAAGCTGAATGCCATTGTTATATTAAAAAGAATTCCCGCATGTTGCTAGTTAGGCCTGCCCCTGTTAGGTTTACTCTGCCTTTGCCCTCCCTCATGCATCGCCCCGTTGCTGCTGTTGTGTAACCTCCCCAGTGTTGTATGTTCGCAAATGCAGTGAGGGATCTTTCATCATCTTCTCCATGCCAATGTCTTGCGGGTAATATTTGGTTCTAACAAGCTTCTCACGCCGAGAATGTTGCTCACGGACAGGGCTCCCCACGGGGACCATGTCAATGTGTCTTACATGGGTGGTTTCATCTTCCTGGCTTACGTAGTCAGTGTGATGGGATGTACCACCACTCTGGAGCTTCTGCACCGACGGACGTCGAGGTCTGGCCTGTACAACTGGTACGATATCTTCACTGCATGATAACAACAAGCGCCTGTCTAACCGTACATATAGGTATCTATTGCTCACTTCCTCCATAACAATGGGCGGTGTCGGTATTTGGTGCATGCATTACATTGGAAATCGTGCCATTGTCCTGGGAAACGGGGAAGCACAATTTCAGATCATTTATAGCATGACGTTTACGGGCGTATCTTTTGTGCTCCCGGTTGTCGTTCTGCTTGTTGCCTTCTACAGCATAGGAGCCAGCGAGAAAGCCGGTTATATCCGAATCCTGACGGGTGGTGTACTCACAGGAGGTGCAGTATGCGGTATGCATTATATCGGTCAGCTCGGTATCAGCAACTATCGCTGTAGCTACCGTGTTGCAAACATCGTCGGTGCCACCATCATCGCGGTGTTTGCTAGTACTGTTGCGTTGACGGTCTTCTTTCGGTGGAGGGCTACATGGACAGATAGTTGGTGGCGACGCGGTATTTGCGGTTGTGTACTTGCCCTTGCTGTCTCCGGCATGCATTGGACTGCTGCAGTTGGCACATACTACTACAATCATGACACAACCATGAAGCATAATGGTCAGCTTTCGCGGAGCCAAGTTGTCATTATCAGTTCTGTTTTGGTATGTTTGAAGTCCAGGGTTACCTGATGTGGCGGATGTTAACGGATTTTAGGCATGCGCTGCTTGCGGAGTTCTGACGGCGTGTGCCGTAGTTGCTGGTGGAAATCGGAGAAGACTGAACATACAAGCTCGACAGCTCGTCTTGACTTGTGCCTTCTTTGACCAGTCTGGGCGGATCATGGTCACTCCTCACGCGTTGCTTCCTAGCCGGAAGATTGTCGATCGTTATGTTGGCAGGGTATGTTTGCAATCCAATTCATTCCCGAACTGTGCTGATGCAGAATCTTCCCCCAACTATATAGACGTTCAACGATGACGACCTTACCCGGAGCCATCCCGCTTTCCTTTGGGCATTCCGAGCGAGTAGACACTGGAATCTGGTCAAGGATGTTGTCCCTTTTATGAGAAGTCGGATCGAGACAGACAAAGAGGCGACGGAGCACTTTCTTGCCAAGGGAGAGGCCCTGGATCAGGAAAATGAATTGCAGAACGATTTCGACGAACTCTTCAAGCGACACTTTTGCGTTACCGCTCAGGACCTCGCCGACGAGGTTCGACAGCCTCTGCCGGCCCTCGGAAAGCTATACGACGACGTACTGGTTACGACTGCTCCGACATCGCGCTTCTCTCGGGCGATGGGATATTCTCGGTTAAACAATAGCAAGGGACAGATGCTTTTCACAGTGCGCCATTTGGACAAGCAGGAAGCGAATCGACTGGCCGCCGCAGGTTTCCGTTTCACTGCGGTCGAAAATGTCACATCGGTTTTGTCCAGCCGAATGCACATTCCATTGCCTGTGTTGGGCGAGCATCTAAAAGACATGCGAGATTACGCGACTGGAGGCCGCAATTACGAGCCGGGCGTCCACCTCGTTTCATTTGTTATGCGCCCTACCATTTCCGACCACTTTGAGGTACTAACAGCGAAGGGGACCGGTAACCCATTGCCTTCATCAACATTACCGATTAAACGAATTAACATTCAGCACCTCGATCTGATTTCACACATGGAAGGATGGACCATATCGACCTGCTTGTCTTGGCTGAAATCTGAAGCAGCCCAGTCGAACAAAGAGATCGATGACTTCCGCGAGCAACTGATCCATGCGATGACATCGCTTGAAAGCGCACTTCCTCCCGATATCAACATGGCCTCGAAATTCTCAGCCAGACCTCTGATTGCCCCTTGCCGGATGTTCTCTGATTCTGATGCATCAAACTCTATCCTACTGCCATTCTGCGCTGTTGGAAATCTGGATACTCAAGTCTCGAACCCGGACTTCACCTTCATGCCCCTACGCCTCTTCCGCGCACAGCAACAACTGAACGACGCAAACATCGGAAGCGATGGATTTGCGAAGGAGCTGGGCAGGGAACTGTACTATTCAAACGCACGCAGCAGCTCCGCCACGGAAGCCGATATCACACCTTCCATCCGTTCTGTTCTGAAACTTTGGCCGCGCAAGCATGCGGATTCCCACCATGGCGATCTCTCCCAGGAAACGTTGACGGAGCTCTCACAGCTTGGCGATATTATGGTCCGCAAGGAGGTCAAGGTGGATGTCGCCAAGCTATCTACGCGATCACTGGACTCTGCCAAACATGCTTCGCACGCCACCGTTGTAGCCGGTGATTTGGCTACCAGCAGTTATGTGGATGAACTCTATAATCTTTGTTACTCACCTGGTGTTCGCTTGCGGCCAGATACAGCCATTACTCGGAGCTCAGTGACCCGGAGTTCAATGGCCACGGGATGAGCATTGAGATTGGACTATCTTACTCTCAAACACTGCCCTGAGCCATACGCCGGGCTCTCACCCAGATGAGGGTATGCGCCAAACCGCGAGGAAGGGTGTTAGCTCCGCCCCCTCTCAAATATATGTGCGCTCCATGTGTGCTCCCAGAAAAGAGAGCAGGCCTCCACGTGGCCTTTGAAGATACCGGGTTACAAATAAACAGAGCTATCCCGTGGCAGTCCACCAAGTCATAAGAGATGTGCCAGAAGGCCAGACTATGGACTAGCAAGCATCACAGAGATGCCTACATTATTTCACGATTTCACGCCCGTCAAATGACCATATTGTATCGCATTGTCCTCACTCTTGGGAAGCCAGACAAATGCCTCATTCTCTTTATCTTCTTGTTGACATTCACATACTAGCGAAGTGAAGCAACCAGCTCTGGCGTCGTTTCAGTCATGTACATATAGCCAGTTTCTACTATCCTATGAATATAATAATCATACAATAGAACAAGAGAAACTAAGAAATCCCTAATAAAAATCTTTTTTAAATCCTCAACAACCCACCACCTGTCTTACTTTCCGATACTCATTCATCGAAATACCGACAACAACTATCACGCTCAACATAATATTCAACACCCTTTTAGACCAAACAAACTTATCAATTAACCCCCAACATACTACCATAACAAACCCCCCAAAGTAAAGAAATCACCATCACCTTACAAATAACATCCCTCCTAGAAGATAAATGACAACAGACAATAAAAAAGCAAAAAGAAATCTCCCCGACTGGGAGTCGAACCCAGGTCTCCCGCGCTTGTTCCTGAGAAGGGATTGACAAGCGGAAATCATGACCGTTAGACCATCGAGGATTGGATGAAGTGAACTGTCCATATTACGCTATCTCAGTGAACAGAGGGTGAAAGTAGAAAGAAGACGGGTTTGTTATAGCTAGCTGATTATTGGTCGGTCAGCCACACCGGAACTAAGTACTAGTAGTGGGGATGGTGGGAGGAGAAGGAGGGGTAAATTTGAATAATATGTGTAATAGATAATAATTATGAGTACTCAGTAGGGGTTCATTGGGAGACGATTGGATTGTTGGGAGAAATTAGGTGTTGTGTGTGCATGCTTGGGAAAGGAAAAGAGAGAAAGAGGGGGTGGGGGGCTGGTGCCTGATAACTTGTCTGTCATTATGTATGGGTGAGTTGTTGGTTTGGTCTTTGAGAGTACTAGTTATGGTATGGGCCGTAAGGGCGGAAGATTACTTGGTCTCGTTGGGTAGCGTTGATTGATGATTACATTACATCTTGTGTGCTGGATGTTGGGAACGAAGGAGATTGTTTGCTTTGTTGTCGCTCATGTAAGTATGTAGATGATGTTGGAGTAGGAATTTGAGTAGTCCTGGCAATTGGTCACTGGGCTTGTCAGGTAGTTGGTTAACTAGGTATTCTTCACGATGTTAGAAAATTGGCTTACGAGGTACGCTTGATACTGTCTATGCGTCTACGTACTCTAGAGAGAAGCTGATATGGTATACTCGATATGTGTGCCTTTTATTTTCGTGGCGAATGAGTCTCATCGGCTCAATCATAATCGCTAGTAAAAGAGCTAACTAGCCACAGAAGAGTCTAGCAATAAGAAATAATGGATCTCTGCTAGTCTACTCAGTAATAGCCGGTGATATCAAGCAAGGAGGTGTGTTTGACGGACAATACTCCTTCTATCATCAAAGTCATTGTGATCCGTTCAGCAGTATAATCAGCAGAATCGTCCCAAGATGAAAGTATTCTCCAGAAGACCGCCAGGGCAAATCAATAGATGAGAAGGTAACTTTTCCGAAAGGTGCACCAACCCAATGCATGCATGCAAGTTAGAAAGTTAACGGGATTTATGCAATGTGCAACCGTCCAATAACGCCTCATGAAGATGTAGATGGTATGTGTCGTATGCTTCGCGTGTAAGTCAAGTCAAAAAGTCGTCATTGACTATGTCTTTGGAGATGGTGAAAATATGCGGGAGGAAAATGATTTGGGTCGTAAGTGCTCCAAGTCGCCAGTGGTATGGAAAGGAAGAGAATGTGATTGTCGACAGATGCTCTAAGGGTAAAGCGGGAATAGTATGATCAACACCCAACGCGCTCGTAATGCAATGATGAAAAAAGCAATGAAGCGAAGGTGAAGGATGGGGTCGTAATGTCGTATGCGTAGAAGGATTTGTGATTCGAAACCGATGTTCTCGGAACGTGAAGATGAGAGTAAGAGAAGAGCCACAGAATAGATTGTAATTGTCAAGCACTTCTAGGCGCCGGACGAGTCCTGGAAATCCGTTGGCTTCGTCGGGGTGGCTTTCGCTCATCGCTGGACTCATTCGGAATGCTAGACGTCTCACTTGAAACAGTTTTTGACCGGATCCTGAGTTTCCTGTCCTGTGGTAAAAGACTGGGACTATCCGTTGCAGACTCTAGAGAGCTGGCCTCAGCCTGCTCGGTGCTTGGCTGGACTGCAGGCTTGGGAACGACAGTGTCTGGGCTGACTCGCAATCGCAACGAGACCAGATCATTCTGATCGTCTCTAAACTCAATCCCGACCATGACATCAGGGAGGATACGCCTTTTACTCTCACGAGTCCGGGTACGTCGGACAGCCGGCTGAGGGCTGTCGTCGGCGTCACTTTCATCTGCTGAACGTTTGCTGCCGACGCTGAAAGGAGACGACGACCTCGAAGATGCTTGGAGGCGTGACTTCATGATGGCCTTGGACGAGGGCGCGTCTGCCAGAGACGTATTGCTATCCTCACCGAGGAGATTCATAAACGCCCGGTCAATATTCCCGCGGCACTGCTGTAGCATTTCTACTATAGCGCCTTGGTCATACTTACCCCCCAGACCCTCCTGAATTGCGGAGATCTTCCAGGGGGTAGCCATGTCGACAACTGTGGGTTCAGCGGCTGACGCCTCTGCTTCCCGCTCTTTACCGACTTTGGGAATACAAGGCAGACCGGTGTGAGGCCCATCGCTATGCCGCACGGAGGAGTAATGGTGAAAATCCTAGGCCCGTTAGATAACCGTAAAGTAGAACCATGGCATAAGGTATCTTACGTGGAATGCGATATGGATAATGTCGCGTTCCTCACCTTCAGGGGCGTGAACGTCACGAAAATTTTGAATACCGTACATGGTATAGACGCAAACGTCCTTCTTGAAGGCCTGGCAGAAAGCTTGAATTTCCTCCGCTCCTCCCCATACGCCCTTCTTCCGGGACTCTGCCACCTTGGAGTCAAAGCTCCGCTCTTTATCCTTGGCTGAAGGAGGCGCCGGGCTAGCGGACGAAGAGGAACAATAAGATTGTCGGGCGGCTGCAGCCGCAGCCCGTCGAGGGGCTCGACGCTCTCCACCGGCCGCGGCTATGAAGCTCATGAAGTAGTCTTTGTTGGCGGATATGTGGTCTGCAAGACGATCACGGATTTCGTCGGCGTGCGTGAAATCCCCATAAGTCTGGTCCGACAGCGCGTAGTAAAGGCAGTTGCCTACGATGGACAGTTAGATAGACTGGAGAGCATGCTTCTTTAACCCAATTGAGGCCAAAATTGAAGCTAGGTGCCCAATGGCAGGGACCACGTTACCATCACCCTCAGTGGGGAGAGCATAGAGCCCTAGCGCATTGAGGCAAGGAATCTCCAGAGTTTCCGCCTCTGCAGTCTTGTTGCGTGCATTGCGAGGCATCTTGGTCTTCTGAGACGTCTGCGGAGTTGTTTTGGCCATGCTTTCATCTGTCGGAGAGCTGGAGTAGTGCTGACGGGCAGTCGTGACTATGGGCACGATTCTGCCACCATTTGGAGCGTCCGCCATGGTTGATGTATAGCCCTGCCCGACGAACGGCCCTCATTTGGCGCAAGGGGAACACAGACGAGCCTCGTCGAGCAGAGGAGAATAGAGGCGGGACAATAGGGAAAGTGGGGAGCAACACAATAGTCAAAGGGGGAACAGCCCGAGTGTTTTGGCGCAGTAGAATGGAGAGTGAATAATGGGGGAAAGAGGGAGAGAAAAGCAACACACGATCTACACGCGAGAGAGACAGGCGAGACTTTTCTTGTTCGGACGGAGAGTGCGGAGGAACCCCGTTACTTACAGAATCAACTTACTTTAACTTACCTTACCAGGAAAAAACTTACCCTCTTACAGCCCCGTTCCTTACCGAGGACGAGGCGGTGAGCTAATATGTTTGTTATCATTGGCTAGCACGGGTGTGAGGTTGTCACCGATGACGAAAGACCTTTCCCCTCCGTCGCCTCGGCGCTTACAATGGATCTGTCTGTTCGGGAGCGGTCAGGCCAGACAACCCTGGCGCTTTGCTGGTAACATCTCTCCGGCCATGCAGGCATACCTGATGAAGTGGCCTGAACAAAATTGGCAGATCAGCCTTCCTGCACATCATCATCCTAGTTTTCTTTCCATACCCACCGATTCACAATATAGGGACCTGCTATCCTGGCCTATACTTACCGCCGGGCAAGCCTGTGTCAGCCGGTCCGTATGGTAAGCCGCGGTCGGGACGCGTTCCGTTAGGTATGTACTTTGTACCGTATATACACCAATTACACGTTAGTGTTTACCGGAAGCCGCCCGTACCTTACTGTAATCGCCGAATGAGGTCCGAGCAAAAGAGAAGAAAAAGAGGAGTCGAGTCCTTATCAGAATGGCGGGATCGGCCTCCGATAACTAATTCGACTGACGGGGATCGTGCCTCAACATCCCCTCCTCTTGGCTTGACTCATGCTTATTCCTATCTCTTTATCTGTATGCCTGGGTGCTTGCTTATAAGCCTGTCTGTGCCATTGGAGTCTTTTGCAAAGCATCTTCTCGAAAATATCTGATCTCCATTGCCCGAACGGAAGATGGCTAACAACCGCATTGTAATTCTGGGGTAGGAGCTACTTCCCCGCAAGCTCACATGTCACCGGCGTATGCTGATTTTGAAAATCACCAGAGCTGGTGTCTCCGGTCTCACCACCGCATATCTACTGTCCCAGGATGCCTCGAATAGCATTACAGTCCTTGCAAAGCACATGCCCGGTGACTACGACATCGAGTATACTTCTCCCTGGGCTGGCGCCAATTATCTTCCGTATGTCCTCCAAGGGTAGGCCCTCAGCTGTGTATCGGTCCACACGTCTCAAAAGACTAATGTAAGAGGTTCTCCCTTCACAGTGTGGGAAAGGCCGGAAGTGACCATGAGAGATGGGAACGTAACACCTGGCCCGCCCTGAGGGAGCTCACGAAGAACCACCCCGAAGCGGGCATTCACTTCCAAGGTACGCTCCAAGCCTCTCATTAACGAACACTACTAAGAATACCTCATCAGAAACCATTGTTTACAACCGTACAAAGGATCAGGGATCAGCAACCGGGGAATGGTTCTCTGAACTGGTGCAAAAAGACCCATGGTATATGGAAGTTGTTCCTGATGTGCGTACACACATACTCTCCCTCACCGACAGCACTCCTAACCTCCAAAAGTTCCAAGATATCCCCGCCGACCAGCTAGCCCCTGGAATCGACAACGCATCCAAATTCACATCAGTGTGCATCAACACCGCCGTCTACTTACCCTGGCTAGTCGGTCAGTGCCGGAAAAACGGTGTCGTCTTCAAACGAGCCGTCCTGAAGCATGTGGCAGATGCAGCAAACGGCCACCACACAGGCCAAAAAGCCGATGTGGTAGTCAATTGCACCGGACTCTCGTCCAAGAAGTTGGGCGGTGTGCTCGATGACAAGCTCTACCCTGCTCGTGGTCAGATTGTCGTCGTGCGCAATGACCCGGGTAAGATGGTGTCTATTTCCGGCACTGACGACGGTGAGGACGAGGTCGTTTACATGATGACCCGTGCAGCAGGTGGTGGAACTGTCATTGGAGGTTCGTATCAGAAGAACCAGTGGGATCCGCTGCCAGATCCCAACTTAGCTGTTCGGATCATGAAGCGGGCCATAGCTCTATGCCCGGAGCTGGTCGAGAAGGGACAGGGTATCGAAGGTCTGGATATCATCAGACATGGTGTTGGACTACGCCCCCTCCGTGAGGGCGGGCCGCGTATTGAAGCGGAGAAGGTCGACGGAGTGTCCGTTGTGCATAACTATGGCCATGGTGGCTTTGGGTATCAGGCTTCATTTGGATGTGCGGAGGATGCTGTCAAGTTGGTCCAGGAAACGCTGCGCCGGAAGGATAAAGCGAAGCTGTAGACTCAGACACAACATTTTGTCCTGTGATAGACCATAAAGTTTAGCACGCTAATTTTAGAAAGCATAGTTATTTCGCTCTAGTTACTGGTACGTTACATGCAAGAATTGTTTCAATTCAATGACGGGGCATAGCGTCTGAATTCATCATGACGCCATAGCCGCGGAGAAGCCATCTACTATCTACCCCAGACTATTTATCCATGAAAACTTTCAACTACGACAACTCACTGTATCTTAACTCGGTTAACTCAATTGATTTTGGAAACAATAATTCTCCAACCTTTCTACGCCACTTTCGTCTTGTTCGCATATTAGCAGCTTTCTACCAAGATGAAGTACAAATCGCCCCAGGTAGAGAGCGAAACCGACGCAGCTGATGCCCCCAAGCGCAAGCTCGATCAGAGAGACCCTGACATTGGCACCGGTGAAGGAAGCCTCGAGGTAGAAAAGGAGCAGCCGCCTACCAAAGCGTCCAAGTCAGGTGCAAACACTGTTGAAGAAGATGACGAGGTTCAGGAGGATTCGGGGTATAAGGACGAAGAATTTGAGGAAGAGGACGAGGAAGATAATGAGGAATTCGATGAAGAGGAAGAATATGATGAGGCAGATGACGAGAACGTCGACTTTGTGAAAGAGCAAGGTGGTGAAGAAGAAGAGGACCAGGATGCAGAAGGCGAGGAAGACGATGAAGGAGAAGCAAAAGAAAGGGTCTCAAGCAAGCCCAAACTGCAAAAGGTCGTCAAGGAATTTGGTCGCCCACCCTTGTATGGGACCGAAATCGCAGAGGGACGCCTGGAGAGCTCCCCGGATACACTACTTGCTATGGTTATGGACGCGATGCTGAAATCGCGTCCTATCTCGCACGACCTGACACAGCGCGCAGTCAATAAGCTTATCGAGGTCGGGTATCATGATATACGGAAATTAGGGGAGAGCAGCTGGGAGGAGAGAACAATGGTCCTCAAGGACGGGGGATACAATCGCTATCGAGAGCAAGGTGCAACGAATCTAGGCGATTTGGCAGAGTTCGTCAATGAGAAGTACGGTACGTGTGTTTCACCGCAGGAGTGCGTCATGTAAGACTGTGGCCAGTAACTGACTGCATTTTGCAGATGGAGATCTTAACAACCTCCTGAAGAAAGCTCATAATGACCGAGACGAAACGAGAAAGTTGATAAAGGAGATCAAAGGACTAGGCGACCTGGGCGTAGATCTCTTTTTCAACAATGCCCAGGCTGTGTGGCCTTCCATTGCACCTTTTATTGATGGGCGCAGTTTGGAAACTGCTGATAATGTCGGCCTTGGTACGGACCTGGACGCTATCTACGCCGACCTAGGACGCGACTCGATGAGTATGAGCCGACTAGCCAATGGATTATCGGCTGTCAGACTGGAGAAGAGGCAAGGAGATCTCATGGCGATTTGAACGGCTAGTGCAGGGCCGTTTTGCTCTGGTACATAATTGGGAGTCCGTCAGGCATCTGTTTAAAGCAAAGTATGCCCGTCAACAGCTGTCATACCTGGACAGATCGTAGCTGCCTGTCAGATATGACGTATGAGTTGCCCTCGTGATCAATGAAGTCTACACATGTCTTTCAGAGACAGTGGACAGACCAAAAAAAATAGTATGAGATTCGTCGAGTGCATCTAGCTCCTTCCCCTGGCCTCAATGCCGCATAGTAGCTCCTTTGTAGAATCAATGTCGTCGCACAACCCGAAATAGTAGCTGAAATGGGTCTTTCATCTCGCGTATTTGCGGGCGCTCCGGAGACGAGACCTGCTGAGTCATCTACTCAGCGCCTTGGCAGACCCGCTGCTTGCGACAGCGCGACGACGATGCTTGAGCCTCTCCATCTCCTTGATTTCCCTTCCGCCCTCTTCCTTCCGACTCGTATCTGTCAAAGAAGCTTGGCTTCAAAGGTGAGCTTCCATCCTCTCCTCTGGCTGTGTTATCATGCTGCCCACAATCCCTTTGAGTGGTCATCACTCGCGCGACCATACCTGACGTAGCTGTTATGGCTAGCCTGCCGGAGCCCAATCCGGCGTTGGCCTCACCCTGTTGGATTCTCCAGCTAACCCAGTTTATCTACAGAAACTCTCCCCTTTGTACCCGTTCCGATACTCAGTCTTCGTCGTTGAACACCCTACCTATATCCCGACGACCGGTTATATTAGCAGGAAGAGCTCCTTAGGCCTAAATACTTGCCAGAATGGATCTTTCTAACATCTTGTACGTCGACGATGGCCTTGCATCGCATACATTTTGGTGAAATGTGCTCTAATTCCAACGGCTGCAGTCGAATTGTTAACATCGCCGTTGGCGTGTTGATGGTTCTCGGTGGTATCTCGCAATTTTTCCCTGCGTCTATGAGCTCCATCATCGTCGGCATTTACGTGATTCTCTTTGGTCTCAGTAAGTCTCAGATCAGGCAGCAGTATAGTGCATATGACAGCATACTTACACCATGGCTTTAGTTGTCGGTGGGTTGGAATTCCTGCCCAACGTTCCCGACTACGTTTACCGCTACGCGTCCTTCCTTTTCTCTTTCCTGGGACGTGGTGCTTGTAAGTCACACTATCCGTGATTGCCGTAGATCGCTGCTAATGAGTTGATCACTTGCGTAGTCTACATCTTCGTTGGATGTATCCTGCTGCACGACTGGATTTTGCGGTACATTGCCGGCTCCATCATCGGATTCATCGGCCTGGGCTACCTGGCCCTGGAGTTCATTCCCTCCATCGAGCCCCCTTCCAACATGCGTGAAAACGACCAGGGCTGGGGCGCCGAGCAGGTCTAAATGCGGTGTAAAATCTGTTCTCTGTTAACGGAGTGATGGTGTATGGCGCATAATCTGTGTTCTCAGAGTTGATTATCGTCTGCGGTCTCTCCCTCTAACAAAGGACAAAAGACACCGTGACTGCAAACGAGGCGTTCGAAGCACGAGTGAGAGTCAGGGAAAGCGAAGATAACTCTTATGCGATGTTTGATGATCGACGAGCGCGATGATTAATTCTCAGCGATGATTCAAGTGATGGGGGAATGCAAAGACCAAAGGATCAGGTTTGGGCCGGGGTGCCGGCCAGAAGATGACACCAGATCATTCTAAATCACGCTATCTCTTTTACTTTTCTCGAACGGTGGATGTGTGCATTGGAAAATTCTAAAGGTCTAGGCTGTCCTGTGGGGCCAGTGGTCTGTTCGTACCGGATGGCGCTGTTTCATGCCCTTTAGTTTTGTATAATAAGTAGTAGATGATATATAATAAATTTTAAGCCGAGGTCTGACGTGGGCAAACGCAAGTCTAGATAATATGGCCGCGTGGCATGATGACAGCTAGTAAGTATATGGGTGTTGAGACGGACATCGCACCATATGAATGCCCTACCATGGCCAAGCACTACGGTATACAAACTGAGTACTAGTTAGCGATGCTACAGCACCACAACAGCGGCGTCCCGCCGTCACAAGCTATCCATGTGGGACAAAAACACATGGACTCGTCTTCTCCGACGAAAATCACCACGGACAGTCCCATGCTAGCATGTGTGGGTAAAGTTATCTGATCCGGCTTGCCGCTCAGACAACATGCAAACTACTCGACTAGCTCGGTCAAGTCCTGAACTAAGCCATCCATCCCACGCCCCCACAAGTAGAAGAAAGAGGGCGCGGGCATCAAAAAACAAAGATCGCTCGGGCAAACCTGCTCCATTGGAACGTTGACACCACAAGCACGAGCGGTTCGGCATGCTCTTCCGGTCCCAGGATTCGGAGATGGCGATACCCCAGCTCGGAGATAAGCAATTTCAAATATGTTACCGATGGGCCTCCTTCACCCTATCCAGGTCGATTGATTATCGAGATGGGGCCGTTGTGTGTTCGTTCCGGATGCGGTAAACCTCTGCGCCGTCCCACTCAGGTCACGGCTTGTGTTTTCGGCTTTTCTTCACTTGTTGAGAACACGCCCCCATCCTCTCTTTGCTTTGTGGAACATTCTGTTGAGACTTATCATTAATCGTATATTCCTTTTTTAACATATCAGCCAATATCAACAATCAAGTAAAGTCAACCTGTCGTATGCCTTTACCCAACGCCCACTAGTCTAAGACCCGACACTAGACAGTAGAACCTCAGACATAGCCAGCCTATCACTGCGTTCCATTGCAGCTGTCGTCGCCCCTTCATTCCTCCACTATTTTAACGCGCAAGATCGACCTAATCGTAGCGTAAGCCGTTACTCCCGAGCCCGACTCCCGGGCCCGACGCCTAGTCAGAATCATCTCCTCGTTCAAGATTTCCGTCCACAGCTATAACGCCAAGCCCCTTGCCAAGCCCCGCCAAGAAATCTATATCGACTTATCAATCAACGGATCGATCCAGAATCAGCCTCACCTTGCGAGAGAGGGGGCCCGAGTTTGCTTGCTCGCTCGCTCGCTCCTCCTTCCTTTCAACTCGAAAGCAACAACTGACAAACATTCGTATACACTCTAGGCGACACGCTCAGACGACACGCTTTGTCAATCCAGACGAATGGCGTTCATTTCCGGTCATATCCGGGTTCATTTACTTACGTATTCAGGCAAACTTGACGATGAATCCCCTATTTCGTTGGTAGACTATGTATGTGGTCGTCGTCATATCACACACACATGCACACTTATGCAGACTAACTAGATCCTTCTCAACAAGTATCTACTTAAGCAGACTAGTTCTTTCCCCCTATTCTTTTTCTTTTTTAGTATCCCGAAAGGGCGGAACTTCCGCGCATTGGAACCCCCGAGTCGGTGTAGGGCGGCAAATTAAAATCCGCGCTGATGAGGGGGTGTGGGTGGGAGAGAGAAAGGGCAAATGTGTCGAAACCTAAATCGACGCAGGTTGCCGATTTTAGCGTTATCGGCAAGGAACTTTACCGGTACAGGAAAGTAAGCAGGTAGGTAGTAGCGTTAGTTAGTCTACTGTGATCATATCATATCCATCTCACATCATATCATATCATATCATATTGTGGCCGGTTTGGGGGAGAGGGGGAGGTGGTCAGGTTATCGGTGTCATACATCACGCCACGATCGACTAAGAGGGGGCTAGTGGCGCTTGATCAAGTTGGTTCTGTTGGCTGATTGATTACTTCGCTACGGTCTAAGTTGATAGATAGGTCGGATGAGTCGGCTGATTTGATTGATTGTAACTAACAGTACGGATTACTCCGTATGGAGGATTGAGGATGGATTCAGGATGGTCACTAGATGGTCAGAAATAGATTAGTTCCGAAAGTTGAGAGCCAAAATAAGCGAACGTTTCGATAAGGAGGTCGGCGTTTGGATGGATACTTTCGGCCCCCCCTCTTTGCCTCTTTTCTTCTCTTCACTATCCAATCATCCTACTATTGTGAATGTTACCTATCAGATTTATCTGGTGGGCATGCTTAGAAGAGTGGGAACAAGGAGAAAAAAAAAGGAGGCGTGTCAGAGTGTCAAAAAGTCAGACGCAGCTGCGCCTTGCGCCTTGTGCAGCCAGTGTCGGAAGGTTATGGAAAGTCTAGAAGATGATGGTTTACATACGCCAGAGCAAATCGGCAATCCGGAAGAGGAAAATAAAAAGAGGGCTCAGGCAAAAAGGTACTTTGTTGTTGTCAGGTTGGGTGGGTAAGAATCCAATCACATGAGCGAGATAGATCAAACGGGACTCTTTCGTCAGCCGCGTCGGAGAGATAACAACCTGTTCCGGTGTGCTTAGGCAGTAGCCTTACGGGCTTCCACAACATCCCAAATAGGGACCAGTGGGACTTCGGGCTCATCTTATGCAGTCTGGTTACCTAGTCCAACAGCTAGCACCACTAGGGCGGTGCTTCGTTATGGCCGACTACCGAACGAAAGAGTGCATAGTGTGACCGTCGGAGCGGAGCATGGAAGCTCGGGATATCGTGATAGAATCTCCGAAGCAGCCAATGTGGTTGCCTAGAATACCGCTGACTGAAGCGCCAGGGTTTGGTGCGCCAATGATAGGCTGATGAATAACGCTTATTCGTGAACGGACACGCTATGGACGATTCGGGAAGGCGCAGTGCCCCTTAGACCCAGTTCACTAAACCGTAACAGGAAGCGGTGGAGCCCGGGAGATTCGATCTGGGGAGGCCGTAGGCAAATGGGATTGGAATTGGCCAGCAAAGAGGGAAAAAAGGGTGAGGGAACTGCGCGACCGAGCTCTCACGCGCAAAAATTCTGTCCACCCTCCTTAGCGGATGAAAAGAGAGAAAGTAAACGAAGTTTAGAGACATTCAGACTTTTTATTCCGTCAAACTATCGGTTTGAACCTACAGATTGCAGGGTAGGAAAAAGCAAATCCCTGACGAGAAGAAGGAAAAGGAATAGCCCCCGGTCGTAGATCCCCCTGGGAGATCGATAACAGAAGGGCTGCCTGATAAGCAAAAAGACCATACTGCTGGGAAAGTTGACAGACCGACAGAGCACGCGAAGAAGCGAAGGGAAGGGGGAAAAAAGAAATTAATCAAAAACAAAAAAAAGTTCAGAGGCATCCCAAAAAAGAAAAAAAGCGAGTGCTTCAAAAATAGTCGAGTGAAAAAAAAACAGACCGAGAGGCGTGTTGGTAAGTAATCTGGTACTTTCTATTTGCCCGTCTCATGACAGAACCGTCCGAAAAAGGTCTGGCCCGTGGTTATCAGCATACGGTGGTCACCCTCACCTTCATCATCATCATCATCACCACCACCATCCATTTCCATACTTACCCACTTCCTGCCTCTATTATCAATCTCTTCCTCGGCTTTCTCGCCTTCTTGCTCATTCACCACTCCCTCCACCAACCGCTCAGCCCCCCCTAAATCCCTTCCTTTCCTTTCCCTTCATCCCCCTTTCATCATCTTCTACTCTTTTCAACACCCCTCATCATATCTGATCCGACATTCCATCCGTCTTGTTTGATCGCCCTGTTACCGCCGATCTTTCTTGTCCTGTCGCCGCTGTCCTCCCCTCCCACCAACAACGATCGATCTATCCATCCCATCTCTCCAGACCGTTCTCTCTCTCTTTCTCTCTCGAGCCTCCTCCATTCCGTACCTTTTTTTGCCTCCTACCCACCTCCACCCCCCCAAATCTATTCGCGATCTGTCCTCCTTTAATTTCACCTCTTGTTCTTTTTTAAACCTTTCCTCACCTGTTCATCCGCACCCAGTACTCCGGGGCACTCTATACGTTACGACTGGATCGCCACTCAGACCATCCCGTTCTGGATTGGCCAATATACGAGCATTTCGTGGCAGATCTGTTGCCCATCAATACAGTTTGACTGCTGCTTACTGATCTCTGCCTTTTGACTTTACGATCGCTCAACTTTTCCGAGAAACCCCTATCTCCTTCTAGTACGCTTGGGTCACCGTCAGGGATCAGTGTTCTGTCGTCTCTCCGGTTCCGCCTGGTTGGCTCTGGGAGTTTCACTAGCTGCAGTTACCTGCCTCTCAGTCAGGCTGTCGTTAGACTTTTCTTTTCTTTTTTCTCCTTCCCCCTGCACTGTCATCTTGACCGACTTTTGACTTTGTGATACGATACATTACTTGCCCCCCCTCGACTGTGGTGCGACGTACCTTCACGACAAAGCCCTCTCCTTATTTCGACTACGCTTTTATCTTGAGTGACTCGCTCTACTCTCGGAAGTTGCCTTGATCTGGGGACTTTGTCACTGGGAGATAGAGAAGGAAAACGAATATCTTCTGCGGGCGATTTCTTGTTGGCAATGCTGGCATCAATCCCCCAGATGGAGACGGTGCGATCGCTCCCTCGAAATCCCGATATGGTTGCGCGGCATCCATCAGCGGAGGACTTGGACGCTGCTCAGCAGCTGATCTCGTCTGCTCAGGCTGGTCGAGAACACCTTGTTGACCGTGCCCGTGATGATGATGCGGCTCGAGGCTACGATGCTTACGATGCCTACGATGGCAAACATACACCTACTCCTTACGATTCTGAACGGCCTACGCTGCCGTCGACCGAATCTGCCTCGAACACACTAGCAGAAAGGACATCGCCCAAGTCCCAGAAGGACACTTCCTTTCTAGGACATTCCTGCAGGTGAGTTTCCCTGGGCTTCTTTAGTTTGTTACCTGGGCGGTACTGACTTCCTTGGTAACACTTAGTAACTGTGGAACGAAAAGCACTCCGCTATGGCGACGATCACCGACCGGGGCGATGATTTGCAATGCCTGTGGTCTGTATTTGAAGGCACGGAATGTTGCCCGGCCCACAAAGCGGAATCGTATACAGACCAGCACGGAACCTGTCCAACCCCAACCGTCGCAGCAACAGCCACCATCGATAGCACCCCAGCATGAGGCACACACCCATAGCGAAGGAGGCTGTCATGGCTCCAAAGGATCTTGCCCCGGTGGGGGCAACTGTAACGGCACAGGGGGTGCTGAGGGGTGTGACGGTTGCCCAGCTTACAACAACCGCGTGTACAAGTCCTCTGCCCGTGGGACTGTGCCGGTGCACGCTTGGGGTCGACCCGCCAATCCAGATAGCGAAAAGCCTCTGCCAGCACAGGAACCGGACGTACCCGGAAAAAGTGGTGCGTCGGCCGAGGGAAACATATTGGTATCGTGTCAGAATTGTGGAACTACTGTGACCCCGCTTTGGCGACGAGACGAGAATGGCCATCCGATCTGCAATGCGTGTGGTATGTTCTTTTGCCTTATCTCGGGTATCAGAACGAGCCTTGAAGCGGCTAACATTTACTTAGGTCTATATTACAAGCTCCACGGCTGCTATCGCCCCACCACAATGAAGAAGACTATAATCAAGCGGCGAAAACGCGTTGTGCCGGCGCTGCGGGAACACTCTCCGACTGCTGCCACGCAGTCGTCGAATGGCTCTTCTGCCTCGCCCGAGGCCTCCCCAGCGACGTTGGCTCGCGTCCACGACGATCACTACCGCTACTACAGCTCTGAGCCGGTGGATCACTATGGACCGATGTCCGGAGACAGGATTTCACCGGCCGCGCCCAAGCAATTTGGCTTTGCACCCCCGCCTGTCGATTTTACCGGATTTAGTTCCGGGCCCGTCTCCTTACCGCACCATCCCCCGCCACCAAGATTGTTAGAGCCGGATCGCATCAACGCTCCAAGCCACTCTCCGGTGTCTCAGTTTGGTCGGCGATCTCTTTCGCCGAATCCATCGGGTAATCCAAAGAAACGCACCCTTGCAGAAACCGCGTCATCAGCAGAAGCGATGTCTATCCCAACCACTCTGGAGAACGGGTCCAACCAACTTCCTCCGATCATGTCTTCCGTCAATCCTTCCCCTCCTGCCCGCCTCAGTTCAATTTCTTCTCTCCTCAACCCCAACAGCCATGACGAATCGCGTCTAGACCCCTCACTCGCTGCCCTTAGCCGTCAGCACCATCAGTCTCACCAAGCTCCTCTTGCTCCCCCTCCCTCACAGTTGCTGCCCGGTGTATCGGAATTCGACAACATCAGGGAAGAGCGTCGCTTAAAATTGCAACGAGAAGCGGAAGAGATGAGAGAGATGCTGCGAGCAAAGGAGCGAGAATTGGCAGAATTAGGACAACAATGATCATGGATCTAGTTGTCCTAGAACTGTTTATGCTGCTATTGCTATACCTTTACTCTTTCAACAATCACATATTTGGCGCAGACTTTTTCTGACGAGATACCATTTGCAACACGATGAGTTTCACGGGACTTGTGCACTATTAAGGGAAAAAAAAGTTCTCTACATAGTTTTCTTTTTCTACTTGGGTTTAATTTGTTCGAAGCGCTGGCGGGATAAGCGATTACAAAAGAAAGACTACGGAGGCTTGTTTTGTTACACTTTATTTCCTCTTCTTCCTCTTCTTCTTCTTCTTCTTCTCTCTCACTCTCCCCTTCACCTTGTTTGAATCTGTACCGGTGGACGGATGCGTGGACAAGGCTATTAATTACGGGATAACCGGGGGTGAGATGACTGTGTTCGTAAGGTCATGGAATAACTGAATAGATTTCGGTAATAAGGGACTTATCAAGATCATATGATGACTGTTATTGATCTACAGTAAACTAGTTCGCTAAGATCTCTGCTTGATCGAACCTGTAGCGACCGATTGATTGATAGATTGATTATCTGAAACCCATCAATTAGTTAGTTATCTCTCAACCACAGATTGATTGACTGATTGACTGATTGATAAGCTTAACTGCCAGATTCCCTTTCCAGATCGGTTCGGCCCGACCTCGGCCTTTTAAGTCCTCAAAAATTTCTCCTTGGCTATTATTCTCATGTAATTCTTATTAATTATTCGCACGTAGGTCTACTGGTAGTCTAGCACATACCCCTCACTGCAAGGGATCGGATTTTCCGGATTTTGTTTCGTTACGAAAACAAGTCGGTCGCTTTGTCTCGTCACATACTGGATCCTGCGAAATAATAACACGTATGAAGCTGTTTAGAACTAACTAGCTAATAAAGTAGGCCATTAAGCTGGCCCAATTTCATGTGTAACAGCCATGGTTGAGGGTAGTTGTTTTGCGTGATATGATTAATTTATTGTAGAATTACTCCCTGCCCGCCTATTTGCATTTCTCTCTTCCCCTTGTGGTGGGATGTTTCTAAGTCCAGATTCCAACAATTACTAAGTGTAAGTAACTAGCATACAGCTAGTTTAGGAGCTATATTTACGTAGCTATGCATTGCGTCGGTTAAATTCGGATTTATCGCTTATGATGATCATCGTCTGATTCATGGTTATGGACCGAATGTAGTAAAGCTTTGTTTTTGGTAATGCGAAGGGGGGGGGGGGGGTTTATGTGATTGTTTGTTGATTACTTTATTCTCGAGCGAATTGTAGCTAGTAAGTGATGTAAACAGGACATGGGAGGATGATAAACACATGACGACATTGGGTTTTGCTAGAGAATTGATCTTGATGGGTTGGAATTGTGTTACCTGCCTAGGATTTCTCTGAAAGGACTTTCTTCCCTGCTGGATTGTCGTTTTACAATGGCAGTATCTATCTACCGTGCTGCGAAAAAAAGAGGGGCAAAGGAGGGGAAAGGAGGGTGTTCTAGATCCGGCGAAAGTGTTATAGATGGATTATGGCATGATGTGATGCGATTGATAAGATTAAAATTAGGGGGGAGATTACTATGATCGTGAGAGAATTATTAATCTTAAATTGGGGTGGGTAGATAGGTAGATACACCGTGGAGAGCGGGATTCTGTTTATCCGGGGGCGCTAGGTTGGTTTATCAGTAGTGTTTGATTTTTCTAACGATTTATCTACTGGGTTTTCCGTCTACTATTTAGTATTAATGTCTGTTGTACAGATGTATTATGTTGGGAGCTCGTTAGATGAGCGAAAGAAGGGTGAATGTACATAAAACCAAGAAGAAAGAGGGGTTCAGCTTGTAGCATGGTCATAAAGTCGTCGATGATTAGACATCCGAAGAATGAGAAGAATGTACACGAAGGTGGACGGATAGGTAGGTATGTGTGAAACGAGACGCAGGTGTGGGATATCAGGATCAGAGAGTAAATAAAAAAAAAGAGGGGGTAATGTTGAAGATGCAGCGTCATATATCATGCATCGTGGTATCAGAAGAAAGTAAGTTCGTGAATGTATGGGAAATAGTGAGTGTGTGCGAAATTAGGAAAGGTCGGAGATCATCAGACATCAACAACCAATCGACGCTGACTGGTCGACTCGTCATTGTTTCTCGATGTCTCCTGAATCATCGTTGTCGTCGTGACTGCGATTCCGTCTAGCGCACTATCGTGGCTCGCTTCGCCGGACTTGACGTCGATGGTGTACATGCCGTAGTCGCGGTCCTGGGAGTAAAGCTCGACCTTTTGCCGGTGCGAGCGCGCGGTCATCCGAGTGGCGGTCATGCGACTGGCTGTCATGGTGGGGTTGCGAGTGTAGCGGTTGTAGCTGTTGGTCGAGAGGAAACGAGGGAAGATGCGACTGACGATTGGACGAAGGAATGGTAGGCAGGCGCAGATGATGGCGACGTTGCATTCTGCAGCGGTCCAATAGGCAGCGCCAACATTGCTGTCTGGTTCGTTTGTTAGTCTAAACTCGAGGAGCAAAGAAATTGAATGGGGGCTGCGTACAAGACGTGTCTGTGCTTTTAGCTACGCTTCTCAGACTGGATAGACGGAGGATACTCGTGATCACGACGCTGGAGTGTGGTGGTTAGCGTGCATTGGACAAACTGGCGATCGCCATGACTTACAGTCCACCAATAGCAAAGACACCCATAAGAGCTAATTTCTGCATGCGCGGAAGTTGCAATTGCGACAGAAGAGGCATCGGCAAGATTAACAAGGTTGTGTCTGTAGCGATGTTCATCGATGCGTTGAAGAACCAGACGGCCTCGAAACTAAGGCAGTAGCCGGAGATGTTGCGGTTCCAGAATTTGGCGACTGGGACACAGTTCAAGAAACCACTGACTACTGCCCATGTTCCGTAAGTAGCCACGATACCAAACACGATCCAGCAGGCAAGCCGGAAGCGGCGGTCGGGGAAGATCCGAAGATACTGGAAAAGAATGGAAAATTTGGTAAAGATCAAGCTGGCGTTATAGAAAGGGATAGCGGCCCAGAGTCGCTTCATGACAGCGGATCAGTATAGGTTCAAAACTGATTACTGTTGGGGAATGTTACCTTCAATTGCTCTTTCACAACAACGTCAGACAAATCGGCGTCATGTTTTCCGAGACCAAAATGCACCTCTGGAGCATGTAAGAGAGATATTTTAGCTCATTGGCGGATGGCCACGACTTACCAGCAGCAACAAGACCGAGGTACGTGCATGATAACACCTACATGCAACCAATGTCAATTTACGGCACTTTCCCAGCGAGAACTCAGACACCCCCATCAGGGTACGTACCAGAGAAATAAGAATCATATAATCTTCACGACCAGTCAATTTCATTAACCCAACTCGCGCATACATACGCATAGCGACAATGACAATTGAGAGTCCGGTAAGCACGGCTGTCACTACCAGGGCTCGCTGTCCGCGAGCTGTACCATCATCCGTAGTCCGGGGAAGCAGCATGCCTCCCATCATTTCATCCAGCATGGCAAAGGAGTGGGCCAGTTGAGCAGATGAGTGTTGCACAAAAGAGCGTGTGATTTCTGATATGGATGATGAAGAAGCGTCGGTTGTTGATATTGCATTGGTTTGCGGTCAATGAATCGATCTGCGTAGATGTACAGTCTCCAGGTTCTTGAACCTAGAGGCCGGAACGTGGTTTACCACATGGGTCGAATAAGCACCGACAAGATTTCAAGAAGGAGTGTCTGGGCTAACGCCAACTCTTGAAGCAGGTTTGCTTTTTCAAGATCTTGCGCCGGGGTAAAAGAGGGAAAAGGAAAGTATCGGGGATCCTGCTTTTAACAGTTCAGCGAATTAAGCCCGAGTACCCCCCGCAATAGCTCAAAGTTTGATAGTAGTTAATAGCGTGCGAAGGCCGCTAGACTGCTGGGGAGCCCTGGATGGAGAGCCATAGTATACGTAGTAGACAATTTCAGCTCGGTGTTGCCCGGCACAGTGTGGCTACATGACCCGGACTCCTTCCAAATTGCAGTAATGATCTATGGCACTAAGCTGTCGGTCTCCACTGGTGTCGTGGGCAGACGGCAGAGTGGATGCGCTTGTAGGGGGGACATTAGTCAATCAAGACGGCGACCTGTAGAGCGAGACCCAGAATGGCACCCAACGCCCTGTCACTGGAGTCTCTCTCCGATGGTCGATCCATGGGACGCCACCCTGGTGTCTTGAGAACTTCCCTCCTGGAGTATAGTGCTCTTTCGACTTGGCTGGTACGGACTCGGCAATGTCCCTCGTACGGTACCGTTGATTCGGCTAGATTGGCTCCACTAGGAAGAGGGAAGGCCAAACACAAAATGCCCGTTTCAACCTTTTGGCTCGTGTATCCCCAGCTCATCCTGTGCCCCTTAAGAAATCGCAAGCAAAGCCCCCGGGGTGCCGCAAAAAAAATAGACCAGGATCAATAGCCACATGGAGAAAGCTGGGTGGCTCACTCAATTTGGCTTAGATGGTGTTGAAGAATGGTCTTCCACCAGTTTCAATTTGATGAGACTCGGTCACGACCGTGCTGGTGTGGATAGCGCCGCCGGTGGAGGCACACAAGCCTAAAGCGGCATAGAAATCCTCTGGCACTAGGTAGACTAAAACGTGTATGGCACGATTTCGAGCATTCATTCGCTCGTTGATATTATCCTATCCCTGCAAATAGAACAGGATAAGAAATGATCTGCCGTTCAGCGTGGCGGTGGGTCACCAAGCGAGGAAAAAACACGAGATCTCTAGTCCAATGCCTTGCATGAACTAGTTTCTTTCTGGGCGCCTGGTTTCTGGCTAACAATGGCAATTCAGGGTATGACCAAGGCAACGAGGATATGGGAGCACGCATAGCAGGGCAAAAGATGGCCATCATCAGTCCCCGATTAGCGGAAGACCCCGGATGGCTCCTCCCCAACAAAGTTTCGTACCTCGATAAAAGCTAATCCTGCATACTAAGATCGTGGGTTGTCGCAAAGGATGTCAACAACAGTTCGAACAATCAGCTTCGCTGTGGAGCAGACTTTTCCTTAGCGTTCACCAGTTTCTTACATATATCCTCTGCGTTCACCCGTTTTGGTCAAACGTGAACAACAGCAACCATGGTTTCTTTCTTCCCATTCATCACTCGTCGGAAAATTCCTAGAACGATAGATCACTATCTGCTCAGTGATTGATCGACATATTTGGGGAAGTCTTTGACGTAGGCTCGAGTACTCGATAGGCAGCGTGTCCGCGCTTTGTGCTATTGTCCACGCAGGTCCCTGTCTTCTCGCAACCTTGGGCGCAAGCGACAAATACTAGTAGTCATAGTCTTCTATTTTCGGTTTCCTCACCTGTAACCGTCGATCACATCAGTCCATAGAGCACGTCATGGCCGAAGTTTGACCAGGTAAGAATTTGAAATTGCATGATCCGTCTGAGCATTAGTTGCTTTGCCATCTTTCATAGATGAAAGGAACACCGGATGTTTAAGAGAAAGGCAAAAGGAAGAAGATATTAACTACTATTCCATACGAGAGCCTGTTTCGTGGACGGAGATATTGTTTGTTTCGCATGACTCGTGCCTCCAAGGACCATGAGTCCAGGTCGCAAGCCAGCAGCCGTTGCCATGCTTGGCTGCATCAAAGCTGTGGACTCCGAGCTTGCATGTGGAGAATGCTGTGCAACCCTCGCATCGAGTCTGCATAGAACAGGGGCGTGCTTTCCACCATTGTTGCTCCTCGTGGCTTGATAATTCAAATGACATACATGATTCCGGGGGAATGGAACCCGAAGGAAAACTCGGGGTTCCTTTGTTTTACGGCTTTGAAAACTCTCATCCCAATTCAGCGGTGCGGCTGCGAGAATGTGGCTATGATCATCAATAGAAGATGGGTCCCATGCAGGTTCAAAGGGGAGGGGGGAGGACGAGGCTGGATAGCGCCGCGCTACTGCTGCGCCGGGCAAGCTATAAGCGGCAAAGGATGTCCACTACCAGCCAGTTGGTAGGGCGCCACCATTGAATAGTAAAAGAAGTGCATTTCTTGTCGATGTGACCTGCGCAGCAAATAAGCGCTGCAGAGACCTCTTACGGAAGTTCGGGGAAGCTGCCCGACGTTCTATTCCATTTTCTTGCCATGCAACCCGGTGACTAATTGCTTTTTGGCTCTGAAGCTTGGTCTCGATAGCTGAGGATTTGTCTTGGAGCCTATGCCTGGGGGCGTTCCGTTCATTGGTGTAAAATAATATGTGGATAAGTCCCCACTATGTGTCCTCACGAAGCACCTCCATGCGAAGCTCCGGGTGTCACAAAAGGGGCAACTCTCAATTGTACGATAGATATTATGGGGTACGTGCAACGGGGAAAGATGAAAATGACGTGCGAATCCAATGCTTTGGACTGAAGTGTGTAGTCAAGGTGCGAAGATCGACGGACGAGAGAGGTGTCAACATTGGAATAGACCTGTGTCAAATGTCAATAATGTCATTCTGTCCCACGGAGATAGCCCGTCGAACTTTCCTGGAGCATGAGGTCTCTCTCATTGGCACAGAAGCCTTGACTCTGGGGCCTTGGAGGACTGTCAAAAGCTAGTGATGATCGTCGGCCGGAGAGGGAAAAAGGGAAAGAAGGCACCGAAGCGGTCAGAGAGCGAGTGACCAGCCACTATCCCTGACGATCCACTGCCCTTAACTCCGACCCAGGCAATTGCCAGGACTTCGACAAGGAGATAAGAGCATTTCAATAGTTAGTTGAATTAACTTCTTCTGATGCCTGACTGTTCAAGTCATGGTCTCAGGACTTTTTGTCAAACGCCGCACGAGCATCGGAGTCACTTCCGAGCTCAAACTCTACTTGCATGGCTGAAGAATAGTCCAGATTTCCTTGGTTCTTGGACCCCAACCTTAACCTCCTCTAGACGCCATCTTATGAATTACAATTCCTCGAATAGGGCTGAGAATCCAAATGACTATCATGTCCGATCTAGATATCTACCTGGTGTTAAACACCATGAGTTCCGAATCCCGCCTCCAACACCCCTCGGAGCGCCGGCCATTCACCGAAAACGGAGTACACTCCACAGTCGACTTCGGTTTACGGGCTTCGGACTTGCTTGCTTGGTACTCTGCTTGATTTTCCTACTGTATGCTCGCGACCGTTGTTACCTCATAACATTGTGCTCACACATGACTTGGTAGATACTATGGTTGTTCAATCTTACTGATGCGAGGTGTCAATGTTCAATGATCCAAAGGGTTCGGCACCTCATACGTGCGCAACAACCAGAGAACGTGCCTACCGCGTCCGAGCACATAATCTCAAGGTTTGCAGACTGGGATGACGATCTCTTCGCTTGGAGTTTGCAGATCCCTGAAATCCGTGGTTCGTTCAAATCAGGATGTCTTGTCTTTCATCATAGTGGATGGGCTGGCGGCTTGAACTCTTGAACTCTTTGCTAGCACGTTCGGTAGCGAACGATCGCCAGCACCAGACCTATACGGGAAACTCGCACACCAGAGTACCTGAAGGAAGATCTTCGTTACCATGTGCCCAGTGACTTCTTAAAGCTATGCCACCTCGCACTGATCCCCTCATGTCGAGATTATCAAGGCGACTAGGTAGCTTTCTCCACGACCCGTGGCTTTGTACCGTTTGGCGTCACCTTCAGGAAGTGGATACAATGACTCCTGGTCCAACATAAGACTGTGCCCGATTTTGTGTTCGTAGTCAATGGTCGCAGACAGATAGAATAGGACTTGACCTAGCCGTTTAAGCTAGTTCTGCATGGCGATGAGAAGCTAGTTACCTAAGAACGCGTGGGAGCCTTGGCATATTCATGCGTTCTAAAAAAGCAAAGCCCGGCCTTCGGGATTCTAATTTCATGGCCGCTTATCATACTGGCCATAAGACGATTTCGTGGTCATCGTGGATCGCTAAGAGGCCAAAGGCTGCTCCATTTCTCGCCTAATTGACTACGACCTTACTAAGTCCCCTTCAGAGCTGTTGCGGATATGATGACTATGGCTTCTCTTTCTTCGAGGATTGCCCGCGGTTAAGCTACCGCCAAAGGAAATGGTACGTTCATGTCGTTTCAGTGTATCTGGAATTAACGGATATGCCCACACTGGTGCTAACGTGAAAGTGATATAGATTGTTCTGTGAATATCAAGTACAGTGGTGGTCTATCATCAGTGCTAGTTCGTATTTCTGCATGGGTGTGAATGATTAATGCTTTTGCCAGGCCTAGCTAGCCGCACAAAATGGCATGCCTGGATGGGAAAGATTCTGTTTCTTGCTCCAAAAATGAACTCCCCCTACTGCCAATGGCTTTAAAACCGTCTCTGTTCGACTTGGCATCCGGCGACTGATTCCTGCATCGTTCGATAATTGAGCGAGTTCAACTGAAAGACATCTATTGACAGATTTTGAAAGCTGGAGTCAAGGCATTCGTGTTGATAAAGGATTCAACAGCGTAGTTGTGTGACTGATGGCGCTTTGTGTCGAATACAAGGACGAGCTGTTCGCCAAAGAGCTATCCTTTCTGGCAGATTTCGTGTAGGGGGAGGAGCAGAAGCTGGAAGAATGTACAAGCAGCCATCGGAAGCCAGTCCGGCCGGCATAACCATCAGCCGAGGCCAGGCCCCCCCGCCCGAGCACGAAATGGCCTCGCCGGATCCCCGCACACGCCATCCCGACCTTCGGCCTGTGATTCATAAGAAACCACCAATAGCCCCTGTCTCCTCGTCCGATTTGAAACCTTTTCTCTCTTACTTGACCGTTATCGACGCCAGCTGACAGGCTCTTTATGCGGCTTCTCCAGGCTTATTACAGTACTCTCAGATCCCTGCGACAGCTCTCCCCTTCATCCGGGTCATTCTCCGCATCCACCCCGCTTCCGTTTCGTGCTGCAATCAGACCAGCTTTCATCAAACGCACAATGGCAACAGCAATGGCAAAGCGCCTTGAAGGCAAGACAATCCTCGTGACCGGTGCATCTTCCGGTATTGGACGAAGCACTGCCAAGGAATTCGCCCGCACTTCTCCCAAGGACTTGAAGATCATCGTGACTGCTAGACGGATCGATTCACTGCAGGAGCTGGCTAAGGAGATTAAGGAGGAAGTCGGTGAGGGCGTCATGGTGTTGCCTGTGCAGCTGGACGTGAGCAACCCGGAAGATATCAAGAAATTTGTGCCGTCTCTCCCCGAAGAGTTCAAGGAAATCGATGTCTTGGTTAACAATGCGTGAGTCACGACTTTTTCCATCTGCTAATCACAAGTCTGTGCTAAGAGAAATGCAGAGGCCTTGTTAAGGGAGTTGCTAAGGCTCCAGAAATTGCACCTGAGGATATCAACGTCATGTTCTCGACCAACGTTACTGGACTGATCAACATGACCCAGGCCATCCTTCCCATCTTCAAGAAGAGAGCCGATGGTGGTCGCGGAGATATCATCAACATTGGCAGTATTGCTGGCCGCGAGGCTTACCCTGGCGGTAGCATCTATTGTGCCACAAAGGCGGCTATCAGATCGTTCACCGATGCTCTGAGGAAGGAGCTTATCGCCACAAGAATCCGTATCATTGAGATTGATCCTGGCCAGGTTGAGACGGTAAGACTTCGCTTATGCCAATTGCATGACCCTTCTAATAACTGTTCTTCGATAGGAATTCTCCGTTGTGCGGTTCTACGGAGATAAGGCCAAGGCAGATGCAGTTTATGCGTAAGGATCCCTTATATGTTCTCCCGGCGGACTAAAGGCATATGGACAAATACTGACTACTTATGGGTACTACAGCGGCTGCGAGCCACTTACACCCGATGATATTGCTGAGGTGGTTGTATTTGCTGCCGGTCGGCGCGAGAATGTTGTGATTGCAGATACCTTGATTTTCCCTAGCCACCAGGTAAGTCAAACATCGCATACAGTCCTCAACAGCATAGCTGATGGCACCGTCACTTAGGCATCGCCGACTTCCATGCACCGCAAGGCTTAGTGTATACGCATTTATGTTTGTGGACTTGTAAAGAGCACTCAATGGTGGAGCGACATTAGAATTGGCTGGAATTTTGGTAGATTTAGACGATATGGTCAAATGATATTACATGATGAGACTGCATATCTGAATCAAAGTAAGCGTAAAGAATTCAACTTCCTTGTGTGAAAGGAACGACATGATGATACGAAGTCACCCGTTGCCAACTATATCCAGTGCCATCAGCAACTTATATGTTGAAAGATCGGGTTATATATATCCAATACCTTTGCTAATAATACGGGCAACTAGCAGCTTTGGTTCACAAAAGGTAACTTGGAGATTGCGTGTCGCAAACTGGATCTACGGCTCGGTATATATAACGGCACTCCTAAGCTGCCGATGCAACGGTGACATTTTCTTTGCGACTTGAGGGGCACAATCGGTCTGCATTATTGCCATCAGCTCATTATATAGTAAAACCTCAGGCTTTTTATGGTAGCCTACTTTTATTCGCACCATCCTTATAGCAACTCGAGTCGATGTGCCTGAACGGTTATCTTCTACGGACGATGCCAGCAGAGCATTGCACTCACCTCGTCACTCTGAAAATGATAGTGGATGGCGATGGTACCTGAAGGGCTATCATCGACTGGTTCCGGTGGGTAAATCAATTACTGCATCCGGCACAGTGCAATGTTGATTTGGATGATTGACATCACGGTCCCTGAACGGTTCACCCCGAACTCAAGCTAGAGTATGATATGAGTTTGCATCGCTTAGTCGGCGTGTAGCCAGTGAAGTGCATTCTCAGTTCGTGTTATACAGACGTGTAAATCTTCACGTCTCAGTCTTCTGAGATGCCCACAACACCTTCTGCACATACCTGTATCTCAACAGCGCCAATATGGAACAAGGATTTGGACCAGACATCATTCCCATAGAGATTGACATGTTTCCTATGGAGTCAGACAATTTCCTTATGGAGAGAGAGTTCTTCCATATGAAGTCAGATCTCGTCTCTATGGAGTCAGACGTCGTTCCCATGGAGTCAGACATTTTCCCTATGGAGTCGACTATCGACCCACAAGTCTCAGAACGCAAGTACGAGAATGATCCACTGCTAAAGGCCTTTGAGATCATGGAAATCATCGGTCGGTATCGTACCATGGTGCCAGCAACCGCAAGTGATCGCACCAGCGACGGAAACATTATGTTTCTATCCAAGATGTGGTCTCAGATCCGGGCGAAACAGCCGATCCGAATGATTCTACCGGCTTTCCCCTTCAAGTCTCCGAATCGGGGAAATAAGACTTTGGGAAGCCTTCCTGACAAAGGCGAAGAGATTTGTCTCGCGCACCTTAACGGACTCTGCGCTGCTATTAGTGACGTCTATGAATATGGAGCTAAGCTCACCATTGTATCTGATGGCCTCGTGTACAACGGTAAGTCGAGAAGAAAGTACTCATGATCTTGTATGCTAAGATAGGGACTGACTGTCGGTAGATATCCTGGGCGTTTCTGATAGAGACGTCTGGGAATATGGCCATGCACTGAGGGAAATGGTTGCTGAAAATGAGTACGACCATATCGATTTCGCCAGATTGCGCGACCTTGTTCACAGCCAAGAGGACGTCAAACTTGACGGAGAGACGTACGAAAGGTTGGCCCCGGTGTTTCGCCAGGAACTAATTGAACAGCACACACCGGTGGGATTTGACGCCGCTGTTATGATCAAGTCAGACGAAAACATCTGCACCACTTATCGTGGATACATAAAGTTTTTGACCAAGGACTTGGAACATCTTTATGTAGAGAATGGTACCACATCTCGCAAGGCACACAAGAAGTACCTGGGGAATGTTGCCAAAGCCATGATCACACGAGGTGCGGTGAGTGGAATAATTCACCCAAAACTTGAACGCTAACCAAGCATAACAGTATTGAATGGCACTAACACGTGTGGTTTAACTATAGGCCTTTGCAGAAGCCATCATAAAGAACTACCCAGGTTACATCCGTCTTTCAATTCATCCATCAAATGGATTAACCAAGATCTCCATAAATGTTCTCCCGAGATCTTCAAAACCAGTCACACCATGGCACTCAGCACCCTGCTATACTGTTGACGGCCGCTTCATATATGGATGGCGCGAAGTTTTCGATGCTAACCCAGAATTGGAGTTGGTCCACAAAAACGGGCGTCCATGGTGCTACCGTTTTAAATCTGAGCTGTATAACTGGTCATCGCCGGTAGCAGTCAATCCCATCTATCCCTGTGGCATGATGGTTACGCCTGTCAATCCAACCTCAATAAGCCAGATTGAAATGGAGAAAGTGCAGGGTCTAGCACACGAGAGCTCACCAGTTGTCCTTCGCGGATTTACAGACACCCATGACCATGAGCTAATCGCGCAGAAAGCTGAGAGTATTGACGCTTCTTACCTTTCAATATCCGACTTCAATCCTGAAGAAAAAGCCGAAGATGGTGATTCACAAGATTCGAAAAGCACTACCTTGTCAGGTTGGCTGCCCTACGATGGGCCAACTGAGATCATGGAGGATCAAGAAGCCCATCACATCAAGCAGTGTCCGGTCTCCTCTCCAGCCAAGTAAGCTAACTCTGTTTCTCAAGATTCTTTAACTTCCCACTCACATAGAATCCACTCCCGAATAGATATCAGCTCATCAGTGCCCCTGGCCCTATCTCAGAGAATACCAGACGCAGTCTCTTCTCCGCATCCTCTCTGTTGTTCCACCACCTTCCAGCCAGTTACACCGTCGGGATGCTCCAACAACTTTCCTGGAACGCAGAGACTTCATCCCACGACATTGAGACCAGTTCCCTGCCCTTGATCATACCGCACTTTTCTCACGGCCGGCCCTGCTTCCGTTACCACTCGCTCCTCTCTCAAAGCAATATCACCTGTGATCCCACTCTCATCGCCATCGAAGATATCTCAGACGCTGACTCAACTAGACTATGCAATGTTCTGAATCCCCTCCTCTATGACCGTAGAGTCTGCTATTGGCATACCTGGAAACAGGGAGACGTGCTCTTTTACGATACTTTCACAACGACACAGACCTGGGAATCATTCGCCGGAGAACCAGTCCTTTTCAAGTTGTATTCAGGATATCCATCTTGACTAGTTGGGTTTCATGCGTTGGGTATAACTATCTACCTGGCAGTTTTCATACCATTAATCTCTTGATTCTGGTCGAATTTCTCTTGAATACCCCCAAACACCCAGGGAACACACGAAGTACCCATGGATGATATGATCTGATGACTTCTCGCTTTGATTTATGTCAACGGAACGATAACCATGACTTTTATTTCAGCGATCTTTCATCTTTCCTTACAAGTAACAAACCTCAAATGTTCTTTGCTTTTTTATTCGGTTTTTCTTTCTGGTTAAGGAGACAAGTGGTAGGGAATATTCCTGGAAAATACCAGATACAGGAGCTAGTCAGACATGTACGTAGCAACAGTTAAATCCCATGAACATCTCGGAGTACATTTGCTTTCATTTTTTCTATGCTATATATTGAAGGCTTGTATGAGCTTCCGGAGATAAGCAGGTTGCTTAATTGCCATTGACCGGCTTGATAATAAGCAACTAGGACCAAGATAAATTTATGGTGAAAGGCAACTACGGTAGGAAACGAGACCGGCAAATACAGACATAACTAAGTAACTCTCATAAGAAGAAAGACAAAAGGACTACAAATGTGAGTAAGTAGTCACTTACTGTACGTTTAGTAAATGGTCTGACCCGGAAGTGACTTTACGTATCAAGATGGTCATTCCAACATCCCACTGCCTTTTTTTTTTAGGGTACTAGCATATGATCAAAGAAGGGGTCTGTTAGACCAACACCACTTGAATGAGACACGAAAAGCTCTGATGTATAAAAAGGCGAGCACAATGTGCAGCTAATTACTAGGTTGAAAATACTGTGGTCTTCCTCTCCACTGAGGTTTCTTCAGGGAGACAGACAGATAGACAGACGGCAAGGAATCAACAGCGGAGACCCCCGGCCGGCCCCCAAGCTTTAAGTACACTATCTACCCCTGCATAATATATCATTGGGGGCCAAAAGGAACGAGTAGTAAGTTGTCTATGCACAACATCCTGAAGCGGACTAAATACTTTAGACCATATGATTTGCAATTTACACATGATAATTGGTTTTCCTTACGATAGGTGAGCAGTTGATTTGGAATCTTACCAATTCCTACTGTACTCACTTGGAGAGAGTCGAACATAGACAAGGTAGGTAAATATCCGAGATCCGAAAAAGGGGGGGCAGCTCACTTTGTATCTACTAGTAGCTATGACCCCTTTGTGGCTCAGGGTTTGTGTCAGCCAAAAGTCAGTGTGATGGTTTACCGTTTAAGCGATGCCTGTCTGTTCTTGGTACCCCGCAGATCATTCTGATATGCGCCAGTCATGGAACAAAGTTATTGTTGACGTTTGACGGCATAGTCGGAGGCATTGGATGTGTCACGGAGGGGATGAACAAGTTGGGAGAGATTGACTGAACTGACCCCACCCAGCTATATGAACTTGGGTGTCGTAGGTAGATAGAGTGTGGGCGGGACTTCTGCCTACTGCAAGTCTCATTGTGATGGCTTGATGCCGCATGCCGTTTCTTGTCTGGCCACGTCATGGGCATGTTTGATGCCTGTCGGCTGGGCTTAGCGATCTAGTCATTGGAAATTTCGGTCTGCCCATCTAGTGCTCGAAGATAAAGCACGCATTGCAGACCGAACATCGGAGGGCGGTGTGAGTATGTGCTTCGATTAGGACATCTTCGCAGACAAATCAGTGCTCTGCCCGCTTGGTAGTCGATGCGGGAGAATGTTTGATCCTGATTTGGGCATCCAGGCACATGGACGAGGTCTGGAGTATGACTGGTACGATAGTCAGGGTAGGTGACAGGTACCGATCTCGGTCGCAGGCCCCGACGACCCCGCAGGTACGTATCTTTGTCCCTGAAGCGGTCGGTTACCCAGACTTGGGTAGGCCTCCAAACTGAGCCATGGCTCTGTGCAATGTGATGAGTCGGTAGGATGGAAGAGATTTCCGCGATCAGCAGTTGTCCGCAAAATCAGGCAATGTGACTTGGAGAAGGTGGCTTGGGTGCCATGGCTCGGGAACACGGGTGGGTTTAGTTTCGCTCCAGGGTAGTAGCAGCAGAAGATAAGAAGAAAAGACGACCCTGGAGAGACTCAATGAGAAACGCATGTGGTGGGAAAGGATCAACGCACGACGCTGCAGGAAGTAAGTGGTATTACGGGAGCAAGGCAAAATCTCCCCAGCTGCAGCTAGGATGCAAGGATGCAAAAATGTGTTCAGACTTCCGGGGTTAAAAATTTGCGGGACGTCATCTCTTGACACTCGAGGGTACTATCATCCGGGATTACTCCGCTCATCACCGAAGGGGAGCAAGGAGTTGTGTCGAGGTCGCCGCCTCATTCGCCAATGGTGATTGAGCAGTAACATGGGCTATGGGATCGGACGGTCTCACAGACCAATATATCACCTCTGGCAAAAAGTGGAGGCGTGGAGAACATCCTGAACTCGGTCTGCGGCTATTTTAGGCTTCTTCTGGACTAGTCGAGCACGACTCACTCCATTGGACTCAGCTTCCCCCCCCTCTCCAGGGACACAATTCCATGACGCTGTCGAAGCCAAAAGGAAGCCAGACTCAGACTCAATATTTCGAATGATGATGTAACTCGGTGTGTCAAATCGGAGCTGTCATGTTTGCATCTGTTAAGGCTGAGAATAGTTTTCTACCCTTCTAGAAGGAAAACGGTTGTGCCGAAAAGGACAAGGACCTCGGATGAATGATGGATGCTCTCTCACTCATCCACCCTCACTCACTCACTCACTCACTCACTCACGCACTCCCACTCACCCTCTTTTATTTTATGTTATTTTATTATATTCTTTTTTCTCTCCACGCGCCCACAGCAAGGCTCTCATCCAGTAGAAAGTTCCTCTAGGGGAAGCTACCCCGTTTTCCCCTATTAAATTGTAACGTCCAAGGCCTTTAGTCCAATGGATCGTTCCGAGTTTTGACTGAGCCGGACGGGAAACTTATTATCAATGGGAGTTCGTTTGTTGCTTCTCTTACAGTGCTTGCGTAAGTAAGCCTGCACCCTGGGACCGAAGGAGTTCACTTGTTCAAGGAACCGGAGCGGGACGCAGAGTCAAGAGAGGAGCGAATCCACCCAGCAGGCCTCACGGTGATTGGCTTGGACTCCGGAAGCTATTCGTTCGTTTACTGTGTTGCGTAAGGTGAGCAGGGGAGAGGACCCTCAGGGGGAAAAAGTTGGGATGGAGAACACTGGACAATTTAGAAGCATTAACGACCGGCGCTAAAAAAGCAGGGTGGAGCTGGTGAAGATTAATCTGGAAGAGATACGATGAATGGTTTCACAAAGTCATGGAGTCAATCAAATGCATAGTTTACTAACGGCTCGTACTGGAGTCGAGCTTATATTGTTATTCTGTGCAAAAGCTAATGACAGTCACCATTTATTGAGTGCTGGGGTGGTACGGGGGGTGGGATCTGTCTGCTGGGTCAGATCATCAATACGAAATTCATTCGTTATACATGACATAGTAAATGAACCGAATACTAGTAACTAGTTCTGTGTAGGGAACAACTAATTTATTCATCCTATTAAACCACCAAATTCTTACTGTACGGTATTGGCAAGTGTGGGAGGGAGAGAGAGAGAGAGGGACAGCGACACTAGACCCAATGGATCATTAATCTTGGGTGCCCTGGGAATTCGATCCCCCCGGCCCCTTTTTTCAGGCTACCTCACCATGCAACCATTTTCCTTCCCACCGACTGACTCAATTTTCTTCCCTAATGATCGGACCTCCACTCACGAGAATACCGTTGCAGTAGCCTATCAAAGATGATCACACTGGATGAAGGAAGGATTGACAGAACCATTCTGATTGTGATGGGTGTGCTGTGTATCTGGGGTACACGGAGTACCTGGCACGGATTCGAGGCCAGGCTGTTGCTGTTCCGGTTCATATCTTGCGATCGGACGATTGAGGTTAATTATCGGCGGGTGGGCCAACCGGGACCAGTGAAATTAAACAGTTGGCTGGATTGGTTGAATCCACACGCGTTGCCGGTTAATGCCACACCCACTGCTCATCTCTCTCTCTGTCTCTGTGTCTCTGTCTCTCTCTCCCTTCCCTTTGATCTCCCCCTCTGTCTTCCACCCCCCTTTCAATTCGGTCCGCACAGTTTGTGCCATTAACCGGAGGCAAGTTGTAAGACCACCAGCAGCAGCAGTAGTAGTAGTAGCAGCAGCAGCAGTAGTCAGATACGACTAGCAATTTGTGCTTAACCGACTCCTGCACTAGGAGGATTATCATATCATTAGTGATTGTGGTGAGATTAATTCTGGCGAACCTTCGAATCCCCTTCCTTCCAATCAGCAGGCGCATCATATCAATTTCTCGATGGAAGTGCGCTCTTTTCACATCGTCGGTAGGGGTGTTCCACACCAATCAAGGCGCTTATCCCGCGGTTAATAATTTACATATTTTCATTTTGTGACTTGCTTTGTGTTCTTGTGGAAGTTCCTATCCAATACTACGCACTTACTACTTGACTGTCCATTACTAGTTAGTATTCAGTAGTTGACTATCTAGACTCTCTCTCCTCCTTTCTGGGCTGCCCTGCCTATCCCCACCTCCGTTCCTCAGTTGGCTTAACTCTCCTTAATCATCTCTCCCTCTCCCCTTTCCCCTCCCAAAGTCTCTCCACCCCGTTCTCTCTTTTCCCTTTCCCTCTTTTTCTTTTTCTTTTTCTTTTTTTTTAATCTTCCCTCCTTGAATCCACCCTGGTTCTCGAAGGTGTTCTAAGTAGTTCCCTTCGACTTTCCATATTCCCTGATCGCTTAGAACGCATTGGGTCCAAGACGAACTGCAGACCACGCCGAAACCCTGCCGGTTCGCCTTCAATTCCGCCTGCCTGCAAAGTTCCACGACCACCCCCCCCTCCCCCCCTGGATCCTACTTCCCACACGCACTTCTGCTGCTGCTGCCCCCCCAGTCTGCTGCTTTAAGCTTGGCCTAATCATTAGACCCGCCGTCGCTGTGGACTGCCCTTTAGGCGCCTTTGCTTTGCGCGAAACCCCCGACGACCTGGGCCCCGACTCTTGTCGTCTTGTCTCTTTCTGCAAAAGAAATTTGTGTTGCTGCTCCTTTGACCCGCTGTCACAGCTCCTGTTGGGATAGCTTCCATTACCGCTTCTCTCTCTCTCTCTCTTCCCCTCCTCCCCTTCCCTTCCCTTACGGCATAATTCACGCCAGATCCTACCAGAATGGCTTCCAAGGTAAGCCTTGTCGCTGCGCTTTCCAATTTCCGTCATTAGCTTCCATGTGCCTCCTGTCAACCTCCCTTCCCGACTTACTTTCTCTCATGATCTCCGCACACTGCCTCGCCGCGGAAAATGGACGATTCGCTCACCTCTCGGTCGCATATAGTTCTTAAGAGAATACAAACTCGTCGTTGTCGGTGGTGGTGGTGTCGGAAAGTCTTGCTTGACTATTCAATTGATCCAGAGCCACTTCGTGGATGAATATGACCCGACAATTGAAGGTGGGCGCTGAGCTCTACTGTAGCTTTCCCGACCGTGTGGCTCATGTTTCGATCGTGTTTATACAGATTCCTACCGCAAGCAGTGCGTTATCGACGAGGAGGTAGCATTGTTGGACGTTTTAGATACTGCCGGACAGGAGGAGTACTCGGCGATGCGTGAACAGTACATGCGAACCGGCGAAGGCTTCCTTCTCGTCTACTCGATAACGTCGCGCCAATCATTCGAGGAAATCATGACTTTCCAACAACAGATCCTGCGAGTCAAGGATAAGGACTACTTTCCCATCATCGTGGTCGGCAACAAGTGCGATTTAGAAAAGGAGAGGGCTGTTTCCGAAGAAGGTGGGTTTCCCGGCCCAGCATCTGCTTGCCGGGGGAGGATGTGGCTGACGGTTCTTCTTTTACAGAGGGTGAGGCTCTAGCACGGCAGTTCGGCTGCAAGTTCATCGAGACATCCGCCAAGTCCCGTATTAACGTCGAGAACGCTTTCTACGACCTCGTGCGCGAGATCCGTCGGTTCAACAAAGAGATGTCATCGTACCCGTCTGGCGCGGGCGGCGGCTCACGCGCCCCGGAAGGAAAAATGGACGTCAGCGAGCCTGGCGATGACGCCGGCTGCTGTGGAAAATGTATAATTATGTAATGGGACAGGCGTTGGATCTAAAAGAATACATACAGGTCGAGATACGGAAGGAAAGCAAAAACACATACATTCACTCCCGGCTGGAAAGAGAGGTCAGCAACAGAGACGGGCCACTTGCCTTGCTGCAACATGTGGCTGGTCAACGCGTTTTTTGATTTGTGATCATTATACCATACGAGCCTCAACTCTCAGATGATGTCTGCTCTCAACCCCCTAATGCCGCCATCGTCTCCATGAACGTTCGATTCCCCCTTTGTTCCTCTATTTTGTTTATTATTACTTTTTGGAAGATTGATTTTTCTTTGACGATTTCTCGATCTTTGAAAGGACGAGAACGGAGCCTGTCAATAGATCTGTGCATTAATATAGGTACGCTATTGTCGCGGTTCGCATTTGTGGTACTATTCGGAACTGCAGAATCATCCTTCCTCTTCGTCTTGTCGGCCGCGCTGGACGAGCAATTCAGATCTTTTGCACTTTCAGCAGCCGCTGATTCTCTTTTACTTGTCGCCTTTCATCCTCATTGATCTCTTTCCTATATGCATCGGGGATACGTTTCGTTCTCTTTCACCGAATTTGCTCTTTGTCGGGCTTGATCTCACCTGCTGAATCCTTCTCGGCGAGATAACTGCATGTTGATGCTCCAACGGCCCTGGGAAGGAACCGGGTAGTCTGTTGGAAGTATAGACGTTGTGATATCGCGGTGCCAGCTAGCCTGTCGTTTGCCCGTCTTCGCTCTTCCCACCTCTTATTTTGGTCTTTCCTTGGTTTCGTTCCCCCTATTCTGCACTCAGCAGCGGCGCGCAATAAGCATATCTATCATAGTCTGTCCGATTTCTTCCTTCATGTATACATTTGAACTATTGGGTAATCTTATTTGATTTTGGAAATTGTGGTCCTCGAGAATAAGCCTTCATTCTTCTGTCTCTCTGCGGTTCGTATCTTATGGTTGGGTCTTTAGTGATGTCGGGGGGGTTTAGTGGCTGGTTTTCTAACCTTAACAACTTCTACTTTTATGGTGAGTGGTGAGTGGTACGTTGATTTTTGACCTTGCACGCGTCCCTGATGGCGCAATATCTGCATGGACACCGTTGAGAACAGCACGTCTGCAGGTCCGTGGACTCCTAACGTCCATACAACCGAGTGATACCATGACATATTCGGAATAAGCGTGTCATTGTCTAAATATCTAGCAACTATTGTCTGCACAAAGGCATACTATGACCGCCAGCGTTCCACTTATTTGCTCTCCTCGGTGTCAGAGGGAGGGTCAAGCTCATCCTCTCGAGTTACCTTGGTTCCCTCGACATTCTGCTCCACCTCTGCGATAAGCGAGTCCATGAATTCCTTGTCAGTGCCGACTAGAGTCACAGTGTTGCGCTTATTACCCCACCGGGGATAACTGCCGACTTTGATGTTCTTCGAAGCAACGCGCGTAGCAAGTTCCGTCAGGTAAGGGGCGACCGTACTCTCCGGGAGTGGTGTGCTGAACAGGTAGCGATAGATGCCCTTCCCCTCCGGGTTAACCAAGCGAGGCAACAAGTTCGGCTTGAGGTGCTCGAGTAGCCTTTCAAAGAGACGAGGAACACCAGGAAGGATATGGACGTTGCCGTTGACGATGGCGATCGGCACCCACATATCTTCGGCAACAAAAACGGCCTGTTCTTCCAAAGGCACAGACTCGTCGTGAGGGATCTCGACCATGCGCAACTTCGCAGTCAGACTGGGTGACGGGGTGTCCCAATCGAAGTCTGGCTGCATGGGATGGGGCTTGGACAGCTTCTTCATACGCTCGAATGCGGCTTGGTGGAGCTTTAGGTTCAGACCGAAGGCCTTGGCTATCGATTCATAGGTGATGTCGTCGTGGCTTTTACGATTCACAATCATTCATCAGTCAGCTTTCAAGCCATATGCAGTATTCATGCTCGTGTGGGGTGTGCAATCGATGTAGGGGGTTGTACGGACGTTGGGCCAATGCCTCCACTGGTAACGACAAAATCATAGCGGTCGCTCATACGTCGCACTGCCTCAATGATTTCGCTCTCATCGTCTGCGATCACTTCAATGCGCTTCAATTGAATGCCGAGGGAGAAGCAGAACTTGGCGAAGAAGGCAGAGTTGGTGTCGATGGTCTGGGCATTATCGGCAAACAGTCAGTCTTGGTGAAGACCAAGGTGGGTATGCACGACGCTTCGAAAGGTAGAAAAGCAACTGAATAGCAGACGCCGGTATAACTTATTCGCTCCTCACCTTTCCACCAAGGACCTCATCACCAATAATCAGGCATGCCGCCGTGTGAATAGTCCTCTTATTCTTCGGGAGGACGGATGATGTCATTTTGGGGGATGGCGCACGAAGCAGGAGCGGGGTCAGAGAGGGCGAGGTGAAGGTAGGCGTGGAATGGAGGTTGAGGGACGGTCGAGTGAGATGGCGGGCGACTTGACCGAGACGACTGAACATGAGGGAAAGGGAGGAGGAGGAGAGGGTGAATGGCGGAGTAACAAACAAGCGCGGGCGGGGAGGAGAATTATTGAATGAAAGTGAAGGAGAGCGAAGAGGAAGTGGAGAAGTGCCGCGCTCTTCATCCCACCGGGCCGAAAACGCGGAGCACCACCACTTGCTTGTTCCTCCTTCGTCTCTTCGGTCAAATTCATCTCCATCCATCCCCGCTCACATCCCGTCTGGGGGTTCCGATTTTCGACTCTCTTGCTTCTAGCGCACTTCCGAATATCCTATTTCTACCTCCGCCTTACTGTCGCCTCACCCTTATCACAACATGGTAGGTGGACATTGCCCCGCATCGCGCGCCCGCTCTCTTTCCCCCCTGCTAACCTGGAGCCTCCGTCCATGCAGTCTGAATCACGACTATATTCCTTTTCCCCCGAGACCAAAGAAAAGCTTCGCAAGTTTCGCTTGGGAACCTCCCGCGCCAAGGATCCGCAGGCCATCATTTGTAGGATCCCGTCTCCTGTCGTTGCTACATAACCCCGCTCTCTTATCCTCTACCTATCACGAGCACAACCGTCACAGCTATCGCGCGAACTTGTTCGCTTCACATCGGATATCTCAGGACAATAGGTCGTTGACAACAGGGTTGGCAGATATCATCGATAGTAAGAGCCAGGAGATCAGACCTGAAGATGGCGAGGTTTACTCCAAGATGGAGGATCTAGCCGACGAGCTGCCCGAATCGTCCCCTCGGTTTATCCTCCTCAGCTATCCCCTTACCCTCGTGAGTATTTCGACAAGCCTTGTTTCATCTAGACTTAGCGAGGAAGACCTAACTTGTGTTTGTTGTATCAGGCTTCCGGCCGTCTCACCGTTCCTTACGTCATGCTCTACTACCTCCCCGTGAACTGCAACCCGAATTCGCGCATGATGTATGCGGGTGCTGTCGAGTTGATGCGCAATACGGCGGAGGTTAATCGGGTGATTGAGGTGCATGAGGAAGATGATATTATCTCGATCGAGTCGAAGCTGCAAAACGCAGATTAGGGAGATTTTAGATTAAGGATCGTTGGTCTGTCAAGCTGGTTTTAGGCCTTTCTATATTGGTCATTCATGACGCCTATGCGTTTACTTCATAATTATAGTGCTGGCATTGTATACATGATCAGGTTCGGATACAACAATGAGTTGCTAGACGATTTCTCAGTTCCGAATGCACGTCTCACCAGACAACACTATAGTATTTAACTCATGTTAGAAAGGAAACCGACACATGGAACACACGCAGCTATCTATGTAGCTACCCCAAATCTGATTCATAATCAATCACAAATTCCCCGACAGAATTTGTCATTCTTCCTGACGTTACTCTATACTGCAATATAATCCCTTGCATGACTATCGATAAAATAGCCTCGTCATCACATACACACACATGATATTTGAGACAACATAGATAGAAGTAAACAGACATCAGACCGGAAACCTTTTCCAGGTTTGACTGCTTGACATGTCTATCAGTGTTTGAACTGAACCAACTGGTTGGGTTGGGTTGGATGGGGGATCCACTCGGGCAAATATGCGCCTTGAACTTTGTTTCTTGTTTCTTGTTTCGTTTTGGTTGGGGTAGAAGCATTGATACTAATGTGTGGATTATCTGTAGTAGTATCTAGCGTATGTATATGTATATGTTATTTTGGTTTGAAGGGGAATGCGGAGTAGTACAGTTGGCAGATATGGTGCAGGTAGTTGGATGGGTGCTTGTTCGTGGTATCTTCATCACTTAGTGAATGATGGTGGTGTTGAGAGGGAAGTCTGTATGATTGTTGGGTGTACAGTGTAGTTGAAATGAGGTTGTTTTGGTTAAGCAGAGCCTGACATATATTTCTATGCTTGCTTGCTTAGTTGTGATATGAGGTGAAAATGAGGTTGAATATGTTTGTTGGGATTTCTGGTCCTATCAATTGAGTGTTGTTTCGTAGCTACTTATGGGTACTATAGTATAAGGTAGTAGAAATGATAATTGCATGCAATGTAACATAAGAAAGAATCACGAGATCGTACAAAGTATTGATATCCCATCCAATCAACTGTACTTGAGACCCATCAATCAATCAATCAATCAATCGAAGCAATAGAACCTTCCGTGCCTAAACTCATCCCATACAAGCTAGGTAACTAACCAAGTAATACTTATCCCCCTCCCGTAAATCCTAACATCCATACATACATACATACACCATCCATACAAGCTCCATACACGTCCCCACAGTGGATCTCCAGATGAAAAAAAGCCACTAAACAAACCTCACCATTCCATTAAAGGCAGGAGTTCTGACACCTGGCACTGCCGGTTAGATTCCACCCCTCGACATTCTTGTGTTCTCTCCGCGGCGTTGGGACTGGATATCCCGGGCCTTGTCCATACGAAGGAAGTGCAATGTGATTGGGCCTATGCTCTTCCCTTTTTCCACTTTTCTTCCCCCCCTTCCCCTCTTTTTGCTCCTCTCCCCTTCTGGGTCACGGAGATCGGTGGTCAGCTGTGTGTTGTGTGTGTTGAAGCTGACTGAGAAAGGTGGGTGGGTGGGTGGTGGTGGTGGTGTTCAGCATGCTTGTTTTTTGGTATATTAATTAATTATTCAGCCCTGCAGATTGTATTAACTAGTTATTAAGCCTAGTTACTAAAGGCAGTTGGCTGGCTGTAATGTGAAGTGAAGTGCTGATAGTAAGTACCCGGGTGTTTGGCACGGGGTAGGGGGGTCCCCATCTCTTATCGTTTATTCCCAGCTATTCGGTACGATGTTGAAATGATGAGCTGCTCTGGGTGGGAGGATCTATTCTGAGTAGTATCTATGTAGTAGTAGTAGGAGTCAATGATTGACGATCCTACATCCAATCCAGCCTGAGGCCATCAATCTCCGGTCGGCATTTCCGAATCTACAATGAAAAAGGAAACCACCTCCCAAGCAAGGAGCAAGAAACCAGAACCACGGTTCCAACGATAAGCATAACAAGCCGGAGCCACAAACATCCCCATCATCATCATCATCATCATCATCATCATCACCACCACCATCATTTTCATGCCATGTGTGCTGTCCTGTCCTGTCCAGTCCCAGTCCCTGAAACCAACAACAAAGGCAATCCTTAACTTACTTACTTACCCACCCAACACCAACCCTCCAACGATGTACCTACAAACCGGTGGAGCAAAACCCAAGTTCACTGCCTTCGAACCCGGTAGGTGAATATTTCTCCGATCTACTCCGTCAGCGCTGCAAGTTAAGGTTCTTCGGTTGCTTCATGTTTTTCTTCATCTCTGACAAATTCCTGCGCGCTACGCTTCCGCTGGATAAATACATACATACATACATACAAACACACTTCATACGTAGTTACTTACAGGGTCGTCGGTTACGGCAAAGGAATGGACAGGCAGTGTCTAGCGTGTTGAGTTGGCGCCTGCAGCAGACAGGCTGCATGAAGCCGTTGCCGTTTCTAATTTATTTTCTTTTTCTATTTTCTTCTCTTTGGTAGGGTAGGGTGGAAACGAGGTGTGGTGTCATGCATCATGCATGGTCTAAGTGGATGGATGGGATGGGAATGGAATGCTGCGGGCGTCTAAAACAGTATTTACACATACACAACCTTGACAGACCAGGCTGTCGGAATGCCTCGGTATGGAGACGTACTATGGTTTCAGCACTGTGTGATGAGGAGTTGGTCAGGGAGTCTAGAATTCCGCGCGGGTAGGGGCTTAGCCTACTTCTTAGGTTAGTAGTTCGTTGTGATTGAGGTAAGTAGTTAGAGATGTCAATGATGGTTTCTACTTTGTAAGTAACCAGAAAAATGAGAAAAATGCAAGGACCATGGTTGCTCCCTTATTTCTCTTCTTCGTAGGGGGATGTCCGAAGCCATTGTCACACCAGAATCTATGCATGAGTTATCGGATAAGTTGGGATTGTCGGTGATGAAGGCAGCAGTTGGGACACTATGATGACACTGCAATTCCTTTGAGTTCTCACTAGGAACTGGTTCCCGGATAGTAGGCCCCTTTGTGTTCAGTTAATATAATATAAATTGGTAAGTCTTGCTCCTGAATAGTCGTCTGTCCTTCGGCCGGATCTTCGGTCGAAGTGAGTCTCAGCTCAGGAGGTAGTCAGGTAGATGTTCGGTTCCTCCATGGGGCTTCCTGATTGAATGGCGCATCGCTATCCCGGCGTGAAATTGAAGGGAACCGAGCCAGGGAAAAGGATCCCCCAATGATTCAGTCCATCATGTTGTCGGTTTCTCCAGGCTAGGTTGCAGCAGGTTGTCTGATCATAGGCGGCACCGCCATCTACGTAAGGCTTCTTGCTCCGATTAAGATCTATTTGCTCGAGTCAGATGTCATCCTCTCCGGTCCATGCACAGAAACGTTTTTGGTAGCCTCGAGCCGTTAATGACTGACTATATACTTAGAGCGTCGTTATTATTATCCTCGCTATCGTCTTCTTGCAGCTTCGGAGCTGTTGGTGTATCTGACAAACTGTAAAATACACGGGCTTTGGTCGTTAGGAGCATATCCCGGAAAATACGCGATGGTTATGTTTGGTACCGCTCATTCTCCAGCTGACATCATCTTCAAGCAGCGTCTGATTCCGACCACGCGGATATGAAGGACGTCAAGTTCTGATCTAATGTAACTAGTACTCAAGATCAGGAGCATCCTAAACAGAAACTGATAATATTTCCGGATCAGCAAAATAGGTTCCCAGGAGACAACAGTCGCAAAAACCCACACCTTCCGGCGCGACCTTCTTCAGACCCGCGGGCGAGACGCGGTGGGTTCGGGCATTGTTCCAGAGTGGGTAGGGTGCCACGGCATTAGACTCCAACCCCCAAAGCGCCCCGTCGCATCGGTTCGCCCGCTAGTTGCTGGTCATCATGCTGCATGAGGATGTCGAGGCGTATATCAACCAACCAGCTCCTGACCAGATTGGCCTATCGGCAAAACAGAGACGATGACTTTGCCTAATCGGTCTTGAGTCTTGATTCTAGAGTTTCTGCTACTTTACTCCCTTTGTTTCCGCTCGGATCGTGGAGCTTCCTGCCATGGTATTGATCGTTGTTTTCTTCACGGAGACAGGCATCGATTTTCGATAGGAGCTGAGTATCGAGTCTTCTAGTGAGAATAGACTGGTTGGCTATAAGGAGTGGGTTTGGTTTCCATAGTTTTGACTTTGTTAGTAGAGGCTCCGGCTCATGTCAATGTTTGGTCCATTGGTGTCCTTAATAAAGCAGGAGGTGAAATCTAGAAAGCACGTATCAGAGAAGCGAAGGGTAAATAAGAAGAAGAAGAAAAGGACAATATGAAGAAATAAAAAATTGAAAATAAAAAGAGAGAATAGGGAAAATTAAAACAAACTGAAAATAACCACAACGGAACAGGAAAGAGTTAAGTATCGGGGGAGGCCATGTGCCACACTTCCCTTAGATTCCCTTTAGCTACTACTACTTTAGGCGCCTGCCACTCTTACTTGACTGTTACTTTACATACATACAACTTCCTTACCCACCCCCCTCTCGCTCGTCCGGTTCCCCCAGAAAGTCTGTTCGGCTTCTATTTGACGTTCGGCTCGCGCTGGTCGTTTGCCTTCTTTTTATCTTCCTCTCCTCCCCGTCGTCAGTTGTGAATCTTCAATTTTCCACCATCTTGGCCGGTGACTTTGTTCCGCTCCCAGCGTGCATTCCACCTCCACCACCACCACCATCCCCCATCCTTTCACAACGTCACGTCCCATTCCCTCCTGCACATACTTTACACACCTTATACTTTACATCGGACATCTCATCCACGCCCGGTCCACAGGATCTGACCGCCCTTCAGCCAATCATCCGCTGGATTTGCCCCCAGGCTGTCCCATTTCCCTGCGACCCTTCCTGTTGGGTTTTTCACCCATCTCACCGTCTTGTCGGGTGTCCCAAGCCTACGGTTACGGTACACGCCCGTGCGACCTGCCATACTTAACCGGTGGCTCCCTCGTTTCCCACCTTATTCCACCCACTTTGTCGTTACCCCCCCAATCTGGGTAGTCGCTCCTCGGCGCTTTTGCTTCCCAGTAATTCAACCACCACCACTATAATTTCTCTACAACGTCCCCTCCGATCCCAGCTGGTATGAATTAAATAGCGCCCACAAATAGTGTCATTACACTGTTCGACCATTTCCGACACCACCAAAGCAGTCACCCTGTCCATGTCGTGCGACGCCACACATGATCTGATTTGAATACGACCGGCAAGCGAATTAAGAGATCGACGATACTACCGGAGAAAATGTCGACTCAACAGGATCCCAACCCTTCCAACGAAGGCAAGCACGATGGCTTGTCCAAATACGTTAAGCGCATGAAGATGGCTCTGAGGAGGAGCTCAACTGTCCGGACCACCACGCCAGTCATGCAGAAATCAAGAGAACCTGAGCCAAGCCAAGCTCCCGCGTATGTTCATCTCCCATGGGTTTGGTTACTTTGTGCCACTGACTTGCGTTACAGTCCCAAACGTATCCCGCAGGCTCCTACCGTCAAAGCTACACCCGACGCGACCGTTTTCACCAACTGGGGCGCCATTCAAGAAGAGAAGGCGCGGGCTCTATTTGCGAAATACGGACTGACCCTTGAGCCTGGTGAATGGAGGTCCCCTAGCGATACGACCGTGCAGCGTGTTGTCAGACCTATCCGTATGCGAGTGCGCCGTACCTGCCATCGCTGCCAGACCACCTTCGGCCCGAACAAAGTTTGTGTCAACTGCCAGCACGTCCGCTGCAAGAGCTGCCCTCACCACCCCTCCACCAAGACCAACGACCACCGCGACGACACCCAAGCTGCACTCCAGGCCATTGTCGCGCAGAAATTGCACAAACCTGTCCCTGGGCAGCACAAACCCAAGCAACCTCCTCTTACGCTGCCCTCACGCACCGGCGGCCAGGATGTCATCCACCACCCGACCCGACAACGAGTCCGCCGTACATGTCATCAGTGTAGTACTGTGTTCGCTCCGGATGCTACGGAATGCAGTACTTGCCAGCATATTCGGTGCACAATGTGCCCTCGCGACCCGTGCGTCCACCCCAAGCCAATTGTGTTTGTTGAAAGCTCTTGTACTAATGAATTCAGACCTAAACTGGGCAAATACCCGCATGGCTATCCTGGAGATGTCGATGATCCCGCAGAACCTCCTGCACGGACGTGGAAGAAGCCGCGGCAGCGGGTACGCTATACATGCCACAAGTGTACAACGTTGTACCGATCGGGAGAGAGAAATTGCTCCAATTGTGGCCAAGAGAAGGGGCCTGAAACAATACGAGATCCGTAAGTCACTCCATTGTTTGATAAGGTGACCCACGCACTTTGCTAATACATCCCAGACCTCGCAGAGACAAGCCGAAACCAGACCCCGAAATTGTTCGACGGGTTGAAGAGCGATTGGCAAAAGTCAGGATCAGTACTGGGTAGATAGTTGGCTGGTATACAATCAATCTACTTCGTTATGCAGCGCAAATGGCAAGTCAGGATTTTCGAACCGGTTGCCAAAGCTGCGTCTGTTCACTTACGTGCTCGCACCTTCTTACGACAAGAATAGCAGCTCAGCAAGCTTTACCCTTTGCAGCTCTCGAGTGCCACAAGGCACTGGGCATGCAACGATGGTTGGCGGACCTAGCATTGTTTGAATCTTGATGTTACTTTGTGGCACCTGATTGTTGACCGGTTTACTCTCTGTTGTGTAATATTCTTGTTATGCTTAGTTTGGACGCTGTGGCGAACGAGCTGAAAGGTGGCACAATACCCTTGCAAACTAAGCTGAGCAGGAGCCACTAGCCAGCCAGCTGGTCGGGAGAGGCCAAAGCCACGGGTCAACCAGGGCCACTTGTGGTCCCAACTTAAATGCCACGGTGGGAATCGGTACGCCCCGCTGCGTATGTTAAGTGGCCGTTATCAACCAATAACCACGGTCAGGGGAGTAGCAGGACTAACGGTATCCTCCCTGGAGGATTCAGGAGGCCAGGCTGATGTCGAGTCTCCCTATGATCCCACGCCAGCCATCCTTTTCATCGGGGGTCTGGATCTCTGAGGACCAGGATATTCAGCTAGCTCCACTGCCCCGCAAGACGATGTTGGCCGGGACCGGTTCCCGGCGCTTTGGCGTTGTCTCCTCGTCCGGCAAGTTGACTGCACATCGCATGATGCACGGGGTTAATTCTCCTATAGTAACAGTGTGTATATGTATGTGTGACAGCAAAGCTCTCTTGGCTTGACTGTTACTGCCCATTGGGCGGGAAGTACTTATCCTGTCCAACTCCGGCGACTTGGTTGTCGTCCTCCTATGCATGAGGATGAATGTAGAGACACCGGCTGACCTGACCTGATCTGACCTGCCCACACTTACTCACGCGGTGTGTCGACTAACTCGATTGCCCTCTAAAGCAGATCTAATTTCCCGGTACCAGCAAACTGGGATACCGATAAATTAAAAAATAAATAGCCCCTGCGTACTAAAATAATTGTTTGATACTTCCGACCTGCCAATGAGGCTGGATACATTCTACCCCTGACTCGCGCAGATAGGTCTTTTTTTTTGCAAACGCCGACCAAATCCCGCAATGAGAGGATTCGGCCGGAACACGGATGTTCATGCACGGATCATAGATAGATCGTGTTTGGTGCTAGTAGCTGCTAAACTGTTGGAGTCGGTTTAAGTGCTTATGAAGATTGTCTTGGATAGTCGACACCATTATTAAACTAACTAATAAATGAGAGAATTTTCAGCAGCTGTCTTGAATACAAAGTAGTCAGTAAAGTGGGTCTTCATACTCACCTCTGTACCTTGAGATACTGTGTAACTTTCCATACCACAAAACAAAGAAGAATATTATCTAGGTAGTGTCTATTTCTTCTCCTAAAGATACTAGCAATAGGACCCAGTCTAAATAACTAGACTAACACCCCCACATGGATACGCAGGTAGACGGTAGTCTTGCTGTGCCAAGGACCCAATGCGGAATGCCGATGCATAAGACGGTCTGTTAAGCACCGGGATGGATGAGTCCAAAGTGGTGGGAATGGAATTTTAAGTGACCCGTTGGTTTGGGTTGTTTGGCGTGGTGTGATGTGAGGGTTGTGCCACCACCACCACCAGCAGGTAAGCAGGCACTACTTATTTCGGCAATGTGCTGTTGTTATGCAGGGTGGTTATAGGCTGGGATGTTATTATAGTCTCATATACACTACATATAGTAGTATTTGCAGTTGGGTAGGGTATGTATGTATGTATGTATGTATGTATGTATGGAGTTGTGTATTTTCAATGCAAATGTGAGGTTTGCTTCAATTTCATGAAGTTATACCATTGTATACCAAAGTTGCGATGTAACTAAGCATACTATCCATTAACTACACACTCACTCTGTACCATATACTTTACTCTCCACCCTACAAAAAGTACCAGTAAATACCACCATCTTCCCTCCCAGAAAATCCCAAAATCCCAAGAAACCCAAATTCCAGCTGTCATATCATCCCCACACCCACAACCCACACCCACACTAGTTACTTCCTTCCCTCCTGCTTCCCAACTAGGCAGTAGACTACCAGCCGTTACGCTTAGCCCGAACAGGATAAATCCCCAATGCTGATCTTCGCTCACCCCCTCCCTAAGGTATTCTTCCTTCCTTCCTTCCCGACACATCATGGCATGACTCGATGTAGTTCCCTGAAGAGGAGATAAAATAGCTCTTTAGTGTTATTATTCATTGATGCGATCTACGTAATCGCTGCTGTCCCAGAGGTGAGTTGGCACGGACTCCCGGTATAGTAAGGTATAAAGTACTACTTATCTTTGATTGCTCGGCCCGTATCTACCTAGGTAATGTCTCTATCCTTATTTGGTAATACCTTGGACCGGATCTCCACTTCCACGTAAGTACTAAGTAGTAGTCTACACACGGTACTCGGGATCGGAGCGATGAATGGAGTGCTCTGGTTCGGAGGTGTGTTTCCTGTTCTGGGGTGATGGACGTTGGATGGTGGGGTTTGTGGTGATCATTTGGTGGTTTGAGTGTACTACGTAGTTGTTGGGGGTTGTAGGGGTGGATGTAGGTAGGGATGGGGTGATTACTTTGGGGGTGTTTCGAATCGAGAGGGGTTATGATTATGATGGATGCCTTATGTGGAATATTTGAGATAGAGCAACTAGAGAGGTTGGAAGATTAAGAGAATGACTCTTGGAGGGCATTTGATATACTGAGACAAACAGAGTATAGTGGCATAATATACAAGATAGAACAAAACTAGCATCAACACAAAATAGAAGTCGTACTAATCTCTTGGTCATGCCAATACCACCCACGATCTCAGTTGACCATGTATGTGGTATCTAACAGCAAGGCCAACTGAATGATTGTATGCAAAAGCCTGGCACCATGAAGTCAGAGATGCTGGAGCCCGACGAGATAGTTGGCGAGCGGGAGGTAAGATAGTATCGTGGTGTTTGGAATGGCATTGCGACAGTGCTGACATCGAATGTAATCACTATCGTGCTCATGTGACTGGGAGGCAGCAATGGAAGCAAGGTACAGTAGCTGTGACGTTGTAATTGTCCATCTCGCGTTGCTATCCTGGGAATTGCCAGAATCCTTGGGGATAAGTTGATGAGAAACAACATAGGGCACTGAAAGAGGTGATGGTTAAACATGCATCGCGAACGCAAGGAAACTGCCGGGAAACTAAGCATTTGGAGCGCCACCTTGCTAGAGACCTCATTGGGAGTCCAGGCAAGCATCTGGGAGTTGAGGCTATACAGCCGGTGGAGATATCCGCCGCTGAAAGGTAGCAATTCAGAAACCTGGAGGCGCCTACAAGAAGGCTCGCGTATCCGCAGTAGTTAGAGACCTAATCTGCCTCCTCCCCCGACATACCCATCACTGCCATGGTTTACATCATCAAGATTCACGTTGACGGTGGCTGTAGAGCTAACGGTCAGCCAGGCTCTATCGGGGCTGCAGCCGCTGCTTATAAGGACGCGTCCGGCAGATTCCATGGCGAGACAACAGAAGACTTACCTTCATATACCGCCCCGACGAATCAGCGAGCCGAGATAACATCCGTTATCCTCGGTCTAAGGATGGCCTTGAAGAGATATGATCAACTACACTCGGACCCTTGGTTGGATGTCACGATCTACTCCGACTCGGCATTTGCAGTTAACTGTATGGAAGAGTGGGTCTACAAGTGGATCAGGAACGGATGGATGAATTGTAAAGGAAACGAGGTAGCAAATCGAGATCTCATTGAAGAAGCAGTGGTTCTCAATGACCGGCTGAAGGAGAAGGGAGATGTGCGTTATGTATGGATTCCAAGAGAGGAGAATCAGTATGTTGATAAGCTGTGCAATGATTTGATGAACACTATGTGTTTAGTTGATAGGCTGTGCAATGGCCTGAAGAACGCTAGGTGTGACGAGCAAAGCTCCTCTTCTGATGACAGCTAGTAGACGGAGGGATTCTGTGTCTAGGAATCAAACCGACAACCACTTTTCATTGATGTTGGAGCGAATCGAATCTATATTGGCTGATCGTGGACTGAACTGCTCGAAGGCTAAGTAGGATATTATGCTACATGATTTTGCCTCTTGACGCGACATCTTGACATTCTTGATGAAGCAGCTAAAGAGATATTGTCGACACGAAGAGGCAGGATGAGTATAGGTGTCCAAGTGTGACGACTCACCCGGCTCGTCCTCTTAAAGCAACAATGCCTAGATCAGGCGGGAAGGAGGCGCTCGTAGATTTACCTACCTACTGACAAATCCGGTGTATACTTACGGAAGGATTTTCTGATAATCTTGTGTAACATTACTTTATTATCATCACCTCGATGTCAATCTTGTGTTCAGGAGGATACTGATAGTCTGGCCCTTACGTCGATCAAGGAGGGCTAGGTAATTCTTGCTCCTTTCAAATTCGCCGATCATCCGGGTTATGAAGCATCATCCTGGTGATGATCATGGTATGCCTTATCTATCTAATCACAAGGTGATTTTATCGGTCTACTACTGTAGGTATGATGCCTTCATGTATACATGAAATTACAGTGCAGTTACCATGGGCCATTTCGAACGGTCCGATCCGTCGACGACCCGCCGGAGATTTGCGGATTATCTACTGAGTACCTTGGGACGGGTATCTTCTTTATTTCTTTCGTCCATCATACGCTATTGTAATGCAGTTTTAGTACCAATTTGCAGTGTTCAACAGTAACCTATCTTGAGTGTGTCCATCCCCACGGTAAATCTATACATACTCTCATTCCTCGTATGAAGATCACATAAAGCAATAAACACTGACAATTTCATAAACAAGTCAAAGACAATCTAAACACTAGCTCAATGACAAACACCCGAACTTTCAATGGTTACTCAAACCTCATCCTTAAGTAAGCCTTATCCTGTGTACATCCGCTCCCACCTCCCGTCTTGCGTCATCCCCATCCATGTTTGCTTTTTCCTCGCTTACCCTCGCATAATTACAGGCTGCTTGCTTGCTTGAAAGAATCGTCACCGCTCCGGTGGAAGGGTTCTCTTGCAGCCGCCCTACTTGACTGCTGTACCTCGTGATTTGTCAACTGACTGACTGACTGCACCAGCCAGAAACAGGGCAATCCATGCATTGCATAGATCATTTTCTTGGCATGTCGGGTCAGTGTTGCTTGGGATGGGTGATCCTAGTACACCTTATGGTGGGTAGTTTGTTATATTTTCAAGAGGATAAATGAGAAATGTTATTGCTTACCGTCATTCTAAATTCTGCTGCAGGCATCTTGACAATTGATACTTGATTGAGCTCTTATCGTGCCATTCTATATAACAAGACTACATGATCCACTACACACCTTGGAATTTAGGATAGTTACAATATAAGACTGACAACCAAATGAAGAAAAACAAGCCACTCAACGCACCCCTCTCAAGTAAGCAACCAAGACCGAACCCCCGACCCCAGCCACTGGCACTTTTGACCATTAAGTTATTTGTTATGTATTCACCGAGCCGAGCATCAAACTTCCACAAAAGCAAAGAAACAAAGAAAAACAAAAAAAAAAAAAAACTCAGATGATCAATTTGAGCCTGAGTTTCCATGTATGGCGACCCAACAGGCCGGAACCGAATAAGAATTCATCCCTGTGAGAAAAAGAAATGAAAAAGATGTGCCAGTGGACTGGATTTAATTTTTCTTTTTCCTGACTCATTCCTTTGGTGCGTGCATGCAGTGCATATGCATCGTTGCCTTCTTGGCGGATAGGCAGGTAGGCAGCACTTACGAAGGGAGGACTTGCTGGTATGTTAGGTCGGCGTATTGTGTTATTTTACCCATTTTGTTTTGTTATATTTCTTGCCTTTTTGTTTATGATGTAAGTAGCTATATTGAGGTATTAATAGCCAGTCGGACTTATTCGGTTGTGTTGGTAAGGGTTCAATGGCCGGCAAGAAGCGGAAAAATTGCACGTAGCACTAAGTATGTCGTCATATTCGTGTGGAAACGTTGGATATGCTTGTTATCATCATAGCAGCCCGAAGAATTGTGTAAGTATGACTCAAAACTTTTGATGATCTCAACTGTATTATATTTCAAGGCTACAACAAATGACATGCGCTGATATTTTTGTCGATACCATGATTCAATCGCATTGACGATTACTAGTACTACCACGACAATCCGAACTATTCTTGCGTTACACCTTCTCTTTTCGGAAAGAGGTAGACTTCGCTACTCATACTCCTCACTGTACATATCCACCTTGTACATTGCCTCGTATGGATTGACCTCATATCTTCCTGCAGTGTCTGCCATGTCATCTCGACGGCGATCAACTTCGTCCCAAAATGCCTCTGGGTTGCGGAAGCCTGCGTCTGAAATCCTCTCGTTGGTTTCTGACACATACACGCGACACGCTTGAGGCACACCACTGGCGAGCCGACTAATACCTGGGCTCGTAATAAGTACCTTGAACACCGTTGCAATGTCCGGATCAATCGTTAGGCTGAATAATCGCTGGATAACATACTCCATCTCTTCACGCCATTCTCGCACCTCGAATAACGATGCACCGTCGACAATGCAGAAAAGAGCAGAGGAGCGGTTCTGGATTAGCATTTCCCTCAATGTCTCACAGAGGGTGGGAAGGTCATTGTGATACAACGCTTCTTCCCTCCGCCCAAAGGTCAGGAAAAGGAGATCATAATGGCCGTCTGTATCCAGAAGCAGTTGTATGATAAGCGATTTGACAAGACCGACAGGCCCTGCCATGGGCTCCCCGGCCAGATTGTGCAATCCACAGAAGAAGAACAGAACTTGGGAATGCGCTTGCTGTAGTAGCTCGTGGACAAGTACACAGCAAAGGAGGCTGAATGGAGAACATCTCGCCATTGCATAGTTGTCACAATTCCCGTCGACGTGGAGCATGTCTGGCTGATCGGAACGGATCCAATCTTGGAATCGCGGCATACGGAGAAGCTGCTGAGCGTGGGTTTGAGCAGCCATATCAATATCCTGACCATCACGGCCAGTATCATCGAGATCTTGGATAAACTGCTGTCGCACATCCTGCTCATTCAAACGAAGGAAGAAGTATAGGTCGCTTCTGGGATACCCTTGGCGCGTAATCTGCCACTGTCGACTCTCTCGTTGCATGTTTTCCTGGTTTATCTGCCCTGAAGTGCAAGGTCAATGCCTAAGTTGAAGATAAGTGGCACTGAGAGAACCTACACTGCGCTTTCTGCAACTCATTCCGGAGGACCTGCTGCATCTGCTCCGCGAAATTGCTCGATGGATTGTTTAACTGCCTTTCCAGCCGAGTCATGACCTCGTGGCGAAACCCACGCACGTAATTCCCCAGATCTGAGTTTTGCTGGATTACTATTTCCTGCCCTGTTGCAAGGTTGTCCACGATAGGCTTGATATAAACTACCCCCTGGTTTGTATCTACCTGCAGCCGATCGCGCACGAACTGGAGATGTTTGTCGAGCTGAGTCCTGGCCCGCATGAAGCGTTGGTTGACGTGTCCAAGCGATTTGTCTGCATTTTTGACCCTCAGACCAGAAATAATCTTCCTCCCTGATTTCAAGCGCGCATGTTAGTACGGGACTGTATTGGTGTCATATCCGCTGCAGCTAGAAGCCAACACCTACACAGTGATACATCCACCAACGCTGCAATCGTGCCTTGAATTCTGGCGAGGAGAGCCAGATAAAACTCGTACAGGTAGGTCTTCAATCCCTCCTCGTCCTGGAAAAGAGAATGGTAACGGTCGGTCCAGAAAATGATATCTGGAATTTCAGCGAAGAATGCAAGAATGGCTTCCCGCTGTTCGCTTCTTCGCGCTGCCATCTACTTCAATCAGTATGCACGAAGCCAGTGACACGGAGTGTACTAACACCAAGGACTATCTTGAGCCCGCCACAAGCAATGCTAAAATACTTGTCATCCGGCAAGAGGTCCAGCCAAGGGTTGAAATCCTCTGCATGCTCACCGAGCTTGCGAAAGGCCCTTCTAGCAAGCCCTTTCCAGCCAGTGGCGCTGTGATTGTAGTCTTTCTCGACCGCTTGGACAATATTAACCACCTCTTTCCAGCTGTGCGCGCCATATATATCAAACCTCCCCCCACCGTGGCCATCGCCATACTCACTAGTACCCTTTGTCTCGTTCGAATAGCATTGGATAACTTGGCAGAACTCATCTACCTCGTCGACACTATTATAGAAGGATCAGAACCTGGTAAGACAGGAGCACTATATTGCCTCACTCTTCATCAAGTTCTTGCCGGGTGTCCGCAAGATCGATTTGGGCTGATGGCTGTGGCTGGCTCCTGTTGGAAAGCGGCAACCGGAGTCGGTGGCTATGTCCTCTAAGCCAGCTTTTTGCCATGTGAGTTTCTTGCTCCGGAGTCATTCTAGGCATCAAAGACGACTCCATTCTTGCTTGCGATTATGATGGTTCTTACTGTTCTTCTCAGAGCTACCATTGCCTCTGTTATCCGATCCACCATGGTAGATATGCGTGTGGGCCTCAGCCGTCTTACCCATCTATTCATGGCTCCCGCGTGATCAAGCTAGGTTGGCTAGCACACATAGTCCAGCGCACAAAGATAGGTGCAGCCGAATCACTTCCCTGCTGGCCTATAGGCGGGTGAATCTCGTGCTTGTGGCATTTTTCACGCTGTCAAACGCATTGGATGGATGCCATACACGAGACTTTCGGCCTGACATTTTCAGCCTTCATTGACATTCGAGTGGCTGGAACTCTACGTATCCACGGACTTATCCGTACAACAAGGTCAAACTGATTAGCAAGCGGAGTCCGGCCCGCGGAGATATACGAGAGCATTCCCTACTGCTATAGATACGCTGACGTGCAGATGGATCCCTCCATGCGGTCTTACAGGCGGGGAAGCCGTGCACTTGCGGGATTTCCCACGCTGTTACTGGTGCCAGATGCCATCTCCAGGTCTTTCAGCCAGCCACTCTCAGCTCTGCTCATTTGGGAGTGGCTGTATTCTGTCTGTCTCATGCACTGACGGCACATGAAGAACGCCATCCCATGAAGCTGAACGAGCGTTGCATATTGGACACGGTCTCGCCATGTAGTTCATGCACGGTAGCCCGAGACTCCGACTCCGGGCAGGGATAGTTCGTGTTGACTGTCAATCCTCAGCCTTTCATTCGCCAACTACATTTCCGAGGGTCCGAACTACGATAAGCTTCGTTCTGGATGGTATGCAATACTATGTCTTTCCTGGCCTGAACGCACGTCTCCTCTCAACTGTCTCAATAGACGTGTGCTGAGCCTACATGCGTATAAAGTCACACTCAGAAGAGCCGTTTTCAAATCATGGTCTTTGCCCTTCAATGTGATCTCTTTATTTTTCAGAAACGCTCGCCAGTCGATCTAGTTCATACCTGGAATTATTAATTCAAACATGGCGACCATCACTGAAGAGCCGATAGTGGCAATCCCGGTCGATACTCCTACGAAGAATTCGAGCCACGACTCCGCTGTGGAGTTGTTGAAAGAGTTGCAGGACCTTCGCGCGAGAATTCAAAGTCTCGAACAAAGCAATGCTAAGATAACCGAGAAAGCTGCAAACGATAAGGGTGATAACGACCACAGTCGTGATGACTCTACATCCAGCGATGCAGAGGACGAAGAACCCAAGCATTACCCTTGTGATGACTCCGATGATGTTATTATGGATCTCCGTTACGTGAAATGGAATGAGTTCAAGACGATGTACGCCGAGGAAAAACGTCATGTCATCGACGTCTTGGAAGGCCCTGCGCAGTACTGCTGGCAACAAACCGAAAGAATCATCCGTCGCTTCGGTAACTTTGCCCTGATCAGGGGTGAGGAGGGCGAAAATACATCAGAAGGAGACCCAAAGCCCAAAACAGATACCGGTGGCGCCGAAGACGATCTCCCAGAGCGTATTCGAATTAACTCCAGTCTTCTAGCGTCCCTTCTGAAGGATATTGTTTCCCGAATTGATCAGTCTGCCCCGTTTGTCGTGTTACGCCCATACAAAATACTCGTCGGATACGACCAGGAGATACGCGAGCGGCATCGACAGCTCGCAGCTAAATGGCGAATAGGGAGTGGGCATGAGGAGCTCGATGACCCTACACTTCTAGAGCCAGGTAAAGAGCCAATTGATTCTCGTCAAGCCTTTCGCGCACTCGACTGCCTTGTCAGTTTCATGGATCGTCATCTCAGTCCGGTAATAAGCCGTCATCGTGCTCTACTAAATAACTTCACTCCAAGCCCATCGACACTTGACCCAACAATCTCTTTCAGCAATCTATGGTACCTATTCCACCCAGGTATGCAGGTGGTTTGTTGGTTCACTCCGGAGCAAAGTGCACCACATGTCCAGCCAACCAATCGTCCAAGTATTTGGAAAGTACTGCAGGTCTCTGAAGGACGACCAGTCTTGGACTCCAACTACTCTGGAAGGGTTAATCATTTTATCATTCGACTTTATAAGATTGGATATGATGGGGAGCGGTTCGGTGTGCTCTCACGAGACTTCCATCTTCCTCACTTCAGTGGAGAGCGCTCGATTCGGTCTTTGGGGATAGTCCCGACTCGATTTGTGGACGACTACCAAGCGCTGCGCGATAAGTTGTTGAAGCAAGGCGAGCTCTTTGCTACTTTCGCCACCCCACAACATCGTTTCTATTCAGGATCCACCCTAACGTGTCATGTGGATGGCGCATCCTGCCCGGGGAGTTTTAACAGGCGGACCGACTACATAAAGGGTAATATCATTGTTGATTTCAAAACAGCCCGCAACGAAGACCAGGAGTGGGTGCCCAGCTTGTCAATTCCCAGTACCATGGGAGGAACAGGAAGTGAAGTTTCAGAAACTTTGTATGTCCGAGTGCTAGCGAACCGTGAGACTAAGGACTATATTCGATCTTTTTCCGAAGCGATCTACGACGACGACTGGGTGGATGCAGAGTTAACCAAGGACTTCATTCGCGATGATGCCTTCCTGGCTCGGCAAGAATCTGCCCCAGAACAGCAAGTAACCAGGAAGGAAGTGTGGAGCGATGATGAGCTTGTTATGATGCCCGACCGTGCTTGCGCATGGGATCTTCATCGCCGTCGGTGGGCACTTTGCGATCTCGAACGCATGCGTCCTGTTCCTACTGACGATGGCTGGAAGAATCTCAAATTGCGGCCTGGTCACAAAAGATAGCTCTACGCACAGGTGAAGCGCCATTTTGCAGATAGGAAGTCGAAAGAGGACGGAGAAAGCCAGCAAGTTGATCCTGATGTGGTCAGAGGAAAAGGAGAAGGCCTTATCATCTTGCTCCACGGTGAGCCGGGTGTAGGCAAGACGTCGACTGCTGAATGTATGGCGGCTTGGCTTGAAAGACCACTGTATCCGATCACCTGCGGTGACTTGGGAACAAGCGCGGAAGTAGTGGAAGACAAGCTAAATCGTATATCCGCCCAGGCTGAGGCGTGGAATTGCGTCCTGCTACTGGATGAAGCCGATGTCTTCCTTGCGGCGCGCAGCAAAACGGAGTTGGAAAGAAATGCAATTGTTTCAGGTGAGTGTTCGCCTTCATTTGACAGGGCCTCTCAATCTTACTGACCTTGCGAACGAAAGTGTTCTTGCGAGTACTAGAATACTACAAAGGCTTATTGTTCCTCACCACCAATCGAGTGGGCTCCTTCGATGAAGCCTTCGTCTCTCGCATCCACCTGGCCCTCTACTACCCCGGGCTCAACAAAGGCCAGAACCACGCCATCTGGGAAATGAATTTGGAAAAAGCCAAAGCGCGAAAGACGTCATTGACCATCGACATGGACCCCATCCTGGAGTGGGCTGATGCAAACTGGGAGCAGAACAGTAAATCCAGAACGCGCTGGAACGGGCGACAGATCCGCAACGGATGCCAAACTGCCATCGCGCTGGCGGAATTCGAGGCCGAAGAAACGTCCAAGCCAGTGTTCCTGCAGGTTAAGCACGTCCAGCAAGTAGCAGCTGCATCCAAGGAATTCTACGACTACGTCTCGCGGGTCCTCGGAGCTGACATGGCGCATCGGGCTTTTGTTGAACGCCTACGATTAGACGACTGGCCGTCCAATATGCCAGCCGATCGGGACTTGTACAGAGTATCTTCCAACTATAGCCCATCGATTCGGGCTCCGGAGGACATCACGTCGCCTCCGAGAAACCGACGTCGCGGCGGTGGCCGAGCAAATGATCTCATAAGTAGCTCTGGTGGAGGAGGCGCTCCTCGAACCGCCAATGTCCATCATCAGTGGCAAGCTGGTAGACATGACGAATTTGATGAATTGGCCTTCCAATCGCCTCAGAGGCACCGGATGCAGAGGACTCCAGAAACTACTGGGCGCGGCATGTCGGACATACATGGCCTGCCATATGATGATGAGGATGAATTTCCTGATGATTTTGAGTAAAGAAGTAGTCTACCGACTTGTTTTGTGGTCCTGATGTCTAATTGCATGGTAAAAGTTTTGATCTTATGAAGGGGGAAGAATTCGTAATCCTACCGAGGCTCTGGTTACCAATTACTGGTACTACTGACACAAGATATACCTTTAGGCGGCTACTTGTGATCGGCGTGACCTTACAGTCTACTCGGTCATAGATTAGCCAAACTATCAATAATAGTGTAAAAGCCCCTCTCCGTGCGTAACGACATTCCTGTGGACAGCAATATCAGGGACATAAGTCATTGTATATTAATCGCACGAATTACTATAAAAGCAGAGCACAATTATCCGACTAGACTCTCAACCTCCTACTCACCCCCTCCGTCCCAGCCGCCTTCTCATAGTCCACCGGCCCCAAATCCACCCTCCTCCCTAACGCCCTCCTTATCACCCAATCCTTACTACTAATCTCCTCCTCAACCACCCCCTCCCCCAACGCCGGAATCCTATCCGACTCCAACCGCCGCAAAGGAACCTCATCCTCCGGCCTCGCAAAATAAACCAGACTATACCGCGTGCAACCCGCCTGCTGTCCCGGCGGCGCAACCACCCGATGGATATTCGACCGAAACAGCCCGTTAGTGAACTTCACCATTGCATCACCTAGGTTGATAATAGCATGGCCGGGTAGCGGACGCACGTACGTCCATTCTGCGTCCGCTCCGGGAGGGAGGACTTGCAGGCCTCCGATACGGTTGAAGAGGATGGTGACGCTGCCGAAGTCGGTGTGTTCGCCTAATGTGGGGTTCTGAGTAGCGGTAGGGGGGGCCTTGATGAAGCGGATTTGGTCACCGCTCGGGGCAGTTAGACGGTGGAGGTTGGGGAGGGTGGATGTAGGAAGAGAAAGGCTATCGCTTAGGATTGAGAGGAGGAGAGTCACGATGTCGTGGGAGGTTCGGATGAATGATTCGAGAAGGGGGCGGGATTCCTGTAGGATTGGTGGGGATGGGAGAGGGGGAGCGATGTTCAGGATGTCGTCTTTGGAGACCTATGGTATGGAGTTAGCATGTGGTTGGATTGTCGGATGCTATAATGGGGGATAGGGACATTGTAGAACTCATTCCCGTCTAGATTTCCCTGTCTGTCTGCTACCATGGCACCTTGCGCTTTGTATCCATAATAGGATTTCTGGCTGGCGAGGTCGTATTTCTTTTTCTCGTCTAGGGGTAGGTCGAATAGGCGCTCGCCTATTGGGAATAGCTTGTCTGCGTTGTTGAGCAGGTTGGTGCCCTCGTTCGAATCGCGGAGATCGAGGTAGAAGAAGCCGATGTCTTTGCAGGCTTGGAGGAGGTTGTGGGTTTCCGTGATATCGTGGGCTTGTAGTTTGGAAAGTGAAAGACGGAGGAGGGGAGCTGTAGGGACGTCGGATGGGAATGGAGGTAAATTCTTTGTTTCGGACATTGTGGTAGTAGATGATGTTGGCTGTACTGGCACTCTGGTAAAGTAGTATAGTCTTAGCTCGACACTCAGTATATATAGTAATTGACATGCGGGGAAGACATTTATGCCGAGGGATAACTAATCGGCAACCATAATGTGATGCAAGCGAAGAGACCAGACTTCCAGACATACCAGCATATTATGTATGCTTTGAGTCAGAGCTAATTTGTTATATGAGCGGTACATCGTGCTATTTATCTATATCCGAGGGTTTCTTTGCTGCATCGCTTGATGTTGTGCAGACGCCGGCGGCAGACAAGAACCAAATGCTAGGGCTTCATATGCAAGGAATCCAGTTCGTGAGCCAAATTGAGAAAATTTATAGTATCTCGGATGCAAAGTTTCGTCTTCAGATTAGAAATCACTATAGCATCGTCAGAATTGAGCTATAGTCTATACCAATCGAGTCGTGCGCGAGGCCCCGAGCTAGCTTCATCATGTCACAGCTGGTGTCAGAAGAAACTTCAATCTCAATAACTTCCCTTGATTGACAATATTTAGACTCTAAACAAGCCATATCAACGGAAGGAATCGTATAAGAAGCGATTATTGTTGAGTGGATGATAGATGCAGGACTCTTGCATACATCGCAAGCCAGTGGACCCCAACCCAATCAGCATGTGATCTTATCAGGAACCGATAACCACCAAATTTCCAACACCATCACTTCGTCACCACCACCACCAAACCACCACTCCATACCTCCGTCCAACAAACCCTCAACATATCCACCCCATTGCACAGGAAGGGATTCGGGAAAAATGACAACCCCCAAACCCCACATCGCACACACGCTCCTCTTGCGCGCGCACTCCCCCGACACAGCCTCGCAACTCTTCACCGAGCGCATAAAACAAAAGCCTCTCTACGTGCGTCCCACGTCCCCAACGCCCGCCGACAACCGCTCGCGCCGGCGTCTCCATCGCCTCCGCAAGAAAGAGTATTTCCTCCGCAAACAAAAGCCGCAGCCTTTATCCGCGCGCCAGAAGCGCGCCTCGGGCCTCTACAACCTCCCCAAGGAAGAATGCAAGTATGCGGTTTTCCAGGAGCTGCATGCCATGTGGGTGCGGTATATGCAGGATATGTTAGACTTGGGGGCAAAGAAATTTAAACCGCCGATGACGCCGTTGTCGCATGGGAGTAAGCTCTCCAGTGCGGATTTTCATGGCGCGGAGGTGGAGGTTGTAAGGAGTCGGTGTGAGGGGAGGGTCGGGGTTAAGGGGATTGTGGTTAGGGATACGAAGTTTACGTTTGTGGTTGTTACGAGGGGGGATGAGGTTAAGAGTATGTCTACACTTTATTCCTTCTGCAGGTTGGTTTGGATGTGTTACTAATGTTGGTGCGAATCTAGCTATTCCGAAGGAGCAGACTATTTTCCGGTTTAGTGTGCCTTTGCCTGAGGCGGATGATGCTGATGGCGCGGCGGTGACTGGGGAGACGAGCGCCGATTCTGCTAAGAAGCAGCTTGTGTTCGAGCTTCATGGCAGTCAGTTCCAGAATCGTCCGGTTGACAGGGCGAACAAGAAATTCAAGTGGCGGAATGTGGATTATATCTAAGCTTTTGAGAAGATGGAAAATTTATATGGCAACGATCGCTCGATCGTTTGAAGTGGACTGCGCGAGTGAACGGTCAAGGGAGATTATCCTGCAGAGCTTGGGTCCACTAATTCAGTCTGACCATAGCCGTGGTAGACTACTCGAGGCTGACGCGCCACGAGATGCAGCATCGATATTGCTGCCGTCTGCAGCACGTCTGACAGAGGCTTCACATCAAGCAGGCACGTGCTATGGAGATTTCATTCCCATATGGTGATCCCTATCAGGGAGCACCTCCTACCAAGGCACGAGGCATCACTTAGCCTCGCACCGGCACCTGATATTTGATGGGAGGATTGATGATCCTCTTCTACCATGTGAGCGGGTCTTGCTGTCGAGTCCTTGGAGCGAACCGAGACAGACTGCCATGTCAATTTGGTCCAGCAGGATATCAGGCCTGAGACACGCCCTTTGTGCAAAAGAGGCCGGGACCCTTTTGATACGGTAGCTATTACAGGAAGTGTACGCGGGGATAATAAGAAATGTATAGTTCATGATATGTTTCGATTTGATCTCGTCTTTGTAGTTTACCCATGGCAGGGGTCTTCAACGCTGGAGTGAGATCGATCAAAGTCCTGTATGTCGGACTGTGCTGCCCGGGGTGTTTGCTGGAGAATTCAACAGCTGTAGACCAGTTTGTTTAGCCTTGCCAGATAACAGCTCTACTAGCTGTACCGATGATTGGCTGCTGCAATCAAGCCCGTATGCATTTCTGCTAGACTTGAGAGCGCATGAAGGTGATGCGCAACGCCGCACAACTGCTTTTGACGTTACGCTTCTGTTCCACTGAGGCAAGCAGCTATCAGGCATATGCTGCAAGCGGTGCGCGCGCGACATGCGCTGCTTAGCTCAGGAGACGACCAATGAAGACCGAAGAGGACGTCGAAGATAGTCCAGATCACATTCCACCCCATTCAATGCTGAAAGTCCTCACACTACTGGGATCTCCAGCATCCGAACCCTCGATCTTCTTCTCAGCTCCTCCAATCAGGAAACCCTTCTTCACACCAGTACCTAGTCGACCACCGGCAACGATGCTCATCAAATCCAACTCCTCATCCCAGTCAGCAGACACACTCAGGAAGTGTGAATGGAACCGTAAAGGATCACCGGGATAGGCAAGATACTGACACCCGAATCGCAATCCAGGGGACAAGAAGTATCCTTCGGAATGAAGGTGAGCGAATAATGGGTATGAGGAAGGCACATCGGGAAGCGGTAGCTGTTGCTCAGCAGACCACTCATACGGAAGAGGCGGATAAGATGTAGCAGGCGTGACTCCCATGACAGTGCCAAAGGGAGCAGCAGTGGCAGTCGAAGAACGGCGCGACATTTCGCCAGAACCCTCCTGGTCATTTGCGAACAGGTCAACAACCGGGTCTTTAGCAGCAGCCTCATTATTAAGAGGGGCAGGCTGCTGCTCCTGCTGCTGCTGCTTTTCAGCAGACTTTTTGGCCTTTGCGGCCTTCTTTTCTTCTATTTTCTTTAAAGCCTTCTCACGTTGCTGCTCCTTCCGGTCGTTTTGTAGTCGCATAGCATGCTGGCCTTGCGATTCTAGCTCACGGAGATACTTCTTGCGATCCTCCTCCATGAGGGCTCGCATTCCGTCCTTTTGGACTTTTACCTCGTCTACAATGCATGCTACACCTTTCTCCACGAGCAACCGGGCCTCTTCCGGCATTAGCTTCAATGGCAAGCCCAGGAAGACATTCTGTTGTGGGATTTGAGGCAAAGTGCCGCTTAAGACGCCGCAAATGTGATACTCGCGTCTCACATACGTGACTGCATCAATTGAGAAGAGAAAGTAGCTACCCCCAATATACGAGATCGGAATGGGAAGGGAGGGTTCGATATCCATTTTAGCGACTAAGGGCAATTCAATTTATCAAGGGATCTGCAGCGACTGAATGAACGTTAGCGTTCAGCTTCCATGAAAAGTATGGATGAAATATAAAGCGCAAGAAAATGCTAATCATTTTCGATACGTTTCTCAATCACATATGCTCGTTTTAATGAGATTATTTAGTTGAGCTTCAGGGGATTGACAGATTATAGTATTTGTATAATCATGCAAGCAAGAACAATTGACGCGAAAGAAAGGGACAATTGCTTACCATCAATACAACTCAGCATTATAGAGTATCGAATTGAGAAATGATGCTCGTGGACTTGGCCAGCAAATCCAGATTGTCGTTGAATGAGCGATGAGGATGGAAGCGAGAAAAAATATTCGGTGGGGTGGAAGCTCTTAAAGAGCTGCGCGGAAATCACGCCTTTCCTATTGAAGCTAGTGGCATTATTGGTGCTTAGTCATAGAATGTGGGAGAGTTGATGCTCTTCGGAGATTCGTGAAAGCTACCACTATATGATAAGATCCGTATAATCATTATCGGAAGCTGTCCAAGTGACTAGATTGCCGCCCTAAGACAGGATGAGCTTCTTGTTCCTACTTTTTATGGTGTTCTTTGCACCCTTTCTGCTACTCTTAGGTACCACCGACTCGCCCATCTCCACTGACAAGCCGCTGACAGCTCGAAGCATATCTAGGCTTCTCGAGATTCATCGCACCTCGTCTTCGGACTTATTTCTCAGCATCACCTGCCGGACCTGGGCTTGACTCATATGGGAGACACTACCTCCGATCAATGGTCAACACTGGGTCCGCTATGTCCGAGCAGATCGAGCTGCAGAATATGTTGGACGATTCGGATCACGAGGAGTGATTGTGGTCTGGTTTTGGTTGTTCCAACCCTTCGTGCAACTTAGAACTCAAGATCCGCCTTCTTTGGCATTCCGCCCGTTACCGCTGCGTCCTGCCCCTCCTTGTCTCCTTCAGCTGGCGGTAAGCTGAACGGCTTGATTTCGAACTTCTTCCGGCTCAGCGTGAAAGCCCAATCCTGTCCAATGTTCTGATCGCTACCACCGCCACGTTCGTGCAGTACTGGTAGTCGATGGACCTTCAGCATGCCCTGTGGTGGTTCCTCCTGAGAAGTAGCGGCACCCGAAGTTGCGAGAGCGTCAGAAGAGTGCGGGAAGGGACACAATTCAATGACACCGTCACTCAACAATTCCATCCATCGCACAAGTCCCGTGGCGCGGGGGAAAAGGGACAAGGGCAGAGTGATCATCGCCGTCACCCGTGCGCCCTGCGCGCTCATCAAAGCCCTGAGGGAGTGTAGGAAGGGTAGAAGGTTGTCGGGCTGGCAGGAATCGGGTGGGTATATCGTGGGGTTCAACAACGAAGGGATGAGGATGCGATGGACAGTATTTGGTGGGCAAGAGGTAATTGCAGCTTGCAGACGTTTGTGAATCGACACAAACAAAGGCTCGTTCGATGGCGCGAGGGGTATATAGTTTACGTTGGCTATGGAAGGATGAGTGAGACGTTTCGTGAGGTCAAACGCATGGCAGAATGCTGGTCGCTTGTCCACGTTTGGGTCTGCGGCAGATTGGCTTTGGTCTCCTGAGGGCGCTGCAAAATTGCGTCTGTTAGCACACTACCTCTAAACTCCCACAGCGACGATATGACAAGCTAGTATACCTCTTGAACCAGCAATTCCTGCTCCGAACTCGCCCAGACGCTCGTATCGCCAAGCGATCTTCATGCGCTCGCCTTTCCGTTTGTCTTGCTTATCATCAATAGCATCAGCAGGGCCTAACAAGCCCGGAAGACTTCTTCCCCATTGTTCAGGCATTCCCACGACATGAATCTTTTGATCTTGCACAACACCTTCTGCCGCATAGTATCTTAGTAGTGCACCAGCAAAATCTGTAGTTCCATTCTCCTCAATCAGCAGTGTCTTCCCGATGGGAAGACCTCCATGCCCAGCCAGAAGGTTATCCAGCGATGGAGTACCAGTCGAAGTAGTCGGGCGCCCGTCGTCGGGGGAGGGGCGAACTCCGGGAGTCAATTCTGGCGTTGCAGAAGCCTGTTGCGGCTGTGCGTTAGCATTAACGGTACCGGTGCGATCAGCGCCTGCCGAAAGTCCAATATTTCTCTTGCGAAAAGACATCGTGTACGGTGGTAGAGTGATTGAAAACAGTGAACCGAACGGAATACTTTGAAGATTTGCTGCGGGGCAGCTCCCGGAAAGTAAAAGCGGCGCCGCGCTAAAAGTCGAGCAAAAAAGCTGTCCGCCCTCGACTCTTCGCTTTCACCTTCTGGCGCTACCACGACCACCACGCCTCTTGTTACCAGCGCACGTCTTGTTCCTCCCCGAATACCATCTTTCGCATAAACGCCTGCATCTCATACATTTTGCGATTCAATTGAACGCTCAAAGCCACCGCCGCAACCATGTCCGACCCGGTACTTTTCGAAGACACCTTCACAATCACCACCATCAACTCCCAGAAATATGACCGTGTTTCGCGTCTGAGCTGCAACTCCACTGATACCCTCTCGCACTTCACTCTCGATGTCAACTCCGAGCTTTACCCTTGCGTCGTTGGCGAGTCTGTGAACATGGCTCTGGCCTCGACGCTTTCTCTGGATGGCAAGGATGACTCCGGATCGAAGGGCTGGAGAGAGGTTGGAATGGGCGAGCAGACCTTGGCCAACGACTACGATTATGTCTGCCACGGCAAGGTTTACCGCTTCGAGGAGGGTTCGAGCCAGGGTAACATGTAAGATTTATTGTGTCACGAATCGCGGTCTGTTGCGGACTTCGCGATGTGGCCGGGATCATTACTTGATCAACAGCTGACTAAATCGTGTCTAGGGCCGTTTTCATCTCTTTCGGTGGACTTTTGCTTTACCTCGAAGGTCCTTACAAGAAGTTGGCCCCCTTGAGGATCGACTACGTGTATCTGCTCCTGAAGAAATAGAGAAAAAAGAAACTTTCACGACCATCACATATAGTGTCCAGAAGGTCTAAGGCGTTGGCCCGTTCTGTCTCGGATAGTCAGAAAAGTCTTTTGCATGCTTGGGGTACTTTGATTGCAGCGCCGGCGTTTGATTGGTGATAGGGTATATCAAATAGAACATTAAATATTGCTTCACACCACATTTCTGATTCCATATATGCGAGTCAGTTGTAGTTTATACTGTCACGTGTGAAGCAGTCGGGAACTCCAAGCGCCGATGCATCCGTGCGATAATCTCAAGATAGTCCGGCTCGTTCTCCGGTGTCAAAATACCATGTCTAATGAAGAAGTCAATCAAGACAACGGCACAGTTGGGCTTGAACTCTCCATTAGCCAGTGCCTTCTTCGTCTCTTCGATAGTGAAAAGATTGAACTCCTCGACTTCAGTGTCGCAAGGCTTGGGGATAATATCCGCCCCGACCTTGACATCGAAAATATACTCGACCTCCGGCTGCACCAGGTCTGTTTCGCCTCCAGCCTTTGCACTCCGGACATACGTGTACGTGACACATCCCGCTGGAGTGGCATTAGCTCTGACAACGTCCTCTGGCAGGGACGCTTCCTCCATCGCCTCGCGAACAAGGCATTCAAACGGGTGCTCCGTGGTGCTCATTCCACCCGCCACGGAGTTGTCCAGCATACCGGGGTATGTCTGCTTGGTTTTCGAGCGCCTGGGCACCCAGATGCGTAGACCATTCTCGTCTTCCACGTAAACGGTCGAGTGCACGCCGTACGAAACGACACCAAACAGCGGGGTAGCAGATCGTTCCATTTCCAGGAGGAATTTACCGCCCGGTCCGTAGATAGGATACATCTCATTTCGCCATCCTCTAAGAATGTCAAATGTTCCCAACTCCACTGCCTTACTCAACGTCTTGGCCATGATCTCGCTGCGCTGTTGAGGAGTCGCGTCAGCCGGAGCCAGGAGGGTGACGCTCCGGTTGTCGGAATCAATCGCCCACCATTCCGAGGGCAAGTCGAACCTCTCTACTGTCGAGTTCAGGATATAACCGAGAATGGCATCGCAACCGGCGACCTTGAAAACATGATAATTCTTCAGATGCTCAATATAAGATGCGGGGCTATCTTGGTAGTACGGAAATCTGCCATGCGGATCTGACGATTAGAACCCCAGCGATCGGGACAATGGAAAAGGGATAATCTTTACCTATCGCACTCAATAACCAGCTCAAGATTTGACTTGCCCATGATGCTAAAAGAACAGTCTTAACGAAAGACGTATATACACAAGTCCTGTAGTCTAGTGAGTCATCAATAATAATAATTACAAAGTTAGCCGCGGGGATGCCCCCCCCCCCTGCCAACTGGAAGTTCAACCAGCCTAGACGCGGGAGGGAACCCTTATCGATAAGGGCAATAGACGGCCATTTCGTCACCGAGTCTTTCTTTGAGATTCCATCATGGAACGCGCCAGGAAATTCTTCAAAAGCTGGCTAGCTAGCTCTTCTCCGCCTCCGGAAGCTTTAGGACCCTTTTAAGCCATGCGTCGCAATTCTCTCCGGCTGTTCTAGTCCAGCTATAATAATACACATTAAGATTGCTATCCCACCACATCGAGATCCAATCTACATGCTCTATACAATACAACAGTCTTAATTTCGTCATCCCCCTCCTCCTGCCAATTGCCCACCATGTTCTCCGTCATCATACCAGACCATCCCTGTTTGACAGACATCGTCGCAGTCGAGACACAACCAAACGGCCAAACCACCAAATTCGCCTTCAATTTCCCCCTTCCGCCCAAACTCACCGAACTTGTCGTCTTCTTTCTCCCCGGCACTGTCCTCCCGCCCGATACCGCCGCTGCTATCTACATCCAATTCCCCGACCCGAACAACGCACCCCAGTTCAAATTTATCGGTGCGCTAGCGAATGAGAGACCATCTGCGATTCTTAAAGTGCAGGCCCCGCAAATCCCAGGACTACAGAATAGCAATGCGATGGCGGGCGCAGCACCAATGGTAACGCTGGGGATCTCGCTTGAACCTGTTCAAGCTGTTGCACCACAGATCGCTGCGCTGGAGGCGGAACAAGCTGGCGGTGCGGGGTCGTCGTTAGAGTTGGTGCGACATACACGACAGCAGAAAGAAATTACTACGAAGGTGCTGGCGCAGAGGATTATTGGGAATGCGTTCAATTTCTTGGCGAGCTTTGCGTCGGAGGATCCGAGCAATAGAGGACAGGAAACTGTTCCGTTGAAGACTTTTCGTGATTGGTGGACGAAGTTTGAGAGGAAGGTCGAGATGGATCCGACGTTTTTGGAGAGGGAGGATCCGTCGGCTACGGGGTGATATAGTGCAGGTATTGGGGTGTGATTGTTTTACTGGGATATTGTTGCTTCGGAGGGTTTGTCAATTTTAAGCGTTTGCATTTCGGTGATGGTTTTATTGCGGATCGGTATAGGATCTGTGGGGTTTGTTTTGATTTCGGTGTCTCTGATTATATATAGGTCGCTCTATACCCATCGTTTATGGTCATCTGGCTAGATGCGCTTGGGTTTGCGGTTTTAACCATTTGCATCTTTAGTGGATAAAAGACATCTATTCTTGATCTGTCTAGTTATATGCGTCGCTGGAGCTGAATTTCAGCGGGTAGCCAAGGTATTCTTAGCTATGGAGGTATCTCAGCCAGTCCTGGCAGCAAAGTAAAATGTCGCTCTATATGTTCAGGTCTATTCAAATCAGAAGCTTCAGAAAGGCCATGGTGATCGCAATGCCGTCGTGTGGGATGCCTGCGCGACTAAAGGCATCTTCTGATTGTTCTTTCGAGAAGATACCAGCTGCAGTCCGCAAAGTAAGGATCTCGGTCATGATGTCTTCTCTGAATTCCGGATGGCCCTGGACAGAGATCAACTTCCCAGGGACATACATGCCCTGTACTGCACACCTCGGGGAAGCGCCCAGGGAGATGACCTCGGATGGGTATCCGTACGCAATATCCTGGTGCATTTGATGAATGCGCTGTAAACATACTTTGTCAGCATAGATCCAATACACATAGAAGCTATATGAATGCCCTGGTGACGGAGAGAAGGATGGTAGACATACAAGCTTATCCCTCCCGAACAACTCCTTCCCCGTCTCAGTCAAGTCCACCTCACACACTGCAAGTTCCCATCCTGCAGCGTTGCGACCAACTCTGGCGCCAAGCGCACGTGCCAGGATCTGATGGCCGAAGCAAATAGCGAAAATCTTAACGCGCTTGTCTTCGAAAGCTTTTTTGGTGAATTCAACCAGCTTGAGGATCCAAGGGTGGTCCTCAAAGGAATCATGTTCTAGGAGACAATGTGAGTCACAGGGCGCGCCTTGCAGAGGGAGTGCATGCTGCACGGTGCGCGGGAATTAAGGAAGAGCACGAAGGGAAGGTAGGTAACTCACTTGACCCGGACAAAACAATTGCGTCTACATCCTCCAGGTTGGGGTACTCTTGCGCAGTTACCACGTCCCAGCCGCTAAACTCGAGGCCGGTTTCTGGGTCTAGCTTATCGGGTTGTCCTAGTGCTGCAGCACTTTCACGCAGCAGGAGTGAGAACACGCCGCGATAGCCTCCATATTTGTTGTTTACTTTTTCGACTGGGGTGTCGCATTCAAGGATGGCGATACGAAGCGGGGGCATGGTGGTGGAGGGAGGGGTAATTCGGTGATTCGAAGACGGGGTCCGGAGAGGAAAGCAGCTGCAGGAGCGGGTTGAAAAGCTGCTACTTACTTATCTGCAATGCAAGCTGTTTGCAGATTATGGTTCGATCTGCTTGTTGGTTATGCGCAATGACTGTGTCGGAAATGGTGGCCTGGACAGGTAATGTGGTTGTATGAATCACCGTTGGCTGCTCTTATCGAATGCGCTAGTCTGGTTATCAGTAAGTAGTCCCGCCACCTCCTTCGGATGTGCCTCCCGCTCGGACCGAAACCATCCAGACTCTTCTCATGAGGTTCTATGTCTCTCTTGAAAATCTCTCAAAGACCATGCAGTGTCCTTGATAAGGAGTATACACGGTGCACCTGATAGGATGGCATTGACTAACATCTTGCAAAGTAGTGGCTGATCATGCATCTTGATGCGGGGAGGATGTCATAGCAAAGCGGCCACCGGATGGAACTTGCTTTCTTGATTGGAGGTGATTGGATAGTTGAAGAGTAAATCTTGTTCAAGCATTGGGCAGAGACGACTACAAAATATCGAGTTGCACACACCATGCAGTCGGGATTGAACCCTGCAACTAGTCGGTGCAATGTGGCAGGGTTCTTTCAGCAGCATTTACTGAACATGCAAGCTGCGTGCATACGACACTGTGTCATCTGCTAAGGCTGATCTGTTGACTTGCGCAGTACCGGTGGTTTCTCTTCATCTGTCTCAAAAGAAATAACTCATCCTTGGCTTCGGAAAACGATCGAGCTCGGCTAGTTGTCCGTTGAATGCCATTTGAGAAAAGTACTCATTGGTAGATAGAAGATGGTACCTGGGCCTGACAGTTCGCACGCCATCAGCTCCGCAGATGACACAGGCGACTACTGCACCCCCATAGATAAGTTAGTAGGTACTAAGTAGTCCACTCGGTATTGATGCCTTACCGAGATGTACTCTGCCGGTATCGCTCTGAGGGCCGCCATTCCTATTCAGGTTAGACTCTGCAGGGTGCATACACGGCATGGGGTCCGATGACTGCAGTTGAACCAATCAGCAGGAGTGATTACACGTGATACTCTGGGAGTGGGCCGAAATCGCAGCACGAGCGAGACACTCATTTGCGTGCATCAAGAAGGATCCTGTCCACATGCATACTAAATGCATACTAAAAGATGAGGGGTTGGAGGCAGCAATGCCGCTAACTGCGCTTATCAAATCAGCTTCCAGGGTTTGTTGACTTCACTTCATATCTACCATGAGACTTGAAGAACTTTGACGGGAACGTATGTCAAAATTTTGGGCTCCTCATGCCTCTGAACCAACCAATGCAGCCGTCCAAATCGGTGGAGAATGGGTTGGTCTTTCCGCGCAATAAGGTCCAGGAGGCAAAGGCTGACCGAGTCGAGTCATATCCATAGTTCCGTGCGGGAGGGAATCCACCGTGCCGCAGCGTGCATTTCCTAGTGCCGCAGACCAGAAAATCCCTCTATAAAATTTGTCTCAGCCAGTCTCCCCGACTGAATTACACCTCCCCTTGTAGACTGCTCCCTTTCCTTTCTCTTCTCAACTATCTTTTTTTCCTTCTTTGTATGAACAGAACTTCAGTGGACATATTCAGCTCCATATACTATGTTTCATGATCTTTAAGTTCTATCCAACAAAAGTCGTATTTTAGAGTGATCATTTGATACAATTTCTTTCACCGCATCTACTCCGATTATGACTTCTCCCCATACAACAGATGGAAAGCCACCATCATATCTCCCTGCTACTGAGTCTACGCCATTGCTGCATGAATCATCTCGTCAACCATTATATACAAGTCAAGACGATACGACTGTAGATAAGGATGTCGATCCAAGCCTGTCCTCAACCATCTTCGCGCCCGAAGAGGACCCTGCGATACTTAGTCTCTCTAGAGTCACCTCAATCCCCCAGGGGCTCGAAATTGAACCTAACCTCGAGAGACTCCCTTCTGCCCCCGTGAGCCAGAAACAAGTGCCCGGGGATGCTGAAGATGGAGTTGCCGGTGAGCCTACTGGCTATGCTTCACGTTTCATCAATGTCTCACCGATGAGATTCTGGCTTATCTTCTCTGGTATCTTGATGGGATACGTGATCGGATTTTTTGATTCCACGTTGATGGCTTCGAGTCACCCTGTTATAACCTCCTACTTCCACGCCTCGAACTCCGCATCTTGGCTGTCGACGGCATTCCTATTGACGTCTACCGCTTTCCTCCCGCTGTTCGGACGCATTTCTGACACATTTGGAAGGAAGCCGGTGTATCTTTTCGCCATTGCCATCTTTTTCGTCACTACGGCATGGTGTGCAGCCGCCCAGAGTATGTTCAGCTTCATCGCTGCTCGAGCATTTTGCGGACTCGGAGCCGGTGGCGTATTCTCCATGGGTATGATTCTCTCCAGTGATTTAGTACGCCTCGAATACCGAGGCGTCTACCAGTCCTACATTAATCTCTGTCTGGGTATTGGTGGCTGCCTTGGTTTGGCGTTTGGCGGGTTCCTGTGCGACCAAGTGGGGTGGAGAGGTGCGTTCCTCGTGCAATTGCCCTTCATCTTCGTTTACTTCATAGTGGCAGCTTGGACAACCCCTGCCGACTTGGGCCTGAAGAGGGCGAAAACAGAGAGGAAGAGTTTGACGCAGCTCCTCAAGAGCATTGATCTTGTGGGCTCACTCATACTTGTCGTCGGTGTGACTTCACTGATTATGGGACTAAACCTGGGTGGTAATGTGTTGAGCTGGTCTCACCCCATCGTTATCACGTCCTTGATCTCATCTCTCATCTTAGCTGTTGTTTTTGTTCGCTATGAGCGGACCGTGGAGCGGGGAGTGATGCCAATCTCGTTATTGGTACAAGAGCCTCGCGCCAGCCTCATCTTTGGAAACTTCTTCGGCGCCATCTCCGTTAACACCATGGTCTTCAATGCGCCTCTGTATTTTCAGGCAGTCAAGCTAGCTACCCCGACTGACTCAGGTCTCAGGCTAATTGGCTCAACTCTTGCGGTGACAATTTCCAGTGTCTCAACAGGCTTCATCATCACTTGGACTAAACGGCTTAAGCCAACCATCATCTTTGGTGACATCTTTCTACTGCTGGGTGGTTGCGCTGCCGCTTCCATGAGCGTTGGTACGCCTGATTGGCTTGCGATGGTTTGCGTTTCGCTCTCCAGTCTCGGACAAGGATGCTCTTTCCCCTCGCTAATGGTGTCGGTTCTTGCCACTACTGATCAAGAGGACCAGGCTGTGGCCACGACCACCTTGGGTTTGTGGAGAAACCTCGGATCGGTGATGGGTGTCGCAACGAGCAGTTGGATTTTCCAGAACACCCTCGTGTATCAACTTGAAGAGATGGTCACCGGACCCAACAAGGAGGGTGTTATCCTCCTTGTTCGCAAATCCGTCCAAGCAATCGCGAAACTTGATTCAATGCATCAGCAACAAGGTAAGTCTCGATTATATGTACCCGTGGAAGTTAATGACACTAAATCCTTGACTAGTAATCGGAGCGTATGCTGCTGCCCTTCGCGCTACTTTCTTCTCTGCTGCCATCTGGGGTGCTCTTATGCTCCTTCTGCACCTTCGAGTCCGAGTCCCCAAATTAGGAACCAAAGCATGAGAACATGAGCTGCTGATATGCTACAGTACATGGTATTGACCGAACGAATGTAGACGGCGATAACAGATACCTCTCTTGCAGCTGTCATTTTGAACAGCATGTTGCTGAAGACCTCATTGATTTACGACCCAATGCCCAAAAGTTATGGATAAAGGTAATGCTGGACCAAAAATTGCGAGCGCTATTATAAAGAGACTTGATTAGTTTGCAAAGAAATATATAAGTGAAAATACGAATCCGTGAAAGACACCACATCACGTAGAGACTGAAATAAAATAATTGAGCGGGACCGATTAACCGTATCGCTTCTTTGTTCTGCCGCGGTATTGATCTGTTGCCCTAGACCATTCTGGGACTAGTGTCTCCGACCCGGAGTCACGATTCCCCGCGGATCTTTTGAGACTCCCCGGTTTCTCTCTATTGCCGCATGTTTGTGTGAGTTGATTGCTGACATTTTATTGTCTCTTCTTCTGTTAATCCCTAAGGTATGACTGTGCTTGCGAGATATTGCATACTATCAGACATAAGCTAACATCGTTCTTGCACAGATCAACAACCGTTAGATCGCTTCCAGATACCGGTGCCTATGCATTTAATTTTCGGTGTCACCTTAATAACCTTAGCATCGTGCGCAAATCTTCGATTATTATCTGCCATCCCTGTCAGCTACGTCATTCATCTATCGGCCCCGAATATCTATGTGAAGTGGTGCTGCGTTAGGAAGCCGGACGGCGCTATAGATCTTGTGGTTGGCAGAATGCTCGGGAGTGACAGTTTCGGGGGCTGAATTTGGGGTTTGCTGATGATCATAACCCAAGACTGGGAGGATACACTGTGGTTCAGGCTTGAGGGGTCATCCTTGATCGAAGCAGCCTGAGATGGCTTCAGCTCTCGGCGACCATGTCTCTGTCCCGTCGGACCTGGATCTCTCACTGGATCTGACAGCTTCAGGGCAAATCACCGATATACTTGAGTTTGATCTTGATGAAAACAATTTGGCTGTCACGACCGAAGCCATCACACAAGACACGAGTCCCTCCGACGAGGGCGGAGTGTCAACTCCAAACAGCACATCGCTGGATGCACCGCGCCCGTCAGCCGCCAAGCGAAAAAGCAAGATTGTCCTCGCAAAGCCGAGGCGAGTGCGGACAGGGTGCTTGACATGTCGGGAACGTCACCTGAAGTGCGACGAGGCTTTGCACCGATGCCAGAATTGCCGGAAGTCGGGCAGAGTATGCAGGCGTGGAATCCGCTTAAACTTCATAGATATCCAGAAATCGACGCCCCCGCACTGCGTAGTCCGTATACCAGCGACTGGCGTGACCTTTCGAGATGAGTCGCGGCTTATAGCGTCTGAATACGTGGGTGGGTTTGAGAGATATCCCCCCGAAGTGGCGGAACCTTCGTTGGAGAAGGGGAATGCGACAGGGCCTTGTCTGACTCCTAGTCTGAGTGCCTCGTTCGTACATGGCTTCGGGACCCCCCAGTCCGGGAGTCTGGGAGGACCGTTTAACGGCCCAACAAATGCCCCTGCCTTTTACGACCAGAATGCATCATTCGCCCCTTTCAGGTCCACGAAGGAAGGTCATATCAATGCTACCAACCACACTTGTCTCAATAACCCAGAAGAAGTTTACCTGCTACAGGTATTTGTTGAAGAGGTTGGGCTATGGATGGATTCGATGGATGCGGTGAAACATGTAAGTTGTCGATCCTTGCGACGTGGTCATCAGTCGCTTATTTCCATAGTTCACGCATATTCTTCCATTTCACGCACTTGAGGAACCTATGCTTCTTAAAGCTCTGTTGGCATGCGGTGCGAGGCACTTATTCCACGTGGACGCCTCGTACGGAGAGGAGAAGGCCGCAGAACTTCACAATGTCGCCTCGCAATATCTTCTTCGCTCATTACAAGACCCTGATCGTGACTCGGCCCTCTGTGCAACTACAGCGATTCTGCTGAACATCTACGAGTTAATGTCTGGCCGACCGATTCAAGGCATGAGCCACATTGCTGGTGCGCGAGCTTTGATCAAAGAGTGTCACTGGAATGCCAAAACGCCGGGACTGGGAGGTGCTTGTTTCTGGTTGAATGTAAGCATGGAACTACTTAGCTGTTTGCATTTCAATTGGACGCTTTCCTGGGACCCGGACACGTGGGGTGTTGAACTGGATCTGAATCATGCACAGCCAAGTGTTGCAGGCAATGAGGAAGCGTGGACGCACCAGATGGTATTCATTTGCGCCAAAATTGCGAACTTTCGATCGTTATCCCAGCCGCCAGCACTGGAGGCTGCCAGTGACATGCGAATCAGCCAGCGTTATCAGGAGTGGTGTACTTATAACGAGTGGTGCGATCAGTGGGCTAGAGCTGTGCCGCGGTCCATGATGCCTCTGGGATATATTCATTCGTGGCAGACAAACTCTAAATCCGTCTTTCCACAGATATGGTGAGCATCGGTCTGATCTATTCGCACATGACTTACTAATCTTTATAGGCTCATCAAGCGTTCCACGATCATCGCTCGACTACTATACCACACTGCACGGATCCTGCTTACGAAGACAAACCCCGTTGAGTCGGAGTACAGTGCCGAGATGCAGACTGTACAGCAAAGCCATGCAAGGGATATCTGCGGCATCGTGGCACACTCCAGGGATCGGTACGTTGTCAGTATATACGTGTAACAGGCTCAACAACTAATATGAAGCAGTGGAGTTGCAAGTCTATCAATCCGTTTCCTCGCCATTGCCGCAGAGTGTCTGGCGACTAGGGAAGCTCAACAAGAAGCCTTAGGAATTCTTGAGGACATCATAAAGCAGACAGGCTGGAAAGCCGAGCACGTGAAGCAGGAGCTTCAGGAAGCCTGGGGCTGGAGTGACTCCCACGGTCCTCCAATGCATATGTCGGAAGATATCCTGGCGTTATTCAACAGTGACCATCCTTTGGCCGCAGATCACACTCCTGCCCGGCCCAAGGTGCCAGCTGGCGTGATCAATCCGCTCATGGCAACTGCGGACTTTTCGATGGAGAATCATCCATACCAGGACTATTATGTTGCGCCACATCGGTCCCTTAGCCATTATCCGTTCGGAGGCTTTTAAACTGGGGTGGCTGTCTCTATTTCGGTTGGCGTTGATGGTTGACTGGTTTGATTTATTGAAGGGATTTGTTTAGATACCACTAGAGTTGTGAGTTTATGTTTTCGGCACTATCATCTCGTGTATGCTTAGACACGGATATCATCAGCAAATCATCCAGCAATGGCCGGGAATATGTTATTATATCCTTGGCGATCTCCCACCAACTTCCTGGTGTTCGATACTACTGTACTACTATCATCAGAATGATCACCTTTCCTGTGGACAGATTAGGGTTATCTGCCAACAGCCTCTCATCGTACGACCGAGTTGATACAAGATGCAGTTTGCATGAATTAATACAGTGCCTTGCATAACTGCCCTGCCTATAAACGCTGCATCAAAGGGGCAATCCACCTTTCCGGCGCAAAGATCCATCCTCCGAAAGCGCCTTTTTTTGAGTCTGGCAAGAAGCTCTTCATCGGTAATTCCGGCTGGCAGTTCTCGTGTTGGGATCCGGAGACTGTAAGATTCCTCATCTATAGGACCATCTTTAGTATTCGAGATCCTCGAAGAAAAGGATTTGGAGTGACCTGGCGTGGCCTGCCATGTGAAATCCATATTCCGACATGGGTAAGTGAGATTGTGCAGGTACATGATACCACAACCGATAGAAGCTGCAAGCACTATGCGAGCTGGGATTCTGAAACTCATAGTGCAATAGATAAGATGCTTAGAAAAGAGATTCTAGTATGACTTTTCGCCGAATAAACTTGTCATGTATATGCATGTATACAATTAATGTAAGCACCCGAAGAGCTGTCATTTAGATGGATCCTCAGATAAAGTCGGAGGCTGTACGCAGCGTTCTGTGGTAAATCTCGTCAATATTCTCTATGAATCATCCCCCCTCGTATAGTTCGTATAATATACCGAAGGAAGAAGATGAGGGTTTAGAAAAGTCAAGGTTGTAAGCCCCACTGCGGGGAGTTTATCAGACCCTTTGTTCTTAACTCCGCGGCTTCCCCTAACTCCATTTACTATGTACTCGCCGATTTCCCCCTTCTTATTTTCAACTTTCGCACACTTCCTTACAGTATGTGAAGAGCATCCAGAATCTGTGACTTTGCTTGTTATTTACTTTCTTGTCTACATACTCTCCCTTCCTTTCACTCGATCATGATCCAATTTCACTCTCCTTTACAGTTTTTTCACTGTGTGCATCGTATGCAGAAAGTATGAGATTTTGAATCTTTTTCTTCTTTTTTTCGATTTCGGCTTTTAGTCCACCAAGCCTTGTCTTATGCCTGCTAATTCAATGGCTGGCTTGGATAAATGCTGGTGATAAATATAGCCAAATTTCTACATAGTTCGGAAGCGGGAAGTTGTTCTGGATCCATAAAAGGCATCAATATGTCCATGGAATACCTCGGAAGAAAATGAAGTAAATTCGCATTTTGGCCCTTAAGACCACTCTTATCTCCGGAAACAAGCCCCACTCATACAAAGTTGACGTTGTGGTTTCGCTATCTGTTTCGCCCTCAAGTCAGACATATAAAAACGACTCTCCCTCCCCCCGTTCATATCAATTTAGATACAACGCAACCAAGACATCAAAGAAGAAAGATATTATTCTCTCACAAACTCATATCCGAGAACGAAAACAAATATGAAGTTCTTCGACGCCCCAGCACCCAACCCCATGGCCGTCCGCCTATTCGTCCTCGAACGCGGCGGTCTTACCTTCGACGTCGAAACGATCGATATCATGAGCCTCCAGAACCGACGCCTCGCCTACCGGGCGATCAACCCACGCGGCGAGGTTCCCGCCCTGCAAATGGACGACGGCACTGTCCTGACCGAAATCACCGCCATCTGCGAGTACCTCGACGAGATCGCACAGGGGGGTGCCTCTCTCTTCGGCGACACGCCCGCTCAGCGCGCCGAGACGCGCATGTGGCTCCGCCGTATGGACCTGGAGATCTGCCAGCCCGTCATCGCCTGGTTTCGAAATGATCCTGCCACGCTGGACTTCTACAAGGGTAACCGACTCCCCACGCCGGAGGCGCGGGTGAATCAGAAAGTGGCGATCAACCAGGCGCTGAACCTGCTGGATGATCAGCTTGAAGGCAAGACCTGGTTATGCGGGGACCGGTTCTCCGCCGCTGATGTGCACTTCTATGGACTGATGAAGATGATGAGCATGCAGGTCTCGGAGTGGATGCTGTTGCCGGGCCGAGACAACTTTTTGGCTTACTGGAAGAGGTTGGATGAACGGGAGGCGTCGCAGAAGGCGTTGCAGAATTTCCCGGCTAAGGTTGTTGTATAGATTTGACTAGACTCGGGCAATGCTTGATTTCTTCATTTTGTAGTTCCCTAGACGTTTTTGTTCTAGATTCTCTTGTGAATAATTTTCATTTCTCGTTGTGCCAGGGAATACCTTAAATCAGAAATCTGCGTTTAGCACGTCTCAAGAGACAAGGGAGGGGTCGAATTGCTTGGCTGTCACTTTTAAGTTTGGCAGTCATCCAGAACTCCAAGTTGCACCTTGTCGTAGTTTGCGGCACCTGCTATATCTGACATTTAGTGTGCCTTGTCCATACAGGAATTGTATAATTCATGAACAGAACCTAACATCAAGGTGTTTAATACTGTACTAACATAATCTGCTATTACCGTATTCAGCAATTATACAATTTTTCAAAAATGCTCACTAGCTTTCCAGGCCGATGATGCTTCCGGCGTTTCGCATATTGATTGGTTTGTTAAAATGTTTATACTCTGGGGAATTAGTTTGAAATGTTGGATATATTATGAGGATGTAATGGTTCGAGACTGACCTAGTATCAGCTATTTACGAAGCTTCTATATACGCAACCATTCTTAGATAATATCCTAAAGTTGTTCGACCCTTTCTGAATATCGTCAATAAACCGGCGGCCAACGCCAACTTGTATTCTATGCTCGGTAAAAAATCAAGGCCCTTGTCTCTATAGGTTTGCTTGAGATCAAAATCAATTTGTTAATGCTAGATTGCAGGTTCTTTTAATATTATCCTTTACGTTTTAGAGAAGCTTATACTCAACTGCTGGTAGCGCTGTCTTCTACTGCTAGATCCAGTGGTAGGTCAGAGATAAACAGTGTATCTATCACGTTTGAATTTGATTGCGGCGGCATAGGTGGGGTTGAAAAGTGGTCAAAAGAATAATATATACTTTAATAGATTAGCCAAAGCTTCCAGGATTGTGCATTATCGTTGCATGTATAGTAAGTTGATAGCTTCAAGTGAAATAGTATCTTACTTCCTATGAAGTGTTTCTGTTTATTATACTAACTGTATGTGGACTAGTGCTCTCAGCATGGGGTTTGGGAACAATCTTCCAAGAGCCCGGGCTAGGCATGACAGTTGTTGTAAGAAGTCCCCGCAGACTGGACTTACAGCCCAGCAGTGCTGATGGAATGCTGATGAATCGCGGAAACAGTTCCGTTTAGGTACTTTGGGCCACGAGCCTGTCAAACCAGGTGATTCATTCCAATCAGAATTCACATGGACATGTTGATGTCATGACTTGGAATAGAGATAACGAACTCTAAATCCCTAGATCAGAACTCCCCCCCGGCCTGCCTCGGGAGAACCGAAAGACTCCAGATTGCGAAATTGATAACCTTAATATATTCAGAGATGATCCAGGCTCCTGGCTCGGGGAGAACCAAAATCTTGTCTATCGTATTATACGAGTTCCTCGCCACTCGGAACAGGACCCAATTGATCCCTTCCACTGATTGTCTTGTCCCTCGGTGCCAAGTACAAAGTGACCTGCCGTGGGCTTTCCATCTACCGTGCAGCTGCGGGACTCGTGACGTGTCCTATCGCTACTCCCCACAACTCAATTCTCCATCCTCGAGTGATGTTTACTCCTGGCCTGAGATGGCGAAATCCGGGGTAACAGATCTGCGGGGTCATCCTGCGGGGAAACTTTCGTATATCCCCATCCCTCACACAGCTATATAATGCCATCCCATTACAGCAGTCAAAATGCTTCACAATCATCCATCTCTAAGCCTCTCAACATGAAAGAAGAATCCCCCGTCCCCGCAGCAATGGAAGCAGAAAAGTCCTCCGGAGCGGCATCCCACGTCGAGGATGCCGAGAAGAACAGCATCCACCCCGGGGAATCCCTCGACTACTTTACTCCGAAGGAAAAGAAAAGACTCATGCGGAGAATTGACATTCGTCTCGTTATCCCACTGGGTTGTCTATATTGTATCAGTTTGCTGGATAGGACTAACTTGGGAGCTGCCTCGGTTGCCGGGTATGGCATTCCAGTTTTCTTCCAACCCCGCTTCATGGCCCACGGCTTGGCCAAGAGATTAAGCTAACTCAAATTATGTACTGATAGGATGCAGGAAGAATTGAAGATGAATGCCAAGAATAATGGATACAGTATTAGCTCGTTGGTCTTCTTCATTACCTATACCGTGTTTCAGCCCCCCATGACGGTGATTATTCGGAAACTCGGGCCTCGGCTGTTTCTTTCTGCTATTGTTCTGCTATGGGGAGTGGTAATGATTGTAAGTTTTTACGATCATTGAATAGCATACTGTTATAGGGGTAGTAGTGGTGGCGTTGCTAATGTTCCAACTAGGGCTTTGGCATGTCGCCAACATGGCCAGTGCTAGCTGGACTGCGGGTCATCCTTGGTGCTCTGGAAGCAGGATTCTACCCAGGATGCGTTTACCTACTAAGTACCTGGTACCCTCGCTTCGAACTACAGAAGCGAAATGCCCTCTTCTACCTGATTGGCAGTACGGCATCCGGATTTGGCGGTATCCTCGCCTACGGACTGATGCAAATGCATGGAATTGGCGGAAAGTCCGGGTGGAGATGGATCTTCATTGTACTGCCCCATACCCCACAGACCTTCTGAATACCTACACTAATGCAGACCCCACAGATCGAAGGCATCCTAACCTGCGTAATGGGCATCGGCTCCTACGCCATCCTAGTCGACTTCCCCGAACAATCCCCCAAGTCATGGCACTTCCTCAACGAATCAGAGGCCGCCTACGTGGTAGCTACGATCGAGAACGACCGATCAGACGTCTACATGGAGCCATTCACGTTGAAAGGCTATCTCCGCAGCGGCGCAGATAGTAAGGTCTGGGCATACGCTGCCATGTACATGCTCACCACAGCGAACAGCTACTCGATCGCCTACTTTCTTCCCATCATTCTGGAGGAAAGTATGGGGTTCTCGGTTGCAAAGGCCCAGTGTCTGGTGGCTCCTCCGTATGTTGCGGCGGCGATAGTGATGTATACGCAGGCGGTATATGCCGATAAATGGCACCTGAGAGGACCGATCATTGCTGCGAATGCTGCTATGGGGCTGGTTGGACTCGCTCTGCTGGGATATCTTAGTGAGTCGGGGCCACGGTATTTTGGTGTCTTTCTGGCGACTATTGCTGGTGAGTATCCTTCCCCTGTTGGTATTGTCATCGTACTGATGTAAGGATAGCCAACGCGAACTGCCCAGCCTTAGTCTCATGGCAGAGGTATGACCATTTCTCTAATTATCCCACTCTTCCTATATATAACATTAGTTACTAACACGATTAACAGTAACAATGTCCGCGGCCAATGGAAACGCGCCTTCACATCCGCCACCCTCATCGGCGGGGGCAGTATCGGCGGGATCATCGGGACAACGGTCTTCAGGGCCCAAGATGCCCCGAATTATAGGCCCGGGTTATTAACCACTATGATCGCTAACGCGCTGGTTATCGTAGTTGTGGCAGGACTCAGCTTTAAGTTCTGGCGGGCGAATCGGCGGGTTGATCGTGGGGGGAAACCGATCGAGGGGTTGGCTGGGTTTAAGTATACATACTAGATGGAGTTATTGGGTATGGAAGATAGGAAAGGGACTACTGCATGGATGCTGTTGTTCTAGGTCAGCTGTAGAAGGCTATATATGGCGTATATCATCTTATGGCTATAGGTGGTGAACAAAGAAGCCGCTAATACATCAGTTCTACATCCTTGTCCCGGTTCCCGATGTCATTGGTTCATTTACCCATCTTATTGATGATAGACTCACCAGGCATGCTTTCGTGCCTAGCATAATAATATTATAGTGCTTACAAGGAATAAAGTTGACCGTCAAGTATAACCTGAGATGACAAACAGCGATTCACTGGCTGGCCCCTGTCTGTACCACATTTTCATCCTGTTCACTCATCACCCCTCCTTTGGTTTGTCCCAGTCCGGTATATTTCAATTTTACTACTAGTATACATAACTCCTACCTCTGCCTCTCACAACTCCTCGATATATGTCTCAAAACCTCAAATGCCTGACTCTGACATCGCCTTCCATTCTACATCTCGTGGAGTCTCTCCCTCCCAACTCCTACTTCCCGTATCACACCCCTCTATATCAAACTCCTACTTCATCCACCCCCCCCCCCCCCCCCCCCCCCCCCCCCCCCCCCTTATACCCCCTGACTGATATGCCAGTGTCACAACCCGTCAAACATTGTCCCCCTTACGTTAGTTTCTCAGTCCTTCCGGCCTCGTGTCACAAACGGCTATGGCATGTGTAGGAAGCGATAGAGTTTGAAATAATACTTTCTTTCCGTTGGTGTCCTGCACAAAGATGCGGAGAGTCCGTGAGGATAGAAATATGCATGTAGTATTCCTTGCAGTCATGGCCCATGGCCTAACTGACATCACCGTTCTTTATCTGGACACCTACATTTATCTATATGATGAGCGGAAAGATATTACACATATCAAGGGGAACGATATCTACTGCACTTCAAATCCATCTTTATTGATCGTCGCCTGTAAGGAACAGCAGAGGTTTCTTTTAGTGTAACTACATTTTGTCGGTCATGTCCATGAATCAAGGTAATCGCTCTGCCCTTCTACTTGGTGCTCGATGCAATGGTGAGTTTCTCCCCCAACAAGTACCAAGAGAAACTAGAAGCTGTTACTGTAGTAAATGAACTTTGTCATGTGAAGGTTCGTTTATATAGCCTTGAAGGTTAGTACACGTGTAGACCTATTAAAGCAATGATAAGTGTAACTGAGATTCGTTACAGACTAGCATAGAGTTCTCATTATGGCAATCTCGCATTGGTCTTTTAGATTAGTCTCTTCCTTGAAATCATTTTGAACGTTCAATTCCATCCTATAGCAAATCCAGCTGGTTTCGTTGGAAAATAGTGTATATGCCTATTGATCAGAAGTGCAGACAGTTTGAGCAGCAGTGTAATTTCACCGAAGACAGAACAGTGTAGGAGATGTATTCTCCATCTCGGAACGAAGAGGATCCGGCAGAGCTTCCCCTCGATCTGAAATGCCCTCAACATACGCCCGCCCAATCACCTTGAAGTACTGGACTTCTTCACCATCCACAAGCAGCTCCTCTGGGATGGGACGGAGAATAAACACTTGGGCGATTCCACAGGGGATGACTAGAATATCACCCTTTTTAATCTCACAATCGGTTAAGCCAATACTATCTCCAGCTGAGGTGATCATGTGAAACCATAGCTTTCCTGTAAGTTGAGCAGCAGAGAGGTAAAGCGTTGAAAAAGACCCCTTCGTCACCTCCTGGTACTCTTCAAGCTTATCCAGGAGCGACATTTTCATAATCTCATAGAAGACATTAAGGTGAACGATCTCGGAGCATCCAGTGTAGTAGTAAGCAGCTTTTATTGTCGTATCGTATATGTTCGGGAATCTGTCCTTGCCATGCTTCTTGAAGGCTTTGGCAATCAGCTGTACCTGGTCTAGACAGCGGGAGACATCTGAATGAAGCACCAATGAACCAGTGCTAACGCCTACTTTCCGACACCAGAGTTTGAGAGTCTGCATATTATCTGCTATTATGGGACCATGATTTTTACTTTGCTTCCAGAGAGCCTTGTCCAGATTCATTGTCTTGGAGAAGCTTCTCTGCATCTTTTCGCGATGTTCCGGATCCGTCGTGGTGAAGTCCAAAACCCATGAAGGGAGTGACTCGTGTTTATTAACAGAATTGAAGCAGAAATCAAAGTCATTAAATATCTTCATATTGACTTCGTGTCCCAAAATAAATGATGTTGTTTCATGGTTGACCCGGCTGGTGGTCTTTCGATAGTCGGGAGGGTATGTTTCCCTAGCCACAGGAGAAAACCCATATAACGCATATACTTTGTCAAGTTCATTGCTGCATTGCCGGCCCATCGTAAGTGATAGCAAGTCGCCAAGCCCCGATAGACGCGGGGTATATGGATTGAGGTGCAGAATATCCTGAGGGATATTACTCACAAGTGTGTCGAGTTTTTGTTGAAGATAAAGCAAGAGCATAATGCTCCCGTTGGCCTGACACCGCTCATATGGATATCCGATGGGTGGTCCGTTTGAAGAGATGGTATCAGGGGTGAGCCTGCTTCTGGCAACCGCTACTTCATCGTGCAGTCGATTAAATATGTTCCCTATGGTGAAAGTCGATTTTTCATGCATGCAGACAGGGGCATTTCTTGAGAGATGCCACTCTTGGAATGTCCATAGCCGATGCCAATACGGCGAGGAGCACAGTGCATTAGCAAGTCTCACCATCCTGTCTGTAGCTTGAGCAATATGAAGAAGGCCTCTTCTTTCAAGATAAAACCCATTTCGGTTGGCATGATACCACTCAATGAGCTCCAGAGCTTCCGGCGTCAGATCCCCCAACCAAGCAACCACCGACCTAGCATTCGAATAGATTTGATACATCAAAGCAACCTGCGAGTTTCGCTCCGAGATATCGTTCTGGTTGATGCAGACATAATCAACCCACACCGTGCGTTCTGAATTAGGCTGGCGAAGTCTCCGCAAGAAAGCATGCAGATTTGGTGTTACACCGACTAGACAATCATCAACCGAGATGTCAACGGTCACAGAAGTGTCGCCCCATACGTAGGACAGAGCGTCAAAGTCGCAGGTGTCGTTGAGAGACACGGTATGGAGCGATCCACAAACAGGGTTCTCGTCATTCTCGTCGGGAATGATAGTTAAAAGACGGATCTGACTGGCACTGGGATCCAACTTGTCGTATGATGTTGAGACATTCACTGCAGCCAGGCAGCTGTCAGCTGATCCTTCGCCTCTTCTTCCTGCGTGGCCTCTGACCACCACCTCTTCCAACACACCAACCATCTTCTTGAGATCTAGATAGATCAAATCCATATATTCTTGACCCTTCGTCTTGACATATGACAACGGCATCATGAAGCTAACTCAATCTTTGGTGGAAGCAACAGGCTCAAAAAGAGATGATGCTTGTACTGGTGTATAAGATTCTCAAGTACTCGTTGTAGCTTGGGTAGTGATCGGGTATCCCCTACGAGCTGCATTCGGGTCGATGAATTTGGAGTGCACCAAACGTGATGACGCGGCGCTAATGCTGCAAGGCTGACACACTAACCAACTACTAGAGAACATTTTCTCGAGGAGAAGTAGCTGTCCCCCTCTTCCTGATGCACTGCCTTCGTTGATTGCTTGAGCTTTTCGAATGTCTGCGGATTCTATTAACTGGACTGCAACCCCAACACCAAGGACGGAGGGATGTATCGTAGATGAGACGCTAATGATCTTTACAACTATCAGGATTCGAATGTGATTGCAGCGTCGTTGCATACGGGCATGGTCTTGACAGATATATTCAGGAAGAGTGGAGCGGATCCGGCGAATTTGCCTATGTATACGGGTACCTCTCCCTATTTTATCATGTATGGATAGAGACTGATTGTTTAGTAAATCTATCCGCCGACTTTATGGTGTGGTTGGCGAGTCCGGAGGCCGCGTTCTTCAATTGGAAACAAGTGTGGCAAAATTGGGATGTGGATGAACTGAAGAAGTACTAGAGTGGGAAAATTAAAGATGGTCAGGATATGATTCCTTGGGTATATAGATGGCCGTTCTCGAATTTATGAGCTGTCAGAAAAAATAGTTACCCCAGATATATATATATATTGTATTTCAGATGGGAGTGATCAGTTTCTTGTATCATTACTACCAGTGATGAAGATAAAGTGCCCCTAATATAACATATGCCTAATCTTCTCATTGAATAAACAGAATAGAGTAAATTTTAATCCGTCAACAGACCTCTTGACGCGTACCAAGGCACGTAGTTCTGCACCAGCCTACACACCCCAACAACAGCTGACTTCAATAAAGCGATCAAATTCACAACTAGATGGATGAGGTAATTCTATAGAGTTAATGCCATTACAATATTTACTTCTAGATAAACAAGAAAGGAAAGAAAATGATAGCAATCAACACTCCTATTATTCTCGTAAACATCTCGTCTACTACATATACATATCTACTGCTATAAATTCCTTATCGATAACCCGATAACGGAACAACCTTCCTCCCCCATCCCCACAACGCTAAACCCAAAGCATGCCTAGCGTCACCAAATCTCCCCAAAAAAATATTCCCATTGATTTGCAGCAAAGTTCCAGCCCGCAGCTTTGCACCAGACCAACTCACTCCAATTCCACCACAATCACATCTCAGAACCCATCATGCCTAAGCGCAGCAAGCTCCTTCAAGCTCTGGACGAGCACCGCGGTCGCGACTACGAGGCCGAGAAGCAGAAGAAGCTCGTCAAGGCGGCGAAGAAGAAGACTACCGCTACCAAGGGTGAAGATGTGAAGGAGGCTGTTGTTGAAGATAAGAAGGAGGAGAAGAAGGAAGAGGAAGTTGAGGAGGAATCCGAAGACGAAGAAACCCCCGAAGAAACCCCCTCCGACGCCGAAGAAGAGGAAGAAGAAGACGACGAAGAAGCCGAAGAATCCGACATCCCCCTCAGCGACCTTAGCGACGACGAACGCGAAGACGTCGTCACCCACCAACGCCTCACAATCAACAACAGCGCCGCCATCACCAGCAGTCTAAAGCGCATCTCGTTCCTCACCCCCGCGACTCCCTTCTCCGAGCACAACAGTCTCGTATCGCAGGAACCGATTGAAGTGCCCGACGCCAACGATGACCTGAACCGCGAGCTGGCCTTCTACAAGGTCTGCCAGGCGGCGGCGATGACGGCGCGGAGTACCCTGAAGAAAGAAGGTGTGCCGTTTACGCGACCCGGCGACTACTTCGCCGAGATGGTGAAGACGGATGAGCACATGGGCAAGATCAAGAAGAAGTTGTATGATGAGGCGGCGGCGAAGAAGGCCGCGGCGGAGGCCAGGAAGCAGCGCGATTTGAAGAAGTTTGGAAAGCAGGTGCAGGTTGCGAAGTTGCAGCAGAGGGCGAAGGAGAAGAGGGAGACGTTGGAGAAGATTAATGCGTTGAAGAAGAGTATGTTTATCCCTTGGTTTCTTTGGGGGAGTTGGCCTTTGTGGGTTTGAGAGTGGTTGCTAACTGTTTGGGTGTGTGCAGAGCGCAAGGCTGATACTGGCGGCCCTACTGATGATTCGTCCAACATGTTCGATGTCGCTATTGATGATGCTGCTCAGGCGGGTGGTCGCAAGCGCGGTCGTGATGCCGAGGGTGGTCCGTCGATGAAGCGCCAGAAGAAGAATGAGAAGTTCGGCTTCGGGGGTAAGAAGCGCTTTGCTAAGAGCGGTGATGCTGTCTCTAGTGGTGATATGCGCGACTTCTCGGTCAAGAAGATGAAGGGTGGTCCTAAGGGCGGTGGTGCCAAGCGGCCGGGCAAGAGCAGGAGGGCTGCTGCTAAGGGTCGTTCTTGATTCCATTCGCTGTAAATTTCTTTTGATGGTTTATTTTTTTGCTCGATACCGGTCAGGGTTATAAAAGCAGTGTTTCCATAGACAGTTTGATTTGTATATTGATAATCATGGAACGGTGACTGTCTATCTAGCTGAACCTGAGTAGGGTACTTCATTACGCTGGTATCTCTGGTATCACATCATCATATCTCAAGAAGCAGAATCCCACCCGCCATGTATCATGCCATCTCAACGCCGCTAACCTGACTCCGTGATGTGCTGTGAGCTGCGCACCTAGAGAAATGTGAGTATGACATTAAATACAGAAACAATAAGCAACATACCGTGGCAGACTGCACACGCACATCATCTGTCTGCACAGAAATTGTATCTAGTTTGTAGGATCTCATTGTATGTCCTGATTATGTCTTCACTCCATTAGTGAAAGCGCCATCCACCGGATGATCGGTATCGAATGCGCCCATCTCTCTGATGCGACTAAGGAGATTGTCAACAGGAAGTCCAATGTTGAGTCTCTGCTCGGCAAAGACAAGATCGATCTTTGCTTTAGTATCATCTGCATGAGCCAGAGCATGATCTTGGATTAGCTCCTTGCCACGTTTAGAATTGCTCTTGTGGATGACCTTTTCGCAGCCGCGAACGTGACACGTCCAGGTATCAGATGTTACATCGTCTTCAAATGTGGCTTCCAATTCTGATGCGTCTGCGTTCGTCTCACGGTCCGCCCCCGAAACGGATGTGTTCCGGCTTTGAAGCGTCTCTTGCAATGGCGTCTTTTGGATCGGGGTTGAATCGTACAGGAGGGACCGAGTCCTGCGCTTGGCACGGGTCGACAACGGGTCACGAACGAGATCATGGCCGCGGACTTTGCTTGGAGTCTCGAACTCGTCCATTGCGTCTTCGTTGTTATCCGAGTCATCATCTTGGTCATCAACTGCACTCCGTGTTCGTTTGCCGGTCTGCTTCGTGGCAACAGAGCTCTTAGGTCGCAAAACCGACTTGTGGACCCTGCGTCTGCGCAGTCGGGGATGGTCTTCATGTTCACTCTCTTCTCCGGACGATTCATCGTCATCGGAGGGGCGAGGCCGCAGCGGGGTTAGGGTAATCTGCTGAACTCTGTTTTTCTTGGCTGCGGCTTTGAGCTCCCGGTAAATGACCTTGCGAGACCAGTCAAAGTTGTATGTTTTCACCTCGTCCATCATCTCTATGATAGCGTCGGCCCGTGCGGCGACGAGGTCGTGTGCATAGTCAGTACTGTCGATGGCGAAGCGTTCGACGAGGGTGTTGATTAGGAGTTCGAAGGTCAATTGGCGCTTGGCCAAGTATCCCGCTTCTTTGAGATCGAGAATGACCTTGTAGATAGCATCTGCCTGGTCTTTCGATAGCCCAGATGTATCTGGTCGTGCTTCCGCCTCATCCTGGTCCTCCTTCTCGTCCATTTCTTTATCTTCCTCTTGTTCGTCTTCCTCTTCTTCCTCCGACTCTACCTCCTTCGCCCCTTCGTACTGCGCTTTAATCTGCTCATAGTCATCCTACACCATTAGCACCCTTCAAACCACCCCAAGGAACAGGAAAGGACGACATACCGGAAACTTCTCACACAGATGCTCAAAGATACATGTATTGGTCCACTGCACCTCCTCCTCGCCCTTCAACATCCTCGACAGCAGAAAATGATGATGTTTATAAAACACCTCTGCAGAGTCATCCGCATCCTCGCAAATCCCATGCGTATGGCTGACATACTACAGCCAAACCATTAGCAAACAACCATCCACCAAACCCTCACACAACAAACAGAAGAAAATATGGGGGCATACCTCCTCGCACAAATACTCGACACTCGGGTTCCAATTCCTTCTCTTCCTCCTCCTCTTCGACTGATGCCTATCCGCCAGAAAATATAACAAATCTATCGCCTCCACCACATCATTAAATATGGCCTTGTACCCCTTCGCCGGAGATATCGAGAACCAGCCCGCCTTCCCAGCCACCCAGAACCCGACCTCTCCATCATTATGTTGTCCGTAGGCGAAGTGGGTGACGTTTTCGAGGACGATGCGTTTAGTCAAGTATTCTGGGTCGAGCACTAACCAGTAATCAGTTAGCACCACACTACCCCTCCTGCCAAAACTCCAGAAGCAGAAATAAGAAGACAAAAGTGAGGGAAATTACCCAACTTCTCCTGCTCCTCCTCCACCTCATCCAAACACCCCGTCACCTGGACCGGATTCTCCGGCGAGGCAGTCAATAAATTCGCATAGCGGGATTTGCCCGGAACCAGAACTCGAACTTCCGACAGGCTGAACTCTTCCCAGTCGTTTTCGTCGGTGAGGGAGGGGTCTCTGGCGGCCAGGACACTATCTTCGCGGGAGGTCATGGTGGGGACTGCATGTTGCTTTGTTCGGGGGACTGTGTATTCTCTCTCGTTTTGGAGAGGGGGGTTAGATTAGGATAAGAAAAGGCAATGGATAAAGTAGTGGGTAATAGAGGAAGGAAATGAATGAACGAGTGAGTGAGTGAAGAGTAAGTAAGTGAGGGATAGATAGAGGGGAGGGGTGAAGCTGACTGCAGTCACGGCGATGATGCTTGCTGCTACTGCTGCTGCTGCTGCGCTGCTTGCCAGCCGGAGGGCAGTCCGGCAATTACCAGACGATACACGGCTGACTATGTCGAGATTGGGTGCGGAGGTGGACAAGGATACCGGGTAATTACTGCTTTTGGGGGGTGTAAAATACAGACGGGAATCTTTCATGCCTAGACTGGACTAGACTCACTCCGTAATGGGAAACTTGCATGCGGGTAACTTTGCGGAGCTGAAAATATATTTTGGACGACTTCACTACTACTTTCGGTTATTCATTGCACTTCTATTCTTTCGGTTGTGTTCAACTATATCTACAATTGTATCTTTACGATCGCATCACTGAGCTGTGCTAGTCGATCAATTGCCGCTCTCCCTCAATCAAATCCCCCGCCACTCACACTCATCGCTCGCCGATGAGCTTCCGTCAAGCCCTCAGACCCTTCCGTCGCACCATGTCCGGTGAAAAGATCTACGAAGGCGTATTCGGTATACCTCACTCCCAGCATTCCTGCTTTAATTTACCTCCGAGCTAATACCATGGAATGATAAACAGCCGTCCACAAACCCCAAGGCGTCTCCTCCGCCGACGTCGTCCGCACCCTCCAAACGCACTTCAACCCCTCCACGCTCTTCGCCCCCTGGCTCGCCGACGAGCGCGCCCGTCGCGCCCGCGAAAGCACCTACCAGCGCAAGCGCCGCCGCACCCAGCGTCTCGACGTGAAGATCGGCCACGGAGGCACCCTCGACCCCCTCGCGACTGGCATTCTCGTCGCGGGAGTCGGCAAGGGCACGAAGCACCTGAACGAGTTCCTAGGATGCACGAAGCAATATGAGACCGTTGTGCTGTTCGGCGCCGAGACAGATACCTATGATCGGCTGGGGAAGGTGGTGCGCAAGGCGCCCTACGAGCATGTGACAAGGGAGATGGTGGAGAAGGCACTGGAGCAGTTCCGTGGGAAGATTATGCAGAGGCCGCCAATTTTCTCGGCGCTGAAGGTGAATGGCAAGAAGCTTTATGAGTATGCCCGCGAGGGCAAGGAGCCGCCGATTGAGATCCAGAAGAGGCCGGTCGAGGTGACGGATTTGAGGATTGTCGAGTGGTACGAGCCTGGAACGCATGAGTTTAAGTGGCCTGAGGTTGAGGCAGAGGGGGAGGAGAAGGCTGTTGCGGAGAAGTTGTTGGCGAAGGAGGATGAGTTGCCGATTGTGGAGAGGGAGGTGGATGGTGAAGGAGAGGCCTCTGCGAAGAGAAAGTCCCCGCCTGCGGAGGATGCTAAGGAGGAGAAGGTAGAGGGTGGTGATGCTGAATCTGCTCCCTCGGCTAAGAAGCAGAAGGTTGCTGATGGCGAGGCTGCGCCTGTTGCGCCGGCCGAGCAGGAAGCGTCGGATGCTCCCAAGGCTGAAGCCGAGGAATCCTCGGAATCCAAGCCCCAGTCCCAGCCTCAGCCGGCTGCGGTGAAGATCACCATGACGGTGTCTTCTGGCTTCTATGTGCGCTCCTTGGCGCACGATCTGGGCAAGGCGGTCGGAAGCTGCGGGCTGATGTCCTCGCTGATCCGGTCTCGTCAGGCTCAGTTCGAGCTTCACCCGGACAAGGTGCTCGAGTACAAGGACCTCGAGGCCGGCGAGGAGGTCTGGGGCCCCAAGGTCCAGCGATTCCTCGAGGACTGGGAGGAGAAGCGACTGGCTCGGCCGTCGTCTCCGCGTTCCCCGAAACAAAACTAGTCAGTAATAGCTACTGGGCCGGCGTTGGGAGATGTAATAAAACGTTCGCATGTTATTCTTGGATGAAGGATGAGTAGATGCTTGTCAAGTCCTGATCGGAACCAGTGTTCCAACTTGCTCGGTCAGCGAGCATGTCTTAAGACTACAATCCCAGACATTAACGGGACTGCCCTGCTGACAGTAGAACAACCTCGTTGTCTGGACAATCCACGCCACGCTATTAAAGAACCAACCGCCAAATGCTGCTAATGTCGACACGAACAATCCAAGATCCAACATTTTACACAGAGCAAGCCGACAGAACATCATGCCTCTCACTAACAAGTCCAACAAAAAGGGGATAGAAGAGTAGAATGTGATGGATACAAAACAGTGGGTAGAAGGAAACCGTTTTGAGGGGTATACCGCTGAAAACACCGGATGAGGAAGGAAATGGAGGAAGGAATGCGCAATATATGCATGGTCAAGGAGAAGGAAAGGCACAAGCTCTATGCAGTAGATCAAGGCTAGTGAGAGACGGTCTGGTAGGTGCTGTGAGCGTCGCGAAGCGCTGTACCCAGTTAGTTACCATCCACTGAACATAGCGGTGCAAGCGACTTACTCTGAAGCACAAAGGTCTGCCCCTGTCTCGACTCGCAGGCGCACTGAAGAGTGTTGCCGTCCAGGAAATCCAGCAGAATGCTGTTGGGCAGCTCCTGGCGGTCTTCGTCCGGCAGGCACGGAGTACGGAACTCGGACAGATGATACCGCTTGACCAAGTTGCGGTTAGTGGAGTCCAGATTGCCAGGTGTCAGAATCAGATAACCCTGGTCATCGATTCGGACAAACCGACGCTTCCACAGGAGAGTGTCGGGAAACTGTACATTGACCTCGCCAATATCGATCGCCGGAGCCACCTCCGTTGCCCTCGAGACGGGCCTCTCGGGTTCCTCAAGCTTAATGGGGACCACATGGTCATCTCCCTTGATAGGGTTTAACACACCAACAACGCTCTTACGGGAAGTGATAGAGGACATGCGGCGCAGAAGTCGCGTCGCACGGGATTCTTTCTTCTCATCGGGGGAGGAGGGCGCATCGCCAGATGACTTGGCGGGTGATGCCACCTCTTCTTCTTCTTTGATAGAGGTGGGGGTGGAAATTCGGCTCTCCGGACGCTGTACGGACACGGAGGATTGCTGGTCGGATCCAGCAGAGGACGGAGGCAAGGTATCATCTTCCGACTGAGTGATTGTAGGTTCTGTTTGCAAAGTCAGAACAGGGAGCTCTGTAGTTTCCTGTTCGACGGTAATTTGGCTGGGTTGTAGGTTGAGGACGGCCGGCTCGGACGGGTCGGCATTCGGGTTGGTTTCAGCAGCGGTGGGATCGCGGACAATGCGAGCAGTCACAGAGACCGAGCTTGGGGAGCGCGAAAGGCCAGGACCAGCGAGGCCAGGGCCCGCCTGTGAGCTAGGTCGTCTCACGCTCGATGACCGCGAGAAGGATTCAGGGGCGTATGAGAGAGGTCGGGGCATGGAAGGTCCCGAGTAGCCTTTGCGGAGGGTCTCGAAGGAGGCCGCAGACGGAGCGGCGAGGGTTTGGCCGTTCATTGATGGGGCGTCGCGACTGTTGGAGAACTTCTCCAATGCCTTGATGCGGCTGGAGATGCCCGACGAGACGTTGATCTTCCTCGCCACCAGGACCGGCCCGTTCTGTGAACCAGAATCCGCACCCGTCGTCGAGACGGAACGGCCCACGGCTATGGTCGACATGTTGGGGGACTGGTGTCCAATGGCGCTGGGGTTTGAAACGGCACGAGAATTCCTCCACGCATCAGGTGAGACGTTGCCGTTGCTGCTGTTTGAGTAGCCCGGGGAGAGGGGAGAGACGCCCACAGAGATGGGCTTAGCCTCCTCAACCGTGGCACTGGTCAATTCTTCCATGAAGGAGTCGTCTGAGAGAAGGTTCTCGTCATCCGAGTAGTCGGGAGTTGGGACTTGAATAGGTTCGAGGTATGGTTTGCGTTTCTCCTTTCGAGACGTGCTGCGCTGTCGCTCCACATTCGAGGATTCAGGGGTCAAGTCATGCTGCGGCTCCGTCGGAGGGGGAGCGGCGATCGACAAGGAATTGGGGGTGAAGGTGGCTGCTGAAGGATGGTGGGGGAAATCGGGCCGAGCAGGCGACTCGAACAGATCGGACTCAGTCACGTCTGGCGTGCTGGGTTGGTGGTGGTGGTGATGATGGAGGGCCTCTTGTTCGCCAGGAACAACAGGATGGGGGACTGGTTTTGGTGGCGAGGGGCCAACAATCTCTTCGTCCGGAGCCTTTCCAGAATTGTTCTCGAGTGGAGCGGCGATGGCGCTAGGCAGCCTAGTCGGGGAGCTGGGGCCACCCGAGACGCCGCCGGAATTGGATGCGCCCAAGTCCCTGTCGCCCGCCTGCGTTTCAGATCCCGAACGAGTGGGTGTCGTCGCCTGAAACTCATTACTGCTGTTGCTCAGGCGTGCCGGTTGGCTAAGGGAGTGGTGGCTGCCCGAGGGTTCAGGGGAATTAGGAGTAGTACGGCCGTCCTCTTCTTCAGCCCCCTGATGACGGAGCATGGGCTGCAGGGTTGGCTGAGTTTCGGAAAGGGGCTCCTTGTTCGGCCCTGCCAAGTGGGCCATTCGGTCATCGCCCCCATCGTGCTTCATTTTACTTGGTATATGACCGATGTTCTCCTTGTTTTCGGTCATATCAAGCCCGGACACCTCACCCTTCTCCGTCGTGGAACTGTTCTTCCCCTCCTTTGCTTTTTTCTCCATCTGCGTCTTTCGCATCTGGAGCGCTTTCATCAGCCGCTCCTTTTCATTGGAAGTGGTGGACGAAGACAGCGCGCTCAGTGACTTGGCACCGGGCGATATCTTGGGCCGCGAGATGGGCATGGAAAAGGGAGGCACCAGTAACGGAGGCACGGCCGGCACTCTACTGGCGACGGGGGTCCCGTTGCCTCCGGAAGATCGAGGTCGCGAAGGACTGGGATTGGACTTGCGCAAGGATGATGACCGGACACCGGCAGGCAAAGATGCCACTGGCCGCCGTTCAGCGCTTCGAGAGAGGTTGCCCGCAGTCCGAGGGCGTCCGCTGCCATCTACGGAAGGCCGAGGACCCAGCTTTACCTTGGCTTTGTATCCGGCACGCTCCAGGTCACGGACGGAAGGTCGGGCGGACTGCGAAGATTGGCGGGGCTCCGACGGAGCATAAGATGAGTCTTCTCGAAAGTTCTTATAGGAAGGAGCCCGCTCCGATGTGGCCACCGATGAAGACCGCTCTCGAATGGAGGCGTTTTCGGAAGTTTTCGGGGTTGGTTCGTTGCCGACTGGTGATTGCTGGACACTCGACACCACTGATGGGGGAACCACGGTGGCTTCAGACAGCTGACTGAACGATCTCTGGCGCGGCATTCCATCGGCCGCGGACTGCGCCTGGTTCTCGTCCTTGCCTACGGTAGTCTCTTCGGCATCTTCCGCGATCTCTTTCAATCGGCGACGGCGGAGGGAGCTGGAAGAGGAAGTGATCGAACCGGAAGCAGTATGCAGTAAGCATGCGGAGGACAATGCGCTCTCTGTAAGTTCCGATGGCTGCGTCACCGAGAATACCGTATCATGCGGGGAGAATTTGTCTAGGACCGATTGGAATTGGACCGTCGTTCGGGCTGCAGGAGGATGACGAGGTCAGTGGGATCTCTAGCTTGTCGTAACCATGACGGAGAGAGAGGAGGGCTCCACCAACCTTGAACGAGGCGGGACATGCCCTCTGGCAGATAGCTGAGGACGACTTTCCGTCGCCGATATTGTAGGAAGCCATAGAGCGGAGACTTCTCCTCGTAGCCGTCGATCGCGTTGCGCACGTCGGGCACCCCGCCGGTGCCGCGATCAAGGAGAGCCACCTCATCCCTTGATACATACCGCAGGAGAAACCTAGAAGACACCAAGCCATGCGCATTAGTGAATTGCCGATGCGATTGGGTTGCAATGGCCACCCTTGCAACGGAGGACCCGAAGGTGCAGGGTATAGCCGAGACACACGGACTAGTACTTACCATCCACCGGCCTCGGTGAGCGCGGTCTGGTAGGCATCGATGACGGTGGGATTATCTAGCCCATTGAGCGACATGACGGGAACTGCATTGGAGGCAGATGCCCAGGACCGCGCGACAGATCACGATTAAAGTGATGATGATGAACGATGGGGGGGAGGGGGAAAAGAAGAAGAGGAGGGGCGAGAGGAGAAAAAGAGGGGAAAGGGAGGGTCTAGCGGAAAGTCAGGATGTAAGGAAGCAAGCAAAGCAGCGCGCCGCCTCGATGTGTGAGTGTGATGGCAGAGAGCGAGAGCGAGAGCAAGACACACACTCTCTCACACACCAGCGGTGGACCGAGATCAAAGACGGGCGGGACACACTAAGCGGGATGGATTGGATTGAGAATCAGATACAATGTATAACTAATTCCTTCTGGTGAACAAGACTGCTGATCCATCCGCAGAGACGGCCGAGGGACCGAGTGGTGACTGACTTGCCCACGAACCTCTCAGGAGTTCAGCTGGGCCTGACCGTTCAGGGGCTGCTTTGGAGATGGTGAGTGATGGTTGGTTAGTCGAGGGAGGGAAGTGGGTGGGAAAGTGGATGCCCGGCTGCCTCCACTTTTCAGTTACAGTCGAAGAAATTCAAGTTGACAATTCCATTCGCTTGGGCGAATGGAAAAGAAGGCAAAAGAAAAAAAAAGAAATCTTGAACTGAATACTCAGGGAAAGTCAAGTAGATTATTCTCGATATTAATGTGTGTCTCTGGTCTCCCTCTCATAAATCAGGCCATTGACAAGTGGACTACCGGCTACTACTACTTGGAGAAGTTGTCCCTGAAGGCACCAGGTGAGGATCCAATAATGACGCCGCAGAGGGAAGTCCGACCGTGGGACTATTGGATGAACCAATTTCCATTGACTGACTCTCAGGACTGACTCTCAGGTACCGACTTAGTTCTCTTTCCTCCCCCCACGGTCGCGTATACATTACATTGTAGACTCATTGTAGACTAGTTTCACTCACCTCGGCACCAGACAGCCGGCGTGAACGGGAGGAGGAGGAGCAGGGATGCGGGCTGCCTTTGTCTGCAGGTGCTTTATTTTTTTGGTCGCTGCCAGGGCCGTGCGACTGATCCTTGCTATAACTACGGAGTACTACTTACTTACTCGTGGTGTAATATTGCCATTCTAAATACAGCGGTCGTACACGACGGTATGGTGATGATTACACCGTACACCCGCTAGGCTCAAAATCGGTCAGGATTGCATGCGATCGTCAACTGCTAATTATCCAGGCCCCAATATCTATCGCTGAGAAATTCTCCCTGATGGAGTCTTATCTGGTTGCCCACCCAAACTTTATCCTACCTTACATTGCGACTATCGATGGTCAATCCGATTCTTGTCATCGTTTCCTCCCCTCTTCCTCCCCCCAGATTCTCCATCCCTCGCTAGGGAGTTCGGAAGGTCGGGGTCTAGAACACCGCGGAGATTCTAAGGATGTCCGACCGTGTCGTCAGCCTGCAATGCAATTCTAGTTAACGGATGCTGATGAGAAGTTCAAGCTCATTGAAGCTCTTGTCCGTGCACCTTTAGTCTCAGGTCAAATGGTTGCGAATAAAGCCAACCCCTCGTTGCTATTGAGATAGATCTCTCCCACAATATGATGGGGGTGGATGAACTGTCCGCATCTGGAGGTCTCCGTCCCGCTGGCTCTCCATCACTCGGAGGCTGCCGATGCGGGGACTCATTGAAGCAGCATATATCCATCAACCTCCCAGTGTAACTATCACTGTGTTGTTTTTTTTTTTTTCCAAAGAAAATCGATCAAGATACTCCTGCTCGGAATATCACCTTCAGCTCGTAATTTTTGTCAATTATCCTCCCACGACTCCCCGCTCATCATGTCCTCCGATCTCCCCTCACCATCGTCAATTACATCACTCCCGCAGGAGCAGCAATTCCGCGTCCTGGATACCCTGTTCGAGTCGTCCCCTGAGCTGCATACTCTCATGGCCCCCGTTCTCGCAAACCAGACATTCTCCTCCTACGCCAATCTGATTGATGCTGTTGGCGGTCGCATGTCTGCTCTGTCGGCTGCCAACTCGTCCAAGGACCGCGATATTCTAGTGGGCATCCTGGGATCGCACCCCCGCCTGGGACAGCCCAAGGGAGCCCCGACAGAGCACTTGAGCGAACTGAGCAAAAAGGAACAAGCAAATTTGAATACCGGAGCAGAGGAACAAGCGGAGAAGCTGAAGCGTATGAATGCTGAGTATGAGCAAAAGTTCCCTGGCTTGCGGTTTGTGTATGTTCTCTCAGTATACCCAATGACTTGTGTTGGTCTGACATATCTCCCTGGCATAGTACTTTTGTAAACGGTCGCAACCGGGATGTCATTATGGAGGAGATGCGTGAGAGGATCGACCGGGGCGATGCCGATCGTGAGGTGGAGGAGATTATACAGGTGAGATGGCTGTCTACCCAAACATGGAGCAGTGCTGACAGTTCGCTCTTCCAAAGGCAATGTGCGATATTGCAAAGGATCGGGCGCGGAAACTGGAGCAGTCCGCTAAGATATAATTCGCATCCTGCAAGCATATATTTGAACAATGAATACCCTTCAATTTCAGCAGGCGCTGAGACCTCTCCTTGTAAAATCCCTGCTTTGCAACGCACATTTCGGTCCAAACAATTTATCTATGGAGCAATCTGCATGGCACTTGGTGATTCCATTAGTATAAGGTGACCAACTAGTGCCGGCGAATTATGGGAAGCCTGCCTTGTCTTACGACCGGACGATCTTCCGTCCTCAGAACGCGTGCTACCAGCATTTTCAAAGTATGACAGTCCGGATTTGGTTTACTATCGATGGAAAAAATGCCTTCTCTATGGGATCCCTAGCACTCGGCAGGCCAGCTTGTGAGACAACCCGGGAGGTCAGCCATTATTAGACCAATGAGAGCCGGCAAGTTGGAGAGGTTGTACTTCGACAATGTTGGACAGCCATGCAACGTCGGACAGTAGCTTTGATAGGGAAGATCCCAAGGGTGAACCAGGAGGGATAGGGGTAGGTATGGCTGTATCGACTAGTAGTCCCTCTTTCACCCAGAACAAACTTAAGTATATAGAGTAGTAAATGTTCCGCGGATTGCCAATGGCCCAAAATCATCTTTCATCCCATTCACGCAGTAGCAAACATGCATGGTCTGCGCCTAGTCTGCAGCATAGGGGCATTGCCTCTGGCTATCCTGGCATATCCTGCGGCTTCATTACATGATACAACTCCAGCATCCGTGGGCTTGGACTCCCTGCGTTTGACCTCTAACTCCGCTTACTTCAATTCTGTCCATGTAAACATGAATATATCAGTCGCAGTGTCCACTGAAGAACATTATACCGATACAGCAGCTCGACTGGTTCAGAACATTGTTCCTGGAGCGAGCTTTCGTCTCATCGATGACCACTTTGTCGGCGACAATGGAGTTGCACATGTATACTTCCGCCAAACGCTCCATGGTATTGACATTGACAATGCGGATTTCAATGTTAATGTCTGCTCCCCAACTACTTTGTCCGGAAGGAAGCTTACGGTTACAGATTGGAAAAGACGGACTGGTTTTGTCTTTCGGACATTCGTTCTTCACAGGCGCGTTGCCGAGCAGCTATTTGGACAATCCCAACGTTTTAAGTCCGAAGGCTGCACTTAGAGGAGCAAGGGACGCTTTACAGCTTCCACTGACTATTGACAATGTTTCTACAGAAGCTGCTGAAGGGCGGAACGAGTACATATTCAGAGAGGCAGTGGGAGCGGTATCTGACCCCAAAGCTAAGCTAGTCTACCTTGTCAAGCCACAAGGGACTCTGGCGCTCACCTGGAGGATAGAAACAGACATGTATGAGCACTGGCTACTGACATACATTGATGCAGAGACCACCACTGTCCACGGCGTGGTTGACTATGTGGCAGACGCGACATATCAAGTATAGTGAGTGGCTCTCCCCATTGAATAACGAAGCTAAGACAACAGTCCCTGGGGCATAAACGATCCAGCAGAAGGACATCGCACCATCGTCACCGATCCCTGGGACTTATCCGCATCCGCATACACTTGGATAAGCGATGGACGGGACAACTACACCACAACCAGAGGCAACAATGCCATCGCACACTGGAATCCGACCGGCGGTGGCTCCTATCTCTACAATCTACGCCCATCCGACCCCAACTTGAATTTCCAATGGCCATACTCCCCAAACATGTCCCCACCCCGATCATACATCAACGCCTCCATCGTCCAACTCTTCTACACAGCAAACGCCTACCACGACCTCCTCTATACACTTGGATTCACCGAATCCGCCGGCAACTTCCAATGGAACAACAGCGCCCACGGCGGCCGGGACAAAGACTACGTGATCCTCAACGCACAGGACGGCTCCGGGTTCAGCAACGCAAACTTTGCAACTCCACCCGATGGTATCCCCGGCCGTATGCGCATGTACATCTGGATCGAGTCCACTCCGTCGCGTGATGGAAGTTTTGACGCGGGAATTGTAATTCACGAATACACTCACGGTGGTAAGCCTCTTCCCAGAAGATTTAAAAACCCAATCTAACAAACCAGTATCCAATCGTCTCACCGGCGGCTCCCACAACGCCGGATGCCTCAGCACCCTCGAATCGGGTGGTATGGGCGAAGGCTGGGGCGACTTTATGGCGACGGCCATCCGAATCAAGCCCAACGATACACGCACAACGTCCTACACTATGGGTGCATGGACAGATAATGACAAACGTGGTGTCCGCGACTATCCCTACTCTACTTCGTTTGCCGAAAACCCTCTGAACTACACGAGCGTGAATACCATGAACGGCGTGCACGCCATCGGAACTGTCTGGGCAACCATGCTATACGAGGTCTTGTGGAACCTCATCGACAAGTACGGGAAGAATGATGGGTCGAGGCCGGTGTTTAGAAACGGGGTGCCTAAAGATGGGAAGTATTTGATGATGAAGTTGGTGGTGGATGGGATGGCACTGTAAGTGATGCACAGAATAGCTTCTTTCACCTTTGGAGTGTCCGTGGTATCCTGACTAATGGACCGAAGGCAACCATGTAATCCGAACTCCGTGCAAGCCAGGGATGCGATCCTCGACGCAGACATAGTGTTGACTGGCGGGAAGAATCGATGTGAGATCTGGAGGGGGTTTGCGAAGAGAGGATTGGGGCAAGGAGCGGCTCATAGTAGTTTAAATTGGATGCGGAGGGGGAGTACACTTCTTCCTAAGGGATGTTAGTCTTGCACAGGTCGTTCTTGGTGAGAGATGAGTGGAGATGCCTGGTTTATTAGAATAGGACTAATTATCTAGCACTAATACAATATCGACAGATCTAAACAGGAAGTAAATCTATAAGTTATCACACGCATAAACCCCATCACCCCCTAGTCTACTTCGAAACAACTACCACACCACCGACATCCTCATCCTCACCAAACACCCCTCCCCCGCATAAGAACCTAAACAACAGCCCTCAACTCCATACTCTGCGCCCCCCTCGCCACACACAACAACAACCCACCCACGAGCAGACTCACCCCCGCGTATATCGACAGCGCAAGAAACCCATACTTCTGCACCAGCGCCCCGGAAATAGGTATCCCAGCCATAGCACTGTACTCCCCGATAAGATACGATTAGCAAACCACCCTTACTCCCCAAGAAGCACAATTTAAAATAAACATAATGTGCATACCTCAAAGCCGTAGCCCCCATAACAACCCCCACTGCCAACCCCACCGTCTTCGGCGTCGCCAACTGCAACGCGCACGCTTGCTGGAGGGAGAGAATAGCCTATCCCATACCCACCCTATTAGCCATCTTCTTCCCACCTTTGTCAAGAGCGAAAACAAGGAAGGGAAAATTATACTCACACCAGAAGAAAACCCATACGCTATCGAGAATACCACTAATCCCGCTACACTCGTCGCCTTCGTCCAACAGAGGGCAACTATCCCTGCGAGAATCGTAAACACGAGACAGACATTGAACCGTCCGTACTTGTCCGCCAGTATCCCCGGGATGACCCTCCCGAAAAGAGACGCGCCGTTCAGCATGGATATGGTGTAGAATGATAACGAGGAGGAAAAGCCCTGCGCTACCCCGTAGCTAGAGACGTAGAAGAAGGGCGAGAACATGCCGAAGTAGATAATGAAGAAGGAGAGGCAGGTTAAGTGGAGGGTGCGGTTTTGGAGGAGGGGGGTTTCTGTATCTTTAGTGGGATCTGGGGATTGGGGTTCGGGTGAGGATTTCTCTGATTGTGGTTCTGGCGGCTGATGTTGGGACGATGGTGGTGGTGGTGGTGCAGCAGGCTGACAACAGAAACAAGTCACCGTAAGCAGCGGCAACATAATAAATCCGACGATGCGCATAGTCCATCCGAACCCGATGTTCGGTTTCTGAAGTAGTTCGTTGACGATGATCGGCCAGAGGACGCCACCGAGGGAAGATCCTCCGATGACGATTCCGACTGCTGCGCCGCGCTTGATCTTGATGTGTTGGCCGACGAGGGCGATCATGGGACAGGTGAGAAGGGATAGGGAGATGCCGAGGAGGATGCCTTGCGCGAGGATGAATTGGTAGAGTTCTTTGCAGAGGGAGGTCATCATGATGGAGAAGACGGAGCCGAGGGAGCCGATGCAGAGGAGGAGCTAGACTTTTCAGTTAGCTGGGGGTTGTATAGTGTTATGTTGATAGTATAGGGTACTGACTCGTGGGCCGATTGTGTCCAGGAGAGGCCCGGATACGACAGATACACCGAAAATGAAGAAGATGTCGATTGCTGCTATCCATGCGATGGTCGATTCGGGTTGGTCTGATAGTTGGTCCTTTTTGTAGTACTCTAGGAAGAGACCGAAGGAGTTCACGAAGCCAACAGTGCAGAACATGCCGCAGAATGAGCCCAGGAGGGTCTTCACTGCTCGCGGCCTGGAAGTTGTTAGTGATATGTGTATGGTTGGGGGGTGGGTGACTTACGTGTATTCGGAGGGAGGCGAGTCAGTAGGAGCATCTTCAGGGTGAGCCATGGTTGCTAGTCAGGTTTGGCAAGGTGAAGCTGAAGATAATGAGCGTACAGTGCAGCTCGATGTGATCTATGGGTTGATGGAAACATGTTTATTGAAAACAGAACCCTGAGCGCATATATATAATGTATTTGAGGGCTATGTATTGACATTATAAACCCCCGGACCCTCCGAGGACAGGGTTTCATGGTGTTGTAGATAGTATGAAGCTTAATGCTCGATGGCATTGGCTCGGACTGTCCGCGGAGCTTCCGGGCGGAGACGGTTAGCCATCAAGAACAACAATCCCACACCTCCGCAAGGAAGAACTGTCGACATTGCTATCCGGCAACGGAGAAATTTGCTCTCTACATCTTGGTAACACAGAAGTGAAGTGGCTGCATGCTGAAATAGTGGCCGATACTCACGTGACCCGTACAAACAATCGTCTGGGTGTTAACCTACTACCAAGACGACAGACATCTTATCATGAAGCGCAAAGCTGCATTCCAGCTGCCCCATACACCCCGACGCGCTCCGCGGCAGGACCCCGTGTCTTGCGACTCTTGTCGGCTCAAGAAGATTAAATGCGATCGCCAGCAGCCATGCAGCAGTTGCTCTGCGCGTCGGTTGACATGCCGTTATGGAAAGCCAGAAGCTGCAGGTACCGCAAGGGTTCAAAAACCACTATTAGCAGCTGGTGTGGAGCGGACATCCCCTCCCAGTAACCCAACTGTGCCTCCAAGAGCCGATAATGTGCCTGTTGAGCCCACTGCAGCTCCATTGCGGGCGTGCAATCGGGAGTCGCTGCTCACAGCGGACTGGCTGGAGAACATTCATATGGCTGACCGGGTACCAACAGCAACCCCGAAATGGCTGCGAGATGGATTAGATGATCCAGTAAGAGGACGCAACTTAAACTTAAACTTAAACGAAGAGACAGGCTCTGCAAGACCCCTACTGTCAATGCCATACATGAATCGATCCGCCATCGATGAGAATCCGGCGTCGATCAATCTGACTACCTTTGTACCCGCGAAATCGGAGGCTCTGGATCTCTTTCGATACTATCATCGTTACGTCGACTATCTCTACCATATAATTGTCCCAAAGCGTGTCGAGGACCAAATAAATGGGATCTATCGTTGTATTGAAAGCAATGCGCCCGTAGATCTCAACCACTTGGCGCTGCTTTTCGGCATTCTAGCCAGCTCTCTATGTCTGCAACGATCCGTGGTGGCATCTACTGATGCAGAAGCGCGCAGCCAAGAGTTTGCCTTTCTCACTGGCGCTGCATTGATTCAAAGCCACTACTCCCTGTCTCCAACTCTTGTGGGCTTGCAGGCAACCATGGTGGTCATGCATAATGTCTCTAACTGGAACATACCACCATCTGTGAGCGGTCTCTTCGTACATGGTGCGATAGTCAGCCAAGCTAAGAGTCTTATGCTGCACTGCATCGACTCCCCGCGCTTTCGAAATGAGAGAGAGGGATGTGATTACGATGCAATAGATCTTGAGGTCAAAAGACGACTTTGGTGGGATTTGACGTCTTTCGACTGGTAAGAGCTATTCGAGTGATGGATGGTAATGGCTGATTAACAATTGCAGGCTACTGGGCTTTCTTACTGGCCCGCAAGAGTGGACGTACCTCATCCAGCCGCACCACATGAACGTGAACCAGCCATTGAATATCGATGATAATGCAATGTGCCACAACATGGTTTCAATGCCAAACTCCACTCCAACAGACATGTCCTTTTTCCTTCAACGCCTGACCCTAGCTGCTGTGAGCCGGGAGGTAGTTGATGCAACGTCCTACGAGCATCTCCATGGCCTGGAGCCAAAATACGAAAAAATCCTCGAACTAGACAGAAAGTTCCATCAAGCGGTGGCGGAGATCCCTGACTTCTTCCGCCTTGATCCATCATCCAGACGACGGTTTGCTTCGCTCTACGAAGAGCGCCCGACCATTGCCTGGCAAGGCTGTCTCCTACAACAAGGCTTCTTCTCCCGCTTATGCCGTCTGCATCGAGATTTCTTCATCAGAGGAGCCCGTGAACCAGCATATTCCTATTCCCACGTGATCTGCCTGCAGTCTGCCCGGAAAGTGCTCGAGATTAAAAGGATCATGGATGGAAACGAACCGAACTATACGCCGCCCAACTCTGTCGTCTGGTCCGTAATGCATCATGTATTCGCTGCCGCTGTGATACTATTACTGGACGTGTGCTTCAATTGGGATGATATACTAGCCGAAAAGCGAAAAGAAGAAGTGCTGGATGCCTGCCGCATGCTGAGCAAGGCACAAGAGTCGTCTGCCCTGGTCAGGGAAGGAATCAATGCAATGATGGGTGTGTTGCAAAAGCATTGGAGAACCGGAAAGCAGGCTGAAAATTCCACTATTATTTCACAAGGGGCGGATGGGGCGCGCTCTCATCCTGGCCCTGCACCGGCTCATGTCCCAGCTCTCAATGCTGAATCAAACGTTATGCCACCACACCTCCCAGCTGTCACCAATGACAATGCACCTCATGAGAGGCAGCTGGAAGATATCTGGACCGAGATGCTGGAGACGGGCAACGATCTGGCTCTGGATTCTGCAGACTGGACGGAACTGTTGAATGAGCTGACAGACCCGGAGCTATCCCGAGGATGATTTATGTACTATTTCTACCGGTCTTAGCCAGACTTTAGAGTGCCGTCCTGCCTTTACTTTCTAAGTAAGGTCTATGTCGCGCAACTTCACGCCGCTATGACGAGAAGTACAATTAAGGGAAATTAATAGAAGCTCTTGTATCATTTTAGCGACGAATGTGGAAGAATTTATTCGGGGGTATGTATACATAAGATACTCTAGGGAGATTCGGCGAATGATCCTCACCCCTAAACGTAAACCTCAAGACAGCTAAACATCTGGCTAAATATTGGCAAATGTTTGGCCCAGCCCTTGCTTTTGCCCACCACCATCCCCGAAAGAAACCGCCGTCAGCATGTCAATCATAGTCGCCCAGGTAACCTCCGGCAGCCTTCCCTGAACCCAATAACCTTCGTGCTCCCCCATCAGGGTGTTATTCCTGCCACCGGGGCATTTGATAGTGCCGACAAAGTCATCTGGGCCCTGCACTCCTAAGAGCTGAAACAGTCGGTAGAAACACACTCCGAGGTCCACGAATAGGGGGGTCCCTCCCGCGCCGTCGAGCTCATACCACTGCTGTTTCGTCCAGCAAGATACCATCACGTGGGGGCTGCGCGTGCCAAAAGAGCGGGGCCGCCAGGGGGTCGTTCCAAGCCGGCGGTGTTGCTCGTGGATTTCAGGGAAACAGGCCGGATGGCGGCATTTAACGATGGTGTCACGGATGAGTTGGGCATGGTGGAGGAGCACGGGGAGGAAATTGGATGAGTGGTCCTTGGGACACGGGGTTGAAGGAGAAGATTTGGATTTGTGCCGAGCAGGAATAGGGACTAGAAACCAGGTGTTTCCCAGGGGACCGGGTGATTGGAGCTGCTGGTGGAAATTCATAAGGAAAGTGAAGTGAGGTGGTGCGGAGAGGGCTTGAGATGTGGCCTTCGCTCGTCAACATAAATGGAAGATGACGTTTCCTATAGCATATACATACCTCGTAGATGAATCCCATAAGCAAATCATGCTCAGTTACTTGTATACCTTCTCGACGCGCCTCCTGCACCCAATGGTCGATGATGCATTGCGGGATGAATAGGCTTTTGTTCACCTGACGTCGAGGCGAGTTGGCTTCGTAGGCGGACCAGAGGATCTGTCGCGCCCCGGACATAATTGTCGGCAGCCAGCCTGCCACTATCTCATGTTGATGGTCTTCGGCTACTGAGTGCGTCGTGCCTGATGCGGTCAGGGCATTCCAGCTATCCATAATATCGGATTTGAAGGCCAAGATGGAGCGAATCGGCGAGACAGTCTGGACTTCACGTCCGGACAGGAAGGCGAAGAAAGAGTTGGCAATCCAATGCATAGCTGTATTGTACATCAAATCAGATAAGGAGTTTGGACCCACAGGCACTGACACAGCGTGGTAAATCGAAAATGAGGAGCAGAAAGAGGGACCAACCTCGTATATCCCCCAGCGTATGCGACATTATGAAGCGGACAGCCCACGCATCATTGAAGAATACTACCCGAATCCTAAGCACTGGTTCACCGCAGATCTCGTCCCAAATGTCTCGGTTGAAATTCAGGCAATCGATTAGGCTGCACGTGTCGAGGAGTTGTACCGCGGGAAGTCCCACCTTCGCTGTTCGACATGGTAGCACCTCATCGAGGTCCTTCTTCAGGGTTCGGCTGTGATAAATCTCTGCGGGATAATCGCTATGGAGGAGCTTGGTGCGCTGTTGGAGTCCAAGGTCCATCAGATCCGGACCTTTGGCAAGGCTGAATATAATAGAGTCAGGGAAGCAGTGACATACCCAAAAGTCCATTCGCATCGCCAGCATAGGATACGTGGCCAATAGCTCTTGCGCAGCTCTCTGGCAATCAAGTGGCTCGGGCTTTGCGCGCACCACAATTGCCAGATGCGCTTCTACAAAGCGAGGCAGTCCCAGGTCTGCTGGGGATAGCTCTACGTCGCTGGTTGGCTTTGCCATGATGCTGATGTGGGACATCGATATATCTCTACACGAGAGGGCAAAAGCAAAGAATTTGGCCCTCAGGAGGTATGAATACCTTCTTTCTCCCTACACGGAATTATAGGAAGGGGACTGACTCTTGACCGCCCCTTCAGGAATGGGCTGCGGCAAGCAGGGGCTGATCGGTGAGAACTTAATTAATGCTGATGGGATTTGGCTATCTAGACTGTTTCTCTCCGTCATCCGCGGAGCATGGATCTATTTTTTGCTTAACAATATCTAGGTGACATCTTCATTCTTCAACCCTAACCCCCCCCCCTAATGCTATTCCCCTTCTTTTCCAAAGCCTACGGCTCCTAACAGCTCTGGACATAAACCTGAGCCCTGGTCGGCAAATCCTTGTTCCAAAGCTGCTCACTTTTGAAGTAATCCGATACCTTCTCGCACCGGTCTTCCGACAAATAGCCCACCAGCGGCAGGACCGCTGTCGTCGCAGCCCATTTGGCGTTATCGTCGACGCATTGCTTCAGTGCCGCCGTTTGTGGAGAATCGTTGCAAAGGTGATCATCGCCTAGGCGATCCCCGCATTTTTTGTTGACATTCTGGAAGACGTCATTCAGGTAGTTTTCGAAGGCAGCCTGCCCCTTCGGGTCATCAATTCCGGTATATTGCGCCCCATCCTGAACAACCTTTTTGATGACCCCTTCAAATACGGCATCCCATTCTGCCGGCCGAGGTTTGCAGCCCCAACTGCAAGTCTCTTGTTCGATAGTTGCGATGTATCGGCTGGGTACGGTGCTCATGGTATCAAGTGCTTCGAGGCAGCGTTGGCCCAATGATAGGGCCTGGGTAGATCCGAGCATGCACAGAATGGGGGTCAAATGTAGGAGGCGCATTATGGTTATTGCCGGTGCTTCTGATATGGAAATGAATGGATTTGAAAACAAATTCGGCCCTTGCTTTCTTTGGAAGGGAGGGAATAAGTGAGACCAATAGAGCTTTAATAAAGCAAGTGAGAGATGAATGGGCGCGAGAGGTCAGCTATATATCTACGTCTTGGTTGTCAAGTCTTGGGTACCGAGACAGGGAGGAGGTACAAACAAATATGTATTGGAGCATTCCCAACTAACTACGGCATTCTCCTTCTTTAGCGCCCTCACCAGTAGCCGAATTACCTTGCGGAAGCCTAGTCCGCATTACTTGAGCAATGAAAGAAGAGAAGTCTACAGGGCCGTCGAAAGATGAAAATCCTGGTCTTCCGCGGTCCGGCTGCCAGTACAGGTTATACATCAATTCCAGCCATCGAAAACTACTTAAGGGTCTTAAACAGCTTGTCAACATGCTGAGGGAACCGAGTGCACCCAACCACCGAGTTAATACGGTACCCGCAGGGTATAGATCATCGGATATGAAATGTGATGTGTCTCTTCATGTTATGTGTGTAGCTTCACCGTGTCCTCGCATGCCCGGGGAGAATAGCAATCAGATTGTTCATCTCGATGTCAGTGCATAATGAAGCAAAATAGAGATGAGGCATAGACACTGAAGATTCGCCTTCAGGCATGATTGAGGGCATATATTGCATGTTATTGTTGTTGCTTCACGGCGGGAGTTGAAGCGGGAGAAATTGCTCTTTAGGGAAGACGTGTACATGAACCCTCTACTTAATTTAATACATTGATTGAGCAAGCTGTGAGGGACTGAGTACAGTCTTAGCTGGTGGTGAGATGTACAGTATGGTATGTTTCTGGAGGCATTTACAAAGCAAGGAGCGTGCCTGTGCGACATCAACGGTTCTTTACCCGGTGCAGTCCCCTGGTATGCCTTGAAGCAGAGCACATGTACTCATATCCAATACCCTGGGAATGGTGACGGGATATATACATATCTATATATATCATACCGAAGGCGTTGACAAGTAGCCCTGCTTTGTGATATCCGTACAGGCCAAGATCACCATGGTTTATGACCCCCTTCATCTTGACCATGTCGACTGGTATCACAACCAAGTCGTCTTTCTAACCGGAGCCACTGGCAATCTCGGAGGATGTATCTTATACAAATTGGCAGTGCAGCTGCCCACAAAGAAGATATACGTACTGTGTCGACGCTCTTTCGAACAGGCCATGGGTAAATGGGAGGCATCCATGCCGGAACAGGTGGAAGAAATCTTCGACTCCGGTAAAGTCCACTGCCTCATTGGTAATACCAACGAGCCCCATTTGGGACTGAAGAAAGCCGATCGGGACAGACTGCAACAGGATGTCACCGTCGTCATCCACGGCGCGGCTTCCATATCCATGTTCCAGGAGCTCCACGAGGCGGTCGAACAGCATTGTTCGGCCATGACGAACATGATCCGTCTCGCATCCCAATTAGCCCACCTGCAGACTTTCGTGTACATATCATCCATCTCGGTCTGCATGTTGCTTTCGGATGGAACTGCTAGGGAACAATTCATGAAGGCATCGGCGGACGAGCCCGACCCCGAAGAACAGGTGGCTTCTATCATGGCAACTCACTCGTCGCCGTATTCCGACCGATTCCCGACCTCCTACAGTCAGGCCAAGTATCTCGCGGAGAGGTTACTTTTTGCCCAGGAAGGTTCCTTTCCCATCCTGGTGGTTCGACCAGCGAGCATTGGGCCTGCTATTCGAGATCCATATCCGCTATATGGTGTTCCTGGTTCCACCCCGGTTGATACAGCTATTCATCTCTTTACACAGAGTGGAGTCTACCGATCACTGAGCGAAACAAGAAAGTTTTCAGAAGAGACAGTAATCGATGAAATCCCAGTGGACCTGACCGCTAACGGATGTCTCCTTCACATTGCCTGCGGGAGCCGTGGCATTGTTCATCTCGGATGCCAGCTGTACATCACTCGAAGTCTGAGTGATTTCATGATCCAATGGCAGAAGTATGGTCCGAAAGATATGGAACTCCGCATCGCCAGGCTGAATAAAGAGCGGAATGGTGCTTTAGCGAGACAGGCCTACGAAGCATTGTATCGCAGTCACCGTGGTTGGTTCTTCGACTGCTCTCGCTCGCAACCCCTCCAAGTCACCGAGGGACCCATCGGCCTGTCGCTTGCCAATCATGACTTTGAGCAGTATGCAAGATTGCGGATGGAAAAGCAGGGGCGGATATGGACACAGCAGATGAAGATATGGGATTCGCATGTTGATTGAAACTATACACCGTTTTCCTGTCCTTGCGTTCAGCTCACACGTTGCATGTAACTGAGACAGGAATATCACATGTCTGATTGATGATTAAGTCATACCTCGTTAGAGCATTTACATAACCCCTGGCACCGTTCGCGCTCAGGGTGATGCAGACCATAAATGAACTACCAATCCCATGCTGCACGCGTTTACCTCTAGGGTTAAGCTGGCAAATGCTTTTGGTAAAGACCAGCAGGCTCCACCACGTGTCGTACAAACAAGGGGCTCGGTAATGTAGGTTTCGAATTTCTATATACTAGGCTTCATGTTTCGGGGGATATAGCCTGCCCTTGCATGATCGGATTGTCGGATTGTACGACCGCTCTAGCGATCCCCTTGCGTAGATCATCGCCTCCGGCTTTCTGAATGATGTATGTGGTAGACAATGTCGGCCCTTTAGCGTCTTCGATATAAACGCACAGTCAGAAGCATCTTGAGCTACGAAAAACTCATCGAACCCTAGGGTACGGCCATGCCTTAATCCGCATCCGAAGGACATAACGCCGAGTTCCACAGTTGTCAGAGTACCGAGGATAGCTTCCTATACAGTACCCATACTCCGAGGCAGACGCCTGGCATGGATCCGGTCACTCTAAATACCTCTTTGTGCCAATCGTGCCGGCATGAAAACAAGGCGCGTACCAAATTGCATCTCCAATGTCTACACGGCCCCGTCCTGAAAGATAGCCTAACAATGTTGCAGGCAAGCACACCAGACCGCAGCCCTCCTCCGATTGCTATCGTGGGAATGGCATGCAGATTACCCGGTGGCGTCAACTCACCCGAAGAATTATATAGATTTCTGCTCGAGAAGAAAGACGGCCTATGCGAAGTACCAAGCACCCGGTATACAATCGACTCGTTCTACAATGCTAGCAGCCGCGGCGCCATTAAAACCCGCCATGGATACTTCCTGCAGGAGGATCCGATGCTATTTGATGCACCGTTCTTCTCAATTACTGATTACGAGGCCGAGCGCATGGATCCCCAGCAGCGACAGCTTCTTGAGGTTGTATGGGAATGCCTGGAAAGCGCAGGTGAAACCAATTGGAAGGGAAAGAACATCGGCTGCTATGTTGGAGTGTACGGCGAGGACTGGCTCGATCTCGCGAGTAAAGACCCCCAAGCCACGAGTCGCTACCATGTCCTTGGAACGGGGCAGTTTGCTTTGGCAAATCGACTTTCCTATGAATATGATTTTCAGGGCCCGAGGTAAGAAGACATTGCCTGTTTCTGCTCTTCCCTTTGGCTGAAATTTGCACTTAGCATGACCCTGCAGACAGGGTGTTCGGCGTCGATGATAGGATTGCACGAAGCCTGTCAATCAATCTACTCTGGAGACAGTTGTGCAGCTATTGTTGCAGGAACAAATCTTATACTTGCACCTACAATGACGGTCACAATGTCGGATAATGGTGTTTTGTCTCCAACTGGGACATGCAAAACCTTTGACGCAAAGGCCGATGGCTATGGCCGCGCTGAAGCAGTCAATGTACTTTATATCAAGGCGCTCCAAGATGCTATACGAGATAAGAACCCCATCCGAGCTATTATCCGCGCAACGACCACCAATTCGGATGGGAAAACGCCTAGTATTACCACTCCCGGATCGAAGTCGCAAGAAGTACTGGTCAGAAGGGCATATGAAAAAGCGGGTATTGAAGACATAGGCCAGACGGGCTTCTTTGAATGCCACGGAACCGGAACTGTAGCCGGAGATACCGTCGAAACTTCGGCTGTCGCGAAACTCTTCAAGGGTAAGGGGGTAGTCATCGGAGCTGTTCGTAATTCTTTCCTTCTATCAGTGTTTGCCGGACTGTGCTAAGGAAAAGTAGGTGAAGCCTAACGTGGGTCATAGTGAGGGGGCATCCGCCATCACCAGCATTATTAAAGCGGTTGTCTCCCTCGAGAACAAGACAATCCCCCCAAATGTATTCTTTGATACACCCAATCCCGACATCCCTTTCAAAGAAGAAAGGCTTCATGTGCCCCTTGAGCCTATGGCTTGGCCTGAGGGACGCAGCTACCGGGTCAGTGTGAACTCTTTCGGTATTGGCGGCGCCAATGGCCACGTTATCCTCGATTCCAGCTCCAGTTTCCACGGAAAAGTTACATCCCCGCCGGAAGGGTCTCTGGACGAGAACTCTCGTCTTCTTGTTGTATCTGCGGGAAGCGCAGAGAGCCTGCAGAAGCGGATTGAACAGATTATAGAGCACGCTAATTCAAATCCGTCTATACTTCATGATCTGGCTTATACGCTTGGCTCTCGACGAGAACATCTATCGCATCGGGCATTTACAGTGGCCCAGCAAAATGAACCAATATCTTCATCGAATTTCCAGAGCGCGGTGGGTGTTACTCCGGAGTTGGTTTGGGTATTTACAGGCCAGGGAGCCCAATGGGCTGGAATGGGGAGGGATTTGATTAGGGCCTTCCCCATTGCCAGTGACTGCATCAGGCAGCTTACGAAGACGCTTCAGCAGCTACCTGATGGGCCCAGCTGGTTGTTACAAGGTGACTTGCCCGTCTCCCTACCCCATAGTAATTATATAAATGTGAAGCCGATCTAGCTAACACAAACAGAGGAATTGAGCAAAGAGGGCAGGGGAAGTCGAGTCAATGCAGCCGAGTTCTCGCAGCCTCTCTGCACCGCTCTTCAGATTGCGCTGATTGATGTACTACATAGCTGGGGAATCAGGCCATCCTCCGTTGTCGGTCACTCGAGCGGGGAGATCGCAGCAGCGTATGCTGCTGGTGCCATCACCGCCCAATCGGCCATCATCATTGCCTACTATCGAGGCTTAGCCGCCAAAAGACAGGATGGTACTGGCGCCATGGCGGCCGTCGGTCTCAGCGCTGAGGACGTTCAACCCTATCTGCAAGACGGAGTGGTTATTGCGTGCCATAACAGCCCTTGTAGCGTCACGCTATCTGGAGACCCGCCTGCCATGGATACCGTCGTCAATCGAATCAAGTCAGAGTTTCCAGACGTTCTATGTAGACGCCTTAAGGTTTCAATTGCCTATCACTCCCGTAAGTGCTTTTCCAAACCATACACTTGTTGAGACCGGGCTGAGAAAAGCTAAAGATCATATGCATGAACTGGGGCAAAACTACGAAGCGAGCATCGCGCCATACATTCAGGTCACGGACCAAATGCTGCCGCTGTATTCCAGCGTCAGAGCAGCGTGCATCACGCAACCTTCAGAGCTCAATGCGACTTACTGGCGGTCTAATTTACAATCGCCTGTGCTCTTTGTTGATGCTGTCCGAGGAGTTCTAGCAGCCTCTAGCCCCGTGGGCCGAGCTTTCCTCGAGATTGGACCTCACTCCGCGTTATCGGCGCCCCTCCGCCAAACATTCCACTCCGAGGGAGCTAAACCAAAATTTGTATATATATCAACACTGATCCGTAATGCTGGGGAGACACGGGATCAGTTATTGAATACTGCTGGATCACTGCATGTGAACGGGGTCTCAGTCAACCTGCAAGAGATTAATGGGGAAGGACTCACCTTGAGCAACCTGCCCTTGTACCCCTGGCAGCACACCACCAGATACCTACAAGAGAGCCGATTGACTCGCAAGTGGAGATTTCGAGACCATCCGCACCATGAACTGCTCGGCGATCGTGTTGTGGAGTCGTCGGATTGGGAACCTTCCTGGAGAAATATTCTACGCTTGAAGGATGTACCCTGGATCGAAGAACATATACTTCAGGGAAATATTATTTTTCCAGCCACTGGCTATATTGCGATGATTGGGGAAGCCATTAGCCAGCTAGATACGAGTCAGGACGGTTACTCCATCCGCGATTTGATCATCAAAACGCCTTTGTTATTGAGGGATTCGGACGAGGTTGAGATCCTCACAACTCTGAAACAGGCACGCATCTCCGATATCACTGACTCTGAATGGTATACGTTTTCCATCATGTCACACGACAGTACGGATGACAGCTGGATCAAACATTGCCATGGAAGGGTCAGAGCCGGGGTTGAACACGCACCTAAATTTCGCGAGATCAAGCCGTATGCCCGATCGGTGGATGTCAACAGATGCTATAGGAGGCTTGAACGGTTTGGCTTTGCTTACGGTAACGTTTTCCGGGGGCTTCGAAGCATCTCTATCCACCCGACCGAGCATAGGGCGTCGGGAACAGTGGCCGACATGGGCGATAAACGCTCCAGATATACTCTGCACCCAGCCACAATGGACAGTCACCTGCAGATGTTCAATGTACTCACAGAAAGAGACCAGGATGCATCAATGGGAGCTATCATTCCAGCAGCCATGGGTGAGGTTTACGTGAGAGGAAGCGCAGCCCAGATCAGCTTCGAAGGTGGATTATCCAAAACGAGCTCGGGTCAATCTCTGGGAGACATCGTTGGCACGGCCGGGGACCAAATACTTTTCTCCGTCTCCGGCCTCTTCGGGTTCCCACTCAGCCTCCCCCAGAACTGCAAGGCGTCGCAACAGCTATGCTCCCAAATCAGATGGATGCCAGATATTGATATGGTCCCTCCAAATGCCATGCTTCGTGGCGATCAGGGTTTAGAACGGAATCAGCTGTGGCAGGATGCCAGTCGACTATGTGAAGTGTACATCATGGAAACTTATGACCGTTTAAAGGATGTTACAGCTGTGAGCGATCACCTGCGCAGATGGCAACAATGGATCACTACCGAGGCCATCAGGCTGCGTCAACGAGATAATTCTGCTCAGCCCAAGTCACAGGTAGGGGACAGTATGGGGTCGCGGCAGGAGACGATATCACGAATCTTGTTAGACCATGCGAACAGAAGAGGCACCCACCCAATTTTATTCGAATGCATCGGCCAGATCATGGAAAATTGTGATCGCATTGTCCTTGGGCAGGTTTCGGCACTCGATGTGCTCGAGATAGAGGGCAGACTCGAGAGATACAATGAATGGTTGCAATCACAATGTGATTGGAGCTATTTTTTGTCACTATTGGGACATTCAAACCCGACTATCCGCGTGCTAGAGATCGGATCTGGGACTGGGGCTTCAACAATAGCCGTGCTGCAACACCTTCGCTCTCCTGAAGGTGTACGGCATTATTCTCAGTACACTGTGACAGAGGCACGTGAAGCATCCCTCAAAGCTGTTCAGAAGAACTTGCAGCACAACGAAGACTTGACCTATACGTTGCTCGATATCTCAGTCGACCCTGAAGCGCAAGGGTTCGATCTGCATAGCTATGACTTGATTATTGCTTCCAATGTCAGTCTTCATGATCAGAAACGCCTGTTTTCTGTCGATGCCAGCTAACCAAGAGACTAGTTGCACACGGCGCCGCGACTCGGAACAGCCCTACAACATATACGCCAGCTGCTAGCCCCGAACGGTCGGTTATTACTTCATGAGCTTTGCCCTGGTATGTTAGAAGCCTCATTCAAGCCCGAGCCCTAATTTATAACACAACAACGATCTAATAGGAACTTTGATCACCGAATACTTAATGGTAAGTTGGAACACAACCTTGACGCCGCAGCATTTTCATTTGTCTTTCTCGCTCACCCTCAACCAGGGGTCTCTCACGCAATGGTCGTCAGCGAAAGACTTCAGGGTAAATGACAAGCCGTATATATCGCGGGACAGATGGGATACTGAACTACGCAATGCCGGCTTCATTGGCATAGAAGGGATGGCCTACGACGTGGCGCCCCCACACCAAACCTACTTGACCATGCTCTCTCGAGTGCCTTTTTCACAGCCCGAGGCTGAGAAGTACAGCGCAGTGACTCTCCTAACAATGGGCTCTCCCGGACCATGGGCGAACGAAGTGGCATCTTGTTTTCGCGAGGGGGGTTGCGTCGTAAACTGGACAACGCTTCAAGACACTCCCCGAGAAAACCATTGGATCATCTCCCTTCTAGACCTGAATGGCCCATATCTGAATGACTTCTCTGAGGAGCGCTATCGCTCTCTGCAATCATTTTTGCTGGAAACTGACAAATCCCACATGATCTGGGTGACAAGCAGCTCGCAGATGGACTGTGCCGACCCTCGGTTCGGGCTGATCCTCGGGCTGACGCGTGCTCTCCGACATGAGATGCCCGGCAGTATCTCTCTCTTCGAGACTGATTGTTATACGCAGCAGGCGGCTGGAGCTCTGTTTAAGGTGTTTGAGAAGCTGCAGCGCGTTCGACGTTGCTCAGAGGCAGCAGTGACTGAGTCCGAATATTCCTTCTTTCAGGGGGTGACACACGTCAGCAGATGCCATTGGATGCATACGGCACAGATTTCACCGCGGCCAGAGACACAGTGCCCGCGCAAGCTGGATGTCGGTTCGTTTGGCCTGATAGATACAACACAGTGGGTGGCAATAGCCGGTCACCGAGAAGATTTGGAGAAAGGCCAAATTGAGGTCGATGTGCATTACGTCGGCTTGAACTTCAGGGTATATCGTGCTTTCCCTCACCACCAACGTTACTCACCTGCCAAACAAATGAAGACTGACCAACGTCTGTGTATATAGGACGTATTAGTGGGGATGGGCGTCTTCGGAAGAGCCGACGAGCTCGGTCTCGAGGGAACTGGGGTCGTCCACCGCGTCGCATCCGACGTGAAGGATCTGCAGCCAGGCGACCGAGTCATGATATTAGGTGGTGGGCTGTTTCGTACTCGCGTAGTCCTGTCCGCCACTTTCTGCCGGAAGATCCCAGCAGACTTGGCCCTGGATGATGCAGCGACCATGGGGTCCGTTTATATGACCGCTTGGTATTGCTTGTGTCACCTTGGGCGCCTGCAAAATGGCGATGTAAGTCAACCAGCCGAGATAGCTAACCCTACCCTTTTCCCCTTCACTGTGTGGCCCCTTTTGCTCGTTGTACAGACATCGGTTGACATTTGCGTTCTGCACGCCAGTCTGTATTGATTCATTCGGCCTGCGGTGGACTGGGCCTCGCGGCAATCCAGGTTTGTCGGACGGTAGGTGCAGAGGTACGTTTGAGCACTGGACTTAGAGATAAATCCTGGTAGCTAGACTGACGATGCGGATACGACCTGCAGATTTTCGCAACGGTGGGAAATGAGGATAAGGCTATGTATTTGATCGAAGAGTTTGGCATTCCGCGGAATCACATCTTCAGCTCCCGAAACAGTGACTTCCTCCCGAGTCTGATGGAGGAGACTCAGGGCCGTGGGGTGGACATCGTGCTCAACTCGCTGTCCGGGAAGCTGCTGCACACTTCGTGGGAATGTGTGGCACCTTTCGGTCGGTTCATTGAGGTTGGGAAACGGGACTTTCTGGCCAACGGCCAGTTGGCCATGGCCCCGTTTATTGAGAATCGGTCCTATATCGGATTCGACCTCTTTCAGATGGGCAAGCAGAACCCCCGAGCTCATGAACGGTAAGCGCATGCATGCACAGCCAGAAGATAATGTATGGGGATTCTTCATCTGACAGAGACTTTCAGGCTGCTGCAACAGTTTCAAGACTGGTACGATGGTGGCCACATTAAGCCCATCCGACCCGTCACCATCTATGAGGCGGCCAAGGTGACCGACGCCTTCCGGTATATGCAGCAGGGCAGCCACATGGGTAAGATCTTAATCCGAATGCCCTCTGATCCGATGGAGTTGGCCCCAACTTCCCAGCCTCCGGTAAGCTTCTCGCCCAACAAGTCGTATCTTCTCGTGGGTGGCCTGGGAGGTGTAGGCCGTTCCGTAGCCCTGTGGATGGTGCAGCGTGGTGCACGACATCTAGTTATTCTGTCTCGCTCTGCTGGACAGTCCGATAGCGATCGGGATTTTATTCTCGACTTAGAAGAGCAGGGCTGTCATGTCATCTGCGTGGCAGGGAGTGTGGCCACCGCTGCCGATGTTGAGTCGGCGATCGCCAGATGTCCCCGACCACTGGCAGGGATTCTTCAAATGTCTGCCGTTCTACGAGATCAGAGTTTCGCGAAAATGACGTATGATGAGTGGTCCACCTGCCTTGCCACGAAGGTCCGAGGCACATGGAATCTTCATCACGCGGCTTCGGATCAGCTGCTCGACTTCTTCATCGTCTTCAGCTCCATCGCTGGAATCTGTGGAAATCACGGCCAGGCCAACTATGCCGCCGCCAACACATTCCTTGACAGCTTTACGCGCTACCGCCGCCGACTGGGGCTCCCTTCGGCCACACTTGCTCTCGGGGCCGTGGAGGACTGTGGTCTCGTCAGCCGTGATGCAAAGGTGTTACAGGCAATGCAGGCAGCTTCCGTGCGGCTTGTCAGGGAGGACGAGCTCCTAGAAGGTGTAGAGCTGGCTATCCGCCAGTCCAATGCCCCTTTCTCTCCTCCTCATCCTGCACCTACTGCCTCCCCATCAACGTCTATTGGTCAAGGGATAACGTCAGACGCTTGTATCATCGGCCTCGGAAACACCCGCTCTATCAGCGACCCTACTGTCCGGACAGTATGGCCGTCTGCCGACCCACGATTCTCCCTCTACACTAATATCGAGGTGAAGGACGGACAGAGAACGACGGTCGGTGGCGCGGCCTTCAAGGAGCTCCTGCGGAGGGTCGACCAGAACCCGACCATGCTGAATGATTCCGACGTAGCGAACAATTTGTCCCACGAGCTGAGCAAGCACCTGGCGCGGCATATGCCGCGGGCAGCTGAGATGTCCGCGGAGGAGGTTGCAGAGATGCCGATTGACTCCCTCATGGCGGTGGAGATTCAGCGCGGGTTGCGGGGGGATCTCAATTGGGATATTAGTATGGTAGAGATTGCGAAAATTGGGAAGATAGGGCGGTTGGCGGAGGCGGCGATTCAGCATTTGAAGAAGAAGTATGGGCTTGTGAGGGAGGGGGAGTAGTGAGGGGGAAGTGCTTTTCTTTACTACTGGGATGCTAGTGGCCGGCTGCTCCTACTTGGATTAGACGACTGACTATTGGGGCTAGATATATTATTCATTCATTAGTTGCAGAGAGACCTAGATTGAACATTGATAGTATGATACAACACTAGGGTACTGATGTAGCTAAGGAAACCAGCACAAATCGCACCTACAGTGTACTGGGATATTGAGTGGAAGAGTGATATAAAACAAGTACTTCTGGATCAACTATCAATCTTCACTACAGCGATGTCAATCACAACCCTAATCTAGACTATCCATTCATTCAACGCTCACTTTAATGCTGCCTGTTGTGTAATCCATACGCTGGCCGTTAGCTCACCCAGTCTGTAAACTGTAGAAAATGGGCAAACATACAAAACGCCACATGGTCTTTGATGTTGCTGGCAGCATCATATGGGTTGGGATAATACCATGCTGCACCGGGAATTGTCGTAGCTAGATATCAGGCTGTTAGCAACGATTACGATGGGTTTTTTCTCCGCAGGGAGCATTTTTGAACAAACAGGCAGTGGAGGGGGATGCTCACCCCCAAGCACAAGAGAGTAATATGATGCGTCTCCTTTCCAGGGACAGAATGTCACCTTGTCAATGGGAACGAAGAGCGATTTGTCTTTGATTGCTGTGGGAGGAAACTGGGAGATGGTGGTCAGTGATAAGGTTGACTTTGACATATGATGGGGCTTACGTAGATGTTTCCTTCGACGGTCTCCCAGGTGGGGGATTCAGCGAGGACGATGTCTTCGAAGGTTGCTCTGGCGAGGGGCATGACTACGGAGGAGGTGAAGATGAGTTAGTTACACTGGTGCTTGTATGTTGGAAGAAGAAGATCAAGAGAGAGGTAATAGTTGTTGCTGCTACGACTGATTTCTGGTGTGTGACTGTTGCATTAATAATGCATTTATGGCGTAAGTGCGGGGAAATTCCCCGAGTGGATTCACTCTAGACGAACCTGAACCTAAACAGAGCCCGAACCCTTCTCCCCATTCTTGATATTTTGTAATAGTATCCCTCTAATCCCAAGGCATCCACCTCTTGCGCGGCTTCCTATCCGCCGTTACACCCACCCAATCCGGACAAGGCCAGGACAGCTCTTTGAAGTTAAACCCCCATCCATAACGTGTCACACGGCATATATCAGTCTTCCGAGCGTTCTTCCCATCACAGTTAATGCCCTGGCATCTTCGCATCTCTTTCTCGCAGGCAAGTAAAGTCTCGAGTGGCCGAACAGGGCACCCAGGTGCCGATTCCTTAACAAGCTTCTCGAAGCTTTCCACCAACTCACATATCTTCAAATGAATCCGGCTCGGTGACACCCTGTGACTTTTTGGATCTTCCGCCAGTTTGAGAATATCTTCCCAGACACTCGAAATGTGATGCGCACAGGGGACCATCCGATCCTCATGCTGATTCTCAGCCAAGTAATCCAAATGTCCGCGGATAACTTCTGCCAATTTCTGATAAAGCTCCAATCGGGCCTTGTGAATAGACTCATACAAGTGCCGAGGCAAAAGTCCCTTCTCTGGCTTAGCCTTAAACGTAAAATCCATAATCACACCACGATTCGCCTGGCGAAAATCGTGCCCACCTCTGGACCGAAACACCCAAGTAATGAACATCACCCAGTCCAGCAACTCTTTGCGCGAAGGCACAGTCCTATCCGGCCTCACGTAGGCATACACCGGCCAGCCGAATGAATCGAAATCCATGGAACTTCCTAACTCGAATCGATTCACAATTTCAGCGATGTCCTTGAGAAAGGCGAGGTCCACGCACTCTGGTAATTCAGGCCATCGCTTTGTCAGCGTCTGGAGAACCCATAGCATGGCTGCTGGATTGGGCCAGTTGAATGACAACTCTTCCGTCCAAATGAGCTTATCCTCATTCAAGCGATCATAGTCACTAGGGTGTACGCCTTCGCATTTCACATACCCGAAGATTTCGGCAAACACATCGGATGAGAGGACTAGAGGCTTAACGGGGACACGAATTAGCGTTGGTGGATCGTATGTTGTGATTTTTATCACCACATGGCGTCTACCTGTTGTGTCTTCGTAAGATCTGTCCGATGACCCTAGAATATGAACAACACCCGGCTTGGCAGCGGTCCTTTTCAAATAGTCGGCTCCGGGGAAAGATACGTCGCTGTCCTCGTCCTCGTCCTCGTCATCGTCCTCCTCTTCTTCTCTTTCCCCCTCGTCATTGTTGTCTGACATGTCCATGTCCGAGCCAGCACAGCCATCATATTCATCCTGATCCTCGGTTGAGATGTCATCCATATCTTCATTTGGAGATTCTGATGATCCACACTCATCGCTGTGGGTACCTTCGTAGTCCAAATCTTCCATGCTATCGTCATCGTGATGATAAGAAGGTGACTGAGGTCCGGACTCATCGTACAGACCCTTGAAGTTGCGTTCGATGTCGTCGAGATCACCATCTTTGATAGGCGCGTTATCGGGATCGTAGACTTCATCATCGTCATCCCAGACGCTTTCGTCATCTTCTTCACTATCACGATCCTCGTCATCCATATCCTCCTCATACTCTTCGCTATCATCCTCACTCTCAGACGCCTCATAATCGGTATCTACGTCCAAGTCTTCCATGGCTTCGTGGAGATCAGCCTCGGTAGCTACATCGGTAGCATCGTCGATGGTGTCTTCATTCCCCGGAGGAGGAGGTCTATTTTCCTTGGAATCAGAGGGGTCGGAGGTAGGGATAAAGCTAGCGGCGCCAGATGGGGGAATCAATCCATCAGCCATATCCATATCACTATCATGGTGTGTGCTGTAGTTGTCCATCAGAGAGATCAGTTCTTCGACGGGGTTCATCTTGCATAGATTGTCAACAGATAGATATTTCGGCTTTGGAGAGAACTGAGAAATGACGGTAATAAGGTGATGTTGACAGTGACAGGTGATGGAACTAGGGTTGGCAGAGTCGACGCAGCCCCCTGTTCAAGAGGTACAGGTACCATCTATATATCTTTCGCCCGGGGGTCATAAGTCGGACTTATCCATGATTGTTTTGCTACTACAAAGTGCTGAGGCTACATGGCATGGAGTTTGCCTTCTCTGGTTATGTGCGCCACAAAGTCAGGGTATAATAGGAGGGTGGTTGGATGAAAGGACTTGATACAGACTGGATTCTGAAGGGATTGCTAGATATCTATTTCTCAGAGACTTTGGTTGTTGTATTGTTTACACTTGAAAATAGCGGTAATTATTCGACGTAATATATGATCTGTAGTGGGACTTTCCATTGTATGGATAGTGTGGCTTTGTCCAATTTGACGATGACTTTATCATTCCAAATTCTTTCTTGTCTGGGTGGGCATCGCCGCTTGATCTGCATTGTGAGAAGCAAACATCTTTGTTCACAAGTGAGGTTCAAAGTCTGGTTTCATATAAATCTTTGTATCACACGGATTGGCAATAAGGTCGACAGTCATTGTTGTCCCAGCAAACTGATGGCTGACTTATCACCGGGCATAGATGCGTATTTATGTACTTGGCTGAGACTTCGTCTGCCATTCAACTCCATCGAACGGCGTCTTCCATTAAACTGTTGGTTCAGTCAACAGATTGATCTAATTCTCCAGTTAACAGCCCTCTTAAGCGAGATCACCGCCATCATGGGCTCGCCAACCCTTAACTGCCCCAAACCCCGTTACGAGCAAACTACCCATGAAGTCAACGACTTGGCCACATTTCCTAGACGTGCTCATCAAGAAGAGTGGAAGAGGTCTGAAAACGCAGAAGCTTCAGCTTGTTGATGTGCCAGTGGATGAACAACACCGGGATTATGATGTGATTGAGGGTCGGAGACATTTTGTTCCTGCTTGATATTGGTATCAGTCATGGTCGCTGACTATTAGAGCGGATTGAGTTTACATTACTGAGAGAACTGGTGGTCAGATTTTAAGTTGGTAGTGCAGCTGCTTCACCAAGACCTCTCTTCTACCTCAACGATCCCTTTGTTGATATCTCTCATAGATGGTGAAGCACCTACATAGCTGGCATCTCATATAGCGGCTTGATCAAGTCGAAGAATAGGAATTTTACTAAATTGACAATGCCACGCAAAAAAGGAGAGAGATAAATGAAAAACAGAATGATTGAAGAGAAGTCCGGATACAAATCTCATTTGTACAATCAAATACCAAGATTTAATTGGCAAATATCCGTCATCACTGCCCAGTGCGCAATGCATCGTGATACGGGTATTCATCTGCTTCGTCCCCAACCCACTTCTTACATGGCCAGTTCACCGCATCAAAGTTGAACAGCAGCGGAGAAGGAGATTTTACCTCGCCCTCGCTAAGCTCCTCCACTATCTCTCGGTCAAAGCCAATCCCCAAACACTCCCGAAACCTTGTTTCACATCCCTGCAGAACATGATGCGGATAAACTTCGCACGTAGGGTATTTGTAATGAATCATGCCAACAATCTCGGCTCTTCTGACGATCTTATAGACCTCCAAAAGAATGCCATATGGTGACTTCTTGTACCTTTTCGGGCTTCGCGTAAGCTCGAAACAGGTATCCAATTCTGGTCGAAAGTCATGCGAACAAAGTTTCACGCAATGGGGTACGTGTCCCCGTGCTGATTTTAGCTCACACAGATGGTCCATAATCTCTGCTTGCAATTCCCCAATGAGTTGCCTTCGGGCATTGTAGATGGCCGTATATATTCTTTGAGGCGTATATGACTTCTTTGGCTGATCTGGCAAGGCATAATAATCCATAATCAGACCGCGTGTGACTTGTCGGAAATCCTTCTCTGTTCGGAACACCCATGTAATGTACAAGACCCAGTCAATCAATTCAGCACGGTTAGGGATGTTCTTACCATCCTCTCTCAAATAAACCCCTCCAAGCCAGTAGAGTGCAGACTCCTTTACAGCACGCTGGAGCTGGAACCGGTCCACGATGACGGCAATATCTTTGAGCAAGGCAAGCTCGACACGCAAAGTGTCCGGCATAGAAAGCTTACGCATAGCCAGAAGAACCCATATCATGGCCACAGGATTAATGTCATCATACCTGGTCTTCGTTCCTGACGGACACCAAACTCGTTCTTCGTCTTCATCACTCCACACATGATCATCCGTGATCTCTTCATTGTAGCCAAATACTTTAGCAAAGACACTGGATCCCATGATCAGATCCCTTGCGGAGGCACGGATGAGAGTTGGGGGACTAGATGTCGTGATTAGGATGAGGATGTTCTTCCCATGTGATGTCATATCATAGATGTAGCCTGGTTTGTCGGCGTGTTTGTCGAGAAATTCACATGCGGGGAATGCGGTAGAGGAGTCACCATCAGCGCAGCCCGACTTGTTCTCGTCTTCAGCCTCGACCTCATCCTCTGAGGATGTGTCATCTACATCTTCTTGGATAAGTGCATCTCCGTCCTCATCCTCTGAAGATGTGTCATCGCAGATCTTGTGGGTATGATTGGGATATATAAGCTGAATCATTAGCCTATCACCGTCCTCGTCGTCGTCATCCTTATTGTTGTTGATGTTGTTGTCTTTGCTCCAGTTCCAAGCTTTCGGTCGTTCATATGTATAGTCCTCATCATCGCTTTGATCACTATCATTCACATGTTCGGGACCCCAACTCTCTGCATCACTGACATCCATATATTCCTCATCGCTTGAGCCGCTTCCAACACTCCAATCGGATTCTTCGTCGCCTGAGCTGTCCTCGTCACTGGTATCCATTTTCTCGTCGCTTGTGCTCTCCTCACTATTGGAATCCAAGATTTCGTCCATTGTAACATCTCCACCACCGAAATCTGACCCTTCGTCATTTGAGATGTCCCCAGTACTGACAGTTGTCTTTTCAGTGCTGGAGTCACCTCCATCTTCGTCATTAGAGCTGCCCCCGTCACTGTCTGATTCTGTCTTGCTATCAGAGTCGTAGTCGTCTTCTGAATCCTTCTCGAAACCTAACTCCAAGTCCTTCATCGCTTCATCGATTAGATGGATGCAAGTTCGCTTACCATCATCAATGTTTTCGCTGTCGCTGTCCTCTTCTAGCGCACGCTTTTTCTTGTTGGAGACATCTCTGATAGGCACAGTAGTAGTACCGCCTGCAGGTAGGTTCATCTTGCCCCCCAAGCGGGGTTTGTCCATTTGAGAAGTTGCCACTCCTTCAGGTTTATCCATGCGAGGCAGGGCACGTGACAGAAGCCTGTTCTGTCGTTGATTGAAGTATATCAAATGGTACTGATAGCGAGGTAGCCTCTAGAAGGGTACTTGAGAGGGTCAAGCATGAGCATTATATCTCCTTCGAGGGTATTGTTGGTTACTTCGGAGCACGCCTCCTTGTCTTTGTTGCCATTCGTATTTGAACTTTATGTGAATACATCACCTGGGATGTACCGTTTGCGTTACTGCGCATCGTAGGAGGTAAAGCGTTACTGGAAGGGGAACAAAGGATCATTGTTTCTTTACTGTGTTCGGAAGAAGGTTAGGAGACCAGTTTGTTTGCTTTGTGGCTTCTTGAAGGTTTACAATGGCTTTGATATAATAGATATCGCTCTTTGTTGTACGGGATAGGATGGAAATATCCGCTTGATATGAGTTGATTAACATTGTTATACATGAATGCTGTTATGTGAACTATGCTGTTGTTCTTTTGCTCCGCAATACCTCGGATGCTGCCAGTAAGCTGAACGGTCACTGTTCTGGAAAGCTACCCCACACACAACTAGAAACGGACGACGAGAATGCAATATCGTATAACATATCTATAACCTAGATGCCAAATATCTACAGTATCTCACACATGGTATCTAACATCTACCCCCGCTTAATGATCTCCTCCGCCGTCTCCACCAAAATCTCAAATGCCCGCTTCACATACTTCTCCTCGGCCGCCGGATTCGTACTCACAACCCGAATGGCATAAACCCCACAAACAACCGTCGATGTAATAAAGATCTCTCCCCGAGAGTTCACCAACTCATACACCTCCTTCGTGAGCTCATTCGCCGCCTCATCCGGCTGCGCAACAAGGACCCCGTTGTCAGCTTCCACCAGCGTCGTCCCTGACTTGGGGCTCTTAATCCGGAACACGGTCAACCCAAAAGCAGGTGTCGTGATGATCTCAAAGAGATCGGCACGCCCACGCACAAGGCTCGCAAAGGTGTCGCCTAGTCCGATAGATTTGCGGATGTAATCCTTCATGCCGGTGAGACCGTAGCTGCGCATGACGAACCAGATCTTTAGGGCGCGGAATCGGCGGCCCAGAGACATGCTCCAGTTGCGGTAGTCGGTCACCTTGCCAGAGTCGGAGTAGTGGTTGCGCAGGTAGGCGGGGGTGATGTCGAGGGCGTTGGTGAGGTCTTCCCGGTTGCGGATGAAGAGGCAGCTATATCAATTGTCAGTATCCAGAAACGAAATGTGTATTGGACGCCGGCGACTAACCTAGCATCAAAGTTAACCAACAGCCACTTATGCATATTGAGGTTAAAGCTGTCGACGCCCTCGGCAAACTCCTTCGAAATATACTGCCACTCATCCGCGACCAGCGCTGCACCCGCATAAGCAGCATCAATATGGACCCAAATCCTCTTCCAATGTTCCTTCTCGGCCAACACAGCCTTGATCTCCCTGAACCGATCAACGGCACATGAATTCGTCGTGCCCAATCCCAGGGTGATAAAATAAGGCGTCAGCTTATCACGATCCAACCCCTCCAAAACAGCCCTCAACCTCTCCCCGGTCATCTCCAAGTTATCTTCCAATCTCGCCTCAACACTCCTGAACCTCGTTCCCGCCAACAACGCCCCCTTCGCCGTACTGCTATGCGCCTGGTTACTCGCCAAAGCTACCAACCGACTCCTCAACTCCATCATCCGATCCTCATACTCCACCGTATCAGGCTTGAACCCCTCACTCACCACCATCTCAGTCACCCGTCTCTCCCTTGCCGCAATCATCATCGTCGCGACCGTATCACTCGCCGTAACCTGAATCACACCACCTCCGCGATTCTTCGATGTGCTGAGGAAACATTCCGGCAATGCAAGGGCCTGAGCGAGCCAATCCATCACGATGGTTTCGAGTTCCGTGCACGCCGGGGAGCAGAGCCAGTTGAACGCAGGCGCTGTGAATGCCGCACTGTACATTTCACCCAGAATACTGGGGTAGGTGACACCTGCGGGGAAGAAGGCCATGAAGTTGGGGGATTGCCAGTGGGTGATGCCCGGCTTGATCTTGGTTTCGATGTCGGATTGGATGGCGCTCCATGGTTCGGGATTCTCGGGAGGTGAGGTCGGGATTAGGGGGCGGAGATAGCCTGGTTCAATGGTGGGGACGACGCGCTGGTTTGGGAGGTCATCGAAGTAGTTAATTACTGTTTTTTGGGGTTGGTTAGTTGTGTGTCTGTGTGAGTGTGTTTGTGTGGTAATGCGGGCGGGGTTTGGAGAAGTGCGGGGTGCAGGAATTGGAACAGGGACTAACTGTCGTCAATGGCCGAGTGGGCGGCCTCCCGGAACTGTTCGCGGTCCATTGGAAAGGGATTAAAGTCCCTGAGGTGATTTCAGGGGGGGATTGGGGAGGTGGATGAGGAAAAATAAAGTGAAATTCAGTGGAGAGTTCGGAGGAGGCAGGAATGAGGATCTGGATTTCTTTTATCGATAAGCCGAGGCCGGTGGGGTTGGATCCGGAATAGATTCCGAGGCTGTTCCGATAAGTCATGGGAAGGGCGTCTGATCTGCACGTTTAGTCCAATTGCAAGCTGTCAACTTGATCCTCTAAACACACGCCAGGGATCACCTAATATATTCAGGGTTTTTGTAGATTGCTCCTCGTGAGTTATGGTGTGCTGGATAAGCGTGCCATTGGTAGAATTCGGTGTTGACGGATGTTCCGAGTATGGCGGCGGTGTTTGTCGAATTTTGCACCTATTTCGAGTATGCCGCTGGGTAATATTATTGATGGTTTTCGGTAAGAGAATAAGTTATTATATTTATTGTATGATTAATGATCGAAGTATTCGAGAAGAGATTTTGCTAACGAGTGGGGTTTTGGCTGTATGTTATGGTTGCTAATGGGGCTCAGAGTGTCCTCATTCCGAATTCCGAGGCGGCTTAATTTGCTCATCTGTCTCAATAGCATCGAATATTTACGCTCCAATCATGCCAGGCTACATCTGATCAGAATGTGGAATACACAGAGATCCATCGTCTGTGCGGATTCAGGTCCGTCAACGCCTACTCGATGGAATACTCATCACTAATCCATCTATCCCTCTTGCTATAGATCATTCAAAGTCCGATCAGGACCATATAGACCAAATTTCACACTTCGTATATTGTATCTTATCCGGATACCAGAGGCAAATCAGCAAATCAATTAAGCCCTATGCGTCTGTAAACAATCTAGTCAAACATCTATCCTCCCCACCCCAATCATTAAAACCTCCCCCAAACCCACCGGACAAGAAGAACAACAACCCAACCAAAATGAACAACATCATCAAGACTCATCTTCAGCTTCCCCCTCCCCCACCATCTCTTCCTCCTCAGCAGCCTCCTCCACCGCCTCCACCACAGCCTGCCCCACCTCCTCCTCCGCCACAAGCTGCGCCAGGAACATAGCGTCCTCCATAGGATCGTCGGCCTCGTCTCCTTCTTGTTCTTGGAGGATTGGACCAGGCTGTTCCCTGATTAGGTCGAGAAGTAGTACCGTTGGTGGATGTGGGTCGAGGACGGGACGGGGAAACGGGTTCGTCAGAATATGAGGTGAAGCACATTGTCTTGGATTTTGCAGGGATTTTGGGGGAGATTGTTGGTGGTATTTATGTTATGGGTTCGGTATATCAATGTGGGGTGATCTGGAATGTGGAGTTTGTTGGGTCGGAAGATGCCTTGTCTATCTTGAAGTTTATATATAGTTTTCAGATTCTTAGTGTATAAAGCGATAACTTAAGATTGTCTTGTAGCATGGGAGATGGAGCAGAGTGGGGGTTCATCATATTATATATACCAGGTTGAGCCTCAGCCTTGTTCAATTTACACAAGGCTGCTGATGGGCGTAATGGGCAAAGTCATACGGATTACTCCGCCTCATCTCGTGCTTGCGTGGTTTGGAATGCATGATGTGGCTATGCTGACTGGCTGAGTGAGATACGAGGCTGCGGGTGAAGGCACGTGCAATATTGGGATTTGCAAGGCTCTGAGTTTATTTCGTTGTTTGAAGGGGTTTTGATAGTAAATAGCCGAGGTGTTAGGTGAAGATTCTGAAAGTATAATATAGGGTCTGCGGCAATAAGCTGATGATCAGACGCCAGATGATGCGATGATTCAAGTGATAGAACCACTACTGAGACGGCGTTTACTGGGGACTTTTGTAATGCGACACAAAGATTTACTTAATAGTGCTGTCGTACCAAAGCTTCATCCTGAAATGGGAAAGCAGTAGTGTGATTGACAGTTCATGTTTGTTAGATCATGATAATGCTGCATCTGTATCACAGCATGATAGGCATATCTTACGTAGGGTTGAGGCAATGTCATTTTGCATGTTACTTTCATGTAGAAATTCAAGTATATGAATGAAGCAAAGTTTCCTCCTTATGTCTGGCGGTCTGGTAACAAGAGAGAGAAATGAGTTGAGCTTGGGTGGGATCGTCGTCGATGGTTTGGCAAAATCCCGCGTATGTTCAGTGATACGTCGTTGAGCATCAAGGTCCGTTCGTCCACAGTCCTGGTCGCATATGGTCAGCGCGAACTCCCACATACATGTTGAATTGCTCAATCAGATCGTCACAATCTACCACTGTCCTACTAAGCCCACCCTCGCCGATAAATAGACGGATAATCACCTCCTGCAATAGAGGCACCCGTTGATGACGGTCCGGCAACCGAAGGAATTCCGTCAACACCAAGAGAATGCGCACTGTAGCTGTCGGCACATCGTAGCTTTCCACGTCACGGAAGTCCCACCGCAGGCCAAGCTTTTCCAGTGTTACTGGCAAATCTTGCTGTATACCAACCTCCATTATATCCCTGAATCCATTAAGCATCTGGATCGGCAATTCAAGTGTCTTGAACCGAGTAAAATCCTGAAAGAATCCAGCCGTCATATGTCTGAAAAGGGGGCCCCACATTATGGTGTCAATGTGATACTCCCGACTTCTTGGTGTGATAGAGAAACTGATCGAGAGGTGCTCCAGACAACCACACAAAGCTCTCAGTCCATTCCAAATGTATTTGCTATCATCTGCAGAGGGTATACCAACATACCAGAAATCTTTCTCTTCGGCGTTCATACCAAGGTGAAGGCTGCGAAGCTTGTTCGTTCTTTTGAAGATCTTGAATAGCGCGCAGTCCATTACTGAAATATGGTCTAAAACAAGGGTTTCTAGTGCCCAGTGATCCATCTGAACATCTGGAATCCGCGCGAGAAGAAGGCCATGCCGGCTACGTAGCCAGACCTTAAGGTGCTTGACCTGCTGTAACTGGAATATCGGGATCAATTGTGATGAATAACGCATCCGAATATATGTATTATCGCATGAATGCGGCAGATTGTTGTGCAGTGCATTCGTTCCATAATCGAAGACTTCGAGGTGCTCAAAGTTATTCTGCAACTCTGCGGAATGTATCTCTTTACCAGAGGTAAGGGATTCAATCATTTGTCCAGGATATCCGCCATTGACAGCGAAGGTGTAATCGAGCTTGAGAGACCTCAGGTTATGGAGTAGAGGTAGGAGGAGGGCCACCAAGGCATAGACGTTTCGCGCTGCAATGGACTCGAACCATGCTAAACGGCCCTTCGGACTTTCAACGACGCTACTCACAACATCTCGGAGATAGTCGATCTCCTGGTAAAAGGGCACCTTATCACTTCTGATGATAGAAAGTGAGCTAGGGTTACTCTCGTGGATCTCGGGGCATTCAACCATCCGAGTATCCTTAGGAGGAGTGCTCCCCAGTAAATGCACCTCCCGGACAAAGCCACACAGGCGGCTGCGTTTGTCCTTGTCTTGGACAAGGGCTGTCCACAGCGACATAATTCGGTATCGAGACTTCTTTCCCTTCCAATTCCACTTGATCTTTCGATAGAGATAGCGAGTGCCAACATGATTGATAGTGCGGGATGTCAAGCAAATGTTGAAAAGGTCTCTGGTCTCGAGATACTCGCATATCTCATGCCAGACATCTTCGACAACCTGAAAGTCAGGCATCGCGGTAGTCAATTGAATGCGGGCCTATTGGATGACGTTGTGTATATCGGTCTGTGACGATATATAAAGGGGCTTGTAATTATCCATAGAATCAGAGCACCTTATAAAGGCTCCACGATCAAGTCTTTGTCGGTAATATTACTGAGGGCTTGGGATATGCCGATCTATAATACTATTTTGTGTGATGGATGTCTTTGAGAATATTACGTTTGATGTTTATGAGATCCAATAATTGAACTAGTACAAGCCAGCACAATGATAAAATGTTTGGCGAACTGGTGCTATTTCGACATTTGCTGGCATATCCCGAGGGCCTACAAATGACTCACTGTTCTGTGAAGTCATTTAAACATCACATGCTGGCATAGTGAGAATCTGTGCTTGCTTTCGCTAGGCTCCCCGGAAAGAATAACTTCACTGAAAAGCGCAATACGGAAGGCTTCGAAAGAAGCAAGATTTTGAGAGGAAGAATCCACATAGGTAAGCTACACCAGGCCTAGAAGCGGGAATGAATTGTCGTCCAACAAGAACGAAGAGCACATACAAGCTGTTTTTCGAGGTTATATACGCTATTTTTTTAGGATTGGCCGGCAAATATACTTTCTTGTAAGAACATGTGCCGCATAATGTTCTTTTATTAAGTACTGAAAACGAAGCAAAAGATCATGACTGATGGTAGAAGATACATCTTGTCCAGTTGCAAGAGAGCGGCCAGTGGTATGGATTGCGCAGAGGATAGAACTGGGCATCCAGCTAAAGACATGAGGAACCATAGTCCCGGCCAGATATCCGTGGAAGAAGTACCTAAAAAGCGGGGTTTAGTAATGATATGAAGTCATGAGGACGGTCACAATTACTCAACTACAATCTGTACCATGACTGGATCGCCCTGAAGCCGACGAACTAGGTTCATGGGGCCGCTCTCTCCCCAGTGTAGCCAGCAAAACGCTCCCAAATCCAACAAGTCACAGTGTAAGGGAAAAATGGAGGCCTACTCATTTAGTTTGCCCGGAAATAAATTCCTGCCTTCTTGTCATTATTGCTGTCAGGGGCAGCACACCGTACATATATAAACGCTGGTTGATTCTATCTCTTCTCTCCTCAACCACGAAGATTTACCATGGGGAACAAGGTGAGCAATATAAGCTCTATTCCGGAGGAGTTCCTAGCGGATGACTGGGAAGAGCACTATGCTCGAGCCAGGAATCCATTCTGCGGATATAACTATTGCTGCTGCTACATATGTGGCTTCCAGTACAATGACTCCTGGGGCATGCGCCCTGTCTCGTATAGGGTATGGGGGGACAAAAGTTACCCTCGTCATCCAAATTACAAAGCCGTTGCTCAGGCCGAAGGCATAGAAGAAGAACGGTTACGGCATATTGAATATGTGCCGAACCGATGGTGGATGTGGCAACGGATGAGTGAGTGTTACATGACTCAAGGTGGTTTCGATGTTTGAAGCTGATAATAAATGTCAGTTATCCATAGGGAAGCGAAGTCCACATATAAAGTGTCTGGTACATACTTATTAGAACAAGAGACTTGGAAGTTGTGTGTTCCTATCATGGTCAAGGGGAAAAGAGTCTACGTTGATCCCCAAGTGTATTGTATGGGTATGAAGGCAACGTCTCCAGCGGCTTGGGTAGGTTGTACCGTTCATGCCCGCTGCTGAGAATTGCTGTCGCACCATGCGCTGGGTCGCGTCGCGGAGACTGATCTGCCTACTGTCATCGCTGCCCTTCGATATAGACGCCGTGTGGTCGGTAGTCCATGCAAACGTTGGGAACATAAGATTTTTGCGGAAGGTAAGACTCAACTTGTGTAAAGGCAGTATGTGTGCTCTTGTACAACTTGATAACAGACTGAATGCACTAGATCCTGTCCGCACAAAGTATGTTTCGAGTGCAGTTTACGGCGCAATGCAGGGTAAAAGACACAATTGGTTAAAGAGACTCTACCTATCTCGCCGGAAAAAGGAAGAGCAGATACCTCTCATAGTGCGCAAGTTGCCCATGGAGGTCCTCTACATGATTCTTGATTATCTCCCTTCTCGCACCGTGGCCAGAGCTGAGCGAGCATTAGATGTTCGCGTGAGCAACACCTTTTGGTACTTAAGGATTGTCAACAACTTTTTCGAGGTACGAGGCCTCTCAGTGAATAAGAATGCTTACAAGAGGCTATGTCTCAAGCTAGAGGAACAGATCTACGGAAATGAAGCACTGCGTATTCGGCGGTATCTCTTGAACTGCATGGACAACATACTGGATACCGTGAATATGCTGCAACAGGGAATTCTGGTCGATGGGAAACCATCATGACTCAGGAACCATCTTTTCTATACAGATTGAATGAATGTGCGTTTTGGCGAACCGAGACCCCCCTAATCAGACCCCTTAATCCTCCCACAAAGCACCACATCCTCCCCAAACGGATACCATTTCACCCCGGTCAATCTCGAAGCTGGAACAACCACACCCCCCTCAACCCTCCTCCTTGGCGAAACCACCACACCTCCCTGCCCCAGCCAAGTTGGAGCAATCGTAACAATCACTGAATCCACCAACGTCTGACACCCCGGCTCAAGCAAAGAGTTAATAATAGACCCACCCCCCTCAATCATCACGCTCCGTAACCCCTCACGCACAAGACACTCCAACAACGCAGTCCAATCGATCCGATGCGCACCATCCGAACCGACCCCCACTGGCAGCGCAATAAACTTCCCCCCATGACTCTCCAAAACCTCCCTCTGAGATGCAGAAGGCACCGTCTCCGCAGCCGTAATGATAAACGGGGCCCTGCCCCGCCCATTCCTCGCCAGCTCGAAGATTTTCGACTGCGCCGTAAACTCCCATCTGGCTGAGGGGTCGATGATAATTGGTCGGGGCTGGCCCGCCAAACCTTCGGAGCCGTATCCGCCTACCCCTGCCAATCGACAGTTCAGGCCCGGGTTGTCAGCCACGGCAGTGCCTACGCCGATGAGAATGGCGTCATGGCGTGAGCGTAGATAGTGCGTCATGGCTTTGGATTGCGGGCCGGACAGCACGGTCCGGGTGCCCGGGGAAAGAGCTAATTGTGAGTCGAGGGATGTGGCGAAGGTGAGGGTGGTGAAGGGGAGAGATGATGATGATGGGTTGCCATCTTTGGGTGGGAGATGAGGTTCCAAGAAGGCGCGGTCTTGGGTGGGGAAGTTGAGGCTATCCATTGTGTTGTTGTTCGATTGATGGTAGTGTGGTATTGGTGATATCAAGCTTGGATTGGACGGTGGTGGGGGGCCGTGAAAGGTTGTGTTGATGCCTCAGGCTATAAGGTACTGAGCGGATTCAATTCCGGGAATTACTGATTGGTCGGAATTGTGCGTGCTTTGCTTCGAAAGTCATCGCATCTGATTGGATGGATTTGGGTGCTTCTCCCCGGTCCAGTTTTCGCTGCCAGCGACCGGTTTGCACGGCAGTAAATAATCATTGCGTACAATGCTAATGTGATGAGGCTTGATGTATCGAAAGTCTATTCTAGACTGATATTCTGTGTATAGACGAATCGTCATATTCATTCCAGGTAAATAGTGCAATGTGACATAGAGACGTGGTCATGCGGGTCTCTTAATCTTCCATATTTTCTACTACAGGGAACAGTCTAGTATTTTCTGTGAGTTCGGAATATCCATCTTTGGAGATAGACTTGCGTCATGTGACCTTCTCAAGATTTGGTCAAATCCGGTCGCTCTCTCCATTCCCTGCTCTCCATATCCGGCACTCACTATGCGAATCATTGGTGTCTTTCAATCTACATGACTAATATGTTTAAATCCTTGCTAAAGCAGAACATGTGAGGTTTTCAAACTATTTATTATGGAAGATTTCAATGCCCAATTTGACAGGTTTTATGTAGTGACAAACAATCACAGCTTGAATTGACACTGAACTCCAGTAAATATGACACATAGTTTGAACAGCAGATGCTAGCAGAAAAATTATACAATGTACATATGCAATGCAGGAATGGATCGCTTTAACCAATGAACAATGCATTTATGACAAATCAACGCCAAGATACCCTCGCTCCAGTACGTAATGCAGATATTAACGCATCCTTCTCCCCAAACCCTTAGGAGGTGAACCACATGAATCTGGGATAAGCAGAATTAGCGGAAATCGCAAATCTCAAGTCAAGCAGATACCTACATCTCATAGGCCATGGAGGGAATATCTTTGCAAAGTGAGACACCAGATCGAATAAGGGATATGGTTGCACCCGTCAGCACGAGGATGGCCAATGGACGAAAAGCCAGAAACCAGGCATATCTCCACACGACCCCAACGGCGGATCTGATTAGAACTGGTCAGCACGCTAGTTGAAATCAGTTACCCATTGTGCTGCAGCTTACATGAGAGTGGAGGTGGAAGACATCTCGTTTAGTGATGGGCCTTTTTTCTCTCAACGAACAAAGAGTCCTTGTGGTACTATTGAGGAAAGATTTCCAAACTTCAAGGATGAGCAAATCGATTCAGACATGATCCTTGAAAGTGGGAAACGAGCCAAGGCTCTTATGTCAAGGTTATATCCCATTTGCTTGCGCCATTGCCAAGGTGGCAGCCTGCTATCGTCATCCCCAACGGGTCTCGTCCGAGCCACAGCAGCGGGGGTAAACGTTGCACCGCGCCAAAGACATTGGATCTTTAGATAGAATCGTCTAATCCCATTCAGGGAAGCCTGTGGTAAAAATGCTGCCTGAACCCGATGATCTTACCAAATCCTGCCTTCCGACTTTCCGAAAGTTGTCCACGGGGTCCTCGGGAGCTGGCCAACCAGAAGGGCTGGCTGGGTCAATTCGCGCCAGATGCGAAGAGTGACTGGGCAGGGCAGCCGGAAGACTTTGCTGGGGGGCTCCACTATTGGCTCCTCGGGAGGGGAAAGGGGCCCGCTCCCTCAGCCCTACAAGGCTGCCGCTGCACTTTTGTGAAATATCAGTTGACCCCTGGCCTTGCGCAACGTGGATGTCCTTTTTCTTACTGCTCTATCTCTTGAAATCCAAAGTCACTCGCTCTCTGTCTACCTTGGCCCAGCCGTTCACGGATGAAAACCGTGTCGACGATCTATGACGTTTTGCTTGTTCGATCAGTCAACAAGCGTTATATCATAGAATGGGCTGAGTGTACGCCTTTCCTGCCCTTCTCTGGCTTTGTGCGTTCTCACTGTGGTTAGGTACGCTTGTGTGTCAATAATTTTTACTGTCGCTCTTTCGCTCCCTGAGGTGGCTGCTCAGTCTGGATTCACAAGATGGACGCCAAGGGACTCCACCGGTTTTCCCACTTTTCCTGTCGGACCCAGCAAGTCGTCACCTCGTCCACCTGGGAGGGTTTGCTCATCGAGCAGTCCACCCTGTCTGCTGATACGAAAGGGTCAGAGCGGGATACGTGGTGGGTTGACATCTGCGACGCCACTGAGGAGGAGGTCAGCACTGTCTGCCAGGCATTATCGATCCATCCCCTGACGGCAGAGGATATCGCGACCCGGGAACCTCGCGAGAAGATTGAGGCGTTTCGCAACTACTACCTAATATCTTTTCAAACTCTGCTTCCAACAGACGACTTTTAAGAGTTCTCGAAGCCTCAAGCCATCATCGTCCATCCCCGGCTCCGCGGGTTTCTACATACTGGTGTTCAAGAACGCCACGGTGACCTTTTCTCCCAGTGGATGTCACCACATCGCCCGAGTCCGGGACCGGATCCGTCGGACTCAGGACACACATCTGGTGTCGAGTGATTGGATCTGCTACGCTCTTATGTACGCCCGCTACTTCTTGTCCTGATCCCCCCAGACTCCAACTAAAACCAAAATTCAGTGACGAAATTATCGATGATTTCGAACCGTACATGCGCGCAGCAGAACGTGAAGCCGATGCGATCGAAGATCAAGTGTTCATCGCCCGCGTCGACGACGTCAAGGCGCTCATTCCTCAACTTGATAGCCTCCGCAAGAGTATCACTCAGCTCATCCGCTGCCTGACCGGCAAGTACGACGTCTTAAGTGGCTTCGTCAAGCGTTGTCAGGCAAAAGACAGAAACCCAATGTTCCCGGACGGCGATCTCTTGGTGTACCTGGGCGACGTACAAGACCATCTCGTGACCACATTGACCAGTTTGTCCCATTTCGATGAAATTGTGGGCCGGTCGCAGTCGAACTTCCTGGCCCAGCTGAGCGTCAACAACATCCGGTTGAGTTACGACGTGAATGCAGTCTTGAGTAAGGTGACTATCCTGGCGACAATCTTCGTACCCTTGCACATGGTTACTGGGTTGTTTGGTATGAACGTCGAGGTGCCTGGACAGAATGTGGATAACCTGGGATGGTTTTTTGGTATCATAGGGTGTATGTGTGCGTTTGTTATGGTTTGTTGCTTGCTTGCGAAGAGGCTGCGGTTGCTCTAGACACGATTTGGGGTCCTATGGTTATTTTCTTATGGTCGGAAATCGAAAATCGTCCATGATAGCATCAATAGAGCGCTGATCTCCCGGATTAATCTTGCTGGACAAGATCTTTTAACGTATACTAGTAGTTATGAGTCCGAATACCGCGGGGAGTTTGGACGGTTTGTAGCAGTCACGCCGTCTCAGGTGACCGAGTCCCTGCTAGTTTCACCTCATCTCATTCCGCTCTTAATCTTGCCATCAACTCGCCATTACCAAGTCATCAACTGTCAAGACGTTTGTCATCTTTTTATCACGTCTCACGCTATCTCCATCTGATAGCCATATCTCTCAATCGATATTCGTACTATCTGCGAGATCTCCGACCAAAGTCCCATACCGCAAGCTTTCCCGTCCCCGCTCCTGGCCAGGGACCACGGACCGTCCCATGTGGAGTATATCGCAATATGTTGAGGCGCTTCAGACGGAACACGGGCAGGCAAACCGACCTAGCCGGGTCGCTGATCATACGAGGACCTGCACATTGCTGGTATCAACCAATGGGTCTGCAGACTAGCGTTCGGGGTTAATCAACTGAAGGTCGGAGGCACGGTCGCGGACCGCGCCACTACAGATAAGCACTGCTGTTCTATCATGGATCATGGCTAATGCTTCCCGATATAGTGAGAGTTTCCACATATCTACTATGTCGATGAAACCTTAGACAATATCGACCATTCTACTGTTGGGATAGTGTAAGGGTATAACATGGCAGGACTATATACACACGGCTGGCTGGTCAGCCATCCTGGAAAACCTTGCCTGTTCCGGTACGTCTGCACGTGACAAGGGGCGAGTTGCTCCGAAAATGCTCATCCTTACTGTGTCGGTCATTGTCAGCATCGGAAAGATACGGCCCCGACACCTTATCTGGCCAGTAAGACAAGCCTTTCCGTCACTGCAGCCAAGACGCACTCCTATCGGACAATTCGCCAATGGTATTTCCCAGCTAGAAGATAAGCCAGTTAGGTAAGCCAGCAGTTGTCCCACCAAGACATTCAGTCCGATTAATTAGTTCGCTGCGCTAAGACTGCCTCTGTCTCTCCCCTATTCTCAGCGAGGTTTACCTGAGAGAATCACGTAAATTCACAACCAGGATTCATACGACTCATTCACCTCTCACATGCAATTTACTCTGCCTTTCCAATAGTTTCTATTATCACCACACTAGGCATGTTAGCCGAGTTACCAGAGGACCCCGGGCCCGTGCCATGACATCAGCGGTATCGGGGGTTCCACGTGGCGTCGTGGCTAACGGCCAAAACCAATCAGGGGCAGCGATAGACGAGGAGAGCCTCTGGGAAATGAACGCCGGCGGGGGCGGGCTGGCCATTGGGGAGGCCTTGGAATGGAGGTCCGGTGCACCCGCTAAACTGGGTGTAGGAAAGCTGTCCCGCGAAACAGCCAGGAAACGCGGACGGGATGTCATGGTGATCCACTAAGTCCACTCGCCCTTGTTCCTGTGCCTCATGTCCGTGGAATAGGGAGATAGAGGGGCACGCCCGACACAGCAATACAGCCCCCGGTACTCCGTAGCGGCGTTCTATACGACCCGCCGGCGAAGCTTACCAGGTCTCTGCGTCTCTTGACCATTGAGCTTCGTTATAATTCGTCCCACCGACGCGCAACTTGGTCTTGCCGATGTGCGACTATACCGGATATATCTTAGACCGATTTCACTATCGCTGACGCCTTGCATGAACTTTTAAAATCTTTTCAGTTTCTCTCAAAAGTTTTTTTCCTTCTCTTTGTATTCTGCAGTTAACGCTTCCTAACTCTGCTTGCCCTGGATATTCTGCCTCAACCACGCTGTATAATCGACAAGCAATCATGGCAGACATCAAAGCACCCGCGAATCCAGCCATGGAGACTGACGGTGCCGAACTCGAGAAGGTCCGCATCGCCGGTACGAATCAGGCCGACACCCAACTCGCCGCAGAGTTTGGTTACAAGCCCGTCTTCAAGCGAGAGTTCGGTTACCTCTCCACCTTTTCGTTCGCAGTCAGTATCAGTGGTTTGTTTGCAACCATCATGACCACCATGTCCTATCCTCTCGAGGCGGGAGGAAGCAGCGCGGTGGTATGGTGTTGGCTTGTTTCGGGAGCCGGGTGCATGTGTATTGCGGTAGGTAATCTGATATAACAATGCGCTGTGCGGCGTGGGTACAGAGGCTGATCAAACCCGCTGCAGCTTTCGGTTGCTGAGCTTGTATCCGCCTATCCGACCTCTGGAGGCCTGTAAGTGTCACCGTTCGCTCGGAACGACAGCCGCTGACCCTAAGCTACAGGTACTTCACGATCTCTAGACTTGCTCCACATGATTGGGTCCCATCGATCAGTTGGTATGGAAACCTTTATGTTCCAAGACAATTATTTTGTCTCAGAGAATGATTGTTGATACTCTTTAGGGTGACTGGTTGGTTAAACTTCCTTGGCCAAATTTGTGGTGTTGCCTCATCCGAGTATGGTGGTGCGCAAATGCTCCTGGCCATTGTCTCGATGTGCAAGGGAATGGACAATTACGAAATCAAAACCACCACTACCGTCGGTGTGATGGCTGGTTTGACTGTCATCACCGGTCTGGTTAACTCTCTGTCCACATACTGGATGGAAAAGATGACCAAGTTCTATGTCATCTTTCACGTCTGCATCCTCGTCGCTTGTGCGATTGCTCTTCTTGTCATGACAGACGATAAGCACGATGCCTCGTACGTCTTCACCCATGTCGAATCGACCACTGGTTGGAAGCCGATCGGTTTCAGTTGGCTGTTTGGCTTCCTGTCTGTCAGCTGGACCATGACGGACTATGATGCCACGGCCCATATCACCGAGGAGATCAGCAACCCTGAGATCAAGGCGCCTTGGGCAATTTCGATGGCTATGTTATTCACTTATCTGGCTGGCTTCCTGTTCAACATCGTTCTGTGCTTCTGCATGGGTGACCCGAACGCCATCTTCAACTCCAAGATGGAGCAGCCAGTCGCACAGATCTTCTATAACAGCCTTGGCAAGGGTGGTGCCATCTTCTTCACCATTTCTGCTCTGCTCATTATCAAGTTTGTCACCTTCACAGCCATGCAGTCGCTTGGCCGAACTGTGTTTGCCTTTTCACGTGACCGCATGCTTCCCTTTTCCAACGTCTGGGTCAAGGTATCTCCCATCACCGGGACTCCCCTCTATGCGGTCTGGATCTCCGTGTTTTTCTGCATTGCGATCAATCTTATCGCTCTGGGATCCTACACGGCAGTTGATGCCGTTTTCACCCTCTGCTCTATCGCTCTTGACTGGAGTTATTGCATCCCCGTTCTGTGCAAATTGTTGTTTGGCCAATTCAAACCCGGACCTTGGCACATGGGCATCTTTAGCACGGTCGTAAATGCCTGGGCCTGTCTTTGGACACTATTCGTCAGCATTATTTTCGTTCTGCCCACGGACCGTCCCGTGACCCCTGACAACGTAAGTGGATTTGATTGCATACCCGTGCTCTCTTTGGGCTGACCAAATCACCCTCCCTTAGATGAACTATGCCTGTGTGTTCCTGGTGTTTGTCTTGCTGTTTGCGCTGGTTTACTGGTTCATCAGCGGCAAGCGCTTCTACCATGGCCCCATTACCGAAGCAGTTGTAGCAGATTCAGCCTCCGAAAGCAACCTACCCGGCGACGCCAAATCGGATAAGGACGGACAAGAGAACTGATGAACGGCCATTATGTTTGCCCGAGGCGCTCTCCGACACACCCCCATTACTTCATTTACCCCCGCGACATGATACCCGAGCGAACCCCTGCAACAAGCCCGTGTACGAATCGATCCCTTGAGCGACAACCCGTATGCCGAACCAAGCGAGCCCCGCAGCAATCCTTATACCCACCGCCCTGTTATATACCCAACGACATAACATTCCCATACCAAGCCCTTCAGCAACCCATTGGATCCCTTGCGAAAACCGGCCTTCCCAGCGATTATCGGATATTCCCAGCGCTACGTGAATACTAATCCCCCATTTGGATGCCATCCCTAGCGACCTCCGTTCAACAAAGCCCTGTAGCGACGATCCGAAGCGACAACCCGAAGCCCGTGGATGTACCGAATTACCCTTGCGACAATGGACCGATCGCATCGATGCCCCAGCAACCAGAGAACTGTTTAGTGGCCCAGATGTAGGAAGGTTTCTCTTCACATAAGGTTTCGCCTTGTGTAGGAGACGTGTTTACTTGCTTGTTGTTCTGTATATACTGTTCCAAAAGTTCTTGCAATTCTTGCAAGTTTGATTTTATCAGGTGCTTGTTGTTGAGAATGTTTGCTTGCGTTTATTGTGGCCCCGTTAAAGCCTTGAGTGGCATGATGGATACGACCCAACGCGACAATTCGGAGATCTCCCAATGCCCATGCACCTTTCGACAATGGTTCGACCAATCGATCGCCAAGACCCCCGCGGATAGTGCCGCACGCGCCCCGCCCCAACGCCAGAAAATATGCCCGGCAGTTTCATGTTCCTTTTTCGTCTAGGGACGTCGATATAGCACGAGACATCCGATGTGGATGATATTCTTGACTTCGACCATCCCGACACGGTACAGGCCTATGCGCTCTTGCAACCGAGTCCACGCCATCAGCCGTCCACGATCCAGACAACGAGACAGCGGAGGTTCCCATTTCCCTTCTTTCTACTTTGTCCTACGGCGATCGGATTCGGGCAAGATTCCAGCCCATCGCGCACAGATGTATGCTATAGACAGTTTATTTTTTGGAGAGGCGGTGCTTCCCATTATTGAATCAGGTTGTGATGTCGGAATTGAATACTATGCATCCGTTCACGCAGTTCAATATTTCATGTTTGCCCTGAGCGTGCACACTCTTGTAAAGTGACCCGTTATAACGATTAATATTAGCCCATTCACCATCGCCGAGCAATTATCACAGGTATCCCATACCCCCCGCTAGGTAGCAACACAATTCCCAATACAGAGAAACTCAAACTGACGCCTCATTGACGTTCCGTATCTCTCGTCTCAGCGTCAGTCTTTCGTACTCCAACACTTCTTTGCCCGTCTATCTCTACTTTCAACCTTCCTCTCCTTCTTTAAACACAACTACATTCAACAAAACAAAGATAAACAACACCACCCCTCTACCTACCACCTCCCTCCATCTCTTCACCCCACCCCATCCTCCTCCTCATCCCCGCACCCCCAAGCTATACCGCCAATAAAACCCTCACCGAAACAAGCACCATGTCCAACAATCTCACCCGCAAACCCTCCATCTCAGCCTCCTCACTCGGCGAAGTCCGCAAAATCTACATGTCGAAAATGACCCAGCGGGGGTGCTCCCAGACCCTGAAGGATAAATGCCGCGATATATGGCACGACGTGATCAACGATGCTATTGATGCGGAGGCCGAATGTTCTATTGGGGGGATTGCAATTGTGCACGAAATGAAACAGGAACCTGCCTACATTCAGAGCAAGGAAAACGGAAAAAGGGATAGCAGCGAGGGAGACACCGAGTCCGAGACGGAAAGTGAGGAGAGCAATTCCGAGACGGAGGTGGAAATCGATCCGAGTCTTGATGGTAGTGAGTGCGAATGTGCGTCTGGGTGCGCGTGCGCGTGTGCTTGTTGCCGGGTGGAGTATCCGGAGAGTTTGGTGGAGAGTGGTGGGAGCGAGGCGGAGAGTTTACTTTCTTGTGGGTTGGATGGGGGGGAGGGTGATGATGTGTAGTATTGGTTTTTGTTTGGGGGTGGATTTGGATGTTGGGGGCTTGGTAGGGAAGGGAATTTCCGGATTTGGGGGTTTGGGGATGGTGTTTTGATATTAAGAGGAGAGTTCCGGGAGATAGAGATGTTGATGAATCTAGGACTACAATCTCGAGTGTCAGCTTGATAACTTAAATATGGCTGTTATATCCTTCTAATCTTCTGTCTCATTCATATTCTATGTAACTTGGCCCGATCGACTCGAGCTCTCCCACTCACCATTCGATACATCGTGTTCACCACTTACCCCTTAGCATCAACCTCAACAACATGCCCTCCCCATCAAGAGAATTCAGCCCCGAGGACCTCGACGACCTCGCAAATGACTTGAAAGACATACAGGAAGGACTGGCTCCGAGCATCCACTACTTCATATCCTTCCAAACTGGCGCATTGTTGGATCACCTTGACGAGGTTCGCGATGCTCTGGACCTGCAGCTAATCAACCTCACAGAAATGCTGGATCGACTGAAGAGAGGCTTGGTTCAAGTCAAGGCTATCAGGAAGGCCGTCAAAGCTGAGGAGAATGAAACCTCGGAAGAGGAGGAGGTGAAGGAAAGTGAGCAGCATCCGCATCAGCATCATGCGACAAAGAGTCCGGTGGCGAAGAGTCCGAAACATCGTTTCTCTCCTGCTGCGAAGGTTAAAGTGCAGGAAAGTGATGGGGATGCGGACTCGGAGCGTGAAATTGAAGCTGAAAAGGAGGACTTTGAGACTTTGTTCCAGTAGGATAATAGGCTCGGTGGTAATTCCAATGGATATACTGTGTCTGAACATCATGACAGGGATGTGGGTATGGTGTCGTTGGGTTTGGTATATTGATTCTAATATGTCAAGCTTATATGAGCGTTACTGGCTAACGCAACAGGGTATTGCGTCAGGGTATACATTTTGGGCTTTTTTTCAGCTGTTGCCGAGACAGTTATTGAGTTAATTGTGGGTTTCCTACGCTCTATCTCTCATCCCCATCGCCTATCAGTACATTCACGTAGATCAAGCTACTCACAATATTGAGACATGCGCCTTGTAGAATGACGTATACCCTTATCAGGGGTCTACATCGTATCCGGTGCTGCTTTAGCTTATCGGTTCTTTCGACACAGTCCTTCCCTGGCCTATATGTTACATCCACCCACTGAAGAATCTCAATTTATCAATAACTTCTTCACAGTGGTACGTTACATGAAGAGGGGAAGGTGACACTACTAGTATGCTCTAGTACATGATCTGCAGTCAACTGTCGGGGCAATCCGATAGTGACCCGATACCTCATAGGTTATCTCTGTGAAGCGCATATCAACTCCGTGCGGGGTTCCCGCTTAGCCCTCAACTTCACAATCATAACCAATCAAGGATCTCTTGAGGACGCTACTTCCAGGTTGCATGAAACGGTCAATATAACCCTGCTAGCCGAGCTGCAACCTTGCTATCATTCTGCAAGTCTTCTCCAGTATTTCCAGGTTACATGCGGTGTAACAGACCTGCCAGGGTACTATTTATTCAGCAGCGCACGCCCGTTCCAAATACTCCAAAACACATTGAGGTATCACCATGCGGTTGAGGGCACTGGGCACACTTAGTCTTGTTCTTGACTTCACCATCTGCGGTATGCGCCTTGATTTATCATACCTCATATAGTCTCTTACAATCACAGGGTTCGCCCGTCTGGTGACGGTCCCCACTATTCCATTCGATGATAATAACGGCACTTATGCACTGTCCCAGCTCACCAAGATTGTCGTGGATACTCGTCACGCCAGTACTGTGGATACTCAAGGCCAAACATTAATCCCGCCAACATTGAGAGAGTTTGCTGCGACGTTCCAAGAGGACCTTCGATCTTCGCTTGGAATCAATCTCCCACTCGTCTCCAGTAGCGCCTCCAGCGACAATACAATCTTCCTGACCCTCTCCAATAACACGGGCTTCCGCGATGTTGCGGGACGTTTCACAACGGAGGCATATGCCTTGCACATCGACAACAAAGGAATCACCATCTCTGGAGCGAGTCCCCTGGGAGTATGGTGGGGAACGCGCTCGCTAATCCAGGCTGCTGTGGTCAGCAAACACGACCTTCCTCAGGGCTCTGCAATCGATGCTCCAGGATGGGGAACACGCGGTGTCATGGTAAGCCCTCCCCATACCACTATACAACCAACATCTAACCGATAAGCTCGATGCCGGACGTCACTACTACCCACCCGACTTTTTGATCGAAATGTGCTCGTACCTGTCCTTCTTCAAGCAGAACGTCTTCCACCTCCACCTCAGCGACAATCTCTACAACAACGTCGACCTCTACTCCACCCAGGAATTCATGGACCTCTACGCAGCATTCCGGCCCTGGTCCGACGATCCCGCCGTATCTGGGTTCAACAAACGAGCCAACGAATCCTACACGCGCAGCCAATTCGATCACATCCAGCGCCAATGTGCTCGTCGCGGTGTCACTATCATCCCCGAAATAGAAGCCCCCGGCCATGCCCTCGCCATCGTGCAATGGCGGCCCGAATTAGGTCTAACAGACCTCAGCATGCTCAATATCAGCCATCCAGACACCATCCCGACCATGAAATCCATCTGGAAAACCTTCCTCCCCTGGTTCCACAGCAAAACCGTCCACCTCGGCGCAGACGAATACTCCTCCTCCTACGTATCCGACTACACCGACTTCGTCAACGACATGCACACCTACATCGCCGAGCAATCCGACAAAGACACCCGCATCTGGGGCACCTTCACCCCATCGGAGGGCGCCAACGTCTCCAAAGCCGTCACCATTCAGCACTGGGAATACTTCGAAGACAACCCCTACTTCGACTACATCAAGAATAACTACTCGGTCCTCAACTCCGACGACGCCTTCTACATTGTCGGGAAATGGTCCGGAAGCTACCCGCAGTACCTCAACAAGACGCGAGTCTTCCACGGTGATCCAGCAAACAACGGTCCCTACGCCCCCAACATCTTCTCTACCACCAACGCAACCGACAACCCTTCAAGAAATAACCCCTACGTTCTCGGCCACATCGCCGCCCTCTGGAACGACTACGGGCCCAACGCAACGACCTACCTCGAGGCGTATTACTCCTGGCGTGATGTTCTCCCCGCACTAGCGGACAAGCAATGGGGCGGCGATATCCTGGAAGAAGAATACGATGATGTGTTCGATGCCCTTCATGCTGTGATCCCAGGGCAGAACTTGGATCGCCATGTCCCAAGCAAGACGGATCTGATTCTACACTACAACTTCGCGAATGCCACCGGAACCACAGTTCCAGATTTATCAGGGAATAACTATCACGCCACGTTCAATCACACCTGTCCCATCGATACTTCTAACTCTACAATCAGATTCACAGGAACATGCACCCTCACTACACCTATCCAGAGCAAAGGAAGAGACTATACCCTCTCTTTCTCGGTATATCCTTCCACAACTCACCCGTCACCTTTATTCTCGGGGAGTGACTCGACACTCCTCAACGGCAACGGGTCAATCAGTAATATTACCCTGGTGAGCGGCGGGAATCCATACACATTGAACTACAGTCTTCCGGTCGGTAAATGGTCGGATGTTAGTTTAATCGGAAAGGGTAATAAAACTTTTCTTTCCGTTGATGGTGGCGAAAAGATGGAGTTTCTAGCGAGACTAGGGGTGAATGGGGAGTCGTTAGTGTGGGCGCCCATTGCGATCGAGGCACCAGTGCAGAGGATCGGGGAGGGGTTTGTAGGGATGATGAGGGAGGTTAAGTTGTGGGAGAGTGCGAAGTGAAGATGATACATTTTATCAGCATTCTGATCGTCAAGGACATCATGATACTTCAGTCAGTAACCTTTCAGTAGTACACTTCGTGAGTAAAATCCATGTTCGCTTGACTATTACATCCTACTATGTAGCAGAAATATATTCCAACAACACTAGTACAACCGAATTTGAAATAACAGAAACCAGCTAACCCATTCCGACTTCCACGAAGTTTGCCACTCAATCCCCCTAACAAACAAAACCAAGAATCCAACCCGCCCATTTATGGTCCAATTTCATCCACGAGTCCCTGAAAATGACTATCACTGGTTACTGGATAGACAGTGGATAATAGATAGTGGTTCCCCTCCCTCCCGTCTGCCGGACCCGCCCAGATTAAACTTTTCATTGCAAATCTAGTCTATAAGCGAAGCGATCCAGAAGCATGATTTTTGTTCTGGTGGAAGTTTATTCCCTTATTTACTTTTCATCAGTAATGGAAATATCTCACATTGATAAGAAAAATAAGCAAAAATTTATTGTGGGAATTGACTTAGTCATGATGGGTAGGTAGCATGGATAGTTTGAGAAGATGGGGGAGGGAAAAAACAAAAAAAATTGGAGCTGAAGGGGATCGAACCCTTGACCTCTCGCATGCAAAGCGAGCGCTCTACCACTGAGCTACAACCCCAGTTGAGATACTTTCCTGATTCATCTAATGGATCAGGAGATAGTCATGCATTGATTCTACTGGTAAACAATAACAAAAGTAATCAAATGATGTTCACAAAAATCCAATATATGTATGTATATATTCGCCCATCCCTCGATCTATCTATATCATAGCAGTCATAACATGTCATATCATCTAGCAAGGAAGATGAAGATCAAACCCCAAAACCAATGATAGCCCATAGCATAGCCCACTTTTTCGTCCCGCCATTCCATCTATAACCCATTGTATTCCATCCAGGGAAAACAGCAAGAAATAAAGTAAAGCAAGTAGTACCCTCTCACCAACACCAAACACAACAGATCTCAAATCAAATCCAGTAAGAAGGGAATCATCAAAAGAAAAACAAAATCATGGAACCACAGAAGTAAAAGGAAGAAGGAAGAAAGAAAAAGTCTATTTATATCGCGCAAACAGTATCATCCCTATCACCCGGACCAATCCCCCTCCTACTCACACTAAAGAATGCAATAATCAGGCCTAGACCCGCTAGGCCAGCAGAACACCACAGTCCCGTGCGGTATTGATGCGCGAGATCATGTCCTTTTTTGATGTCTACTTCTTCAGCGACGGCCGCGGAGATGGCGAGGGCAACGCCGGAGCCGATTTGGAAGGCTGTGTTGAGCTATTTTCCCTTCATTAGTTCGGGAATTCCAATGTGATATAGGAGGACGGTAAAGCTTACCATTCCACCGCATAGACTCTTCACATGCACCGGGACGGTAGTGAGGATGGCAGTGCTGGTGGTAACGAAGATGAGAGACACGGCAGTGATGCTGATCAGGGAGGTGGGGAGGACATTGACCCAGCTAGATGTAAATCATTAGTATTCATTTCATCCAGGGGATAACGAGTGGGTCACGTACAAACTTGTTTCCGGGCTGGATGTGATAGCGCTCGGGACTGGTGCAAGAACAGTGAGGATCAACCCTGCCAGCAGGGTGTATTTCCCGTTGATGTATTCGAGGGCCTTGCCGGTGCCCATGGAGGCAATGAAGCCGATCACTCCCATGGGAAGGAAGCGGAGTGCGGTGTCGCCGGCGGACAGCTTGTCCACTTCTTGTGCCATTAGGACGATGTAGTAGATGACGTTTTGGTAGCTGCCGTAGCAGGCTGGAAGGGTTTGTTAGCTCTCCGCATGTAGGAAGCTTGGGGATGGAGGAACTCACTGAATCCTGCGATCCACAGACCAGCAAAGTTAGGGAGCTTCCACAAGCCCAGAGGCATAAGTGGGTACGAGATGAATTTCTCCCAGAGAGTAAAAGAAACCAGCAGGGCGACGGCCAGCACCAGCAGGACAATGATGAAGGGTGTGCCCCAGCCATACGAGCCACCACTGGACAGCACGAATTGGAGGAGAATGAGACCCGCAGTGGAGAGCATGGCGCCGACATAGTCCATCTTGGGCTTTTCCTTGCCAGCAAGGTTGTCCTTGGGAAGGACAATGGCACCCAGGATGCCTAGCGAGCCGGTGATGATGACGATGAAGTAGAAGATGTATCGCCATCCCAGAGAGGAAGTAAGGAAGCCACCAAAAATAAGACCCACGCAGAACCCCACAGTTCCGGAGGAGGCGTAGATGGACAGTGCGCGGGTCCGATCAAGCCCACTGAAGTAGGAGCTGATGATTCCGATCGCTGAGGGCACCGTGAGCGCAGCTCCCATGCCCTGCAGACCGCGGAAGACTGTCAGTTGGATGAATGACTGGCCGAAGCCAATGGCCAGAGTCCAGATGGAGAGCCAGGTCAGGCCCAGACAGAGGATCAACTTGCGACCATACCTGGATAAGAAAGTCTACAGTTAGTATGATGACGGTCATTGTCTCAAGGGGACATGGTACGTACCGGTCGGACAGAACACCCGCAAGGAGCAAGAACCCACCAAAAGTAAGGGTGTATGCGGAGATCATCCATTGGAGATTGGTGTCCGACACGTCAAAGTTCTCTTGGATAGATGACAAAGCGACATTGGCACTGGTCATGAAGACATTGTCGAGGAACTGGGAGCCCGAGGTGACGAGCAGGATGAGGGCGCCTTTCCACGAAGCCAGACGACCGATTTCGGGACATGGTCCCAGCTTCGTGAGCTGCTTCTCTTCAATTGGGGTGGCAATACCCGATGAAGGTGTGCTACTGTCATCACCTAGTGAAGAGCCCGGACGAGAAAAGATAGTGAATTGAGGAAATTTGGACGGAGTATCGCCGTCAAACTGGTGCGGCTGCTGCTCCTGCGCGCGGCCTCGCAAAAGGTCTAGGATGGCCATTTTGATAGAGATTCTGAATTGAGGAACCGACGAGACAGGGACAGCCGGGTCATTTTTTAAATAGTAGATTAGCGGGGCGCAAGGAAAAAAAGTCTGTAAAGAATCTGAGGGAAAAGTGGGTTTTCGCAGCTGGGGGAAGGCAGTGATGGTGTGGCATCGATAGACTTTCTCTCCGTCCACACTTCTTTTTCGGTCGCGCTCCGTGCCCTAATTTCTGGTGTTGCAGCATTTCTTCATCGATTGCGCGTCCAGCATAGTTCAGTTGACCCTGCCATTGCGTTTATCGCATTATCGCTAGTTTATTAATAGTCTACTGGCTTATCTGGCTCCTCCTCCAGTCTCACCCTGCAGTGCGGAAGTGCGACCACATTGTCTCTGGTGGATCGCGCCTGTGATTTCTCATTCGCCTCCCTGCTGAATAACACTACCACCCCCCCCTCCATCCTTCTCCTCTTCCCTTTTCCAGACGAGGGTGACGACTCCAGCAGAGTCGAGTAACTGTTCACATGCTCGCCACAGAGTGGATCGCTACAACGATGCTATCGATAGTGGATTACGGGGTGGATAACCAAATGCTTTCCTGCTCCACGATCGCCGGCTGACATGTGGTCTGTGAAGGGGCACTGATTGAATGGATTTGCTTTGGAAAGCTTGTGTGACCAGCTGTTCATCGATCGGCGAAGTGGATAAGACTTAGAAAGGAAAAATTACAACAGCTCTAAAAATTTGGAATGGATTATTCAACCAGTCAGCGAAACCTGATTGCGTGCTCTCTCTGGTCTGGGAGTGTCTGGAATCCCTAGCACCCCTATCTCTAAACTAGCCACTACTGCAGTGATCACCCTCCGGGATGAACCCGTGTGCGGCGGGAAGCTAAACCAGTCCCTTTTCCACTGCTTGCTTACTTGCTTGCTTTTCCTTTGCCCTTCCCTTCCATCCCGAGACCCAAGCCGTCGTTCCCGTTGGGTCGATCGACAAATAGTGAGAAGCTTCAATGCCGAAACTATCGGGCCGAGACAACAAACCCACCGGCCCTGAATGATTACCCTAACCGCCCTGACCGCATCCGGTAAAATCAGGACCCTTTTGTTGCGCGACCGCTTTTTGATGTCCGCCATGTTAATCTCCGCACATTGCGTACTCAGGGGTAGGTAAGTATGCAGAGGATTCGTCATGATCACCATGATCACCCATTGATCCCGCAAGGGTGGCTTTTTTTGTCAGTACTTTGGAGGGGCTGAGAGGGGGGGAGAGATCAGAATGAGAGGTGGCAGATCCCCATAGTATGTATGCAGTTCAAGCAACAACCGTTTTAGCCAAGCGGAGCGACATGTCCGTTGAACCCACTGATTTACTCTATATTTATAATGAAGCATTATAACCAACACAACCCTATGGGTCATCGTGTCCCCCGGCTAGTTGATTACTGATACTGTAATGCTATGGAGCTATTGATATTTGAACTATAGTATCAATGCACCTCGACAGCGTGAATATGGATCTCGCATTGACTGGCCCACGTTGAATGGATGGCGGGTCAGGAAGGAAATAAAAAAAGAAAGGACTAAATAAAAAATCTTGTCAAGATAGTATATCAATAGTAGCGGTGATAGTGAAGCTAGAGATTTCCCTCACCAACCAACCAAACCACAGTAAATGAAATCTGCTAGCGTGTCAAATTCCATCCATATCGTTTCTGTTATCGCCAGGAATTCTCGGCAGACTTGCCCACGGAAACGTGTGGTAACCGGGGCCAAGAAAACGGTGCCTAGATAACCCTGTTTTGACCAACAATCCCCATGTCTCGGATTCCCCTTGAATGAGATGACGACAGACTCCCGGATTCCAATGCCAGGGGCGCCCCCAACTTTCAAGGCCGACTTGCCAATAATTCGATGTGGTGTATCACAAGCCCCACCAAGCCGCGACTGAAAGGGCTGGTTCTCCAGGCTGACAGTTTTTATAGTATAGCAGGTGAAGCGAAATTGGATGGTAGTGACGTACTCTGCGGTATGGTCATGCTTCAAAGTGATGCTAGATCTGGTTATAAGTGTGATGGCTGAAACGCTAATTTCACTTACCCCCCTCCCTCCCCTGGCCTGACTGACAGTCTGATTGATGATCATGTCTTTTATGTCCATTCATTGCATGCATGTTTGGTGATCATTCTTCATCATGGAGTATGCGTTTAGGCAGAACTGTCAGACCCCCGGATGTTTGGCGGAAAGCTACTGCTTTTGCTTTCTGGGCGTGTTAATATTGTCCGATATACCTGAGTGTCCCTGGTACTTTCGTCATTGACATGGCCGACTGTCTTCTCAAGCGCATTCTATGGCAGAAATGGCCGCTTCTAGCGGGCTCTTGACCGAAGCATGCCCAAGCGACCGTACAAGGACCCGCAAACTACAGTAAGTTCCCCATAGACCCGGTCTGGTCTGTCCATAGCTATTATCCAAGACACTAACATCAATGATAGAGATTAAACAACTGGCAGTCTACTATCGAGATCACACTGCTCAATTGGTTGCCTTTGGCACCATCTCCACCACGCTCTCGTCGGGACACCATACCCTAACGGGGCAGCGGACCGGACACGGGTGGAAGGCACCTGGACGGCAGCGGCGATGTGGATATCTCCAGCTAGTCAGAGCTGAGAGGGAAGCAAAGATAGAGTTGAGGTGGCGGTGAGGGCTTTGTTTACCAAAGTCTAGAAGGCTGAAGGATGGGACATGGCGATAAATGGGACCTGGAAGGCCTAGACAAAGTCTTAGCGGGTGGATCACCAGTGGCGTTCTAGAGCATCAAAACTCTGAGCCAAGTCACGGATGATCCACCTCGCCCCACTGTGCCACGGACCATCCGGCCTATCTTGCTTGGCTATCTGGTTGATGGAGTTAAGAGGTCTGTCTGGCACCAGCTGTGATCCTTTCATGGGATGATAGTGGTAGTGTCGTTGACAGCGCTGACAGATACTGACCGCTCCACTAATAGGACTGCTGGCAGCTAAGCAATCGTGGTTGGTGTCCTACCATTGAGGGGAGAAATGAGTGTATTCAGTCAGGAGAGCAATGACCCTATATTACGGCGCTGATATTGGTGCCAGCAGAGGGTAATTTCCTTATCTTTACTTCATGGTAATGAGCCCCCATAATACCCATCTCTAAGACACAAGTCTAACTGTCCGTCAGGCTGTATAGTGGAGCGATTTCATCTCTGAGCGTCAAGGGTTCATTAGTATCTTGTGTACTAAGCACGAATCCATTGAAAGCAACAGAACAACTACGCAAGGTAATTGTCTGGTTGTTAGATAGCTTACTTATCCTGTCCGAGAATAAGTGGTTGTCGAGACAGACGCTGCGGAGGGGTAATATGCCTCTAAGAACACTACAGCGGGACCCTAAGTCACGACTCACCCGAGCCCGTACGCGATCACTCTATCACAAGTATAATGTTTGTGCTTTGTGCGTCGCTCAGTATGGTAGTTTCATTATACCAGGGTAAGAGTATAAATCTCCAGCAGCATGAACCACTGCACATGATCGGTGCCTGAGGATCCGCCCCACCCGACACCAACCGCTCCATGCATGTCGTCATCGCTGATATCAATCCTCATCCTGTCCCCAAAACCTGAAATGCAGCAGCCCTTGACACATATATCCCCCAGTTACACTCCCTTAGTATCTATTCCCATCAATTATCCCCTACAACCCTTACTCTCACCTACAATCTCACACACAAACCTCCAAAACCTACACAACCAAAATGCCACCCCCACCCCCCTACACCTACCAATCCGAAGTCTACACGCACGGCCTACGCGACCAAAAACCAGCTATAACCTTCATTCCCAGCGAATGGGAGAACCTCGCCCGCGCGCGCCTGTCCGCCAACAGCTTCAGCTACGTGCACGGGTCGGCCGGGTCGGGAGAAACCGACCGCAAGAACCGGTCCGCATTCCAAAGCTGGTCCGTGATACCTTCCCGCCTGGTCCCCTCGGCCGACTTCCCCGATCTATCGACCACCCTTTTCGGAAAGAAATTCTCCTCGCCAATTGCCATCGCGCCCGTAGGGGTGCAGACTATCTTCCACCCGGAGGGTGAACGTGCTGTTGCGCGCGCCGCGGCGGGGCTGGATGTGCCGTATACGTTGAGCACGGCGACAGCGACCTCGACGGAGGATGTAGCGGAAGCGAATGGGGCGGACGGGAAGAGGTGGTTTCAGCTGTATTGGCCTGGGAATGAACACAATGATATAACGGTTAGTTTGCTGGAGCGGGCGAAGAAGAGCGGGTATGATGTGTTGGTTGTGACGCTGGACACGTATATATTGGGGTGGAGGCCGACAGATATGGATAATGGGTATAATCCGTTCCTGAGGGCGGATAGTATCGGGGTAGAGATGGGGTTCAGTGATCCGGTGTTTAGGAGGTATTTTCGAGATAAGTTTGGGAAGGAGGTCGAGGAGGATAAGGGGACTGCTGCGGGGGAGTGGACGAAGATTGTGTTCCCGGGGGTGTCGCATTCGTGGGAGGATTTGGCGTTTTTGAGAAGCCATTGGGAGGGCCCGATTGTGTTGAAGGGGGTGCAGAGTGTGGGCGATGCGAGGAGAGCGGTGGAGTGTGGTATGCAGGGCATTGTGGTTTCGAATCATGGAGGTAGGCAGATGGATGGGGGGGTTGGGTCATTGACGGTGTTGCCGGGGATTGTGGATGCCGTTGGGGAGAAGATTGAGGTGTTGTTTGATTCGGGGGTGAGGTGTGGGGCGGATGTTGTCAAGGCGTTGGCGTTGGGGGCGAAGATGGTGCTTGTAGGCAGGCCGTATGTTTATGGGTTGGCCATTGCTGGGGAGGAGGGGGTCAGGCATGTGCTGAGGAGTTTGTTGGGTGAGGTGCAATTGTCGTTGCATTTGGGGGGGATCAGGAGTGTGAAGAAAGAAGATCTGAATAGGGATTGCCTGGTCAGGGAGTAGATGTGTGTATAGACGGTTATATATATATGATGGTGTGGAAGGGATGGAACTGTCTTGATATCAACTTAACGCATCCTAGAAGTACTAGAACTGCATACTGGGCTATCGTTAAATATTTGTTATCAAGTACTTCAAATCAAACAGTCGAATTCAAATATACTCCCAACATTAACACAACTCAAACCGCCCTACTCTCACTCATCCCTCCAGACCTGCAAATATCAGTCCCTGTCCGCCGATATACCGGGAATAAACTTACACTGCGAATAATACTCATTCTCATACGTGCATGTCCACCCACTCGGACACTGCGTCGGTCCCGTAAACCCGCTGCCACCGCACTGCCCATACGCCGAGGCCGTCCCAGTAGCAGTGGATGATGTCGAAGTAGTCGAACTACTCGACTTCGTAGTCGTCGTCAAAGTGGTCGACTTAATACTGCTCGTAGTGATAGTTGTAGCCGTACTCGAAGAAACAGTTGTGCTCGAACCTACCTTGGATGTTGAAGTCGAAGTCGAACTCTTCACCGCTGTCGACGAAGCACTAGACGCAGTAGCAGTCGCGCTCGGCAGAGTTCCACTCGGATCACCATAGAAGATTCCTCGCCCATTTGTCCCAACAAACACCCTGCCATAGTTCTGAAGATCCCCATTGACTACATTCGCCGAAGCAGCCCCGAACCCGTGCTCGGCGTCGGAAATTATCTGCCAATTAACACCCTGATCTTCGGTTTTGAAGAGACCGGTAACACCATCGACGGTAAAGAATCCAAATAGGACCGGGTAATCGCCGTCCGAAGAGGGCTTTCCGAATCCGAAACTCCACCCCTCTGTGCATCCGCTTCCAATCTGGGTGAAGGACTTGCCGTAGTTAGTTGAGTGGAAGAGGCCTGTGTCTGTACTGACCCAGACGTCGCCTGCAAGAGAGGGGTGCGCGCGGATGGCGTTGGCGGTTGTGCTACTGCCGAGGGTGGTGGTGACAGTGAAGGTCGCGGCGGTGTCGGATGAAAGATAGAAGGAAGAGCCGGAGGCTCCGTAGAAGTAGGTGTTGTTAGCTTTGTCGGAGGCGATGACAGCCCCAGAGGGCAGAGAGGAGACTGCGCTAAGAGTAGCCGAGTTTGCGGAGCGATAGGCACCGTCGCTGTTCATGAGGAGGATGGTGTCTGCATCGGCTGAGAGGGCGACTTGGCCGGTCGCAGTGGAGGAAGAAGCAGCGTAGTCGGCGTACCAGGATTCGCCGAAACTGGAGGATAAAGCGAGAGTAGGATCGGAGTCGCTGGATCCAGAGCGGACGATATTGGCGGGCTTGTTGCCGGCGTAGTCGATACCGTTTGTTGAACTGTAGGTCGGGGTGTGGTAGTATTGTGATGGGGCGGTGGTCAGGGAAGTGTGGTAGAAGCCGCCATCGTCGCCGACCGCAGAGAGAAGGGCAGGCCCGCCTGGGGGAGTGATGAGACCCAGGACAGCCATTTCTTCGATGCCTACGGCAAGAGATTCGATAGTTACGTTGTGTTCGCTGTCCCATTTTTGAAGGTCGTGGCCGCCGTAGATGGTCTCGCCAGTGCCGTAAAGCCAGTGGTTAGAGTCGAAGGGGTCGATGGCGAGGGCTTCGACCATCCAGCCGACGCGAACAGGGAACTCGTCTGTAGAGGTGTCGTCTTGTAGCCATGGGGCGTTGGAGATGTCATACGAGTAGTAGTAGTTGATGCTGGGATAGCCGTTCCAAGCCCAGATGGGTGACCAGGTGGCTCCAGAATCCGTGCTGCGCCAGATCAGCTCGTCAGGCCACCAGCAGTTGAGAGCTGCTACCATGACGGTTCCGGGAACTTGGAGATCGACTGCCAGTCCGCCATAGCCATAGTAGGTGTCTGTCATGGAGGTGGGACTGATATCGGTCCAGGTACCGCTGGTGATGTTGTATTTATGGACGGTGCCATTGGTGCCATCGTATGGACCGGCGCCGTTGGAGTAGGAAATGTAGAGTGTGTGCTCAGAAGGCGACAGAATGCCTTTATGGGGGAGGAAGCCGTACATGGGCTCTCCAGATACCCAAGCCCCTGAGTTGGTTAGATGGGTTCAATTGCGATCGTTGAGGAGCTTACAAGTTTCGCCAGCATCTTCCGACACAAAGACGGATTCTCCAGTGTCCACCACACCTGTAATGGTCAGTGAGCTGTCCTAAGATATCTAAAGTTTTTCACATACCGACAAAGATGCGCGGAGTCGGAGAACCACTGGACCCTGAGGTCGAGTCGAAGGTGACCCAGGCAATTCCCACCGGATCAGACGTGTAGGTCGAGCTGGAATCTTGGAAATAAGTGCCGGTCCACTTGAAGGCAGTCACATTGGACCATGTCTCGCCGTAGTCGGTGCTTTTCCACAAGCCATTGCCACTCCGGGCACCAAAGTACAAGATGCTGTTGTCATTCGGATCCACAGCCAGACGCTGCAGTGGTCAATGTATGCTGACAAGAGAAAGACATGGGACTTACTTCGCCAACTCCCCGACCGGGCATATTCCCTCCAACCTTGAAGGGAAGCTTTGTCTCTTCCCAGGTATCGCCCTGGTCGGTCGACCGCAGGATGGAGCCGTCATTGGGATCCCAGTCGTTGGTGTACATGCCAACTGCAACATACACCCGATCGGTATCGACGGGGTCGGTCGCGATCGCATCAATGCCCCAGTCGTGCCTGGACAGTGAGCCTAGGCATCTCGTAAGAGGAGCTTACGTACCAGTTAGAGTTGTTGGCCCAGTCCATCAACGGGGTCCATGTATCGTCCGAGTTCAACCGATATGCACCGCCGATGTCGGTGCGAGCATACGCGACACCTTTAGCTGAAGGGTTGAAGACGATACCCGGCGTGAAGCCTCCGCCACCTGATCAATTAGCTTGTCAATCCCTCATATTGCAAGATATGTCATACCCCCTGTGACCACATTCTTCCAGGTATATGCCTGCGATGCGGCAGCGTGGACCGATTCCAGCAGGTAGCCCGCTACAAGGGCTGCGAATGTACGCCGCATAGTGACGACTGACTGGTGACCGAGTTGGTGTTACCGACAACTTGTCAATCTATGTGGGAGAACATGGAGCTTAAATATCCAGCAAGTTCAAGCATTGAAGCTGCCCTTCAGGCACAATCCTACGGGTGACGAGGTGCGTTCATGTGTGACATGCAGTTGGCCCTGCATTAGTTGACTTGAACGAAGATGCTATACCTCACCTGGAACGGACCAAGGCATTGTGTGGTCAGACGAATCTTGACCTGCTCCGCAATGAACAACATGATTCTGCAGAACCAGGGTCGAAGAAATATACCCGGGAAAAGGACCGAATAGCCGAATAGATTAATTCTAATGAGATGGGGTCAGATGTTGCTGCGTGACTGATTTATCACGGAGCAGCCTCCGAATTAGCCAGTCATCGCATATTGACAGAGGAGCTTAGACTTGAAGCATATCTACTTGCTTTCGAGCATTCTTGAGAGGATCAAGATGCCATTTTCTTCATCGAAGCTGAATACTGCTTGAAATTCAAAGGGCGGCGACGGACAGACGCGCTGTTGTGGTTGGCGGAACAACGAGCTGCAGATGGGGATGAATGCACGCCATTCTGATGGTACGCAGTTCCGGACAGGCACGGTCGGGAATTTCTCCTGACACCTGCAGGGCTAGCGCAGCCATCGTGCCCTTAATCCCGAAAGCACCGTTTCCAGCCGGAAATTTCACAATGGCTGCGGCAAGGTTTGCCCTGCCCAAAGGAGTACTTCTTAACGATGTCTCGGTGAAAGGGGGCTTGGCAGCTATGACTCGTCTGGCCTACTGACTAGTCATACCGAGATCATAACCTGCAAGACCTGCCACAACAAGCCGAAAAACTGCACACTTTCAGATAGGAATTTCACTTGACGCTTTTGCCGCCCGGTCGGACTGGACTCGATCGAGGCTGTTGTTCAAAGATTGGCCCTATGACACCCTAATGAGGGGGTGGTGGGGAACTAATATAAGCCCTCCCAAAATTATGAACTTCCTTCCCTCTCATGACATGGACCTTATTGATGGGTTGAGCCATATTATAGCTAGTCAACGATAGTAAAGTCTTGAAATGCTTGCCATCCAAGACGTCAAACTGGGATCATGCTAGTGGGGATATGGCCAAGTCCTTTCGGCCGAAACTAAAGTGCGATCAACGCTCAAAGCAGGGCCGGTAAAGCCATTAAAGTTATCTACCGTGGACGTCGGGATTTGATCAACGGCCAGGAACCATATCTGACGAATAATATCAACGGACGGCTACCTATAAGAAGCAAGATAACGAGGGAATCCCGAAGTTGCCTGTTGATCCATCAAAAATCAGAATCGGCCCGTGCAATCAATCCGGGACTGGAGACCACAATCCGGACTTGCAATGTTGATACATCTACTACCCTCACGCCCTTACGACACCCACCTGCAGGCTAATCCAGTTGACAGGTGCCAGGACCACCAGCTTGAGTTCGTGCGAGCGTTTCAGCATGAAACGCCCCAGATCGACGGTCAATTTAGGGTTGCCGCCCCACAACGGGCTGTCCCATTTTTGGGCTTCCGGGCCTTATTGGTTCTCTCGAGTCGTTGGTGTCATGGTTATATTGAATTGGCGAGATAGATCTTTAATTTCATAGAAGCTTAATTCATGGATGCGACGGGGGGTATGTAAAGGATGAGGTTCCTGGTTGTCGCAGAGTCCTACTGCAGGCTGTCATCCTGTCAGTTCTACTCCGTAACCATCCCTTCATCATGCCAGGGGGCTTGCATCCACCGCTGTCGGTCATGGAGTCATGGCCCGCGCGCAACATCATCAATCCGGAATCCCATGGTCCAGCGTCCATTGTTCTTCCTGTGATCTTCGGATCTATTGCTGTCACGGCAGTCATACTTCGCCTCTGGGCTCGCTGCGTAATCCAGCGACAGGGGAAACTTGATGACTTCTTCATCGCATTAGCACTCGTAAGCTAACCCTCTCCTATCACAACCCAACACCTTCTAACCAACAATACCCAGATCCCAGCCATCGGGCTTAACATCAGCTTTCCCCTCGGTACCTACACCACCCGTCCCACCAACTCCACCCCCAACTAACAAGATACTCTTGAAAGGAGCCTATAACTACGGCGAAAACCACCACGTATGGGACAACACACTCCCACAACTCCTCCAATCACGCAAACTCGCCATCGCGCAAGAACTCTTCTACATCCTCGCCTCGTGCTTCACCAAGATCTCCGTCCTGCTCTTCTACCGCCGCATGGGCCACCGCACCACCATCTCCCCTCGCTTCCTCAACATCATCTACCTCAGCATCGCCAGCGTAGCGGCTTACACGCTCGCCTTCTTCATCGTAATCTGGGTCGCCTGTCGTCCGTTCTCAGCGTACTGGATGGAAGTCGACCCCGAGTATACCGCCACGCACAAGTATAAATGTTACAATGAACCTGTGCATTTGATTACCGCGACGTTCATAAGTCTTCTGCAGGATATTGTGGCCACGACACTGCCGGCGGTGCTTTGCTGGGGCTTGCAGATGAGATTGAGGCAGAAGGTGTTGCTGAATGGGGTGGTGTTTGGGTTGGGGTATTTGGCTGCTGTTGTGGCTGGGGTTAGGGTGTGGTTTTTGTATCGCATGTTTTATGTCAGTTACGATACTAGTTGGGAGGTTTGGTATTGCTGGGTGTTGGCGATGTTGGAGGTGGATGTTGCGGTGGGGTGTTCGTGTTTGCCGGGGGTTAATGTTTTTGTGAGGAGTGTTGGGTGTGGTGGAGGGAGGAAGGGGGGGAGTAGTGGTGGGAGTGGGAATGGGGTGGGGTCGTGGAGTTGGAGTGTGGGGAGGAGTCGGAGTTGGAGTTGGAAGTGGATGAAGGAGGGGGGTGTTGGGGTTCATGTGAGTGCTGTTGGGAGGGGGGGGAGGAGAGGTGATACTGGTGATGGGGATGGGAGGGGAAACAGGGATGAGGGGGTTGGGAGGGGATCTAATGATACAGAGAGGGATCTTTTGGATAGACAGCCGGGTAGTGTGGTTGAGTTAAAGGTGTATAGACAGGTGTCGGAGGGTGAGGTATGATCTTTGTACTATAGTGCTGGCACGCAATAACTTTGGTTAGTCCAAGTGCATATATGCTCATTGTTAATATTGTCCTGTTAAGATCATATTTTCCGATGCTTATCGTTTCCTCAAAGGCAAAGATATCTCACTATAGTATCAAAGGCTATCGATGTTATTCAAGGTTGATAGACATCTACTGTGCAGCTCAAAAATAAAAAACAAAAAACAAAAAATAGAAAATAATAAGATGAAAATGAAAAGGAAAAGAAAAGAACAGCTAGAAGATTATTAGACAAGATCGGTGTTCAATCTTCATGATAGGCTCCCTCTTCACCAGCAAGAGAGAGGAGAGTCTTGGATGGTATACATTTGCAGATCATGTACAGCAAGAACACCTTTATGATACTCCTCGAACGTGAGTACTTCATAAGTCTGACGTAAATTCCGCGTAAGTCAGAGGGGTTGTTCAGTAGCAAATAGATTGTTGAAACAACTGCTGCGAAGCTTGATGTATTAGCCAGAGCTGTCCGAAGAATTTTGTGAACGACAAGTGCAAGACGAAGTTGATAGCTGGTAGTCGTCAGGCAGCGTTCATAGGAAATAATATGTGATACTACCGGCGTGGTCAGTGAAACAAACAACTTGACTGAGAGGTCAAAGGGAAAGGTAAAGAACAAAGGTAAAAGCGCAAGCAGTCGAAGAAAGTGTAGACCTTGGTCACACAAAAAATCGAGCCAATTTCTATGAGCAGTCTCCATGAGTGGATCAGGTATCAACGCCCGGTGTAGCAGACGTATCCAGTATTTCAGATTATGTATCTCTAGACCAGTCTCTTTTCTGCCAAGGGGCTCGGGTAGGATATCGATGATGTGAAGGGCCCCCCGAAACATGGTCTGTGTTCTCATATTGATGGAATACGGGATCGAGAACTCTGTTGCTAAATCTTGATGTCTCAATGCATCCTCTAAGTCCTCGAATGTTGGACTGTCATTATGCGGAGGAGGAAGGAACAGGTAAGGTATGACGGTATCCTCTCCATCGGGGCCGTACCTCCGGCGGGGCTTTATCACCCTCACAGCCAATATGAAACAAAGGCCACTGCCACCCATGTCCTGAAGCGAAACAAAAACATTGTTGTTTTTATATTTAGGGTCTTTTACGGATTTCGTAAAAATAAGCCTTGACTTAGGCTGCCGGCCTGAATTAGATGGAAGTATTTCGACTATTCGAAGATTGGGCGGAAGGCTTCCGATAACGACAGAATAGCCAGGGCGATTCATGAGGCCTGCATAGGTTGCAAAAGTATCAGGGAAAATATAGATCTGAGCACGCGGCCATCTAAACCAGGCCGCATGATCGGCCACGTAGTTCCCTCGTTTCGATCGGCAGTAGGTATCGTGAATCTTCCGTAATGGCACGGCTATTAGCCTAGTAGGGTCTGTTTTCGTTTGGCACTGAAGGAGAGCGAAGCAGCCATCCCAGAGCTGAAGGATTGGCAGTTCTATACCTAGGCCCTTATTGGTCATTGCAAAAGGAGGGGTCGGCTTCTTGACATCACATGGAACTATGTCTCCACAACCTCGAAATGCCGCTGGGGACTCTGCGAGGATCCCGGAAATGTCTAGATCATCTAGTTCCATCGCCCCGGAAGATTCTGGGGGAATTGCATAGTCTGTGAAAGAAGACACTATTCTCTGGAGAAAGGCCTGAGATATAGACCATGGTCGTTTATGACTCAAGTCATGGTCGGGTGTTCTGAAGCTCCACGCGAACAACGACTGATCATCCGAGTGTTTGATGATCTCTTGTTGTAGACTTCGAAAGGCATAGGTCCCCTCTCCATACAGCAGGGGCATGTTAACTTGAAGAATACCCAGCAAGCAATATGACATATCTTCTGGTCGAGTCGTTTCACGATTCGATGCCCAGCTTATTCTTTCGGCGATACTTGTTGATATCAGATTGTAATCCAGTATTTTGTAATGAGACCTGACTTCTAAGAATGAGCGACTGATGCCGGTGACTTTGCCAATAAGATGAGCAACCCTCTCCCTGCGAAAAAGGAAGGACCAATCCTGAGCCAGAAAAGTAAGCCTCGATGGCGCGATTAGCTCCTGAAGAGTCCATCCTCGAGTGAACCATCGACTTTGACAAAAGGCAGTTTTACAAGCCTCGTCATCAAATGTCGGGGGCACGTCTGCGAGGTAGGCATAGCACACCTCGGACTGTGCATACCATGCCATCATAGAGTTAATGGCTTCAGAAAGCTCGACACTGTTGGTCTTATCTATGCAGCAAGTATCGACCCATACGTAATATATGCATTCCTGAAGAGCTCGTTCGCATGAATGCTCGATTTTAGCATACCCTTTTCTTTCAGTGACGGTTGAGGTTTGCATGTCCTGAAAGGAGACTTCATCCTTTCCCCAGGTATGCGACAGGATGGCGTATTTGGGAATCTCATGGCCCACGAATTCCTCTAATTTGAGGGTTTTGGCATTCAGGAGACGCATTGCCGCTCTATTGTAGTTGATAGGGGTGGTTTGTCAAGCGCTCCAAAAGAGAGTAATATTGGGTGAATCTCAAGACACATGACTGCTCGAATTTCAGCTCAGCTGTCAGGCTGATATGTGGTGGGGCTGCGCTTTAGTTTGCGGTGGGTCTGACGGGCATTCTTTTGCTATGATTTGACACGGAGCCGCTCGGGCTACCACAATGGCCAGCTGGCGCCTCATCGAACAGATCGCCGGAGCAATGAGATTGGAGCAGCACCTTGCGGACTTCGTTCAGTTCATAGGGGTGACTTTCGGGTTCCTGCACTTGTACGGAGTAGTTTCTCATAAGTAGAGTCATGTGACTCGGTGGTCGGAACTGCCGTTTGCGGATAGCTCGCATGTAGTTGGAAGCTTCAGTCCTACTATGATATACAACGTATGAGTACTTAGTGCTGGTTCTCATTAAATTGACAAACATACTAGTAGTGATGGGGTGTAGGAGCAATGGCTTTGTTTGGGATTAAACATTGGATGAATCTGGAAATACATATCTTTGCGGAAAACGAGTCGTAGTATGTGGGTTTCGGAGATTGCACACAATGTTTTGTCTTTCATCATCTCAGTACTAATGGTATCACGATGCCGGTGATATAGTATTCACACCGATTAGCGTAGATAAATTTGACGATATAAAGCGCATAATATCCCTTGGCCGTCTACCCACGCCGTCCCCAAATCAGGAGTGCTGAGCAACTGCATTTGCCGCCAAGTAATTCCATATGAGTGACAATCTTTCTTATGATGAAACCTAATGCCCTCTTAACAACTAAACTAAGAATGCCCAGTCACTGCAACGATCTCAACACCTCCGCCGCCACACGTTCCCCGGACCGAACAGCCCCATCCATATACCCAGTCCAGTAGAAGGACGCCTCCGTCCCAGCAAAGTAAATCCCATCCACCGACTCCCTAATCTGCACCCCATAATCAGTGAGCACACTAGGAGGCGCATACGCGACCGGTCCACCGCGAGAATACTCCTCCCAGTCCCAACGCTGAACGATCACACGGTCGGGATGCGCAGCTTGTGGACCAAACATACCCACGAAGCTGTCAATGACTGCTGCTTCAATCTCTGTCTCGTTCATCTTGTCCACTCGTCTCATTTCGTCCCCGACAATGAACCCCATGATAGCCCCAAAGGATGCATCAGCCGGGGTGTTGTCGAACGTGATGCGGAGAATGCCTGTATCAGCCAGCGCTTGCGCATTCCCCCCCTGTTCACGCCACCAAGGGGTGGGATAGATGGCAATTGCTTTGCCGATTGAGCCCATGCCCATGCGCTGAGTGAGTTGGTCTCGTGCTGGGGGGAGGGGCGGGTCGTACGAGATGCGTGCAGCCATGGGTGGGGACATTGCAACGACGACTCGCTTTGCGCTGATTCGGGTCCCATTTGAGATGACCATGTATCGTCCGTTGTTATGCTGGACTCTCTGAACAGGACTGCGGAGGTGGATGTTCTCTGCTCCCAATCTGTCTGCCAATCTCAACGCTATCAGCTGTGTCCCACCGACTATGCGACTCTCTTGTGCTCCTCCGACCACATCAATAAGCCGATCCAGAGTTCCCACCTCAGTCTCATTCCCACTGGCCGCGATATAAGCGAGCATATAAAGCAGCGACGGCTCATTAGCCTCGGTAGCCAAGATCCCAGTAACGAATGTATTGAGGAGAAACCTCGCATCAGACAATGTAAGCTGCGAGGCGAGAAAGGTCTCCAGAGTCATAGTGTCCCATATAGAGGCGTTGGGATGGTCCCATGGTGCCTGCACATCGATTTCGGCGGCGAGGGCATTCAGTTGCTGCTGGAGTGTGAAGACCTCGATTAATGCCTCAGTGGGCAAGGGAGGAAGGCTACCACTACCCAATTCACAGGGATAGTTGGTAATCGTACCGTTTCTTAGTAGAGTGCAGTTTCCCGTGTTATAGGTCGGATAGGTAGTCAAACCGAGCTCAGCAGCAAGTGCCAGAACCCGGTCCTGCGTTGGACCCACAAACTCGGCCCCAACTTCCTCTACAATACCGCCTGGAAGTTCGACGTTCAGGACACGGCCTCCGACGCGATCGCGGGCTTCCAGTATAGCAAAAGACCTGCCGGCGGCGGCGAGGTCCTTGGCGGCGGAAAGGCCGGATAAGCCTGCGCCGATGATTGCAACGTCCACTTCGGAGACGGGGAAGGCTGCTGTGGTGAGGATAAGACAGAGTAGAGAAAGGAGTTGAAGAGCCATGGCTTTGGGATTCACGATCATCTATTCAGGGAAGTTGAGTATTGTCTCTCAAGGACACAGACCCAGTAAGTCTCCCGAGAGCTCGACTATATACTCCGAGGATGGCTTGTGACGTGCAAGATTGGAAACCCGCCGGGGACAACAGTCTCCTCGGGAAGGCGCACCTGTGCAACCTCCGGATGGGAGTAGCTCTACAGGGCACTCACTTGAAATGATACTTGGACAACTGTGAGAACTATATTTTAAATTCCATTCATTACACTATTTCATTACTCATCCTAGCTAAATCAATTTGAACCGAATGCAAGCACTATTCACAGCTTGGAGCGCGCAATGCCCGAGCCCTTCAGGTCAAACCGGTCCAGATTCATGACCTTATCCCAAGCGGAAACAAAGTCCTTGACAAACTTTTCCTGTCCATCCGAGCTTCCATAAACCTCTGCCAAAGCGCGCAGCTCAGCATGCGATCCGAAGACCAGATCTGCCCGTGTCGCCGTCCACTTCGGCTGACCCGTCTTACGATCCGTACCCTCATAGAGATCGCGACCGCCATCCTTAGCCTTCCAGGCCGTGTTCATGTCAAGGACGTTGGTGAAGAAGTCATTGGTCAAGCGGCCAGGAGAGGAGGTGAAGACACCATGCTTCGAACCATCGTAGTTGGTGTTCAGAACGCGCAAGCCACCCACCAGGACGGTCATTTCGGGCGCAGTCAGCGTCAACAGGTGTGCCTTGTCGACGAGATAGTGTTCGGCGCGGACGCGAGACGAGGACTTTCCGTAGTTGCGGAATCCGTCGGCCACAGGCTCAAGGTGGGAGAAAGATTCCACTTCCGTCTGTTCTTGGCTGGCGTCCATGCGGCCAGGAGTGAATGGAACGGTGATGGTCTGGCCGGCCTCTTGAGCGGCCTTTTCGACGGCTGCGCAACCGGCCAGGACGATGAGATCAGCGAGGGAGATCTTCTTTCCGGTGGAAGAAACCCGATCATTGAAATACTTCTGGATCTTCTCGAGCGCAGACAGGGTCTCCTCCAGCCATGGTTGGTTGTTGACCTCCCACTGGCGCTGGGGTGCCAGGCGGATGCGGGCCCCGTTCGCACCACCGCGCTTGTCGGTACCGCGGAAGGTGGACGCGGAGGCCCAGGCGGTGGACACAAAATTGGACTTGTTCAAACCAGTGTCAAGGATAGTGCGTTTCAGAGCAGCGATGTCGTTGGCATCAACCAGAGTGTGGTTAACAGCGGGGATAGGGTCCTGCCAGATCAGGTCCTCGGTGGGTGCCTCAGGCCCGATGTACCGGGTTCGGGGACCCATGTCGCGGTGAAGGAGCTTGAACCAAGCGCGAGAGAAAGCATCGGCGAACTCGTCAGGGTGGTCCAGGAAGCGCCGGGCGATCTTCTCGTAGGCGGGGTCGTAACGGAGCGACAAATCGGTGGTCAGCATCTTAGGGAGGTGCTTCTTGGAAGGGTCATAGGCATCGGGGATGATGGCCTCGGTGTTCTTGGCCTGCCACTGGTTGGCGCCCCCAGGACTCTTGGTGAGCTCCCAGTCGAAGCGGAACAAGTATTCGAGGAATGCATGGCTCCACTTGGTCGGAGTCTTGGTCCAGGTCACTTCGATACCGCTAGTGATGGTGTGTGGCCCTTTGCCGGACTGGTAGCGGTTGGACCATCCCAACCCTTGGTTTTCGAGACCAGCAGCAGCGGGTTCGACATCGACATTCTCGGATGAGGCAGCACCGTGTGTCTTGCCGAAACTGTGGCCACCAGCGATCAGAGCGACCGTCTCCTCGTCGTTCATACCCATGCGACCGAAGGTGGTGCGGATGTCGCGCGCGGCGGCAACCGGGTCTGGGTTGCCATCGGGACCCTCGGGGTTAACGTAAATCAAGCCCATGTGCGAAGCAGCCAGAGGCTTCTCCAGGTCGCGGGTGTGAATGTTGCGATGGGGTGGTTCATCCCCAGAGAGTGCACCATGCTTGGTGACGCCCGGGAAGCCGTCGGAGTAACGTACATCGTTACCCATCCAGGTCGACTCTCCGCCCCAGTAGACCGACTCGTCCGCCTCCCATGTATCTGCACGGCCACCGGAGAATCCATATGTCTTGAAGCCCATCGACTCCAGGGCCACATTACCGGCCAGCAGCATCAGGTCCGCCCAGGAAATCTTTGCTCCGTACTTCTGCTTGATGGGCCAAAGCAAGCGACGAGCCTTGTCCAAGCTAGCATTATCAGGCCAGCTGTTAAGAGGAGCGAACCGTTGTTGACCCTGACCACCACCACCGCGGCCATCGAAGACCCGGTAGGTACCGGCACTGTGCCAGGCCATGCGGATGAACAAGCCGCCATAGTGACCGAAATCAGCAGGCCACCAGTCCTGTGAGTCGGTCATCAAGGCATGAAGGTCTTTTTTGAGGGCATAGTAGTCGAGGCTGTTGAAAGCGGCGGTGTAGTCGAAGTCCCGCTCGAAAGGGTTGGATGCCGGAGCGTGCTGGCGAAGGATGCCCAAGTTCAACTGGTCAGGCCACCAGTCGGTGTTACGGGTGCCTCCACCAGCAACGTTGGCGTTAGACCTGCTTTGGCTAAAAGGACACTTAGCCTCGGCCATGGTTGGATGTTGGATGTGGAATATGCGGAGATGTGATATCTATGGCAGATGTCTGATGGATGGATGATACTCAGACAAGGATGGTGATGATGATAATGATGGTGCCACGATAGACTTTCCAGTCACTACTCCCTGCCGGTCCCTGGGATGCACCTTATATAGGCTTTCCCCCTCTCTGCACTTTCCCCTCATCACCCCCTCCCTGGCTGGCCCGAAATGGCCCGGTCACACGCCCTCGTAGCACCCGGACTGCGGCAGCTCAAAGTCGCCGGATTACTCACCCCGCAAGGATCTGCAAATCCGGGGAGGTGCTTGGTCATCGGCTGCTGAGTCAAGGGATTGTAGCTAGAACGATTGGAGAATTGAGGAAGTCTGGGTGGTGCCAGAGATGCAGTGCTGCAAGTGACTAAGAGTGGCAAGTGCGGGGAGAGAGCCAGCCAGCATCGAGGAACTTCCTCTGCTCTGCAATTAAGCGAGCCAGATTGGTGCATTGGTGAAGGACCGTGCGACCCTCGCGCAGTCACGGTAGATGCCTTCAGGCTGGCCGTATTACAAAGGAGGTTTAGTGAAGGAACACCCGTGGCGAGTTACTGCATAACTCATCACTAACCCTGGGAGAAAACGATGAATAATGTATGCTACTAATGAAGGCAACCCCCACTGCTTCCAGACCCGATCACGTGAGCGGATGATGACCTGATCGGCTTTGTCTCTTGTCATCTGGCATCGGCGATCCTCCCACCCTCGATGACGCACCAGGTTCAAGGCATGGGATGATGGCCGATTAATAACTGAAAGAGGTCCAGAGCCCAGAAACCTCAGAAACATCGTTCGCAACATGTAGATAAGAGTGTTTGGGAAGCTGGTCTGGCAGTGGAACCAACGGAACGATCCAGATTCTGGGGATTACCAAGCAGCCGCACCAATCGGGCCACCAGCCCTAACCTCTTGAAACCAAGTCAGTGGAGATGATGATGTCCATCGGCTTGGCTTCTTACCAAGCAGCGCGTGTCCAGAACCGCTTGCTGAAGTAACCCACGCCTAACCCACGGCCTTGGCATGCCTGCAAGCCACCCGCTCAGCACTCTACTATTCGGCTTTGCAGCAGGCACAGCGCTAATCCTCCCAAACTAGTATGACGCGAAGTCGTTGGTAACCTATAGAAATCCCATGTGCTAACTCAACGTGGGTGTACTTTCCGATTAGCCTCATGCACAAGGTACCTGTTCTTGTCACCGAGTGCCTGTTTGTCACTTGTTGTGGTGATCTTGAGCACATCGCGTTCCTCTCGTCTCATCACATCGAGTGATCAACATTGCATGACCCTAGTGGAGCCCCTTCGTCTCCCAACAGGAGGGTCCGGATTACCAAGTCCCGACACCGTTTGGCTGTAATTCGACTCAAATTCTGGATTCGTAGCTTAACTAAGACGCGTGGTCTGTTAACCGGCCTCGCCATGGATGCCGATATAAGGACCCCAGGGGGACTCCCCCCCTGGTGACTCTCGTCGGAAGATCGCAGCACTCTGAATTCTCCTAGTCTTCGTTTACTCCGCCATGCGTCATTTCTGGCTTTTGCCAGCTGTTGCTGGTATCGCTGGGGCTCAATGCCCCTACCTGTCGGGTGAAATGAGTTTCACCCAGGAGCAGGACAATGCTGGCGATACCATTGAGGTCACGGAGCAGCCCATTGACAACACTCTGTATGTCAATGACACCGGTAGCTACATGACTACCGACTTTGGCACTCCGGTCTCCGACCAGACCAGTCTCAAGGCCGGACCCCGTGGTCCTACCCTGTTGGAGGACTTTATCTTCCGTCAGAAGCTTCAGCGGTTCGACCATGAGCGTGTAAGTACAGGAACTGCTGCAGTATGTAACAACAATTTGACCAACTGGTTTCCAATTAGGTCCCCGAGCGCGTCGTCCACGCCCGTGGTGCCGGTGCATATGGTACTTTCAAATCCTACGCCGACTGGTCGAACGTCACGGCTGCCGATTTCTTGAGTGCCAATGACAAGGAGACCCCTATGTTCTGTCGCTTCTCTACTGTGGTCGGTTTCCGTGGTAGTGTTGACACTGCGCGTGATGTTCACGGTCACGCTTGTCGGTTCTACACTGACGAGGGTAACTATGGTATGCTTGATATGGACGCCCAACAATAATCCAATACATGCTAACAGATAATGTCTCGACTAGACATCGTCGGTATCAACTTCGCCCCCTTCTTCATCCAGGACGCCATCCAGTTCCCCGATCTTGTCCACGCCATCAAGCCCATGCCCAACAATGAGATCCCCCAGGCCGCTACTGCACACACTTCCGCTTGGGACTTCTTCAGCCAGCAGAGCACTGCCCTCCACAGTGCCTTGTGGCTGATGTCTGGTAACGGTATTCCTCGTTCTTTCCGCCACATGAACGGCTACGGAGTCCACAGCTTCCGCTTTGTCGCTGCCAATGGCACTTCCAAGGTGGTTCGCTACCGCTGGAAGTCCCAGCAGGGTGTTGCCAGTCTGGTGTGGGATGAAGCTCAGGCCGCTGCTGGTAAGAACAGTGATTACCACCGCCAGGATCTGTACAATGCGATCGCCAATGGCCACTACCCGAAATACGAGGTCAGCCAACCCCTTGATGTCTATCGATAGAGCCTTTTGCTGACAATCCCCTAGCTCCAAGCCCAGATCATGGATGAGGCTGACATGCTTCGTTTCGGCTTCGACCTTCTGGATCCCACCAAGTTGGTCCCCGAGGAGGTTGTCCCTTACACTCCCCTCGGAATGATGGAGCTCAACGCCAACCCCACCAACTACTTTGCTGAAGTTGAGCAGGCTGGTGTATGTATCCCCAGTTCAAACAATGCCAGACATAAACTAACCTCTGCAGTTCCAACCCGGTCACGTCGTTCCTGGCATTGACTTCACCGATGACCCCCTGCTGCAAGGTCGTCTCTTCTCCTACTTGGACACCCAGTTGACCCGTCACGGCGGTCCCAACTTCGAGCAAATCCCCGTCAACCGTCCTCGCAAGCCCGTTCACAACAACAACCGTGACGGCTTCGGCCAGCAGCAGATCCCCACCAACAACTGGGCCTACACCCCCAACAGCATGAGCAACGGTTACCCCATGCAAGCCAACCAGACCCAGGGTCATGGTTTCTTCACCGCTCCCTACCGCTACGCTTCCGGCCATCTCGTCCGCCAAACCAGCCCGACCTTCAATGACCACTGGTCCCAGCCCGCCATGTTCTGGAACTCTTTGATCCCCGCTGAGCAGCAGATGGTTGTCAATGCCATTGTCTTCGAGAACTCCAAGGTTAATAGCCCCCACGTTCGCAAGAACGTTGTCAACCAGCTGAACATGGTCAACAACAACCTTGCCGTCCGTGTCGCTCGTGGTCTTGGTCTCGATGAGCCCTCCCCCAACCCGACCTACTACACCTCCAACAAGACCTCCAACGTCGGTACCTTCGGCAAGCCCCTCCTCAGCATCGAGGGTCTGCAGGTCGGCTTCCTGGCCTCGAACTCCCACCCCGAATCCATCAAGCAGGGCCAGGCCATGGCCGCGCAGTTCTCTGCCGCTGGCGTTGACCTGAACATTGTCACCGAGGCCTACGCCGATGGTGTCAACACCACCTACGCCCTGTCTGATGCCATCGACTTTGACGCCCTCATCATCGCCGATGGTGTGCAGAGCCTCTTTGCCTCCCCCGCTCTCGCTAACCAGATGAACTCTACCGCCACTTCTACTCTCTACCCTCCTGCCAGACCTTTCCAGATCCTGGTCGATTCTTTCAGGTACGGTAAGCCCGTGGCTGCTGTCGGCAGTGGCAGTGTTGCGCTCAAGAACGCTGGTATTGATTCCTCCCGCTCTGGTGTGTACACTGGCTCGAGCGAGACGACGGAGAAGATCGCCAAGGAGGTCTTGGAGGGACTCTACACTTTCCGTTTTGTGGACCGGTTTGCGCTGGATGAGTAAGGGTATCACGTTTGTACTTGTACTCACGTTCATCGTTTGTGATGATACATCAATTGATCGATAGATATTTTGTGAGATAGATAGAGTATACTAGAGTGTACATATCTCTACTGATGAGGTGTTGTGTTGCTGCAACACATATTTATGAATCTATATATTCTTTTCTTTGTGAAATTTATCTTTCTATATAATCAGCAATCGTTAACTCTTCCAAACCTATAGATACCGATCACCTAACCAACTTGGAATAACAACTGAAAACATCGATATGTTCGCCCAAGTAAAGCTACTTGAACTTCTACATCTATGCTGTGCTGGAATCCCTCCTTCATAAGTCCAGAATAAACAAAGAAGGATTCCGATCCTTGCTCGTTCGCCCGTCGACACGTGATTAACTGCTTTTATTTAACCACAAAATTCCATAGCTCTAACCTGAACCAGTCAAGATCCCTCGATCATCTTTACTGTATGCCATGGCATCCGCAACAGAGACTCAAGAGATCGAAATCGCGCCTGTATCCACCACCCAGAACAACACCATTGGCCCCGATATCTCAACCAACTCCAGCACCCGCAAGCCACCACCGTCCACAGTTAACAATGAACAATGTGATGATTCTGTCCCCACCCCCAATCAAACAGCCAACACCATTAACAACAAAACAACCATAACATGCACAATGCTCTCCCTGTGCCTCTCCGTGCTTCTATCCGCCCTCGACCTTACAATCATCACCACTGCTATCCCTTCCATAGTAGGTACCTTCAACTCCGCCACCGGCTACACCTGGATTGGCGGCGCCTACACCCTCGCCTACGCCGCTGTAACACCCATCTGGGGAACCGTCGCCGACATATGGGGCCGGAAGCCCGTCATTTTAATTGCCATGGCTGTCTTCCTTGGGGGTAGTCTGCTATGCGCGCTAGCACCGTCTATGGACGTCCTGCTCGCTGGTCGGGTGTTTCAGGGTCTAGGTGGCTCCGGAATGGGGATTATGGTTAATGTCATCATAAGTGATTTGTTTTCACTACGAGACAGGGGGCTCTACCTTGCCATCACTTCGTTAGTATGGGCTGTCGGAAGTGCTGTCGGTCCTGTGCTGGGAGGCGTCTTTGCGACAAAGCTCAGTTGGCGATGGTGTTTCTGGATCAACTGTAAGACCACACCCACCATTCCACCCATAGCGTACTCACTGATTAATCGCAGTACCCATCGGCGCCATCTCCTTCACCGTCCTCCTTCTCTACCTCCACGTCCCCAACCCCCGAACCCCCCTAACAACAGGCCTCAAAGCCATCGACTGGACCGGCATCCTCCTAATCGTCGGCTCCGCACTCATGATCCTCCTCGCCCTCGACCTAGGCGATGTAATCTATCCCTGGTCCTCAGCGACCATAATCTGCCTGATAATATTCGGCATCCTATGCATGGGTCTCTTCGGAGTGAACGAATACAAACTCGCGCGCAACCCCGTCATCCCATTCTGGCTCTTCTCTTCTCCTACAAAAGCAGCCCCTTATATCGTCTTCGCGTGTAACAACTACGTCTTTATTGGGCTGGCATATTACTTGCCATTATATGCACAGTCAGTGCTCGGCGCAAGCGCATTAACCTCAGGCCTCTACCTCCTCCCACTAATAGTCTCCTGCGCACTAGCTGCAGCAGCAGCGGGGGTATACATGCAACAGACGGGACGGTACATACCGGTCATGTACATCGCGCAGATACTCCTCATGCTAGGCACTGGTCTCTTAATCGACCTCCGCTTCGAGACCTCACTTACCCGTCTTATCATCTTCCAAACACTCGCTGGAATCGGAGTAGGCATGAACATTGAGGCACCCATCCTAGCCGCCCAGGCAGCTACCACCGTCCGGGACACCGCCGCAGTCACGGCGACGATGGGATTTGTCCGCTCGCTTGCCACTGCGATAGCGGTAGTTGTTGGGGGCGTGGTATTCCAGAATGAGATGACGTCTGCTAATGGTGCACTGACTGATAGACTTGGTGGGGATACTGCATTAGCGAAAGAGTTCAATGGGGACCTTGCGGCGTCAAATGTGGAGCGGATTGGTGCTCTCAAGGAGAGTGAACAGATCATTGTGAGGGAGACGTACTTTCAGGCTCTGCGAATGGTCTGGGTTATGTATGTTGCTTTTGCGGGGTTGGCGTCGGTGATTACGCTGTTTGTGAGGGCTCATGACTTGAGGAGGGAGAATGAGGGTGCCGTGTTGGGGGTGGAGAGGGGGCGGGGGGGTAGTCGGTTAGAGGATCCAGGGAGCGAAGTAAATGTGGAGGTGGAGATGGAAGGTATGCGTGGTAGGAGTCGGACTTGAAATGTGAACCTAGCGGAAGATCGTACACTTCGACTTGCTTTGGCACGGTTCTTCAGATCGGGAGCCACTTTGAAAGCCCTAAGCGGCAATTAATGGACCAGCTTACCTTCCTCATAAAGTAGTATTCTGCATTCTCCGAACACATATAAACCGCTATGCTGAAGATGTATATACAAGGCGTGTTAGAGCCTTGACCTGCAGTGTGACCTTGCACAGGCTGATTTGGGAGGGGACTGCACAACACCCTAGTAGCGTCGAGGGGGGCGATAGCTGCGGAGCAAACATTTCGGACAAATCAACATTTTTCGTATCTAGCCATCGCTTCGGAACCCGAACACCAGAAAACCCGCCCAAGCCTAGATTTTACAAACCTGGGACTATATACCAGATAGTAACAGTCATCCCTCCCTCCCAGCAAACCGACAACACGACTCTCCACAAAGACATTTCTTACTTAACTGGCGCCAATAATTATCCGAATAGTCGACAGTGATTTCGGTTCCTGCTAAAATGCCCCGTGAGACTACTATAATGCGCTCCATGCCTCGCCAGTAGAACCTCTGGAATTGGCTGTTCGGCCGACAGGAGTGGTTGATAAATCGGGTGAAATTGCCCATCTGCCCCTGATATATTTGGTATGTTCGACCGCGCGAACCACCTAGCATCACGTCTACTCCTTCTATGCCGTTTGTGATGAGGCCTGTGAATTCGCCTATTACTGTTCCGCGATCGAAGTTCTACTTCTGCGTCAGTAAACTGTCAGGGAAAGGCACGCACGGTGCTAGGGAAAAGCGAATGGAAATCACGAATCCTAGTAAAGGAAATGGTTAACTCACACAGCGCGCAATAACGCCATTATTCTTGCCAGTCGACGTACGAAAGACCTGAACTGGCACCGGATGACGAACGCCACCGAATAACGCCGGGAAACACAGGCACTGGTTCTTCTCAATCTCGTCTGACTGTCTTTCCTTGCATACGAGACACACATCGGGGTCTAGTTCTGGTACCCGACGTGGATCATGGGTTCCAAAATGAGCACGGTCTAGTACACACTCTTCAATGAACTGGTACTGGAATCCCTGAGGAAGGTCAAGATGCTCGTATGTCGAAGCTAGAGGACTAGCAGGACCCTCTGACATATTTACCCACTCATGCGGATGGCCATGATAGACACTCGACGTATCCTGTCTAATGACCTGTAGGAGGTCCCTCCATCCCGGGTGAAGAGTATCAGCTGCTACCTCGAAGCTGGATCGGAGATGGCGTAGACGGGTAAATAGTCCCTCGCCGAATTCTGTGCGATATTTGCAGAATCGGTAGATGCCAGTACTCGCGAATATCAGGCAGGCCCAACCGCCTGTATCTTTGATTTCTTTGTAACCGCGCCAGATTGCCCTACATGGGTGTCAATAATGCACTCTGTCAATGGGAGGCGGAAGCTGTACATTCGATTACGGAGATCCTTTTCCTTCCAGTTTAGAACCACGCAAGCCTCCTTAAGAACCATCATTCGCGCATCTGTTGTCGAAAGATGAGGTTTCTCAAGTCGAACGACGGCAACACGTGCTTCGAAACATTCTACCCAATATGCTTGGACGATCATTTCCAGAGCACGAGAGGACTGGCTTTGATTGTAGTATTTCAGGCATAATGTATTTATCTCGCGGAATACCTGTTCATGTCAGCCAAGTCCGAGTTAGTGTCACCGGAACACCTACCTCGAGACTAACACCAGTGCGGATATCCGTGTTTGATTGTATGATCTGTTTTTCTTAGTGTCTGAAACAGTACTTTCCGTGAGATGCCATACCGAAGGAAGTCGGCTAAGTTTCACAGGCGAATGCAGTTGTCGCCAGATCCCTGCTATAAGCTTGTCGGCTGAAGTCGGTCCCAGCACAGGTAATGAATACTCCTGCCGTGGGTTCTTCCGTTGCGGAAACCGGGTGTCACTGTGGACCTGTCGTACAGATGGCTTGGTTCCACTAGAATCGGCAGCGGCTTCCAAATCTAAGCTTTCGTATTCATGATCTCTTGACTCATCTGGCTGAATGGTTGTCGCCTTTGCTGGTCGAAGCGCGCTTAGGGTCTTGCGCCGCTTGTGAGGATGGCTCTGAGCATTGCTATTACCACGGCAGCCGTTCGAGTCAGAGCTGATAGTAGCATATTCTGTATTAATCTGTGTAGTCCGTTACTTATCTCATTATATTTTCAGCCTTCTAGTTAACCTACTGTAGAGTCAGGCGTTGAAACGGGAGTGGGTGGCAACGGCACTGCCTGCCCACTTCGAAGATCAATGTATCCCTAGGCAAAGTTAGCGTGAATCCTGAACCGTAGATTGAATTGATATAAATACCAAGACCATGTCACTTGTCTGCTTAGACGTCGTCACGTCAGTGACTATTGATGCTTCAATTCGAAGGTGGAGCTGTGGGTAGTCATTTTCCTTCTCACTTGCACTCTTCTGTTTGCTATCCAGGCTGTCCCGGACAGCATGTACGGCTGACTGAAGATGTGCTGGGAAAGATGGATTTTGAAGAATGCTGGACAATTGTGAGATCAGCGATGGTGCCATATAGTCCATTATATTTCATCAATAGCTTATTATTGAGGATATTGAGAGGATACGACTATCAAATGGTCTTTACTCGGCTATCGGCTGACCTCGGGGATGCCAAGAAGGGCAGATTCTGCTCGGGCAGAATGCTGACTAAGTTTATCGCCCATCACTCAGCCCAGGTACCCAAGATTGTCCTTTGGTTTAGCAAGATAGGCAGATCCTTAATAGTTAATGTATAAGATGGATGGGCTCAAGAGTAGGAAAACTTGCAGATAGACCTTGCTTTTTGCAGGGGGGCGAGCAGGATGTTGTGGAAACGCATCATCCAGGGGGAGTTGACCGTCCACCCCAACATGAGAATTTACCACTTCTGCCCTACAGAATCGGCTAGGTCGGTTGGGAAATGTGTAGAAGCGAAAGGGATTTTAGGTCTGGTCCAAGCCCCAATCACTTCCATTATAAATTAGAGAAACACCTTACCTACCGTTCCTTACCTATACAAGACACACATTAACCGACCATGCCCGACACTAAGTACCTCGGTGGACAGAGTCCATATACCTACTCCTATGACAACCGGACGGGATGGAGACGCTTTCGTATGCTGAATCCATGCAGAGGCATGTATCACGATGTCCGTCGACGACTACCCTACTACTGGAGTGATATTCGAGATGCGCTCACCTATCGAACCATCGCAAGTACAATTCGCATATACTTCATCAAGTAGGCCCCTGAATAGACCACTTTGGTGTTGTCCTTACTGAAAATATCCAGTATTCTCCCTGCTATCGCCTACACCTTGGATATGTATCGCCGAACCGGAGAGTTCTATGGCATCAACGAAGCGCTGTTTTCCTCTGCTCTCGCGGCTATGGTTTTCAGCGTCTTGGGCGCACAACCACTTACTATTGTTGGTATCACAGGACTAATATCGCTGTTCAACTATACCATATATGATATCATAGTCATCTATGAGCCGGCTATATATGCCAACTTCATGTGCTGGACTGCTATCTGGGCAGCGATCTTTCATTGGATTGTTGCCGTGTGCAACCTCTGCGATTATATGCGCTATATCACGGACTTTTCATCTGAATCGTTTGGTGCGTATGTTGGAATCATCTATTGCAGTAAGTCAGGAACGGTATACCTTCTTGCAGGGACGGCTACTAAGTCGAGTAGTAAAGGGAGTCGAAGAGCTGGTGAATGAGTTCACTGTCTACGGTCCAACCGCAGGCTTCATGAGCTGCATGATTGCTATACTGTATTTCTTCACAATATACAGCCTAGAATTGGTAGGATCCAGCACGATTTGTCGACCATGGCTTCGTGAACTACTTGCAGATTATGCTTATGTGGTAGGGGTTACCTCCTTTCTACTCCTGTAAACCTCTGACTCACTATCCACCAGATCGGAACAATCTTCTGGGTAGGATTCGCGCATATCCCCGGAAACCTCAAAGAGACTGGCATTTCATTCGTGCCTATAAGTCGGGCATTCTATCCAACACAGCCGCGTGGCTGGCTGGTTCACTTCTGGGAACTGGAGACAAAATGGGTCTTTGCAGCCTTACCTTTCGGATTCTTGGTCATGCTGCTCTTCTATTATGACCATGTAAGTAATTCCCCAGTCAATGCGAATGTTACTTCCCCTTAGTGACATACTAACATCGAACAGAACGTTAGCAGTCTCGGCGCTCAAGGCCGGCAATACCCCCTGAAAAAGCCAGCCGGATTTCACTGGGACTTCTTCCTGCTCGGATGCACCACTTTCATCGCCGGCATCACCGGCATCCCGATGCCCAACGGCCTCGTCCCACAGGTACAATCCCCAACTTTCAAGCACACAAACTCCATACTTACATACCCACCAATCCAGGCACCCGTCCACACCACCTCCCTAACCATCACCGAAACGACCCTTCACATCATCCCTATCTCAGACTCAGAGTCCGAGAGCACCGAACTCCGCCAACCCATCATTACCCCGACAGTCGTAATCGAGCAACGCATCTCCCACTTCCTAATGGGTCTCGCCATTATTGGCACCATGACTGGACCTCTGCTGATAGTCCTACACACTATGCCCGCCGCCGTGTTCGCAGGTGTCTTCTTCATTGTAGGCTGGGGGTCCATAGAATCGAACGGTATCCTGCACAAGGTCATCTTTCTCCTTCGTGAGGATCGATTCATCCCGCGGAATGAGAATTTACTCCGCGTTCCGAAGCGGAAGATTGTGCTTTATGTGATGTGCCAGGTTGTTGGGGTTGCCGCGTGCGTGGCGATCTCGCAGACTATCGCGGCAATTGGATTCCCGATTTTGATTATTGGGTTGATTCCCTTCCGGGTGTGGGTTATCCCGAGGTGGTTTGGGGTGGAGGAGTTGGGGGTGTTGGATGGGTTGACGGCGGATGGGGAGGCGGTTTTGTGTAGTTTGGGGGGTCCGCCTAGGTTTCCTGAGGAGAAGCAGAAGGATAGGAAGTGAAGAGGAGGTTGCTTTGCTAGAAGGGTTGAATTCGTGTGTTTATGGTCCACTATAGTGTTTGTCAAGACGTGATAGGTTGGATGATACCAATAGCGATGTCTGGGTGCAAAAGGAGAAATTTGTGCCTGTCAACATTCGGCATAGATGTAGCAATGAATCTGAAATATATATTGTTGCCACCTGCGTGTCCCTTCTGCCACGAGTTGACTATTTTTCATGAGCCAGAACATAAGCTCATATAGTTGAGGGGTTTCATACCAACTCCATTACTGCCGGAGCCAATTGTCGTCCAGGAACGATTTCGCAGGGCTTTGACCAGGGCAATACAGTTGGGGACACTAATCGAGATAGTAGAGACCGAACCCTCCAGAACAGTTCTGTACCCATATTGCACAAAGTACCATGTGAGATCCTGGCTCATCATGGGGTTGAGCTGAACTACCGCAACGAGACGGCCAAGCGAAAACACAACGACAGAGGAACACAAGGACAGAGTAAGCCATCATGAAGGCGACAAGGAGGTATATACGGCGCTCGACACGGGCCTGTAAGCCCGAGATCATGGACACCGGGAGCAACAAAACCTAGAAGTCAACCGTGCATTAGCAGCCTTGGACAAATACCATTGGAATCGGGCGATGCATGTTCCTGGTAATGCATTGTTCTTTGGCGGACCGACTGAACCATCGAAGAAAAAGGTTGCCACGTAGAGGTAGCGGGCGCCGGCCATGAGGTACCCTGGGTTAGTTGCGACCACTACCTCAGTATGATAACTGAGACCGTTGTGTCTTCACGCCACCACAAGGGAAGGGACGACTAATTCCTTTAGCTGGGGAGTATTACAAGGCAATCGGGAACGTGTAATACTTTCTTTGTATATAGAAGCACGCATACTAATGCGATGGGAATGAAGGAATCATCCCACCATAAGTCTTGATGGTGAATAAATTTACTGATGACCCGAAGCCCCGTAAAAAGGGTTGTGAGGACGATTAGGATGATGGATGTGATCAAGATTCCTTCTCCGCAATCGGGAGTACCCTTGGGGATGTCTAGCGCCATGGAGAGAACAGTCAAAGAAATCTTATATGACCAGTTTTAACAGTGTGACCAGAAGGGTCAGAGAGCAAAAAAAAAAAAGAAAAAAGAAAAAAAAGAAAAGGTTACTGGGGACCCGTAATAACCAATGTTGTATGACCTGACCGCGTTGAAAGAGAGGGGAAGGGAGAGGCGCTGAGGGGCTGGGTGGAGAACCCCTAAAGCACCATGCCAACACTAATGCAAGGAACATTAGGGCTCAGAGGGCATGTTATCAAGCTTCAAGGTGGTTTTATCCGCCAATCCTTGTCTGTACTGCATGAAACAGCCCCTGTGAAACGAGATTAACAAACAATTATGAACACATTTTCATTCCTCTTTTCCCTCAGCCTTCTCGGCACCTCGCTCCTGGCTGCTGCCGCATACAATTGTGTATGGCCCTAATACCCTTGTACCATCTCATTTATCAAGCTAAGAGCTTTTGTTTTAGGGAACGAATCAAAAGTTCTCTCGCTGTGGCTTATCCTGGCCTGCAACATGTTCTGAACCGAACCCTACCTCCTGTTTGCTTGTATGCACCCCAGGGTGTGAATGTAAAGATGGATATGTCTGGAACAATGTAGGTTATACGGCACTACTGTTAGGTATAATCTCAGCTAACATCGCTCCAGGCTCATGAGTGTGTTCTTCCAAAAGACTGTTGTGATGTGCGGCTGTCAACTTCGATACTAGCATAGTTACACCACTACAACCAGGCGTGATCGATAGAAAATTCAGACATGTTTGAACTTGTTTGTAATTGCGATAGACAACATTACGATGCGCCTTGTGGTAGTAAGAGTAATATTATCGAGACCAAGTACAATTACACCCTGTGATCTCTCATTCACGTCCTACACGGTAGGCTCCATAATCTTGTTCTCAATGCAGGAGCTAAATTGCTAATATACTAATGAGGTGCTCCCGTGAGTCAGGGGTGCCACAAGCGTAAAATAGTAGTATGCATTGCTTGGATGCTAGAGCAGAAAAAAATCTACGAACCACGCTATGAACATGCCTCCCCGTCGGACTCATTTTCCGAGGAATGCCTGCAAGCATCTACCTGTCTGAGTCATACTTCTCTACCACCCGCACAAGCCGAATTTTAGCGAGTATAACTAAGGTAGGAAGAGCCTTTACAGCTCGCCCGCTGTATCTTGTCTATCGTAGCCAAGAACATGGCCACATTGTGTTCTCGTTGATTGTCGTGAGGCTAAGTTGCATGTGCGTCTTAGCGTGAACTTTCCCTACTGAAATCCTATTTCAAATGACTAGAATAAATGTTCGAATCTATTTGACATTTTCAGGTGTTATGGTGACTGTACTTTCTTATATTCATTTTACACTTTGAAGGATTGAACATACTTTGATAAAAGAATTTTAAGCTCTAATAGAAGATCGCTTGGACATTCTCCTTTGTGACCGGAACAGTTACTCTTGCCACGCACTTTTATCCACAGTCCACCTCCCGAGCTGTTGCCAGGCAGCAAAAAGTGGCGCCAAAACCGGCCTAGACTACGGCGGTCTCAAAAATCAAGATCTGCCCGATGCCCGCCAATGCCCGCCGGACTAGAGCAGAAATGGAAGGTGACTTAATTGTAAGTCTGTTGATAATACACCGTAATACCCATTTCGATGCTAAGTGTCCGGGAAGCATTTCTAGGTTTCTCGTGCAGATGGGTAGATGGTGGATAGGAATCACTATGCTCATAACATACATACAAGCTATGCGTCCTTTAACCCTCCCAATGGCTCTTTCCCTTCCACAAAATGACATCCAATTTTACTAGCAAATTTCGGGCTTGATCCTCCGTTATCGCTTGCGCATTAGATGACTTCCTATTTTCGGCTAAGTCTTCCTTCCGATAAGAATGAATAGCGGTTGAACCCGTCAAGCGGGCAGCCAACATAGATTGATCTGCAAGTGGCCGGGTTTGCTAAGCTGGTTAGGGCTGTGTGTGATGGTTCTTATCCCGTGCAGGCACAGATACCCCTCTCTGCTTAATTAACCACCCGTCAGGTGTCCGCACTTACATGGCGCCATTAATGTCTAAAAGCAAGACATTAATTCATCCTTCACCAATCAATGGCCATCATTGGTTGCAATGACGGATAAGATACATTTAGTTACATAACTATATATCGACCATGGTCTGATAAGGGTCCGTTCTCCTCACGGAAGTGAGACGTTGCTAGTTCCCGTGCCCTAACATGAATTGGATGCCGAAAGGATGCAACCCCGTCGGAGAGTATACGGAGATGCGTCGGAGTCTATTTCATTATAAATATCAGGGTAGCAGTATGTGATGCTCACAGTACTCTTGCACTGAAGCAGGGTACAGACGGGATAAGGAGTCAGAATGAAGTTCTTCTCGACAATCTGCAGTTTGACCCTTGCGGCCTCTGCGTTGGCCTTGCCAACTTCCGACCATGTTATTCATGAGAAGCGATCTGGTACCCCATCTCGATGGGAGAAGATCAGTCGGGTCAATGGTACTGAGCATGTCTTGGTGCGCATCGGTCTGACGCAGAACAATCTTGATCGAGCCTATGAGTATCTCATGAGCGTGTATGTTGCTTCCTTACCCCTATATTGTTCCGACTGACTAGTCAGGTCTGATTCCGTGTCGCCTAACTACGGCAAATTCTGGACTCCAGAAGAGGTGCACAGTACCTTTGCGCCGTCGAATGAGACTGTCAACGCTGTGCGCAACTGGCTTGTTGAATCCGGCGTGGATGAGTCTCGCTTGGTTCACACCAAAAACCAAGGCTGGATTGTGTTTGATGCAACCACCAAAGAAGCGGAAAATCTCCTCCACACCAAGTATTACCACTACACTGACCGGATTTCTGGCTTCAAGACACTCGCAGCAGAAGAGTATGTCTCCCATTCATTCTCAGAGATATAGTATACTAACAAGACGATCAGGTACCGCGTCCCCCAGAAGATCCAACAACACATCGACTTCGTTAAACCCGGCGTTCTTCTCCCATTGACCTCCAAGGGACCATCCGCCAAGCACACCAAGAAGTACAAACCCTTGAAGCAGACATCAGTCAACGCCACGTCTCTCACCACGTGCGACGAGGTCATCACTCCAGCTTGTGTCGCCGCTCTGTACAAGATCCCTCACGCAAGCGGCAACGTCAGTGCAAGCAACTCGCTTGGGATCTTCGAAGAAGGAGACTACTACGCCCAGGAAGATCTGGATCTCTTTTTCCGCAATTTCACCCCGTACATTCCGAAGGGAACACACCCTAAGCCGGCATTTATCGATGGAGCCTCAGCGCCCGTGAGCGTTGCTGATGCTGGTGCGGAGTCGGATTTGGACTTTCAGCTTGCGTATCCAATTGTTTACCCTCAGACCATCACGCTGTATCAGACAGATGACTATGACTATGCGAGTGGGGAGGTTGAGACTGATGGATTCTTTAACACCTTTCTTGATGCTGTTGATGGGGTAAGTTGGCCTCTGGAATTTTAGGATTTAGCTAATGTCTCAGTCATACTGCACCTACTGTGCCTATGGGGAATGCGGAGACAGCCCGACTCTCGATCCCACTTATCCAGACAACTCCACCGGAGGGTACAAGGGACAGTTGATGTGCGGTGTTTATAAGCCCACGAATGTCATCTCTGTCTCTTATGGCGGCCAGGAGGCGGACCTCCCGGCTTACTATCAGCAGCGACAATGCAATGAGTATGCCATCCCCACCTCTGTTTATACAGCCCGAATTAACAACAGGAATAGATTCCTCAAGCTCGGTCTCCAGGGAATTTCCATCCTCTTCGCCTCTGGCGATGACGGCGTGGCAGGGCCCCCAGGCGACGACTCGACTAACGGGTGTCTCGGAAATGGAACCATCTTCAGTCCTGCGTTCCCCAATTCGTATGTTTTCTTCTCTTGCAATATTCTTGCAACAACCACATCTAACTTCTCTAGTTGCCCCTGGGTGACTAATGTCGGAGCCACCAAACTCTACCCCGGAAAGACCATCGCAGACGGGGAAAGCGCCGTCGTCGACCCGGCCGGCCACCCCTACTCGGTCGCATTCTCCTCTGGTGGTGGCTTCAGCAACATCTATACTATTCCAGACTATCAAGCCGAAGCAGTAGCAGAGTACGTGCTTTCCTACCATCCTATACGCGCAATCTAACAAACTCCATTCAGATACTTCAAAAAGCACAACCCACCCTATCCTTACTACGAAGGCAACGCCAGCTTCGGCAAAAACGGCGGTGTCTACAACCGTCTTGGACGCGGGTACCCCGACGTGGCAGCGAACGGCGACAACATCGCCGAGTACAACGCGGGAGAATTCATCCTTGAGGGTGGAACTAGTGCTAGTACGTTACTACCCTACTACATCCACCCAACTCCGTTACATTTCAATTACTAATGACAATAACTAAAAGGTACCCCGATCTTCTCCTCCGTGATTAACCGCATCATCGAGAAGCGCATCGCGGCAGGAAAGGGCCCACTAGGCTTCCTGAACCCGGTTCTGTATCGGAATGCGTGGGCGTTGAATGATATTACGAATGGGTCGAATCCGGGTTGTGGAACGGAGGGGTTCTATACTGCTCCTGGGTATGTATTCCCTTTCGTTCTTTTATTTCTTTATTACCATGCTTCGATATATGGAGCCATGCTAACAATCGGTGAACAAAATAGATGGGATCCCGTCACCGGTCTCGGAACGCCAAACTTCCCGAAATTGCTGGACGTGTTCCTGAACCTACCGTAACGGGGGATTTCACACGGCTCGGAAGAAAAAGAAAATGTGAGGCAAGATCAATAACCGATTAGCAATGTGAGACATCTCTTTAGTGAACCCCGCAGTGGTAGGTCACATCCCGTGCATCCTGCAGTCTGCAGCTTATCGTGTCACCGGGGTTCCGGCGCAGGTCCGTCGGGGATGTTCGTGCCAAGATGTGTGGTCCTGATCCTGATGCTTACTTTTCTTATCGGGGCTATATTGGCACAGCCCAATTGTCTGGCGTTTTTGATAATCTGGAAAGCAGAGAACACTTTGTATATCGCTCATTTGATGCTACATGTGGAAGTGATCAACTTAGGCCGGGCTGTGTTGTTAAGGGGTTCTAAGTTAGTGACTGCACCTGTGCTTAGGGCAGCCCTCTTCAAGTAGAAGCTGTAGAAAAACATTAATTATAAATGGTCAATTGAACTTTCTAGGAGACTACTTCTACGCAGAAAATCCAGGGTCGAATGCACGGTCGCGAAGTCCTCACTTAGACAGATCTGAAGTTGTAGCCGAGGTGTTGAATTTCGATTGCATAGCATGGTCAAAATCCGCATGCAAAAAAATAAATTCACTACTTGGAAACCACAGCAGTTCAGCACAAAGAATCATGTAGAAACGTATTTGCCTGCTAATACTTCTTTCACGTAACCCCCCTTCATAGATCTATTGCGAGGGCCTCGCTGAAGGTCGATGGTGGGATAATTGATAGAGGCACTAAAACCTACCTTCTATCATATTCAGTGCCAAGAAAGAGAGAGGCAATGAACACCATGAGAACTAGGTCTTCGAAGACAACCTCATAACATCGGTGTCACTCACTCGACAGGAAGAATCCGGAAGGGAGTCTTGGTGGTCAACTTAAATCCATGGGTATGAACCAAATAAGCAAGTGGGTCTCCCCTACAGCGAGTGAGTGTCGCGCATCCGAGCAGGAAAAGTGGAGATGAAAAATTCCACGACATCGATCCGGCCCTGCTTAACCCATCCATTCTAGTATCTATTTAGTAGTAATCTGTGACTATCAACATATCCAAAATGTCTGCTTCGGTTAGTATTTGCTCTCCTTAATTGGGATTACTGCAGTCGTGTGGCTCATCCTGATTTCGTAGGAATCCAAGGGAACACAGGGTTTTTACGATGAGCTGAAGGCTCTCTTCCAGCAGGCGGTAAGTTGTAGCTAAAATCACCTGGGTTATTATGCACTAATGCGCAATGCAGGATAAATCCGGCGAAGGTAAATATCACGTTTAGGATGTTCATGACTGGCTTCCTGATACTGATGCTGCATCTATCTGAATTAGGAAAGCTCGCTCTCCCCGAGTTCAAGGCTGCCGTGAAGGGTAGCAGCAGCGGCAGTCAACTGAATGACATGCAGTTGGAGGCCATGTTCAACTTCTATGATGAAGACAAGACTGGATTTGTCTCCTTCGAGAGTACGCGTTGTCCACTTCTTCCTTTTCTCTCTGGTACTTTGTCCGGGCTAATGCAAAGTCGCGTAGGTGTGTGGAAGAAGATGAACAGTATGATGAAATGAGGGCCACGTCTTGGATAGAGGGAAATAGTATGTGAGTTATAAAGATAATCTCAACACGCTGAGGAGTATCCAAGAGGGAGCGAGATTACATGGAACGATCAAGGACTATTTAGTAAAACCTGCGTACTACAAATTATCATGGGCCGAATCGCGGCGAAATAAAAAACCATACTATATATCATGACGACGCTGTATAGGAATATAATTTTTTTCTCCTACTTTTTTGTCATGGAAAATCGTCATAATGCCTTCAAGGCTAATTGAACATAAGCGCTAAGTTGGCATTTTGATGTCACGATGAACATAATTCTATCATTTCTTGGTCAGCCCAGTTTTTGTCTGGTCTCAGCTACAGTCTATGTCACCCAGTACAACTATCCTTACTCTCTTCATCAATCAGGAATTCAACCAACACCATATCGACCATGTCCGCTTCACCATTTGGTCGTTTCGCCGTTTTGCCCTCCGAAATACGCTTGCTCATCTGGGAGGAGCTTGTTAAAGGGGGATACCTTGCGATTCTTCGAACTAGTCAGGCAATTTACCACGATATAGCCGACCGTCTTTACGACACATTTGATATCCATCTTACCACACTTCTAGAAGATCCGTGGATCGAAATTCGCTGCAAACGACTACGCGCCAGCTGGGTGATCGGAAGACAAGATTTTCTCAAATTTAGTGATCTGGCAAGGGTACCATATGACAAGGTGAAACTTGTTGTTCACATATATGCGCCTGATCCTGACGATTGCGGCCAATTCATCTTGCTCTGGGAGAAGATATCAAGACTCACCCGAATGCTGTGCCACGCAGACGACTCAAGAAATTACAACATATATTGGCGTAGGCTGGGTTACGAACCATTACGTCACTGCGAGCCTAGCCCCGAAACTTTCATATCTATGGTGATTCGTCTACGCAAGCATAATGGTGTTGACTGGGTCAATGACGGCCAGGTCACTTCGACCTTCTGCACCGAAGGTCTTGGATACGACTTCAACGAAGTCTTATTGCCATTTTGTCGTCTATCCCGTGTTAGAAGGTTTCGTGTCATTCCGGACACAGAAGAAATGACTGAAGCAGCTGACTGGGGGTTTGTCAACTATGCAAGTGCGTTCATCATGTCAGAAGGGTTTGTCACTTCCAACGACACGTTCTACAGTGATGACCCCGAATACAGGGATATAGCCCGTACTTTCGATAGTATAGCGGGCTTGGTGGGCGGCAGAGACGACTTTATCCTTGCCTTGGAGGCAGTTTATCTGCCTCACATTTCCGGGCGTACTGCAGCACTCATGCGCCGTGAGCATTACACTTTACTTCTTGACATGATGGTCTGGAGGAAGCCAATACCAGAGAAGCACTACACACGATGAGGCACGAATTACGACTTCGCAATTATAGGGTTACCAAAGTGATCGCCGATCCCGGGCTCGAGAATTACGTCCCTTCTGGCTTTCCGAGTGCTATTATTTACCGCTCGATGGAGTCGAATATCTGATTATTGAACATGCAGCGTCGCTCGTACTAGATTAAGGCTGATTTTTAGCTAGGCGTCCGATCTATTCGAGCGCATGAATTTGTGAAGCTATACTAGTATCGTCAATACAGACACAATATGTTGGTTGTTGCTGGATTTATGAACAATAATTTCGTAGCTAGCCACAATAATTGACAACCGTCGTTATGTTGACTGACTGATGTCAAATTATGTTTTCAAGTTTCCAAATAATTTAGATCTGCTTTCCTGCGTAGTAAACTGTCCATCACTTCGCTTCGTTGTGTATAGAGAACAGTCTCACACGACATTGATGCCTTAAAGGTCAGTAGGTGTTGCATGTCGGAATCCAAGCCAGGAATGTGATCATCCTCAATGGTTGCCCCGTCCGAGCGTCAAGCCTTGCTTAGCCGCCAGAGCGGCCAATTATCAGCAATTAGCCGATAATCCCTTGCCCAGCAGGCCAATTAAACAACCATATCTTATCCAGAGCTGTTCGATTCCCCGCTCGCTGGCTCCCCGGGTCCTTCACGCTTATGAATGACCGCTTCCGCCTGCTTGCTTCCTTATCAGTTATCACTTCCCCATTTCCTCGTGGACATCCATCTAAGTTCTTTCCTAATTCCATTCCACCAGAAATCATATCCAGTCACCATGGGTGCCACTTATTCCAAGCCAGATCCCCGTAACTATAATAGCGAGGAAAAGCGCTCGCACCGAGAGTGGGTTGAAGATGCCGATAGTTGCTCTCTGCCGCTCTATACAAAGGAATCAGCCCAGGCTCGTAAGATAGCGCCCGCTTCATTTGTCCATAGGGTACACGCTCACGATCACAGCACCGCCATACCATGTGCGCGAACGTGCGTCCTCGCTCTCCCTCCATCACGTCCAAGACTGGAACGAGACCTTATTGGGCAACGCCAAGGCAAGTATAGCAAGCCGTCCAGCGCTCTCATTCGTAACCACACTAACTCTGTTCACGGATAACAACAGAACCGTCTCGCGATATCCAGCCTTGCCAGCCAGCCCTACACCGAAGTCCTCGCCAACCGCCCCGCTCTCCAATCCGACCTCCACATATTCAATATCAAGGTTCCCATCGAAGGTTCCCCGATCACGAATCAGCGATCCTCCGGCCGATGCTGGCTCTTCGCATCGACCAACGTATACCGCGTGCCGTTGATGAAGGCGTACAACCTAAAGGACTTTGAGCTGAGCCAGGCGTATCTCTTTTACTGGGACAAGCTGGAGAAGGCGAACTGGTTCTTCGAGCAGATCATCACCACAGCTGACGAGGATCTATCCGGTCGTCTGGTGCAGAAGCTTCTTGAAGACCCAGTCAGTGATGGCGGCCAGTGGGATATGGTCGTCAACCTGATCGAGAAGTATGGTCTCGTCCCGCATGATCTATATCCAGATGCATATCATGCGCAGAATAGCTCCAAGATGAATTGGTTGCTCACGGCTAAGCTGCGTGAGCAGGCGCTTGTGCTGAGACGGCTGGTGCGGAATGGTGATGCCGCCGGATTGGCGGATGCTAAGGAGCGGTTCTTGAAAGAAATCCACTCCATGGTTACCCTTCTGTTGGGGCCGCCGCCTAGTCCCGATGAGCAGTTTGTGTGGCAGTACTATGATGCAGAAGGGAAGTCTAAAGAAATTAGACTCACACCACGCGAATTTGGACGTCAGGCAACGAGTCTGGGTGCTGTGAGGAAGGGCAGCGTCGCTCCTGCGCGCCTGTTCAGCTTAGTTAATGATCCGCGCAATGAATATAACCGGTTGTTGACTGTGGAGAGGTTGGGAAATGTGCTGGAAGGACGACCACTCACGTATGTCAATGTGGAGATGAAGGTATGTCAACATAGTATCTTTGATATTTCCCTTTCATTAACGCATGCCTATCACAGATCCTCAAAAAAGCCGTCATCTCAATGCTCAAAGCCGGTCACCCCGTGTTCTTCGGCTGTGATGTAGGTAAATTCAGCAATAGTACGCTGGGAATCATGGATCTCGATATCATGGACCTTACACTCGGATTCAACATTTCGCTGGGAATGAGCAAGGCCCAGAGATTGGTGAGCGGAGAGTCAGCAATGACCCACGCTATGGTTATTACAGGTGTGCATATTGAAGACGGGAAGCCTGTGCGCTGGCGGGTCGAGAATTCGTGGGGCGAAGCTGCAGGTGATAAGGGCTGGTTTGTGATGACAGATCGCTGGATGGATGAATACACACTTCAGGCTGTGGTGGATTCGGACTTCGTTTCGAGTGAAGTGCGCGCAATTCTGGATCAAAGTCCGAAGGTCTTGCCCAGGTGGGATCCGATGGGTGTGTTGGCTTGATCTTCCTATTCCTAATTTATTTGGCGTTGCTCAATGACAAATTATCATTTTAAATCTATGACCTTTTTTTTTTCCTTTTCCCGTGATGCTTTTATGTTTTGGGAGACGTGAATGAGGGCATGTAAGTGACGCGAGTAGGGGATAAAATTCAAATATTCTTACAGGCTAAACATAGCGCCTAACAAATAATATTAAAATATTCACGCGGTACGGGAGAAATAGCCTAAACCGCTTAGCGTTGGATGTAGACTCCAGTGAATTCTCGTTCAGTGAGATATACTCTATCCTAATAGGTTCAAGGTACCTGGGTGCCATACAGTCTATCTATAGCACTCCTACTCCACTAGACTCCGTGAAGATGATATCGAGTGGAGCACCTACGCGTCCTGTGTCGCCTTCACGTAGAATTAATCAATGGGCATCGAATTTGTAATTATGTCAAAGGCGAAGTACGTAAGTGAATCTAACATTCAGACTGATTTTTTTTGGCTATATAATCCGGCAAGTTCCCAAGAAATTTCTCGGGACATCCCACTCTGTACACATTCTTGAAGAGACAGCCATGTCTCTATTACCGAATATACGAACGGGATTTTCCGACATTCTCCTCCAAACTCACAGCAAGCGCAATATCCCAGATTGGTCCAAAAATCTATAAAGGCCGCCGCCATTCTTTCCTCTGCTGCTTCTCTTCTATTCTCTCCAGAGCAAGACAGAGCAATAGTATATAATCAAGTCATGAACAACCTCCCCATGCCATTGTCGGCCATTCCCAGGTCGACAATGCCGAGGAACCAGATGTTGCAAGCCTAGACTCGACGACGCACATCTCTCTTCCTTGATTGCCGAAGACACTCCCCAAGCCTTTTGTCCCATCGAACAGGAGACAGATATTGAAACGGGCACATTGTCACAAATGATGCGAACCTGTCTCCTTTTTCACAAGGAGGGCGTGGTATGGTCCCAATGGGAAGAATGCAATATAGTCACCATGTTGCTTGGGCTTCCTGCTGGTTGGTTACTCTGCGAATGCGTTCTCTGCTCCCCCACTAATGTTTGGGCATTATCTCAAGTGTTGTTCATGGCACCTTTTATTGAGAACCTCAGCCGTGCAGAAGAAGATACAACGCGGTTCTGCTTTCTCACGTTGTATCAATCTCAGAGTGACGCGTTGCCTTTCAACTACCATCCTGACGGGAAGTCACAAAGTGACCTTCTAGTGTCTCTGTTGGGGGCCACCACTTCGGCAAATCGATCGTTGTCCTAACGCCCCGAGTACGACGCGCGATACAAAGAGTGATTTGGCTTTGCGCGTTCTGTGAACTATACAACGCTATACTATGTCGTCAGGCACCTGTTCCTACTCCGAGACGTCACAGAATGCCTCTGAAGACATACCGTTTGGTATATAAGATCTTTACCAGCAGGGCTTCACGGCTATACTGACTTTGAATTCGGCCCTCCTATACCGTACACCCTGACATGTCGATCGAGCCTCGTGGTACGTCTTGACACTATCTCGTTGCGCTTTGTCCTTGACGACCACACGGGTTGCTCGGGTGGTCTCTGAAACCACCCGGGTTATGATGCATGGTCGCCAAAACGCACAAATTCTCCATAAAGATATAAAGGATTTTGCCTCGGGCTAGTCCTCGCATCGGGACTTGTCCTTCGGCACCCACTAAGAGACCACCCAGATTATGATTCCTGGTCACCAAAACGCACAATTGTCGAAAATGTATAAAGGGTATGCCTCGGGCAAATCCTCGCACTGGGAAACGTTCTTCGGCTCCCTCCAACATGCTCCCTTCGCGGGGCACTGAAGGCTCGACAGCGCGCTCCGAGCCCAAAGATAATGGTTGACGGTACATACCCGCAAGCCAGGGTTTACCAATGAAGACACTTGATATTCGTGACAGGGTTTCTCACTGGTTTATTCGAGTTAGTGTGATGCTCACAAATCACATATTCCTCGTCCCACACGCAGGTCAATGGTGAACCAAACGAGACCCAAGTCAGGTCCGTCAACATGTCGTTCAAGGACGGAAAAACTCGAAAGATCTGCGGGTCTTCCAGAATGATGGAAAGATTCAGTCTATCCACTCACGTCGCTTCCGCTGATATCTGCCGATCCGCGAGGAGAATAATACAGAGCGCGCTCTACTGCAAAGCTTGCCCCTAGAAGCTGAAAAGGACAGCAGTCTGTGCCTATTGCAATACACTAGCATATAAAATATGCACAGGAAGATAGACGGGCTATGGGAAGAGTGATACAGCTCATCTATGACCTTCCTTACTCAGGGAGTCTCTTTTGCTGTGTCTACTGTTAGAATCATTGGTACATGCACTTGAGGGAGTTAAGATTTTCCTCATTCCAGTCAGCGCTCGTCTGATCCTTTCATTGCGTTGTTTCGGATATGGGGACTGAAGTCATTGCATTCAAATCCAGAAATTACCTGTGCATGTCATGCGGCAGTATCCAAAGTGCTCATCAAGACTAGCGATTTCTTTGCTTATACTCTTCCCTCTCAGCCTTTTTCGCCACCTATTACTTGGCCCAGTCTGAGTCCTCGAGCAATCATTCTTCTTTACCTCTATGCAAACAACACTCCACAGCATATAGCCACAACTGCAATTACTGAAGCCTTTTACATAGGGCAACGCTACGAAAAATGCCTTGCAGATACTTGGTTCAACACAGCATACCATGATTGCATTCATCAATGCTTATGGTAGTGTGTCCCTGGCACGACACGCGTATGACCCGGCTTCCTGAGTCATGGTGCGAACTATGCAATCACCTCCCAATCTGTGGCATTATTCAATCTATACAGCTTCTAAGCTTTGTTTAATCAGCTACGCATGACCATGAATGAGGCAATTTCATGCAGTCGGAATTGTGGCGTAGCCACGAATACTGGTTTGATACGAAGACAAGATCATTGGGGGTTTCTTAACATTACTTCAATCGAGTCACCCCTATGACGCTGTCTGTCTTGTGGATTCCTTTGAGCCAGTTCCCGACATATAGTTGTCTCAATAGCGTTGCAGCCCGAACGGTTACTCTGGGTGAATATATTCAAAACAGTCCTGATGATGCCGCTTTCTTTGGCCGTATATAAGATCCACAACCGGATTCATTCTTGCTCTTGGGCTTTCGTGCATGATCGGTCGACAAATACCCATGCCTATCCCTATAACATGGATACTGATGAGCTGGGTGACGTTGGCGGTTGCGCACTGACTCTCTTTGGATGTTGTTCCTTCCCAACAATGAATCATTGCTTGCCCCTTGACAATGACGGATATTGCTTCTTGTTGGCAGTCAAAGACAAGGTGGAATACCATGGTATGGCTCAAAATGCCTATGTCTTTCGCTTTGGACTCCATTCTCTTCTTCACGATCCAATCAGCAAGCCTTGTTAGGTTCTTCCTTAGGCTGCGAGTTCCAACAGGGGTTCATTTCACCAGCTCCTCAGTCCATGGAAAGATGCACTGGACCAATCAAGCAGACATGCTATAGATCCTCCTGCGCTTTCAACACTTTCTATGAATAGCCGATGAAAAGTGGACGCGCTCCCACAATTTATGGGCTTCGGGCAAACCGCTTATCAGGCGGTTACCCGTAAGTCAGAACATCAACACTACGTCCCATCGCCGGACATCGTCAACTAACTCCAATACAAGGAAGACCATCCAGTACCCTCATTGCTGTGTCTGCCGGTTTATGCCCTCTGATTGTACAGGGCTGCTCATCATTCATGATACACAGCGGGGAATGAACCTACTAGTGCCCAATCAACCATTTCACCACAAGCTCAACCAAAACATTCTTGGAGAATGCATAACTGCTCCTTGGATAAACAGAAGGACAATGTGAAGGTTGCACCTGCAGATTCACAGAGCAACAAGAAGCAGAATGGCGACAAGGGAACTGCCGACCGCCGTTAATCGGTGTTGTCGATATACTAGTAACATGGCTTTTGAGTTTAATGGTCGTCTACTCAACCATCCTATTCATCAAGCTAGGGAGATACACCCTGGCGACCTTGGGCAGCTAACATGCTCATCCAGACACTGAGATATCTAGCTAGAAATGGACCGCACAAATCAAGGCGTATAAATGTTCTGGAAGTGAGTCGGACGAGACATCTAAGCCTCCCCGGGTTCCGCATGAGAGCTTTTCGTCAGTGGTGCTTCAGGGTACCGAATCCAACCCTGAAGAACTTCGTTCCCTTCTGCTTCTTTATTCGTGCGGAATATACCCTTATTCGGGTTAACCTTCGAGCCTAAAGACTAGTCTGTGGCAGAGGGCACAGACATAACAGACGTATCTCCGGAGCGTCTGTAGAAAGGTCTTTTACCACCGGAAGATCAAGTACCCCAAAGTCACGGGTCTCTACTGGAAGCTGATGCTGAACAAGATGCGGACAGGAGAGCCATGGATGGAACACCACGACTTTCCAAGGTGTCACACAATGTAAGTCGCAGAACATCTGTTCTGGCACTATCCCATAACAAAAGCGTTGGCGGCAGATCACGGGTCTGCTGCTCAATCTTCCCACAACGTGGACTGACCTGCTGCTGAGGGTTGCATGGACAGATTCTCGGTTCTTTTCACGGGAGGCGGATCAGGAACGGTGGTGACTACTGTTCGGCGAAGCACTGTGGTCGTTGTAGCTTTACCAGTGCGCCGTCTCGTAATTCCACGCAATACAGGAACAAAACGCAAGACGAAACTGTGGCTTGATGTATGGTTTACCAAGAAATGGTGGACAGCTATCATGTCCATTCATCTCATATTAATGAAAATCTCCCCTGGTTTGGTCCCAAGTATCTATGATGAATCGTTCATCAGCAATGAGACACTTTCCTATCACCAAGCAGAATTGGTACTGGGTGCTGGCGTGACAGCCAGTACAAACATATTCTCTTATCTTCCTCCTGTCCATTCTGGTATTAAGGAGATATTGCCGACACCCAGGGCCTTAGTATATCACCAAGCTCGAATGGCTCTGGGTGTCGGGAAAACAGCCAAGGAAAGATCTATCTGGGCACCACGATCTTCCAGTTCTACAAAAGCTAAACGGCAACGCCTGATGTCATCCGTTATATAAAGTGTGGATGACTTCGCCTATCAGGTTTTCCAACCGTCTCTCACATCCATGTCTACAACGAATCGTTTGAACCTACATTTTCAGACTCAACATGCTCTCTCAGTTAGAGCAGATGCTTGTCGAATCGAATTTGAAAATTCGTCTGCAAGACCTTTTCACAACGGCCAACCCACATGTTGAATCTTACTGATGTGCGGGTATCTCAAAATACAACCATATTATTGCTCAGGCCAAATCCGAGGTTTTATTCTGAAAGAGGACGTCTTTGGAATATTGCAATGCCCTAGGAAGGTTATCTCACCAAAAAGCCACTTCGCTCGAGGCTTTCTCGCGACAACTCATCCAGCATTGGTTCAACAATCGCGAGAAAACCTTCATATATATAATTCAATAAGACGCGTGCAATATCTCCGACGCTAAGAGTACTTCAGACAATTTCTGGGCCATGAATTGACTGTATACCAGTCTGATTACGCTTTTGATCCGGAGTCCGATGATGACTCCGATATCAATGAGACTGGAAGAATCACACGGGCATATCGGCCTGTGTCAAGGTCCATACCACAGGAAACTTGACTATCTCAAACTCAACGACCGCTACTGAGAACTGCTGCTGAGCGAGATCCAAACAGGAGAGATATGAATGAAACCCGGTGAGGACTCAAGGCGTCATGCTTTGCGAGGCGCTAGTATTTCTTCTGGCACTGTCCGATCGTGGCAGAAGTATGGGAACCCATTGGTATATGGCTGCAGATAACCGGATCAAACGCCGGATTTCTTTACAGTGTGGACCGAATTGTTGCGAGGAATGAAATGTACAGAATTGAATTTCCATCACGACAGGCAGACAGGATACGGTGTTCGAACACTCGGTAGCCGTCGACTCGCAAGGGCGCGGCCAAGGAAGGAACAAAACCGAAGACTCCAATGATAGAATCAACTGATGGGATCTCTCATCCCTCGAGCGAGTTGTTCCTGGAGCTCTAGAGAAGCGCAATCTGTGTCTTTACCTGGAGAAACCAACGCACAACCAGGGACGGTTGCTAGGACCGCCTGAGTGGTGGTGTGACCACGTTCGTGATCATTGATCTATGATCTTCAATGTACTTAGTCGCTGGATTGCGGGTGTGAAGGATATCAAGCCCCTGCAACAGAAACTCCATAGCTTCCCATTCCCTATGGTCCTGGGAATCCATGAACACAATCATATTCAATCGACATTCGCCATCACCTCTCAGTCACTGTCCCCATTTCACTAATGCCGACTGCTTCACCTGACTCTTACCGCTCGAATATAAAACCTTCGCTCGTCTTCCAGTACACCATCGGAATCAGAAAAGCTTTTCCTCTCTCCTACTCCGTCCACTTTGAAAGCGTCCTTCAACGGGGGAATAAACCGAAACTGGGTATTCTGGCGTGCCTAAAGCACATCTCTCTAGCAAAGGGCTCAGCATCTTGGCAGAGGGGGCTGTTTTCTTGATTCGAAAAATTTCTATCTCCGGATCCTCTTCGTGAAAGAAGCTCTGGGTGAAGAACACGTGTGATCGATCTTGGTTTCGCATACCCAGAGATTTGGATATTTTCTTCTATCGTGTCCCCTAAATTCTCACCCCATCTCATATATACCCAACGGTAACCCCCCCATTCTCAGACAAACTCATCTAGTGACTCATCTGTTTTTAGATAGAACTTCCCATTGCTCTCATTTTCGTTAACCATAAAGCCAGCAATGATGATGCAGCTACTTCAACCCTCAAGATAGAGACCAGTTCCTAGAGGAAATCACCCTCCCAGATGCCCTCTCGTCGTGATAGCTGCCGGGATGCACTCTGGCATGAAAAGGGATATGCTCAGTCAGGCACCATGAACCATTTCAGTAGTGTGATGATGATATTCCTTCACTGACTGACTGTTTCCATCGCTATTGTCTCCCAGGTGATCATCAGCCTTGCCATTTTTCTCAATTATCGGAGTGCCAGTGATGAAGAAGATCTTGCAGACACCAGCGATTGGCGGTTCAAACGTGTACATTTGGCAATAGTGGGGCAAAGTGGCCCTCAGGTATGATTAACCGTCTGGCATCTCCTTCTTTTTCTCCCATCTTCTTTTTCACCCTATCCATGATATGAGGGTTGGTTATGGCTAAATAACCGGTTTTTCGATATCAACCAGTGCGACTGAGGCACGGCTCCACGTTCTTTGTACATACCAGAACGCCTTTGAGAATACCAAGGCTATCGATGACTCATGCCTTATAGCCTGTATAATGGCTTCATCATCTATCAACAGAAGTTCTCTAAGCCATTGAAGTCATGTGTCAAGGGCACGATGACCAACAGAGAGATTTCAAAACTGTTCCCTTTACAAGACGATTTCTGCTATTCCGCCTTTTCAACAAGCACTACATTGGTTCCCAACAGCGGGGCCGAAGAGCTAATCCAGATATATTACATGAGCCGTTCACCAATAGATGGTTTCACCCGACACCTTTGATAAACAGATGCAGAAAGACTGCATCAGGGCCTTGAAGCTCCGGATCATGATTTCTGTAACTTCATACTACTTCACGCCTATCTTCTTTTCCACATCGTTTCGAAATCGCTATACAGCATTCGCTTGGGTTTCTCTTGCTGGGTCATATATCCCAAGCCGAAATTTCTTCTGTCAGAGTACCTTCCACGTGCGACCTTCTATGGAGTGAAGAAAAGTTGCACCTTGTACCACCTAACCTTGGGTCAATCAGCTCAATATCACTGCTCCTACGCTACCCTTTCTTCTGATGTGAAGGAAAGCATTCCCGACATTGCGCAGTCTGTGCTATATTGAAGAGAGAGACACGCTCTTCCCACTCTACATACCACTTCTGAAACCTAAACTAGCTTTTACAATTGACCTCATGAAATTCATTTAGCTCAGTCATACGCCCACTTCAATATGACATCCGATGCTATTCTGCAATTCAGGACACCGACTTGTCGCTCTACGAGTTCTAAGAGCTTGTCGACATGTGAAACACTTTCGATGTTGGTTACAAAGACCGCGCTCCCTTTCACGACGAGTTCGTGGGTGATCTTCGAAACAAATATACTTTGCAAAGTTCCTTGCTGTCGTTGCTGCCAGCCGGCTTATGGCCACATTTCTTGCAACAGATGGGCACTGGAGGAACTCTCGATATCTAGAATAAAAGACTACCCTCTATTCCACAGCAAGCCGCCGCAGGAAGCTCGCCTTCGGTTTTACCACGCCAATTCTCTTCCGACCGTTGTGTGGTACCATTCACGAAGCTATTTTGTCGCCATCCGTCCTCCATGAGATCAATGTCTGGTGCAAAGGGATGTCTGGGTGGTCCGAGGTATGCGACCTACGACTCAGACTCTATGCCCGGATAACCAATATGCTGGAGTCATCTCCAGAGCAAACATTTCCCTAGCATGTCTACTGACCAAGATAATTGGGTATCCGAATTGTCCCAAAGGTCGGAATTGAGATATTCTGATCCAAGCCTCGTACTTCGCGAGGGCACCAAAGTATCGCTCAGGCCCATCTACCGCGCTGTCGGCGGGCGAGCTGCACGAGACCGGGGCCAAGCTCGACCCGCACGGACTGGTGGCGCCGACGTCCCCGGAGGGCCAGCAGCGGGGAGGATCCATCCGCCGCGTATGTGGGAAAAAGCGTGCAGCCCCCACTCCACCCCGGCAGGCGAACCACGGACCAAGACAAGCTGGTGGAGATTTTGACAGATCAAGCACATCTGCGAAGGGAAGCAAGAACACGTTCTCTACGGCATGGATTACGTACAGATCAGAGAATACATGTCGCCGATTTGCGGGCTTATCGAGCCCCCCGGCGCCTCCAAAACGAGCACCACAATCACCACGATCGATTCTGTCATGACAATCCGTGCAGCTCATACGAGCTTTGCATGCAATTGACCATCCCTCTCATGGTCAGCTTGATTTCAAGCATCTACAAGAGAACTTCTTTTATGTTGTCTGCTACCACATCCGGGCGTTGGCTTCAAGTATTTGACGCACAGAGGCAACCTCAATCTCATCCTGGGGTGCGGCAGCGTCGAGATCGCCACACATCCTTCGTCTTTGTCTTGTACTCGATCACAGGGAGAAGCAGTATCTAAAGGCGAGAAAGAAATGAAATACCCTAACTACTTATCCTTTGGGTGTGCCGATTGAGATGCAGTCAGTCAAGTCAAGATGTTGAAGCGGTAACGAATTGCATCTGAGCCTTCGTTCTCATTACATCTCTCGATTCTCATAGAACGGCTTCTACGCAATACACTATCCGTCCATCGTGCCTTTCAGATTACATGAGAAGGGTCTGGGACATTGTCTCCCGTACGATCAAATCCTCTCAATGCCAAGGTCTGCGCACTGCTGTCTTTAGATTCGGGGCATGTTGCCGCTCAGAAGCATTGTGAGCAATGCGGCTGCATCGCTGTGAAAGAAACTCCAGGCGTTAAGTAATCTGTTCCAGGTCCGCTCCAGACAGATTACTCAGTCAACGGGCGGCGATGACACAACCCGAAAGGTTGCATTTGAGCGACACTTGGGAGTGCCACCTTCCTCAAGGCATGATCATTGAACGAGCTTCATGCCATGATAAGAGCCATGTACCATGAAGCACAAAGGCATGGGGAAACCGTTGCCTCCCTGAATGAATGGGCCGAGAGCATTGATCCGAGAACATATCGGAAGATGATACCTTGGCACCAGGATCTCATCAACGCATGTGGGAGATATAAAATATATCTTGATATAATAAACCCGACTCATGAAGCGTACATTGAGTATGAGCGCCAGGTCGACAGATAAAGGCTCGCTGACACCCCCGAAACTCACATGAGACGTCTTCAGCGGCTTGATTAACGTGCTAAGACCATTAAATGGACTGCACAAGATCATCAGAGAGGTTACCTTGAGGCACAGCATCATGAATATATCATAGCAATTCTTGAAGCATGGTCTCAGATAGCTAGTTTGATCACAAATCACAACCTAGCTCAATGGCTCCAAGATCTTGTCGATGACCAATATGCCTGCAAGCTTCAATCCTTCGCTTACATCTAAGGCAGAGTCCAACGAAGAGGAACAAGTTCTCCGACCCTTAAAGTACTTACACGGTATTATCCAGACAATGTATCATAAGGTACAGAACTATCAGGAGACCTCTGTCTTTCTTGAATCATGGGATCTTACGATTGATCCGAGCACATAGTAAAAGCTAGTGCCTTGGCCCAAGGCTTCATCGAAGCCTGGGAAGAATATAAATTAGTTGTTGAGTTAGACATTTCGGAAACACACAAATGCCAGCAACTGCTGGAAAGCTAGAGCGAAGTCTGGCTGGAACTTCTGCGACATCTTTATGTCCACTTTGTCAAGCCAGTGTATAAGGCGAACCTAGGATGCGTCCGCGAGGCGGATCGAGAAAGGGATTAGAGATACATGCGAGACACGGATGAAACGTCTGCAGCATTGCCTCGATTGAGGTGAAGTTGCAGCGATGTGCGCAGAATGCTGCAGTCAAGAAATCAAGTGGGGAAGCTATGATCATACATAATACGGGATGTGTAAAGAGATTATGAGATAGCCTGCCCCTCTGCCTTTGGGGTGATCTAATCAGACTTCTATGGATACAATCCCATGGATATCATTGTGCTTCTATATGGCCCGTGCGGTCGTGGTGCTATATTGAGCAACATGGCCAGTTCGTGTAGCTGCCAATCCGCAAGCCTACGATGTCTGGCGTGGTATATGAATGGAAAGGAGCAAGCAAATGATAGAACGATTGATACGAGATCTCTCATGAAGATGAGGTCTTGTCAAGGAGCCCACCAATGCCCGAGATGAGTGAACATACGAGAATGAACGGGGTGAATATATCCAGCCCCCCGTTCCCCCAGAAAAAGGAAATAACAAAATTTCTTCCATAAATCTAACTTCGTCTATTCTTCATCCAGAGACTGACTCTAGAGGTAATACTGGCTGTTTTTATTCTTTGATTATTCGCTCCTTAATGACTTCTCGGTCGTCAATACAGTACCCCTACACGAATTACCTACCATACGGGTATCATACGCACGCTCTTCCAAGAAGCTCACCCAGTCTGTCCAAGCAGGAAGCGGATAGAGGCGAAGGCAGCATATCGTGGCTCATAAGCAACGGGCTTGTCAGTTGCAACATTGAGCTACATCCATATCTTCTACGCTTCCCTGCAATTCTATATGCCGACGTACATGAGGATTCGTGTTGCTTCACGTATTGGTGTCTGCGATGTTAAACCATAGAACTCATAGCCCTACTCTTGCTTCGGGGGTTGAAAAAAACCATATATTTATGGTCTCTTCTAGGTGGTTTGAATAGGTCGAAGAACGCGAATGGAGTTGGCTCGGATATTTCGGTATCCATCTCTTTGGACGGTTCCGATCCAGTGACGTGTGCATCTTGGAGAGAGTCAGTGGGAGTTCTCCCAGATAATCTGGAATATCAGCATCACGCATTGTGGTCACTGCATGAAGGGTGTGTATATCACCACAGATTACCTTGCTCATTTTCCCCTCAGTGCTTCCTGGCCATATGTATTTATCCATTACGAAGTTGCACGCTATATCTCAAAGACTACACCCTGTGAGCTCTCCAGTAGAGGACATTGGAGAACGAGCATCTATGAGCCTGAATTGGCACAGTTTTATCCAGATTTATAGAGCATACAAAGCATTGGAGACAGTCTAGTAGAACCAAAATCGGATAAACATAACTAGATCACAAAATGCGATAGAATGACGACTAACCAACAACTTAAACCAGAATAAAGTACAAAACAAAGCACTGGACAGGAAGAAAATTACAGTAACTCAACAAGAAATGACGAAACCGACTAGTCAGGCAGAGCAAGTCAAGGTTAGGCCGAAGTACAGGCATATATATCCTTGAATATATAATGTGAGTAGAGGGCAATTAGTCTGAGCCATCACTGAACGTGTCACTGGTCAAAACAGAACTATGAGGCTTCCCAGCGGCCAAGGCCCGCCAGTACGCTATTCAGACAGATATATTAGTCACGGCAACGCCCTCGGCTGACCTACGATGAAAGAGAAATGCATGCTCACCGCGATAGTTCTGGCCTGCTTTACGCACTGCTTCTCTGGCACTGGCCGAATTGTCGCTTGCCTGCTTGATATGGCTTTGGATAGACCGTTTATCGTCGTACGCATTTCGGTAGTTAACGAGAACATAGATCCGTGCCTCAGCTGCGCTGTACATGCAAGGGAGTATTAGTCAAAACCAAACCCACACTCAAAGGCTGAGTCTCGAAGGTGATGAGAAGAATGATGGGTCCTGTGGTCAGATGACATTTCGTACCTCAACGCAGCTTGACCCCATTCAAGGGCCAGTTCAAGACGTTTCATCCTAACCTCGGCTGAGTTCCTCACCTTCGTTGGCTGGGATGTACGGTTCTCGTATTCCTTGAAAGCCAGCAGTCGTGGATTGATCAAATCGACAAGATGCTTGTATCTCTCGTAGGCCTCAAGAAGCTCCCTGGGCCAAGGGACTTGTTTGCGATACGTGTTTGGATCGATTGTTTCGGCCCATGTTTTGAGAGAAGCGACAGTACTTTCATGGTTGCGTACTTCATATAGCATCTTTCGGATAAGATCATGCAGGTTGTTCAATGGCCTGAGGACTATGTTCTCTGGATCAGATTCCTCGGCTGCTGTAAGTGAAACATTCGAGTGAATTCGGCGAGGAGCTTTTTTCGGCATTTTTGTTGATTGGCAACGGCTAGTAACCGATATATATATACGAGGGCAAGTGAATAAAAGCTTCGAATAGAAAGTTGTAAGGGGATGGACTATAGTAGACTTGAGAAAGTATGAAATGTGACAGGTGTGAAGAAGTATGTGTATGTAACCAATGGGATCAAATGCTTGAACTATTAGAAAGAATGCAAGTTAAGTGAGAGTTGCTGGATTAAAGGTTGCTACACTCTTGACCACTTGGTCATACTTATATGGCAATCCCATGAGAGCAACGGAACGGGTAAAAGCCAGCTCATGTCCAGCCAAGCAGCAAGAACGAAGGATGCGCGCTAAGTCAAACACCGGGCACCCCGGTGATTGAAGTCCTGGTATCACTGAATGGTCGAGACCCAAAGATGAAGCCTTATTTTTGGTACGCGCGCTTAGGAGCATTACGCGGCATACCATCAGTGGTATGTATCATTTTAGATATCATATCTGTAGCCATTCATGCATCCCCTGCGGCGGCGCATACTAGCTGTCACTAGGCATATGAGCAACAACGATTGGACTATAGCCCATCACGGTCTGGCGCTGCCTATATTCTCAACAGATAGTGTCTTTGGCAAATTATCCATTGCTTCCGGAGGCAGTCTACTTTGCGCACATTACGCTAGCGTGCTTCATGGCGCTAAGGGTGAATTGATTCTCGCGAAATTGAATATCTTCCCAGCAGGAGTCATTGGCTAACAATGACTTCTTGACAATCGCAGTGTAGCGTGTAGCCGCCCATGCGTACTATCATGGCGATCTCTGTGATCTGCGCATGTGGATAAATATACTATAGGATGACAGTAGTTGTTTTTCCGGATAGAACGCACACTCTATTATTAACTGATAGGTCATAAATTCACAGGGAGCGTTATAATTAGACCCCTTTTTTTTGTTTTCCTTTTCAATTAGCGGAACTTCTGTTTTAGTTCTTAGCGATTTCAGCCCCCTCATTGTCTTTGGAGCTGTTCCTGGCGCTTAAAGAAACCAGGCAAAGTGCCCCGCATCCGCAGTTAAAGATGCCGCTTATGTCATCACTATAAGCGCCGGGGAAGAATCAGGCTGCTTGTCAGGGACTCGAGGATCCCCTCGCCTTCGAGGAACTTCCCAGAGTATTACACTAGATATTAGAATTCACTTCTGCTTCTCAAGGCTCTCTTTAGCTATCTAAGGTTCTTCTCCTATCTTCAGTCCCCTCATGGGTTCATTCTTCGCCGATCAAATGCTTGAAAGTTCAATGACGGATGATCTGGTCCGTTCGAACTCACGCTTACATCTTGAATCCCTCCCACCAGAGATTAGAGTTCAAATTCTCCTTTTACTAGACGTTGAAGGACTTAAGTCTCTAGTTCAAGCATCACCCGTTTATCATGAGCAGTATCTTCAGGATCGCAAGCGCCTTCTCCTCGCCTGTCTAGCGACCACACTGGGCAGCATTTTCTTCGAAGCCTGTGTTGTACAGGAGACTAGCTCAGTGGGCTTCTCGCAGACACGCAACCACGACAGAATCTATGAATTCTTCAAGTCTCTCACGAAGCGACGCTCTTTGACCCGTCACTCGGATTTAACGGCAGGACTCACATTAGATGATGCCATAGATATGGTAACCTTTTATCGCTCGGTCTTGAAACCTCTCGCATGGAGCTATTCTGCTTGGGCATTACGCAATTTAGCCAAAGAGCCGGAAGCAGCACATAATAATATCGACAATCCCCTGAGTGAGTCGGAAGAACACAGGATAATCCGCGCTCTGTATCGCTTTCAGCTGTGCGGCAACGTATTCGGCGTGGGACCTAACAAGGACATGCTCGATCTTTTCGAGATACAATTCCAACTCAGTGATATGGAGATTTTAATGCTACTTGAAGACTTATATGAGCCCTGGGAGTTGGAGGAGATTAATTGCGTCAATGTCTTTGCGGAAACAAAATGTCGCGAAATCCATGATGCTGTGACCTGGGATTTCAGTGAAAAAAATCCAAGATTTGATGACCAGGAAAGACCGCCCACTCCGGACGGAGCAGTGGATATACCGCGTCAGTAAGCCTCTGCAAATGCAAATTTTACGTTTCTGCTGTAGGAATTTTGCTAACTGGCAGGGAACCCGCAAATAGAGCACAGCAAAGCTTATTTAATCGGGACTATTACACAAGGTCTCGAGCTTCTGCAGACTATTTTCTTCAAGGTTCAGGAGCACTCGGATTTAGTCAACATAATGGAGCGAACCTTGGTTCTTTGGGTCGAGGAATTTCTGGGAGCAGATGTCTTCGGCGCGTTCAGCGACATGGCACAACGTGAACGCCGCGCTAGAGCACCTTCCGAGCGAGATAAGAAAGAGGAGCGAAGAGAGCCATTGCCTTTCCGGGGTGACCCGTTAGACGACTCGGACGGAGCGTACCCGCCATTAGCATGGACGCTTTTGTGGAAAGGAACATACAGCAATATGTTAGGAAGCTATATACCCAATGACTTCCACATGTGGGGGTATGTCATGTGGGACGCGGCCCGGTTGGAGCGCACTGGTGCAAAGGAAGTATTGGTAAGGGAATGGAACTTAATGTGGGGTGAGGATGAGGATGCGAGAGATGAGAGAGAATTCTTCTGAGTGGATACGAGGCTGTGTTTCTGCGTGTGTATAGTTCTCCAATTTTGAGTTTCCAGGTTAGGATGGGGATTAGCAATAGAGCAGAATTTAACCATATACTAGTAAGCGCACGGTTACGATTCCGATCCATGTGTGATGAGGAGGCCGAGCAACAACTCTTTCTATACTCCTGGGCCAACCAATAGTCTGTCTACCTAGCTCATTGTAATACCACTATTCAGCCTAATGACACTGTGTGCTGCTTGGATAAGACGAATAGAGAAATGCAGGATCTGGATGCCGACCGACGGTATGCGGGTAATTAGCGACCATCAGGCAAGCTGATTTTTGATTGGGGTGACGCAACAGGTGGATGTAGCGACAATAAAAGCACAGGAAAATCACGAATGTATACTCAATGCTCACTAATTACGCTGATTACAGCCACACTGTGGACAGCCTGGCTGTGCTACTTGCATCGGTGCAACTGCCGCTTTGTTGTGCCTGATTGACGATCATCGGGCGGAAGTAACACCCAACGGAAGCACGAGATCCGTCATTCATGGTGGACTACGTCAAATACTCTATCGCTTCTAATGTGAAATGACAGATCCTTGACTCTTCAACCATCTGAATGTTGATGAGGAACCTTTACTAAAGTCTCCTGTATGACTTCTAGAAATTGACTATCTTGGCCGTGCAGAACAGTGGAATCATTTACTGGTCGCATGACGTTCCCCGGCGCATCATGGGGTGACATAAGCAACACCGAAGATGCGGGGTAACACCCCTGTAGACGCCAGGAGCACAAGCTGTGAGCTCCCTTTATAACAGAGTGGGAGGTACCTGCTCTGTCCACATTCTTCTCCTCATTCAAATTATTGATGCTAGCTGCGCAGGAACGCAACCAACTATCATAACACTCTCTACCCATCCACAACCCTTCATAGTCCGTATCTATCTAAGAGATAACTACCGCTCTATCAAGCGAATCTCCCCTCACCGCCAGATCACATGAATTACATAGCCAAACGGCCTACATTGAGGTCAAAACTGTGTGCGGGGGCAGCTTTGGGTCGCCACACCAGGAGCTATTCATACGTTCCTTGGTCCTGTCCGTGGACTCTTCGACATATGAAATATGAAATTCGCGATAATCATAAGACAATTGCATTACTCCGTCAATGGTTCGACACTATAGATCCTATAACCTACCGCAAACAATGTCCTTGGTCGGGGGAGCTCACCGACGCTTATGAGCATTATAAATACCTTGACAAGATCTTTATCCAGAGAAAGGCGATCTACATGAGCGAACCGCTGCTGACAATGGAGGCCACCCCTGATCAGCATGTGAGGTCTATACAGTTGGCTATTGAATGGGGGGAGGCTGCTCTTAGGTAATTCCTAACCCATCTCCTCTGGCTCTGGTGACACCAGTCGCGGATCAAGACAGTCTTACTTGCAATCATGCTAACGTATCTGGTTCATGCAGCTCAGCCAAGGCGAGAATCCACGTCCTCGCAAACTATCGAACCGCCTATGACGTAACAGTTATCCACTCCCACATAGAAGAGGCAGAAAGGCATCTGTTCAGTGCCATGAGTGCACTGCGCGAAGCAAGAACGAATTTTCAAGGTACATTACTCCCTGCCCTTGAATATTGGAGACATTGCATGGCTAAATAGCCTGGGTTGTATAGTAGCAAAGACCGACTACAAGTTCCCTCTACCGCCCGTCCTCTGCCAACCTGATCTATATCCACACTATTCAGCATCATTCATTGACCTATGCTTGGGCGTGCATGTTGATCCCACAGTATAGCCATGGCTGGTGTTCAGTGCTTCCATTACTTTCTCTCTTTTCCTCTCTTTTACGTCTCTTTCTCATGACTTTGATATCTTCTTTAGCTGGCTGTTGTTTCCTTTGTTCACATCATAGATTCCCTCATACACATCTGAGATGTGAAACGTGCAAGTCACGTTTGTGCTATTTGTTTCCGTTCAATCACGCTGTCATGATTTGCATTGCTCCGAGCTGGCTCTTGAATCTTTTAGCGCTTGTTGTCCCTGACCTAGGTCATTTCATCAAATCTTCATACCCTTCTGATCACGTCGCTCACTGAGCTCGGTGCTTAGTAAAACCAAACATTCGTGTGATAAACTTTTCATGGCTCTCTCCTATTTCCGAAAGAAATCTCCTGATAAGTAGAGAGCGCCTCAGTTAAAGCTTCAGTCGGTCGGATTCACTGGTGCACGCTCACAACGGTCGCGTATGGTCCTCCTTACTCAAAGAAGCCATTAGGCATGCCAATTACCTCGCCAATCTGACATCAATCATCAAATACGTCTAACAAAGTCATCACAGCGACAACGAGCTCACATTTCTATCGCTGTCAATTTTCATCTCAAAGTGTATCAGCGGGCAACCTTGCGACCGGCTAGTCACATGCGAGGGGCCGTGGCGCAGTTTCACCCCCAGTGACAAAGGTAGCCCATCAGTCAGCCTTGACAGCTTTCCCTTGTTTATTATCCTCAGATCGCCTCTCCACAGTGTGGAATTCCATTCTAGAATGGATCGACACTGCTTCTATACAACCCAGTCTACAAAAATGTCGAACACTTCCATTAATTCACCCGACCCGACCCCATACAGCTCTCCCAAAAGAAAACAAACAACAACAAACGCATCAAAAACATTCCCTCTCTTCCCCTTCCTCCCCGCCGAGCTCCGACACCAAATTTGGCAATTCGCCCTTCCAGAACCCTCCCACCCTCCCTCCGCCTTACTCCCCCACAAAAAGGGCTGCTGGGTCGCCAAACCCATCCCCTACACCGGGGAATTGGGACAAGTCAACGACCCCAATGGCAACTACGAAATAATATTCGACATGGGCCTTCTGGACCACGTACAGATCCATACTCCCCTATTACACGTGAACAGCGAATCCCGAGCCATTGCGCAGAAATGGGCGTCAAATGTGACTGCTCCACGAAGAAACCGCCTCAGTGAAAAGCAGATTCAAGATCAAATGTACAATGATGATGATAGTAGCGAATATATACCCCCCTTCTCCCGCCAATTCGACATAGACTGCGACCTTCTCTACCTCGTCCCGGACAACATTGTGGATCTGATCCTTGGGGCAGGGGATCGTCTCGAGCAGCCCGATATGAATGGCAAGGCGGCGAGAGTGGTGTTTTCGTTGCCGTTGGCGGGGGTGAGTGAGGAGGTTATTTGGTTGAAGGATGAGACGCTTATGGAGGAAATCATGGACTTATTTTCGATCGTGGGACTGATTCATCTTGTGGTGGGGGAGCAGCCGAAGTGGATGGAGGGTGGAGTGCAGAGGTGGTGGGATTTGGAGTGGGTGTCCAGGAGGGCGTTTGTTTGGCAGTGGATGGAGAGTAAGTTTGTGGAAACGGGGGGAGCGAGGGTTGAGAGGGATGAGGTGTACGAGAGGATGATTTTTTGGTGTGAGCGGATGGGGAAGGTGTTGCAGAAGAATAATAGGACAAGGTTCGAGATGAGGATTGTGAGGGCTGTTAGGAGATGATGCTGTGTGTTGATTACTGTGTGTATGCGTATGATTTCTATGACTTTCGTAAAACATTCATCTCACATTTCGTACCTGAGACCCTGTCTCTATAGAACCCACTGTATATTGTGCTCCGTGACTCGGTTCGGGCCGTCTTCCGAGCCAGGGATGCGATTCGATGAATTATTTTGTGCCTCAAGTAAGTAGTACGGTGTACAAGAGTATCTACGACCCTGCATTCATCATCAAAGCCAAAGTACCAACCACTCGCGGAATTGATCATCCATGGACTGCTGACATCTAAACCCCGGGACAACGTAAAACTAATCTCATCATATAATTACCTATAATCCCAAATAGAGACCAAACCCCGACGACATCTCATCAAACAACCAACAATCTTCCGAAGCAAGTACCTCGACTGAACTCCAAACTAATAAGCATAAACCCCCGATCTAAGTAATTTAGACCCGACCCATGATGTCATCCCTCCATCCAAGTCCCTAACCCCTCAATGGTACATACACCATCCGAAACCAAAAATTCCCTCAAACGACACGATCAACCCCGACATACGCCCCATAAATCCCTTGATAAACTCCTAAGTCCGTTACAGCAATCCATTAAGCGCGAAGGATTCCAATTCCGCACAGCTGATTAACATACATACGTATCTAGACCCCATCCTTGCGGCAGTCTTAGTAATAATATACCCGGACACGGGATACGGGTAATATTTATGGTACGGTACACGGAGCTTAGCATAATCCCCACCCGCTAAACTCCCCGATCGGAGCTATGCGGTGATAATATCGGTGTTATCTGAGGATGACATTTACTAGCTACCAGTTACTATGTGCTTACTGATGGACCCTGCTTTCAATACCAGAGAACCTTATAGTATAAATATATCCTCTTATCCCATCCAACTCCCCCTCACCACACCAAACAATAACCATCTGAACCATCCAATCTACTAATAAACACAACAAAATGTCCCAAATTCTCATCACTGGCGGCACCGGCTTCCTCGCCAACACTCTCATCGATGTCCTGCTCTCGCGCGGCCACAACGTAATCACAACAGTCCGCAGCGCGGAAAAGGCCTCCCAGCTCCAAGCCCTCCGTCCAGATATACCCTCGCACCGGCTCACCATCAAGATTGTCCCTGACATCTCCCAACTTTCCGCCTTCGACTCCGCCGTGGTCAATGATCCCCCTCTGACAGGGGTAATCCACACCGCGAGCCCCTTCCACTACAGCATCGACAACATCAAAAAGGACATGCTCGACCCGGCTGTCAACGGTACCGTTGGGATCCTCCGCTCAGTGCATAAATATGCGCCCACCGTCAAGAAAGTTGTGATTACGTCGTCGTTCGCGGCGATGTGGAATCCCAGTAAACCTGCTGGGAGCAAGTACTCCGAGAGTGACTGGAATAAGGTCACGTGGGAAGAGGCGGTTAGTCCTGCGAACGCGCAGGGGCAGGCAGGGTATCGGACGAGTAAGGCGCTTGCGGAGCGGGAAGCGTGGGGGTTTATGGAGAGGGAGAAGCCGTCGTTCGGGTTGACTGTTATGAATCCGTCGTTGATATTTGGACCTGTTGTGCCAGGGTCGTTGAGGAATCTGGGGGAGGTGAATACGTCGAATACGAGGATTAGGGATTTCGTGGCGGGCAGGTTCAAGGAGAAGTGTCCTCCTACTGGGAGTGCGTTTTGGGTGGATGTTAGGGATGCGGCGATGGCGCATGCGGTGGCGTTGGAGAAGGGAGGGGAGACGGATGGGAAGAGGTATTTCTTGACTTCTGGGTCGTTTTGTAATAGGGAGATTGTGGAGGTCATTGGGGAGGAGTTTCCGGAGGTTAAGGGGGGGTTGCCTGTGGGTGAGGCGTTGAGGGATGGAGAGTATCCTGAGGGAGGGCCGAAGTATGGGTTTGATAATGGGGCGTCGGTTAGGGATTTGGGGTTGGTTTATCGCGGGTTGAGGGAGAGTGTGAGGGATACGGTGCTTAGTTTGAGGGGGGTTCCTGAGTAAATTTGATTGTGTGTATTGGATGATAGAGATGGTGTCTACGACGATTGATGAATAGAGCTTAATAATATTATTTGGGATTTGAGTGCTGTGTGTTTGTTGTATGGGATAGAGAAGGCTCCATTTGCTTGTTATTGAGGAATAGCCATACTTGGATTGTTTGCAGAATCTCGGGATTTCCGAGCTTGAGCCGCGACCTAGGTTTCTGGTTCAATGTTAATCTTGGTTAGCACGATTAGATAAGGATTTATAAGTGAGCATATTTGTTAGATTCTCCACTTTTCGCCTCATCGAAGGATTGAAGAGAACCGTAGTGGGGTGAAGCTATTCGTTCTTGTTTCGGAACGCTTCATCCACAAATCGTTGATTTCGCCCAGGCCAGTCGGTGCTGGCTCAAATATTGGCCGACATGAACATCCGGGGAGTAAAAATATGTCATATGATCAGCTGCATGACATATCTTCAAGGCATGGAATGTCACCTAAGCGTATATAGCTGAGTCCATGTCCCTCCGAGGACTCTTGAGGCCAAGCCGGGAGTCCCAGCGCTAGTCGCCACTATCCCGTATACAGTTGGTCTGCATACGTACGCCTGTAGTCTATACGAGGCTGAAGACAGCAGGATAGTGATCTCGAGTCGGTCATTGGTTTGTTTTTGGGCCCCAAATCCCTAAGGAACTTAAGCTTAGGCAATCATGTTGCGTAGTGGGGCTTATGCAGTTGGGTGAAGAAAGCTCCATCGAGGACTGAAGATATAAAAGCAGGACTGTTCTCTCGTCAAGATAGTATCTGGCTTCCTCATTAGCTTTTCTGTACTCAAGCGATCATTCTTACTCACCATGAAGTCGTCTGTTATCTCCGCCTTGGCTCTGGCCGCTGGCGCTCTTGCCGCTCCATCTGCAGAGATCGAATCTAGTCTCGAGAAGCGCAACCCCAGCGGATCTTTCAGTCTGTATGCCTGGGGTGTCGCCGCTTCAGGACTCAAGTTCTTCTATTCTGACGGTACATATCCTTCTTGACTCATTTCGTAAAATGACCGCTGACATTCGCATCAGGTCTCGCCTACGCCGGCGACTCATCTCTTTGGCCCTATGGATCCGTCACCACCGACGTCACCTGTCAGCATTCCTTTCAACCACATACATCGAACAATCTTACTAACCATGTCTGCAGTCGTCATCACCGACACCGAACTCATCACCACCGCCACCACCGACGGCGTCACCCTCGATTCTGACACCCTGTTCTACATCCGTCCCACAGCTGACGAGATCCTGCCTGTTGGCTTCACTGGCAACGGAATCGATACGCCTTCAGATGCTGTCACTGATGACTTCATCTTCTATGGCTCTTATCTCATGTGGGAGGAGTCGTCGGGCGAATTGAGTGATGTTTTCCGTCTCAAGGAGACCAATGTCTCCGATGTTTATCAGGTGTACTGGGACACGTCGAGCTTGGATGAGAGTGGGTATTACTATCCGACTGTCAAGGATACGGCGCCTTCTAGCTAGATTGGAGGACCGTTATCGGTGAGAATGGGGGGTGTGGCTCGAAGGGTGCTGTGAGATTAGGGGTTCTAATTAGCAGAGTAATAGTAGTTAGTCAACGTGAAGAGAACTGAGATTGTTAGATCAGTTGACTCACCTGTAGTAAGACCTGACACGGTTGAGCTGTTTAGACTATGACTCGGGTATTGCAATCTAATATGTTGGTTTGAGGATACGACGTGTTGCGACAAACGGTCTCAGTACTCTAGGTTAGTTGATAGCAATGACTAGGCTAGTTCAGCAGACAGCTAAGGCGGCACATGTTTCTGGACAAAGACCACTCGTTTTCGCGCTACGTCTTACCACATACGTTGGATCCAATAAAAAGATTTGGAAAAAAAAAAAAAAAAAAAAAAAAAAGGGTAGTTTGGTAGTCGCTTTGCTCGGAGATTCTGTGAGAGAACTCAAAGCGAGTACCGTTCAGATGAATATAACGAGCAACTGGCTGGAAGAGAAAAATTCTCAGTTCAGTTTGTGCAGAATAGGAAACCATGGATGACAGTGAGGAGAAAATAAATCATATATCAATGTGAAGGATTTTGTCCTAGCTAATTATTATCGTCCATACATATGTGCACATGACAAATTTTGAGAATGGAATGGCAAAGGGTATTTCAAACAGCAATGGGAGTGAATATGAGCAAGAAGAGAGGTTGCATGAGCAACGGATATCAGAGCCAGCGGGATAATCTTAACAGAAGCGACACAGCACGTATTCACAACAACATCTTCAATGGAGCTTAAGCCCATTTTCCGAGAAGAGCCATAATACCAGCACCCCAGAGCATGGTGATAACCATGAATGCCAATCGCTTGTTGTCTTGAGAGCGGTGAGGGTCGAAGAGGAAATCTCTAGCCAAAAGCTCAACCAGACCAGTGTAGATTAGGATACCGGCAGAAATAGAATCCAGAACACCGGAGACCACGTTGGCGGTGTACGAGCCAGAGTTGTATGTAGTTCTGACACCGAGACCAATAGCGATCGAGATGGGGGTAGTCAATCCGTACAAGCTGCAAAGGATCCACGGCAGCCAGCTGCCCTTACGGAAGGGGATGGCGGACATACGAGCTCCAATACCCAGACCTTCGAAGGACTGGTGGAAGACAAGGACCGGGTAGAGCGTCGCGAATTCGTCGCCAGTGACTCCCAAGTTAAGACCAATGATGACGGAGTGGAAGATAACACCGAACTCGAGAATAAGGAACGCGGCAATCTGTTGCTTGAAGGACCTCTCGATCAATGTGTCACTGGTGGACAGCTCCTCCACATCAGTCTCGCCCTTTCTAGTGTTTCCAGGCGACTCCTTGTCTACAGTCGAGTTATCCACTGCACTGGTCATGATGGGCTCGGGGTCCTCTCTGCAGATGCCATACTTGACTTCGACATAACGTTCGGCACCGAAGTCAAGGAGGAAAATGCACATGAGCGAGGTCAAGACGATCGCAGGGCACCAGGAGTAATCCGCCCAGTTACCAGTCATTCCAACGCATGACTGCGGGCCGATTTCGGAGTATGCGGGGTCCAGAAGATGGATGAAAGCCGTTGCAATGATGACACCTGCACCGAAATAACGAGCGAAGAGGTAGACGTAGAGTGGAATATGCAGCCTGGGGATGCGCTTGGCGACGACGGGAAAAAAGGTCACTGCAGTTGAGACGGCAAAGATCACGAAAATAGCCGAGATGCGGGCACCCAACTGGCCGTTGTAGTCATTTTCTGACTTGTTGAGATAGCAAATAATCTCGGTTGGGTCGGCCGTGTCGAGGTCGACATCATTAGGATTGAACGACATTTATGGAAGATTGAGGATGAATGTCACTCAGATCAAAGAGGAGAAGGAAAAGCAGAGTTGGATGGCTCTGATCATTTCCTCTGTTTGGCACATCCTTGCGTCACGGTCTTATATAACGGGAGTGCGTGGCAGAGATTTTCCAGGTGAGGACCTTGTGAGGACCTTGAGAGCGTGGACAGGCCCGGTCTCCGACACTAACAAGGTAGCCTGCCTCTGACTCGTTTCCTCATTTAACTTATCTGGTCATTGCTTTTGCAAGTGTCAGCCAATGACTGAGTCAATTTCATTTGTAAAATCCCACCTTCTGCAGCATCCTCATGCAAGAAAGTCGCTCCTAGAGCAGGTATCTTCTTCGGGAGGAAATCGAGTATGGACCATCACCAGCTTACCCTCATCACACCACCATTTGATTCCACGCTGTGAACAATGATCAGGAGAGGGAATTGGAGCAGGTAGGACCTTGGTGGAAAGTCAGCGGATAAAGAACGTTGGTAATGATGATGAGGGTGATGGTGATGGGCTGTCAGACAGGTGCCGTGGATACGGGTGGGGAGGAAGCGAGGAAGATGGTCGGCGGAGAGATTAAGCCCAGCCCACCTCAACCGGGCCTGGCCTGGATTTAGCATGGTTTTGGCCTCCACTAAGGCACCGGATCCCTCGTCGCGCATACCACCGGTTGGCCCGATCCATTGTCCGCCCCCTCTCTGCTGCGTGCATAGCCTGGTTGGTGTGCCCCTGCTGCCCAAACCCAGATTCAGCCGTGATATCGGATGTTCCCCGACGGATGCTGTGAGTTATTTGCTCACTTCTCGGCGACCAAGCAGGTACTCACACCAGTCCACCATCTTAACCCAATCGCAAGGCTTCTATTCACGGTTGTCTTAGATGGATAATGAACGCCTTCATGAAGTTTTGATCATTCCCTACTTCATAGGGGACCACTCGGCAGCGGCTAATACAAACCTAGAAAACGCCACAGTTGATCGAACTGATCAGGAAACAAATCCGAAGTTGGCGCTGTTAAACCCAAGCGAAACAGTGGCCGATGGCTGTCAGTCTCCTACACAATTTCCTCCTAGCTCTATTCGCCCTCGTGAACTAGACCTCGCTAAGTCTCTAGCCCCATCTCTTACACTAATCCTGAAGTTTGCCTTCTTGCTTAACCCGATCCTTGTCGGTACACCAGGCTAGTAACTTGTGAGTAACTAATAGTAGTACCTCCTACCTTCAGCATTGCCGCCATTATTCAAGGGGATCAAGACCCCATACATGGGCAGGGACAGGAACAATGCGAGATACACAACACGCGATTATAAAAAGTGTCTTTTGCAGTGTGCAGTACGTGACGCTGTCAAAACCCCCTTGCGTCTTGGCCCCATATCGCACCGCGATGATGCAGTCATAATCTAGCTTAACCGAGCTCTCCGTCCGCAGATGCATGCTGCAAAGCTCCACACAGTTGAGACCCCTATTTCAGTCCTCCAAAGTCTATAATACTTGAAATCTCTTTGGCTATTTGTGGATCCTGCCAATTGAGTCACGTTGGATGCTTCTTATCGGGGAAAGCTCCGATGCGGAATCCGACGCCAGCATGTGGATGATGCATCTCATGCTGTACACAGCAAACGAGCTCAGTGTCTCTTACGGCTCTTCCCGCGATTATC